AAAAAAAAGACTGTATTAGTGCTATAAAGAGCGTGAATTATACAATATGTAATAAAATAACCAAAATAAAACTTATCCTTTCTAAACATATAAACTATATAAATCAAATGTGGGAATCCTCATTTATATATGAATTGAATCCAGGCTGTCCCGTGCGGCCAGCTTTGGTCCAATATAATGCAGGTTTTAGCTATGAACATTGTGACTGCTATAATAATGATGACTAATCTTGATAGTATTGATTATGTAATAATATTATGAATTTCCAAGTGGATCCAAAGATACACATGATCGTTGAAAAAGTGCTGTCTACTAATATATAAAAAATTAAGTGGCCGTAACGTAAAAATTCTGCCGGATATTTGCGGCCTGGAGTACTCTTCAATTATGTTATCTTCTTGTTTTAATGTTATTTCTCCTCAAATTTGGCTTTTATTGTCTTAAATAACTCTCTAATATTATGCACATATATCCTGTATACTACTTGGCACCTAAGCTTAGCTTTTTTCGGCTAAAATAGCCCTTAGATCTACAATTAAGCTTTAAGGTATATGATCAAATGTGTATTGTATATTCAAGTTTCAATACCACTTCACTTTGGTCATATCACTTCCTGGTATACTAGGTAACTTCCAAGATCTGACAAGATCTCTAATTCCTTTTGTTTCAAAACTTGAAATTCCCCATTTTTCTGAGTTCGATAATGTATTCAAGTATTCACTGGGTACTAAATTTGAAAGATATTCCTTACTAAACGGTGGTTTACAATGTACCTTATTAAAGCATGTAAATCTATCTTCCACTTGCTTCAAGGTCCAATATTGAGTTAATGATATGAAGTGTTCATTGCTTAGATCATCACAGTTTTTAGACCTAAAGTTTGATAAGAAATATTTGCCTTCTTCCAGTAAGTTGGGTTCAAGACAATGTTCTAAATCTTTGATCCAAGAGCTCAAGTTTTCAACGTATGTGAAACCATTGTACTTCCCATTTTTTAAACCAGAAGGGTATTCCTTTGTTAATATATAATCAGTGTCATGTGGTATCCAAGAAGTAACTCCTTCATATAAAGTTGAACGAAGTGGTGTTAAAGACCCAAATGTATAATTATGAATATGCTTATCTGTGATCAACTCTTGCTTTAACTCATTAGCACTCAATCCCGTCAAGTCAATGTATAATCCTGTTTCAAGATCAATCATTCTTCCATCAATTGAATTTTTCAAATTCGCATTAACCCTATCAACAAAATATGGACTAATTTCAATTAAATATCTATTAAATCCGGTATTTGGGTCTTCAATAATCAAAGAACCATTATAATTTATAGCAAGATATTCTAAATGTCTTATTGGAAGTTGAATGTCACAATCATGATCCCATAAAAACGAAACACCACTCCATCTCCAGCTTAATAAATTACCATGAGATAGCCAATATATAATCTTTTCCTTTTGTGCAAATTCTTGCCATGTTCTGATTAGATGATGCAAAGCAAAATATTTTTGTCTTCCATGTAATACTTTTTTGAAAAATCTTGAATCATAATGAGAACCAGCTAAAGATTTATCATCTTTCAATTCAACTTCATTGAAAAATTTCTCAAAATCAGTATCGTATTGTTGTTCAACTAAATGAAGATTTTTAAGAAAGTTCAGTAAGTTTTTGCTTGATGAGGAGAGACTCACCAAATCAAGCTCATCAATATGTGTGGTTTCAAAAATAAAATCATCCAAATGTAAATTAATAAATAATTCATCATTATCAAAACTATTGTAATTTGTATTTGATCTAGTCTCAACTTTTTCTTGGGAAAGTATCATTGGATCTGGCTTAACTAACTCACGAATGTTTTCCATTTCTTCTGCAATTTGATCCAAAGTAATATCGGAAGCATCTAAATCATGTAGTTTTTCCAAAAATTGCGCAGTATCTTTACTCGAATCTTGATTTTTGATTTGTATAATATAGTTTCTATCGCTTTTCGAGTCCATAAATATCAATTGATTAACCTTATATTCACCTGAGCCAATATAATCTAAACCTTCCGATGCCTTTTCAAACTCTGATTTTTGAAAAACTTTACTGGTTCCCAGTTCTTCATCCTCTGAGTAGTTTTCCGTTGTATTCATATCATATAACTCAAAATTATACCAATCATTCCATGAAAATGATATACGTGGATTGAAATCATTATTTTCCAAAGAATGCCTTATATGTGTGATATAACTTAAATATGTTCTTTTCAAAGTAGATAAAAATGGGTCAGTTTCTTCAGCAATAGAGTCAGCAGTTGCAATAACGATTTGTGGGAAGCCAGAATCATGATCATTCATATCTGTGATGCTTGAAAGTTTCCTATAAGACAAAGATTCAATTTTGGAAGGATCAATATGTGAAGTTGTACCATAAGAATAATCAAAGTTCCTTAGGTCTGAAACACTTTGAAGCTGAGATTTAGTAGCATGAATTATCCAAATTAAAACTAATAATAAAACCAATATAGTAACCACCTGTAAAGATTTCAGGCTAAATTTGAAGTTCCTCCTAGGGGTATGATGTGTCTTAATATCCCAAAGCATCTTGTTGAATAGTCTTTTCAACTTCCTTGTACTAGTATATGAACCTTGTGGCATTGTGTTATTTGCTCAGACATTTAATATCCTTTCAGTAAGGTTTATGATCGCACGACTAAAAAATCATCTAGTATTTTACCAATCATTTAAACTATATTGTCTAAGAATGACTTTGTGGCATTTCAATTTAATTAACCGCCGACACATAAGAACAACAACGAGTATCTTCAAACACAGAAACAGAGCTGGAGATAAGATCAGATATATTGTGAAAGCTCACATATAGTCTCTATACCTTTTCATAATGAGTAGCTTTGGTGATTGTAATCAGAAGTAACGTGTAAAATCATCCTGTAGATACTTGAACACTTGACCTCAAAATATCAGCATTTAGCTAGTTAAACCCAGTATCACCAGTGACACCAGTACCTCATATAACGAAACAGCTATCAAGAGCATAATTTCAACCAAGACATCAAGATTAAACCACAATATCAACAGATGTAATCATATTATAATGGACAATAAATGGGCATTGGCATTGGATGTTGATGTTGATTGAAGTTTGAAAATTAAAGCCATCACGAAACACGAAACCGAGATAATGCACTACAAGGGGATAAATCAAAGCAGCTAAACAATACCATTTAAACAGACTCAATTGTATCAAATCAGACTATACGAATCTCGTAAACTGAACAGCGCTTTGTTCAAAACCCTTTGTCTTACTTATCAGACTCCAGCCTCGGCTATTGCGCGTTGAAACTTGACACATGCAAAACGATTTTGTGGTTATTCACCAAACAAGGAGAAACAATTTACAATCAGAATTGTAATTGGATCATGGTAGCTAAGCTCTTCAGATAAACCATTAGATAATAGATATACACAGATATCATCAATTCATTAGCTAGACCTTTCAAGTGCTTAATCATACTTGCTCATATATCAGCATATTATACCAGAGATCACAAATCACAGAACTAGGCAATCATCACCAGATACCACACAAATTACCATCCGTGTTTTTCAGTACTGTGTGCTAGATCTTCTTAGTTCATCAAGATATATAACATCAAAAGAGTTCACCCTATCATTCAAATATCAAGATAATAATTCAATCTTCATTGTTTGATTCTGACACATCCAAAAATTCAAGTGTGTGATTAAAATTTCCCAGTTCTATTTCATTGCAGTTTTACCCCATACACAATCAACATCAGAACAGTGATCCATTGATATCCCTACATATATCTATTCAACTTACAATGCCAATCAGAGAAAAGTTGAAACCTGTTGAACAACCACAATTATCAGATGAAGATGAAGTCATAGATTCAAGTAAAAATGGGAGTTCTTCAAGTCTGCCAAAGAACATACAGATCTCTGATGATGGAAGATTATTCAAGAAGGTTGATCATCGTCAAAGATCAATGACCATAGGTAATGTTAGAGTCGCTCCTTTGACAACACCTTTACCAAGAAGATTACAAACTGCTGCTGTGCTTTGGCATACCGTTTCAATACCTGTTTTCATTACAATTTTTTTCATTGCTTTAGCAATACCAGTATTTTGGATTTTTGCTATCCCATATTTGATTTATTTATTCACTGATGAAACTCCATCAAATGGTAATGCTACCAAAAGATATTCAGAATGGTTTAGAAAACTGTCAATTTGGAAAAATTTTGCAGGTTATTATCCAGTGAAAATTTTTAAAACTCATAATTTAGAACCAACATTTACTGAAGTTGAAATTAAAGATGATCATTATTGGTTACCTCCTCCATTAAGTTATCTTTTCCAAATCAAGAAGAAACCTTATAAGAAGAAGGAAAAAACAGGTCCAAAATATATTTTTGGTCTTCATCCTCATGGTGTTGTTTCATTAAGTGGATTTGGTGCTATTGGTACTGATGGTGCAAATTGGTCAAAACTGTTCCCTGGTGTACCCGTTTGTCTTTTAACTTTATTAAACCAATTTTATATCCCAATCTATAGAGATTATTTATTAGCTTTAGGTATCACATCTGCAGGTCGTAATAATGCTTTAAAAGTATTAAAAAATGGATTTTCATTAGCAATTGTTGTTGGTGGTGCTCAAGAATCCTTATTAGCAAGACCTGAATCTACAGAAATTGTTTTACAAAAACGTAAAGGTTTCATCAAATTAGCTTTAGAAACTGGTAATGTTTCATTAGTACCATGTTATGCATTTGGTGAAAATGAGTTATATAATATTTTAGAACCAGGTCAAGATTCATATTGGAGGAAACTGCAATTATGGTTAAAAAAGAACTTTGGTTTTACAATTCCATTTTTCCATGCAAGAGGAGTTTTCAATTATGATTTTGGTCTTTTACCATTTAGAAAAGAAGTTACTATTGTTACTGGTAAACCAATTGAAGTTCCATTTTTACCAAGTCCAAATAAAAAGGAAGTTGATCATTATCATGAACTGTATGTTAATGAATTGAAAAGAATTTTTGAAGAATATAAATCTAAATTTGCAGAGAATCCTGAAGCAAAATTAGAAATTGTTGAATAGTCGTTAGTTTCATGTTTGATTTTTACAGAGTTACTCATTCATTAAAATTTTAAATTCATTTATTATTAATACAGTATTTATTTGAATTGAATTGATCATTGAGGATATTATATGTTATATATAAAAACGATGGAAAAGTTCTTGTAGAAGTATATAGTACAGTAATTAATTAAACATTAGATTTCATGTTTGGGTATTATTTTCCAATTTCCATCAACTTTTTTGAAATTTTTAACGAATTCACCTTCATGTTCACTTTTTATTTCACCTTCATGTGAAGTGTGGTTCAGTAAAGGAGTTGGAGTTGGAGTTGATTCTTCAATTGGTTCAGTTTTTGGAATTGGTGTTGGAGTTACATGAACATCATCAATTGGTATAGCAACATCATCTTGAACCATTTTTTGAGCAGGTGGGAAATTTGAATTACGAGATCTTAAAACTCTACCAGTACTTGGTGTTTCTGAACTAGGAGTTCCATTAACATTTTTAGTAATTGGTGATATTATTGAATTTGGTAATAATGATCTACCAATTGAACAAACTTCATTTGTCCATTTTTTAATTTCAGTACTTGGTGATTTTGTATAATTCCATTTTGGTTTACAACCTTTAACTAATTCTTTTACAACTTCTGGACTACCCCATGATTGATCCCATTTTAGTTCTTGTAATCCAACTAAATGAGAGAAAACACCTGATGATAATGCACCATCTGAATAACCACCTTCTAATAATGATAAAATTGAGCCATTTGAATGTCTTTTGGCTAGTTTAATAGCGTCTGATGTGAATTTGGCATAGAATGATGTTGGAACATGAACTCCATGACGTTGCATTGTTTGAACTTCATATTCTGAAGCATCAAATCCAGCGCTAATAACAATTAAAGCTTTAAAAGGTTTTTTATTTGGATTTTTGGCATTTTCTAATTCATAACTTCTTCTAGCATTTGATAAATATTCATCAGCTTTTTTAAGAACTTGTGTATAACGTTCTTTATAATCATTATAAAAATCTTCTTCTTTTTCATAAGGTTGTAAATGAACATTCCAAATACCCAAATCATGAGCCATTATACAAGTTGATGCATTTTTTATATTACCTGCAGTTGCATAACCTAACTCTGTTGGGAATGAATTAATATCATGTAATGAGAAATAACCAACCTTTGGTTCAGTAGCTTCTTTCTTAAAAGATGAATCATCATCACTTTCAGTTTCATAACCAGCAGCGGATTCACCAAAATCCGGTTCAAAACCTGCCTTTTGCCAACAAATATCTTGTGATCCATCACCATGATGAAGATCAATATCTAAGATAACAGCATGGGTAACATCATGTTTATCTGCACTATATTCAATAGCTATTTGAGCATTATTAATGAGGCAAAACCCAGAAGGAGCACAGGGATGACTATGATGACCCGGTGGTCTAATTGCAACAAAAGCTCTCTTCGGTGTATTGATATCAGAATCCAATATTGTATCTATAGCAGTTTCAATAGAGCCAATGACACCTGAAATAGCATCAATTGTACCTCTTGTTAAGTAAATATCACCACTGTTCCAATCATCTGGGACTTCAATTTGACCTGCAGCTAATTTAGCTTCACTTTCAAGACATTTTTCCTCTAAGTCTCTAGGCCAATTTTTACCATGAATTTTTAAAACATGAGGACTATTTAATGGGGATTTTTTCTTTGATGAAACTAATGTATATTGTGATGGGAACATTGAAAATGCAGCAGCGATACCCATAGAAGTAGCTAAAAGTCTTTGAGGTCTTTCCACAATGGTTGAAATATAAGTTTTAGATACCCAATCTCTACCAAAAGCATGTTTTAATGATAAAGGTGATAAGACTATCATAGTTTTTTCACCATTTGGAATGTGTTTAGCATTTTCAGCAACTTCTTTATATTTAATTAAATAATCTCTGAACTTTTCTTTAAAGTTCGATAAATCATCAACAGGTTCTGGAGTATCACTCTTGATAATATATGGGGATTGTTTATTATTTTGATGAATGCTCAAATCCGCAATAGAGATTGCTAATTCATCTAATGGGCTAGTCATTGTACAAGTGTATTCTAATATGTTAATTAGTTTCTTTGGACTTTATGATTAGCTTGAGGGTGATTCAGAATGATTAAGTGGAAAAGAAAAGTGATAAGTTTGAGAAAAGCTCCAATATATATTTAAATGTTTTGGTGAAACGTTTTCTGTTCAGTATTTTGAGATGTTTGTTTACATTTCTTAAAAAGCGCGCCCCATAGATAATTGCCGGAGATTAAAATCTTATCATAACGCGCATTTTGACATGAGTTAGAATTTGAATTTGACCCAGAAGATCAAAGACAAACGGGACTTGAAAATGGGTTACAGGGACTCAAAGATTTGAAGAGTAGAGACAGAATCCCAGTATATCAATTGAGCTACAGAATCGTAATCCATATAGATAACATTAATAAACTTTTGTTTGGTATACTATGTACTTATACATTATATTAAGCAATTGATCTTCATTGTATATCAACCGTTGGACAATATCATCAATGCCCATTGACTTCACTAGATAATTGTAGGCCTCAAAACATTTTTATATAAAAAGATGAATGTGATAAAATCACCATTCAGATTCACCTGTACCTTTAGCAAAAGCATAATCTCTACCATTGATATTAGCAACACCATCTTTCAAGTTACATTTCCATTTGTTCTTCACTCTTAAAACTTTTTCATATAGACATAAAATAATCATACCTTCTGCATCATCTGCATCCTCATCATCTTCTAAATCTTCTTCATCGGAATCATCTAGATCTGAATTTATATCATCAGAATCTAATGATGCCAAAGTTCTTTCTTTCTTTTCTGAACTTTCTTTAGATTTTTGAGACACAGTAGCATTATTACCACTTATCTCAAGTTCAAAATTGGCTGTAGACTCTTGAGGTATTGAAGCAGATGAATCTTCCTTTTTAACACCATTATCAGTTTGATTTGGGTTTGTTGTGTCTATAGCTTGATCTGTACCTAAAAGTTCTGTTGGTGCTGAATCTGGGGCCCATGAAAATTGAGCAACTTTAGTTTGTGACAAGTTTTCACGCCATATCTAAACTGTTAGTTTCCAAATAATATATCAATTGATTTTAAATATATGAAAAAACTTACATTTCTTAAATCTTGTAATGTAGCTTCATCAATACCACTATCTTCAAAATCTTGTCTTGATTCATTTATGACATCATCAATGATTTGTTCATATATAAAGGCCTATATAAAAAGTTAGTAATCTATCTATCAAAAAATATAAAACATCAAGTTAATTGAAAACTCACAGCTTCATGATTGGACATTGTTAAATTTTTTTTCCGCTGTTTCGGTATATGGAATAACTATCAAAAAAAACTAAAAAAAATCACTAAAGAGAGCTCAACAATTAAAAATACAAGTTCTGATAGTAAAATGAGCGTAAATTCGATAGCTCAATGGGGTTGATGATAAATTTGTCGATTCTTTAAGGTAAATTAAGGGTTTTGGTTAAATTTCCGATTTGCTTTTTATACTTTTTCAAGTGGCGAGCGGTATACACCACACAAACACGTGACCCAAGACACACAACTTTAGCAGAAAAGAAGAAATTGAGCGCTCAAAAAGATATTAAAGAGATATTTCTGTGAGTAGAGGACTATAAAGTATACTCTCGATCGATAACCCAAGATCAATTGAACAAAATGGTTAATAAATACCAAGTTTATACCATTTCTAATCTCTTTTGAAAATTCGCGCATAGTTAATAAAAGTTGTCATGGAGACATAAATTTTGTTTTGTTTTTGTTTACTTTTTGTAAAGGGACGACTTTTGTTTTGATCATATCTTTTATAAAAAGCAGCTACAAGTATCTTCTTCTATCAAAGAGCTACAAACAGCAATATCCAGAGACTTATCAATTATTGATATGGACTTGCAAAACATTAAAGCGGTTTCTGCTACAGAACCTGAAGCTATGACACCATTAAGATATTCTACAACTTTTCAAATTGCTGAAGATTCAAATGATGATATTGTACAAAAGATACCTCATGGTTTGACTGCTAAGAAGAATCGTCGTAAAAGTTTCCAACATTTGAAATCAAACAATGCTTTCTCATTAACTCCACAAAGAATCCCATTGACTGCTCCAAGACCTAATGTTTTGAATTCACATCCAATTGGATTTAGTCCAATCAATCCAACAAAAAGATCCTTAATGAATGAACTGGAAGCTGTTAAAAGTGGTAAAGAAAACTCAAATTCAAATTTCGAACCTTTATCAAATTTTGACTGGGATACAAAAGTTTCTGAGGATATTGGTTTTTTCATTGATACCCCCTCCAGTCCTGAGAGATTACAAAATAAACGTCGTTCAGAGGGTAATGAAGATCTTGAAATTAATGTTAAACATCAAAAGATTGCAGATACTTCAAAAGAAGATTCTATCGAAGAAGAAGATGAAGACAGTGATAGTGAACAATCTGCTGAAGTTGACTCAGCAAATAATACCCAAGCTGCCGCTGTAAATGAGGAATCAACAACTATTGATAATGAAGACGACAAGGAATCAAGCATTGTTTCAGATGAAGAACCAGAAGAATTGTCAAGAATTGAACCATTTAATAGTGAATCAAACGTTACAGATAACAATGTTCAAGAACAAAACACTCATTTCGAGACTTCAGGATCCCCAATCACACCGTCTCGTTTTACTGAACCAGTTGCCAAAAGTCCAAAAACAGAACAATGTAGCAGAGTCGTTGATGAATCTGGATTACTTTTAGATACTTCAAAACCACCAATGGTTGATGATAGCTACAGAGCACCTGAAAGTCCATTATCACAACATCAAACCTCTATCATTGAACCATCAACTAAAAATGTTTTAGAGAGTCTGGATGATATTGATGAAATTCCATCTGAACCTTCTTACCAGCCAGTCAGAGAAGCTCCAAGGGCTAGGGCATTGTTCACTATTCAACAACTCCATGAATATCAAGAAGACTTCAAAAAGGCAGAAAGTTCATTACGTGATACTTTGAAGGAAAAACATAATGAAGTTAAAGAGCTTAATACACAAGTTGCTACATATAAAAATAGAATCATTGAATTAAAGGAAGATTTTGATATTTTGAAATTACAAAAGTTACAAGCTGATAAGGAAAATGATCTTATAAATACAGCACTTGATGCCTCAAGAACTGACGTTATTGAACTTGAACAAAGTGCCAGGGCCAATGAAGATAAGGTTAACAGATACAAATTAGTTATTAGCAAATTTAAAGAACGCCTGAGAGAAAAAGAGCAGTTCATTTCATCTAGTGAAAAGGAACTTGAGGAATTAAACAGACTCAAAGCCACCACAGCTTCAATGGAAAGTGAATCTAAATTGCGTTCAGACCAATATGAAAAGCAAATCCATTATTTATCTTACAACATTGAACTAGCACAAAAAGAGAAAGTTTTATTGAATGATACTACGGAATCTTTAACTGCACAACTTCAAAACTTAAATGATGAATTAAATTCTGCTAAATCAGCATTAGAGGAAGCAAATGGGAAAATTGTTTTAGTTACACAAGACTTACAAGAAAGGGAAGACTATGTCAAATCATTATCTGAGACAATTGACACACAAGCTAATCAAATTGAAGTATTTGAAAATGAAAAGAACTCATTCTCAACAAATACTACAAAGTTGAACGAAGAAGTTAATGAATTAAAAGTTGTTTTACAAACCAAAGAAAATTCATTAATTGAATTATCCAATACTATCAATGATCTATCTAGAGAATTGAATTTGAATAAAAGTATTAACTCTGGTATGTCAGGTGCTTTAGCTACTTTGAGAAAAGAATTGTCAGATTTAAGAGCTTCTTATACAGAAATTTACAATGACCATGCTAGTACAAGATATCAACTTATTGATGCTAATGAGAATTTGACTATCAGAAAAGCTGAAGTTACAGAATTACAAATTGAGCTAACACAAGCGAAAGATGAACTATCAAACTTACATGCATTAGTTTCTGATAAGAACGAAAATATAAGCCAATTGAATGAAATTATTAATGAATCATCAAAAGCTTTGAATATCAAAGATTCAAAATTAGCAGATCTGGAACAAAATTTGGAGAAACAAGAAAGTGAACATCTTACAGAACTTGAAAGTTTACATCACGAATTAACTAGTTTACAAAGTAATTTAACCAGTAAATCAAATGAATTACACAGAACTAGGGAAGAAAGAGATCAAATACAAAGAGAAAATGATAAACTTGGATACGAGTTAAGTACTGTTAAAGAAGAATATAGTGATGCTGATGTTAGAATTTCAAATCTAAAATTAAAAATTAATGAATTCAAAGATGTTAATAATAACTTGGAAGGCCAAATTAAAACTTTAAGAACAGAAAAGGATAACCTTTCAAATGAAACAGAGAAGAGACTTCAACAATTAGCAGAAGATCTTTACATTCAATATAGTAAAAAACATGAACAAAAAGTTCAAGTTCTGAAGAAAAACTATGAAAACAAATGGCAACAAAAATTATCAAGAACTGAAACAGATAATGAACGTTTAAGAGGTGAAATTGAAGGTTTGAAAGCTCAATTAGAAGCTGAAAGAGCAGAAAAAGCTGAGGTTCTCAAGTTATGGGATCAACTTAGACAAGAACAAAGTAAAGATTAGCTAGAGAAGATGTAATATGGAGTTGAATAGTATGGTTTATATTGAATTATTACCTGTAGTTACTTCGTTCTTAGTGAAACATGATTGTCTTAAAAGACACCAAATTGAGTTAATTGAAATCGCGATTACTGATTACATAACAAGAGAAAAAAAACTGTACTACGTAAACGCGTTTGGGAAACTACGTACATGAGCATCACCAAAACTCTTTGCAGAAAATCACCATTAAAAGATAAAATCACTTCAAAAACGTCAAAACTCGAGGAATTCAAGGATTAGAGGGTAGTTCTGATTAAGTTAGGCTCAATAGAACTCCTTTGAAAGAGATATAGAGGACTTTACTTTCATTTTGATCACCATATAGATATATAAGGGGAGTTTCAGTTCCATAAGTGGAAAAAAAAAAATTGGTTTCATATTTAATATACTTCAACTTTGAAAAAAAAAGAATTACATTTATTAATTACCATAGTCACAAGAATAATAGATTATTATGGCTCAATCGTCCAAAAGAGGATCTGTTCAATCAGGTTTCTCTGAATTTTCATTTGAACATAATGATGATGCACTACGGATTTCTACACCAAGATCAGAACGTCCTCAATCACCAACTCCAACTACTTCACCATTAAAATTTGATGGGCTTATAAAAGAGAATAAAGATTTAAAACTGAAAGTATTGGAACAACAACAATTAATTGAAAATTTAAGACGCGAGATCCAAGAATTACGTGGTAGTACAAATAAGGGGAATAATATAAATATTATTGAAGAACAAAAACCTATTTCATTATCATCATCCTTGTCAGCATCTCCAATTGATAAAAATCAAGATAATTCTTCAAATATTATTGCTCAACATATTCTGGTTAGTAATCAAAGTCTTTCAAGTTTAGCACCACCACCAAGATCTGCAAATAGATTAAAGACAAGTCCATTAAGAGATGATTTGGAATCACAACGTACACCTATAATAACAGAACCAGAACCAGAGAAGGATGAGAAAACCACTTTAGACGAAGAGGATGAAAATGATGATACAACACAAAGGGAAGAAACTGGAGATAATACATTAACAAATATTGATGAAGATCTTCTACAAACACCAGATAATACAAATGTTGAAGATGATTCAAGTAGAAGAAGTTCAGCATATTCAGCACCACCAGATACAAAATTAGAATCACCTGAAAAAACAGCATTGGCACCAAATTCATATAGTTCACCATATAAAGGTAGAATTTCAAGTTCATCTTCACCATTAAGAAATCCTCCAACATCAGCATCTAATAATCCATCAAATTCACCATCACCATCCCCGATTTCTCCAGAAACTACTCAATTATCACAACCATTATCTGTAGTGACAACAACAACAACAGATGATAAATCAATCCATAATAAATTAAATTTTAATGAATCAAGATCTACATTTCAAGGAAGTCCATTACCACCTAAAAATTTTTCTTCATCAGATTCACCATTTATGACACCTGAATTAAGTATACCACCATCACCATTAGAAGGAAGATTTACACCAGCTGAAAGTATAAAATCTAATTTATATGATCCTTATGAAGGAGATTTCCAACATCAACAAATTCATCAAAATCATAATGGATTTGGAGGTGTTTATAATGGAGAAAATGAAAATCATGAATTGAATCAATTAGATTCCACACATAAAAGATTCCCATCAGATGTTCCATTATTTGTTAATCCAACAGAATTATCTACTGTCAAGACAGAAATAATTACAACAATATGTGGTAATTTTTCCAAAAAATCAGATGATCCAATTGTTATTATTGCAGTTTGTGATCGTCAAACCGGGGTTGAAATGTGGAGATTTAAAAAATCATTATCATCAATTGTATTATTAGATACTCAAATTAGACCATTAATTAATACATTTTCATTACCACCAGTCCCTGAAAAATCATTATTTTTATCAAATATACCTGTTAAAGTTGATATTAGAAGATTAAGATTAAGAGATTATTTTTCAACATTATTTACAATACCTCATATTCCATTAGATGCAGCTTATAAAATTTCTAGGTTTATGTCACAAGATGTTGTTAATTTATTAGATGAATCAAATACAGAAGCTTTAAAAGATGGGTTTTTGTTACGTCGTTCAAAAGGATTGGGAAATAATTGGAAGGCAAGATTTTGTGAAGTTGATGGACCATTTTTAAATGTTTATGAAAATAAAGATGGTTCATTATTAGAAATTTTAAAATTAACAGGATCACAAATTGGTAGACAACCAGATCATATAAAACATACAGATGATAAATCATCATATAGACATGCATTTGCCATTATGGAACCTAAAAAAAATTTAAAATCTTCTTCATTTACAAAACATATTTTTTGTGCAGAAACTGATCAAGAGCGAGATTTATGGGTAAATACATTAATTCAATTTGTTGAAGATCCTTCAAGTTCCATATCAACATATTCAGGAGATTCATCAAATTTATCATCACAAACAATTATTAATCCAGAACCACAATTAATACCATCACCAAATTCCATTTCAACTCAATCACCATCTAAATCATCTATTCATACTAAAAATGATGATACTGATGAATTAGAAGAATTAGTTAAAGAAAGTAAACGTAATAAAAAAAGAAGTTTTTTCCCATTTTCCAAGAAAAATATTAATGAAGAATTAGAAGTTTTCAAAAATCAACAACAAGGAGGAACAGAACAATCATCAGATCAAGAAACTTCACCTAAGAAATCAAATATTGAAGAAAGTTTAAAAAATATGAATTTATTAGATACAAAAATCAATGAAAAAATATTTAATAATGAAATTTCCATTGCAATAAATTTATCAAATCATGAATTATATGGATATAAAGTTCCAAGTATAATTTACAGATGTTTAAAATTCCTTGATGATTCAGATGCAGTGATTCAAGAAGGTTTATTTAGATTAAATGGTTCAGCATCAATGATTAAACAATTACGTGAAAATTTTGATTCCAAGTATGATTTTGAATTGGATGAATTTGAACTAAAACCAGATATTAATACAATAGCTGGATTATTAAAATTATATTTAAGAGAATTACCAAGTGTGATTTTAACCAAAGAATTATATTCAAATTTTAGAGATTCATATAATAAAATTAAAGATCCACAATTATTATCAATTGAATTTAAAAAATTAACCCAGAAATTACCAATTGAAAATTATTCATTAATTTTTGTATTGTTCAAATTTTTAAACAAAGTTATTCAATATCAAGAGATGAACAAGATGAATTTAAGAAATTTATGTATTGTTTTTTCACCAACTTTAAATATTTCAAGTGAAGTTATTATACCATTTTTTGTTGATTTTGGTTGTATTTTTGAAAATCAAGAACCAATTCCAAATAATCAAAGAGAAGTTTTAGATATTCATATACCAACATTTTAAAAAAACATTTTAAAAGAGAAGGGAAGAAAAGAGATAGAAAAGATAACGATCCTTACGGTTTAAATCATATATATTATAAGCATGATTAGTTTTTAAGTTTTATATATTGTTTTATAATGAACATTTGTTTTTATAGAGAGACAACAACTAAAACGTAAATCATGAAATATCATAAAAATCATTTTATAATAATATTTAAATATAATAATTTATTCTATCATGGTTTAACCAAGGGGGACTTATATACTTGATTGTAAAACTTGTTCATTTGAAATTTCATTATTTGTAATTTGGTTTTGTCTTTTCCTTAATACATTTTCAATAAATGCTTCACCAGCTTTATAAGAAGATCTAACTAATGGACCACTTGCACAATATAAGAAACCCATATCCAAGGCAACTTGTTTCCAATGATCAAATTTTTCAGGGGTAACATATTCAGCAACTTTCATATGACGTCTTGTTGGTCTCATATATTGACCAAATGTAACAACATCACAATTAATATTTCTTAATTCCTTAAGGGCAGCTAAGATTTGTTCATCAGTTTCACCAAGACCTAACATCATTGAAGTTTTTGTAATCAAGGTTGGAACTGTTTCTTTAGCAGTTTGTAAAACTTTTAAACTTTGACGGAATGTAGCTCTTCTATCTCTAACATGAGGAGTTAATTCTTCCACAGTTTCAATATTATGAGCGAAAACATCTAAACCAGATTTTGCTAAAATTTTAACCATTTCAGGATCACCTCTAAAATCACCACTCAACACTTCAACTAAAATTTGTGGAGCTTTTTGTTTAATTTTTTGAACAGTTTCACTTAAATGATTTGAACCACCATCAGATAAATCATCACGATCAACAGTAGTCATAACAACATAACCTAACCCCCATCTTGCAATAGCTTCAGCAGTATTTTCAGGTTCCATCGGATCTGGAGCAGCAGGTTTTCTATTTGTTTTCACGGAACAAAATCTACAACCTCTTGTACAAGTATCACCTAATAACATAATAGTTGCAGTAGCTTCAGATTTTTTACCACCCCAACATTCACCAATATTTGGACATTTTGCTTCTTCACAAACTGTTGATAATTTTAATTCACGAACATCTTTTTTCAAATTATGAAAAGATTGACCCTTTGGAATTGGGACTCTTAACCAACTTGGTAATTTTGCCTTTGGGTCAACTCTTGCAGCTTCAATTGGATCAACAACTTGCTTTGCAGCTTTCCCACTAATAAAATCATCAAATGATGGACCTGCATTTAAATTATCTGAAAATATAGTTCTTCTTCTTTTTTTTGGTTTTATTGGGGTTGTGTTTTGTGTTTCTGTTGATTGTTCTTCATTTGAAACATGGGCAAATGATCTATATGATTGATTGATTATTGGATGACGAGTGAAGACACTCTTTATTAATCTTTGTGAAAGCATTGTATGGCTATAGATCTGGGTATTATATGAATTGAATGAAATGAAAGTTAAGGAAATGTATAATCTATGTTTATGTATATCTAGTTTGTAATGAATCTATTCATAAAATATAAATGATTAATCCAAATCAATATAATATTTCAATACTTCAATATTTCAATTTTTATTCCTTATTATAAATTTTGTATTACGTTTAATTTTTTTTGCTGAAGCTAAAATCGGATTCCCTCCACGCGAATTTTTACAAAACATTGACTCTGATTTGGTAAAGAGCGTGGGGGACAGAGTCAGTGAGTGATTGACTTCGATTTGAATATTGAATAAAACACTAAAATATACTATTATTACTAAACAATTTATATTTTAATAGTTTATTAGATTAGATATTAACAATTATATACTTTTATTTTATTTTATTTTATTTTATTTTGTTCTAGTTGATTATAACAAACGATCAATTTCATTAGATTTAAATTGATCTAAATTATCTAAATTATCCCACCATTTAAATAAATAAGATTCACAAATTAATTTAAACCATGGAGTAAATGTTAAATTTGGATCTTTGAATTGATTTTTCAATTCTTGAGCAGTAACATATTTATAATCTCTAACTTCATTTAAATTTGCATCAATTTTTGGATTTGATTTTATAAATAATATATAATCAATTTCATGTTCCCCCCATTTCCCATTACTTGGAGCTTTATAATGAATTCTATTCAAGAATTTAAAATTTTCAATTGGAACATCCTGAGCTAGGATACCTAATTCATGATTTAATTTTCTTTGAGCAGCAAATTTAGCACCTTCAATTGAACTTGATAAATCAGTACCTAATTCCTCAGGAACAGCTAAAGGATGTGAACAACAAGTATTAGTCCACATATCAGGGAACGTTATTTTTTCAGTAGCACGTTGTTGTAATAATAATTTACCTTCATCATTGAACAAGAAAACAGAGAAAGCTCTATGTAATAAACCTTTTTCAATATTATCCATAATATGACAAAGTTTTTTAGTACCTGCACCAATAGGAGTATCATTCCAATCAGAAACGATACATAATTCTTCCATTAATTTGATTTGTTCTTCATCATATCCATTAAAGACATTGTCTGTACCATTTGAACTTGAACTTCTTGGAGCACCAGTGATACGATCCAAATGAACAATTTCTGGGAATTCTCTAAGGATATCTTCACCAGTTAGGCCTTGGACCAACTGTGAGTATGTGATAGTTTGTGACATTGTGGTGGTGGTGGTAATACTAGTTGTTTCTTGTTGTTGTTGTTTATTTGTTGATGTTTTGAAACTTTTTTTTTTCGTACTAAAAAGAATGTCAAATTTAATCAGAAGACAAAAAGAAGGTAATGAAATAACAATTGAATGAATGATAGTATCAATAATAAAATGATAGAACAACTGATAGAACAAGTGATAGTGTAATAGTATAATGATAGAATAATAATAATATAATATATCACCAACAAACAAAACTATTCAAATACAATTTTTCTCTTTCAATATTCTTCTCTTAAATCTTTCAATCGTTTCTTCGTTTAGTATTTCATTTACTTATACAAGAGATAATAAAAAGTATGTTCTCTGTGTAACTATCAGCACTGTACTGGAGTTAATAGGTTATACTCTGCCTAAGTTTATTCTTCACTGCGTAATTCCCAGCACTTACTCTGCCTAAATCTAATTTGTTCCACCGCGCTTTGTTTTGTTTTGATTTCCATTATTTTATTTTCTTTGATTTTCTCGACGTTTTTCAAAATGGAAAATCAAAAAATTAAATGAGAATTTACTGAAAAGTATTTAATATTTTGATTTTGATTTGATTTCAATTCATTGTTTGTTTTATTGTTCAGTTACTCAAGTGTTGTGTGTTTCTGGTGAGTGTTTGTGTGTTAGTTATGGTGATGGTATTACTGGTTTATGGTGTATCATTGGGTGTTGTTCACTGTGGTACTCCATAATTGTATACTGTGGCCTCATTGAAAAATTATATTTGACTAACCAATATATTAGTATCTCCCTCCCTTCCCCATAATGTCTGCCACTACTTCCCCTGCTCCATCTTTTGATTCTCGTGAACCTCGTGAACCTCGTGTTCAAAAACGTTTCATTAAAGGTCCTGATAATAAAGCTCGTGATGAAATCATTAATAAATTAAATAAAGAAATTAAAGCTAAAGATTTAACTCTTAATGAAATTAAAGCTCAAATTTCCAAAACTACAACTGATCCAAAAATTAATGAAGAACGTAAAAATTTAATTGGTGAATTAAATGAATTGAAAAAAACTCAAGCTGATTTTAAAGGTAAACGTGATTTAATCAACTCCAAGATTAAAGAAGTTGATTCTCAATTAAAAAAGAAAATTTCTGAAGTCCAATCTGTTACTTCAAAACATAATTATAAATCAACTAATGATATTGATAATGAAATTAAAAAATTAGAAGATCAAATCTCTTCAGGTGATTTAAAATTAGTTGAAGAACGTTTAGCCATCAAAAATATTACTCAATTACGTAAATTACGTAAAGATTTTAATGGTATTCAATCTCAACAAAAATTAATTGATCAAGATAAAGAAAAAATTTCAAATTTGAAAAAAGAATTATCAAGTTTAAATTCCAAGGAAGTTTCTGCAAAATTTGAATCAATTCAAAAACAATTAGATGAATTATCTTTATCAAATAAATCTGTCAACGATAAAAGACAATCATTATATGATCAACGTAATAAATTACAAAAAGAAAAAGATGTCTTGTATAATTCAATTAGAAAAACAAGATCTGATTATGATGATCAATACAAGAAATTTAAAAAAGCTTTACAAGATGAAAAAATTCGTGTTGCCACTGAAGAAGCTAAATTAAAATCTGAAAAAGATAAAGCTGAACGTTCATCAACAAAAGCAAAAATCTTGTCAGAAGCTTCAAAACCTGCATTCACTGAAGAAATCAAAACTGTTGAATCTTTATTAACTTTCTTTGATCCAACTTTTGTTAAATCAAAAACTAATGATGCTTTACAATCAAAAACTTTTATTACTGAAAGAAAAGGTAGAGTTATTGAACAACTTGATGATGATTTAATCATCAAAAAGGAAGAAACACCATTCTTTGCAGGTTCAAATGGTTCATCAAAGGGTAAAAAGGGTAAAAAATCAGCCGCTGCTAAAAAATTCACCTTGGAACCAACAATTATCACTCAATTAGGTGATTTAGAAATTTCATTACCAACTTCTCAAGATGATGTTTCAAAAACTATTGAATCATTAAAATTAAAATTAGATGAATATTTAAAAACTCAAGATGAAGTTACCGCTAAGAATATTGAATCTGCAAAATTAGAAATTTCAAAATTAGAATCAAAATGGTCAAAACAAGATGCTAAAGAAGCTGAATTAGAAGCTAAAAAAAATGCTGAAACTAATAAAGAAAATGAAGACGAATCAAAAGAAGATGATGTTAAAGAAGAATAAAACTATTGTCCTCTAGACCCCTAGATTAGTGATGTTGTCATTTGTATACCTATATATAAATTTTAAGAATTGTTACCATAAAAATACCATAAATAAAAGCATTAAAATTAGTACACATATGTAAAAGCTATATAAACTCTTCACATGATGAATTGTAAATTAACATCAATAGGATGTGAAGAACTTAATTGAGGTTTTTGAGAATATTTCCCAGACATTGCAGATCTCATATTATTTAATAAAGAAATATAACTTTGAACAGGTTGTGAAGCCATAACATTAATAAAAGCAAATGACATTGCACCCGTGGAAAGACCATTCGTAGTAGCATCTGCAGAAGTTTGTTCATCTTTTGAACCAGAAATCATAACAACATCAGCTGGTGAAAAATTTCGAGCAATTTCTTGTTGTCTATTATGATCACCATTTGTAACTTTTGAAAAAGCATCACCTAATGAAGAAACCATCCCTCCTATATTTCCCTGGGCATAACTCATTGCAGCTTTTAATCCACTTGATCCTACTGCTTTCAACATGTTTGGTTCTTTAATAACACCTTTTGTAGAATAAACAAATGGTAAATCTAATACAGTACCTGAATGACAACTATCAAAAAATGCAGTTAATCTTGCACCTGGTGGTAATGAACGAACCAAAATGTTATGTAATTCATCATCAATGATTTGTCCTGCAGTTTGGAAATCAACAGGTACAATAGTTGAATCATAACCACTTTCTTCTGTACCATCTAAATTCTTCTGAGTGGCACCATGTCCAGAATAATGGAATACAAGAGAATCATTTGGTTTAGCTTCAGAAACTAACCAATGCATTGCTCTTATAATATTTTGTCTTGTTGGGACTTTAACCAGGTCTCTTTGATCATCAGTTAACATAACCATATCTTCAGATTTATAACCAAATCTATCAATTAAGAATTTTTGCATTGCATGTGCATCATTTATACAACCTCTCAAAGCATTATTAGTTCCAATATAATTAATACCAATTAATAACGCTTTTCTTTGTCCATTACATTGTGAATATTGATAACTAATACCATTACCAATATGTTGTGTACCTGAAGGAGGTGGAGCTTGAGGTCTATTAAATGTATGACGTCCATTATTTGGATCATTATATTGATATTGATTTGGATGATTTTGTCCATTGAAAGCTTGATTTTGCATTTGAACATTTGGTGGTGGTCCTTGAGGTGCTCTATATTGACTTGGTGGCGGTCCTGAAGGTGGTCCATATCCTCCTCCATTATAATGATTTGGTGGTGGACCTGGAGGAGGTCCATACCCACCTCCATATCCATTTGGTGGTGGACCTGGAGGAGGTGCAAAACCTGAAGGTGGTGGACCTGGTGGAGGACCATAATTACCACCGTTATAAGTTGTTTGATGTCTTCTTTGACCTGGGTACATTTTGATATGGTATATGTGTCAAATATGTAGAAGATCTTTTTTTCTATTGTTGAAGGTTTTTATTCAGAAATATATTCTTTTCAAAACTAATTTCAGTTTCAAGTTTCCAATATTCGCGTATTTATTTATATAACATTCTAGAAATTTTTTGGTAATTACAGTATGACGTTTAAATTCAAATACTTGTCGGATATTGGCGGGTGTTTTCGGACCGGTTAATGATTTGTGGCAGTATACTATTAAAATATCATACAAATGTGTCATTTTTAGGCTTAGATATTTTATTGTTTCTTGCAGTTTTGATGATGATGGTGAGTTGATTCAAGGAATGATCTAGGGAAATATATATGTACATACTTTGTTTATACTAGCTGATGAAGTTAGATATTGTTAATCAAAACTTTTTAAGTACGATTGTATCTTACAAAGATTTGCTTTTAAAGTCATATGATCATGTGTGTTAATTATAATATAGATAAATGTGTTTTGAAATATTGATTAAAGTTACTTTCTTCTTGCAAATGTATAAGTTGTCCCCCATTCAACCCTAAGTTCTGTTTCATCTGTCCAACCAAAAGTTTCTTTCAATTCATTAGTGAATAAAATTGCAATATCTTCACCTTTATCAACATTATCCTTTTGCCATGTATGATAAGCACTCCAACTTTGTAAATAATCAATAAATTTCTTCATTGTATATTTTGAATCACCGTGGAAATAAGCTGTATGAGTCTTTGTTTCACCTGGATAATAATCATGTTTTTCAATATCTTTAAAACATTCATTTGGAACATGAACATCATTGAAAAAATATCTAAGGAAATTTTTACTTGGTTGAATCCATTTTGGTCCCATATATCTATCATCTTCATAAACATATTTTTGATAAATTTCATTAGCTTTAGGGAAATCAATAAATCTTGGTTCAACATAACCCCAATAAGCTAAAGTTCCATTTGGTCTTAAAGCTTTTGAGGCTTGTTCAAAAAATTCATCATGATTAATCCAATGTAAAGCTTCAGCAACTATAACAAGATCAGCTGTTTGACCTTCTAAAGGTTCAATTAAATTTTCAGCAGGGAAAACTTTAAATTCAATCTTATCTTTTAAATCTGGGGTAATTGATTCAACACCAGGTTTGATCATTACATCAGAAGCATCCGTTGCAATGACTTTTTCAACACCATGATCTAAAAGTGGGAAAGATGCAGTACCAGGACCTGAACCAGCGTCTAATGCTAAATTTTTAGGACCTTGATGATATTCAAATAATGCATTGAATAAAGAGTTTGGATATCTTGGTCTATTGACATTATAGTTATTGGAATCAAAATCCTTTTCAGCGTATGTTGCCATTGTATAATAATCAATTTATTATTGTATGATTACACCAGATAATTGAGTCAATTAGATATTCAGCTATGGAGGATTTCATGCCTTTATATATGGTTTATTGAACTCTATAAATAATTTAAGATTCACAATTGAGTAATATACTTTTCACCGAAACAGGCCCGGTTTCGGAGTCACCACAATAGATATCAATAAGAAGTTAAAACAATAGCTTTGAAGTTTGTTGATTTCCACATAGCACAGTAAAAGCTGGCCAATAATAAGTTTCAGAAATGACTAAGATTTACTTCTGTATGATCCCACTGGAGGCTATGACTCGATTGGAATGAGTTAGAGGAGCTATACTAGAAAGTTTCATGTGCGCTTTATCAATCTATAATCTCTTGTGCGGAGTGATAAGGTAATTGTATGATATTATAATTTGAACAGAAAAATTTGAAGAATCATGACTCATGAGCTAGAAAGATTAGAGCTTATTAACCATAAAAGCTTGAGTTCAAAATGGGTAAAAAGAGTGAGCTATACGATAAAATTTAATTGATGATCCAATTATAATAATACTGACAAATTGTAACATCAGGAGTTTTAGTTTCTTACAGAGTTGATATTGATGCTGTTGCTGGATGGCTAGGGTGAGTATGATCTTGATTATATATTCAGAAAATAAGTTAACGCCTGACTTGTAGCTCATATGGGGGTCAAGATTCAGTTAGTGACATATCAAGAGGTATTTGGGCTGGTGAAGTTGGAGTCAGAAGACTTTTAAAATTATTCAAGAAGTATAACATTAGAGCTACTTGGTTCATTCCAGGACATTCATTAGAAACTTTCCCTGAATCGTGTGCTGAAGTTAGAGATGCTGGTCATGAAATTGGTTTACATGGTTATTCACATGAAAATCCTGTTGATATGACATTAGAACAACAACGTGATGTTCTTGATAAAACTTTTAAATTATTAACTGAATTCACAGGGAAACCTCCAAAGGGAAGTGTTGCACCATGGTGGGAAACCAGTGAAACAGGTGTAGAAATGTTGTTGGATTATGGTATAGAATATGATCATTCTATGAGCCATCATGATTGTTTACCATATTGGTTAAGAGTTGGTGATACTTGGACTAATATTGATTATTCTAAAAAGGCAAAAGATTGGATGAAACCATTGGTTAAAGGGAAAGAAATAGGACTTGTTGAAATTCCAGCAAATTGGAATCTTGATGATTTACCACCAATGGTGTTTATTAAAGGAAGTCCTGATGGTCATGGTTGGACAAATGCAAGAGATATTGAAGATATTTGGAGAGATCATTTTGAGTACTTCTATAGAGAATATGATGAATTTATTTTCCCAATGACCATACACCCTGATGCTAGTGGCCGTCCTCATGCTATATTAATGCATGAAAGATTAATTGAATATATTAACTCTCATGAAGGTGTTGAATGGGTTACCATGGGTGAGATTTCTGATGATTTCAAGAAAAGAACACCAGTTCCAGAAGGTGCACGTCTTCCAAAGTCACAAAGTGAAGTTTTAAAGAATTTGGGTATTAGTTTATCACAGTAATAGTTCAAGATCTCGGTGCTTTCGTATAGTCAATACATAATTATGTAACTCAACAAACAATCTGTAGTGTTCAAGTTTTCACTCCAGAGAGTTGGTCATGAGTCGACTAATTTATATCCATATATTCATATCATAAGACCAATAACACAACACAATGGTAAATCGAGAACTAGGACTGGGTCATAAACTTTCTAGCCCACAGGAAATGTTTACCAAATCTCGATAAAAAGTAAATCTATAATATCCCAACGGTTTTTGAAAAATTCAATACGAGCTGAAAAAAAAATACACCATCTCCAGAGCTTCACAGTTTACACAATTAATAATTATCCAGATTCCATACAACTGATTTAACTAGATCATACCACAAAAAATGAGTTCTAAAAAGATTCTTTTCCTTCATGGTTATGCTCAATCAGCTTCAATCTTTAGTGCCAAAACAGGTGGTCTTCGTAAAGCTTTAAAGAAACAAGGTTATGATTCACATTATGTTAATGGTTCTTTAGCACTTAAAGGTGATATGCTTCATGATTCTACTGATGAAGATCTTGATCTATACGGATGGTGGGTTTATGGTATGAAAGATTATGATATTCAACCTGCATTAGATCAAGTATTGGAAGAAGCTAAGAAACATGGTGATGAAGTTGAAGGTATAATTGGATTTAGTCAAGGTGGTGGTTTAAGTGGTGCAATTGCAGCACAATACAAAAAATATATACCTTCTTTAAAATGGGCTGTATTCTTTAGTGGATTTAGATTAATGCCTCAAAGATTTGATAGTTGGTATGAACCAAAGATAGAATTACCAACTTTACATGTTTTAGGTGAATTAGATACCGTTGTTGAAGAAAGTCGTGTTTTGAAATTATATGATGCAAGTCAAGATGAGAAAAGAACTCTATTAAAACATCAAGGTGGTCATTATGTACCGAATAACAAGGATTTTGTCAATAAGATCGTTGCTTGGATTATAGATGCTACTAAAGAAAAAGAACCAGAGTCAACAAAGAAAGATGATGATGATGGAATTGATGATGACCTACTAGCAGCTATAGATAATATTGGTAAGAAATGATTTAATTCACATCTACATATTTTGATTATTTATTTGAAAAATGCTATAATAATATATTTTGTATAGACAGAAACTTTTGAAAAGTTTTAAAATGTAAGAAAAAAAAGAAAAATCTCTTATTATTTATATTCTGAAGTGAAAAATATCTGCGATGATCTTATATGATCAACAATCAACGTCGATAAAGCGAAAGAAAGAAAATAAAAACAAGTAACTTGAAAAGTAACTTATGGGTATAAAATAATGTGATGTATTGTGTTTTTTTTTATGTTTCTGTAAAATTAATTAAACTTGATCGAATCTATGATGAGAAATCACAAGATAATTGATATTTCAACTTGTTGTCAGCGTCCCAAACACCCCAGTATTTTTCGACATCTGAAGTACCAGAGGTATCTGGTTTCCAAGCTTCATCGAAAGCTTCAAAGGCAATAACGTTAATACCCCAACCTCTAATAGCACAGATAGCATCATTCCAGAAAGCATGAGCATTGTCAACTGATGGTTCTGAAGATTCAAAGGCAGTACCTTCTGATGGCCATCCAGTTTCACCAACCCAGAAGTTGATATCAGTTTCACCTTTAATACCTTGGATGGTTTGTAATGCTTGCATGATATCATCAAAGAATGAGTATGAAGCATTGTTTTGGGTTTGTCCTTGCCAGTATGAGAAAGCGTTGGCAAAAACGAAATCAGCAGATTGAATGGCTGGTCTTGAACCACCATCAACTAAAACATTCCATGAATCAACGAAACCAACTTGAGTACCTTCATAAGATTCACCATCTGAATCTTTAACATCTTTTAATAAATCACGGATGGTATCAATTTTGTCTGATAATTCTTGAGCAGTTAAATCAGCACGGTATAAAGCTTCTGAACCAACGGTAATAGCTTCAACGGTTGATTTTTTAATGTTTGGTAAATAAGTTTTTAAAGCATCTTGTTCAGCTTGGAAATGAGCATCATCATTTGGCCAGATACCAAAGAAAACAGTGAAACCAGCTTCTTCAGCAGCAGGACCTAAAATTTCTAAAGTGTTACAATCTGAAGCAGCGTAAACTCTAACTTTTTTAGTGTATGAACTTAAGATACTGAAATCATGTTTATATTCTTCAGCTGATTTACAGTTACCTTGATTATCTTTAACACCTAAGTTGAAAGCCAACTATTTTCAGATTTGTTAGTATTCAGATTCATATCAATGTTGGTGTTAATGTTGAGATCTTGAAGAGAACCCTTGATGATCCACAAAAAGGGATGAGATCAACACAAAACCAAACGGAAAAAACAACATTAACATACTTGACCAATGGCTTGAACTGATGAGACAGCACCTGCAAGGGCGACGATAGTTGAGAAACGCATGGTATTGAAGTGAATGACAGAGGTGTTTCAATGAATGTGACGATTCTCTGATGGTTCAAAACAAGAATTGTAGTTGGAAGAAATCAACGTTGTTTGTGGGTTTTTTATAATTTTCGAAATCGATGATTTTTTCGAAAACAAAAACAAAAATTCAGGAAATTGTTCGAGATTCGCATTTTCGTAAGCTCGATTCGGCATTTTTGGTAATGCCTTTCGCGCAAATCCCAAATATAGAACAATGTGAATTCCCCAATACGGGAAACCCTTGTGTAAATCAGGAAATCTCGATTAACGGTTGATATGGAGATTTTGGCATAATAGACAAAATAGGTAATCAAGCTTCATCTTTGCAAAACAGCTCGCAAAATCAGCTCAAATCTGGCTTGCACATCCGAAAACAGTAACTTCGGCACTCCAGATATTTGCGAATGATATTGTGCTATTTTTAGGCAAGGGAGTCTAGATTTACACATTGTAATTTACGCCAAAAATGTAATCAGTCAAAGATCTATAAAGTAAATACGTAACTTCGAAGTACTACAAGAATGTTTTAACGAGATTATAATTTATATTAGGGTAATTAATATCTTTTTGTATCCATTACAAAATTCTATAAAGATCAAGCCCATTTACCCAAGAGGGACATCAATAACATACCAAGAATTAATGAGAACATAGCAGCAGCTGTTTTAACAGCATTAGCATGGGCTAATTTACCGAATAACCAGTCATGTGACCACATTTCAATTAAACCAGTCCAAATCAAAACACCAGCTGAGAATGAATCAAGAGTACCTAATGCAATCAACGTACTCTTATCATTACCATTGAATTTTGATAAAACACCAATACCAATAGCCATACCAATTGGTGTGATAATTGTGAAAATAAATGCCATGATCAATTTATTAAGCATTGAAGTTTTTTCTAATTCTGCAATACGTGAACCTAAAGCTAAACCTTCAAACATTTGATGGAACAAAATAACAATGAACAAAGTAATGAATGATGAATCACCTGCAACAACTAAAGTAATACCAATAATAATAGAGTGGAAAACAATACCAACTTCCATCATTGTAACTGAAACTTTATCCTTTGGCATCAATAAACTATGTTCATGATGTCCATGAACTTGATTATTTTGAACTTGTGCTGCTTCTTTATTTGTGATTGAATCATCTTCAGCTGAACCATCTTCAACTGGTTTGACAGTACCAAGTGCCTTATTGTTTCTCCATTGAAGAGCTCTATGACCAAAATATTCAATCAAGAATGCAATGAAAATACCAGCCATTGTAATAGCAGTACCTGTTGATTCATATTCTAGTTCACCCAAACATTCATTTCCCCACATCAATGAAGCATGAGTAATTAAATGAACAAAAGCAGTTGAAATAATAACACCTGTACCAAATTGCTTGATAATAACAAAAATAATACCATCAGTTGATAAGTTGAATAATTTTCTAACAAAAATAGGACCAAATGCACCAATACCTGAAGTAACTAAGATAACAAACAATAGACCAATTCTCAATGGGATATTGTAATCACGGTCAACTCTTTCACAACTTGCTTCTTCTGCATCACCACCAACACAATGTTCAACACCAGCGTGGAAATGACAATTTTTACCACCTGAGCTTGATCCTGAACTTTCTGAAGCTTCACCTTCCGCTTGAAATTGAACTTCTTCACCACTTGGATCAATACAGAAAGTTTCTTGAGGAGAATGAGCATGACATCCAGTATATTCTGTTGGTGCATCTTGAGTTTTAGTTGGAGCTCCAACAACAACACCTTCTTCACCTTGACCATTAACACAGAATTGTGTTTTACCGTGATAATGACATGATGTGATGGCTGTTGTTTGACCAGTTACTGAACTTGAAGAAGCATCTCTTGTTCTGGTAACAAAGACAACATTTTGAGTTGGTTGTGCTGTTTGTTGTGGATAAATAGAATAAACAACAGAAGCGGCTTCTATAGCTGATAATATTGAAGCTAATGATACTATGGTATTGAACTTCATACTGATTGTTAATCTCAGCTTATTAGTGATGGTAGTTCCCTAATATAATAAATGAAGTTGGTCATATATTCAAGCGATCATAAACGGAAGTTACAATCTTTATATACTAGAGTTGGATACATTGGCAAAAAAATACGATATGCAAATTGTTCAAGACGGTTCAAAGTGAAAATTTCTTCAAATCTGTGACAATAACATTTATTAGATTCGAGTTTACGGCTCCATTGGGACAACAACTGAAATAGTTATCAAGATTCAGAATAGAACATTATGTCGAAACTTGATTTTGAGTAAAAAACGTTGAAAACTTGATCGCAATTTCCCTGATGCAGTTTGCAAATTGAAAAAGCCAAGGAACCAAGACTTTTCAATTGAGTTGAAAAGATACCCTTCAAGTTATCATAAAGTAGTGATGAAGCAGTTACAAGATGATAGTCATGGGTAGTTACTAGTTAGATGATTTGTTGTTTATTCATGAGTTTCAGATTCACCTTATTGATTGTTACAATTTGTCCTATCTTCAGAACTTGTTATACTCTTCTCGTATTTCCCCAAATTACCTACATAAAAACGTTATAGGCGCGAATAATTAGCTGGTAGAAATGTGTCAAAAAGGACCCTGTTAGTTAAAATGCAGCACATATTTTCTTTTGTATCGGACTTGGAGAATGACTAAAAGAACATGACTATTCATCCAGGGTCCTTCAATTGGGTAAAGTTAGATCCATTGTATCTCCATCCCGTATCAATGGGTCATCAAGAAACATGTTAGAGTAACTATATTGATGCCTTGTAATACTTGCAAGGTAATTATACAACCATTGTTGTGCAGCTACACAATATTACTTAGGAGCAAAACCAATAGGTGAAAGGTAAAATGATAGCATTTAAACTAGCTTCAAGTGCCAAGATCCATGAAATTACTAAGTTCAGGTCGACTTTGGTAGCGGTGGAAATTTCAGGAGCTGATTGGCCTAACATTGCAAAACATATGATACTATTATAACCCCAGAGGTATTTTGCCAAGTGATACAGATTTAAAATGGTTGTATTACCATCATAATTTGATCAAACATTAATGGTTATTACTGGAAAAGGAACTAATAGATTGCATTGAGTATTATGGAGTTTGACGAAAAACTTTTCACTTTTGAGAACCCGGCACATGTACTCAGATTTAAGTAACGGTTCGAAAAATACCATGGAATGAAATACGACGATCTATCAAGAAGTCTATAAAACCAAGTGAATATCCTTTAGTTTGTTATTGTACTATATTGTGTCCTAAAAAGTATTAATCATTATTAAAGTTTAAGAGATACAGATCAAAATGAAATTCTCAGTGGTACTTTCTTTATTACCAGCTATTGCTTTAGCTCAATCATCATCACAATCTCAAGAAACTTCAACTATCTGGGTTGAAGCTGAAGAAACTGATGCTTATCAATGGGATGCGGATTGGTACAAAGATTATCCTATTCATTCATCATGTAACCGTACCAAATACAATCAATTAGTTCAAGCTTTCCAAGAAACTAAACAAGTTGCTGCTCATGCTCGTGATCATACTTTAAGATATTCAAACAATTCTGAAATTTATAGAAAATATTTTGGTAATGCTCCAAGTGGTGAAGTTGTTGGTTGGTTTTCAAATGTTGTTGATCAAGATAAAACTGGTTTATTATTCAGATGTGATAACCCAGATGGTAACTGTAACAATTCAGGTTGGGCTGGTCACTGGAGAGGTGAAAATGGTACTGATGAAACTGTTATTTGTGATTTAAGTTTCAATTCAAGATTATGGATTTCTCAATTATGTTCAAGAGGTTACAGAGTTTCTAAAGTTAAAGATTCAGTTTTCTGGGCTGGTGATTTATTACATAGAATTTGGCACACATCTATAATGGGTCAAAATGTTGTTGGTCATTATGCTGACACTTATGATGAGATTTTAGAATTAGCTTTAACTAATGAAGAAGAAGCTGTTAGAAATTCAGCAACATTGAGATACTATGCTTTAGAAGTTTACGCTTATGATATTGCAGTTCCAGGTGTTGGATGTAGTGGTGAAGATGAAGAAGAAGAGGAATCATCAGAACAACCAACTTCAAGTACCCAAGCTGAAGGTGGTACTGAATGTCATACCCATGCTGATGGTGAAACCCACTGTGTTTAGATTTTGATTTATTGATACTTCTTGTATGCTGATTTAATATAAAATAAGAATAATTGTTTCTAGATGAATTTGCCTGAATGAAGAATTCTATATATATTTACGTATACTATGAGATCTCGGGGATACTCGATCAAATTTACCCATTTAGGATTTGTTCAAGTACACGCAAAAAGAATCGAATCATTAACTATGTAGTATGAATTCGTAACTAGACGCTCAACACAACAACACAACAATCGCACACTCAAGCTAAGCCCAATAAAGTTCTAGCTAGCGAGGAGAACATACTAGTTCTATAATTGTTGATTGTTGAGCTAATCCAACCACGTATAAATAAACTAGATCCCATGATTGTTCAACGTCTAACTCAAATATCATTCCACATCACATATGCGTCACACGATAACGGTAGATACTGGCCATCAGGGGATAACAATTGTAATCGTATTTCATATAGCAATCATGAAATGTTCGAGTATATTGTACCACTAATAACGTGATACTTAATAGTTCAAACTTCGAGCTGTCAATATAATTATCCTTCTTCTACACATGACTACGTTGACACTCTCAGGGGTAAACGGGCTTTGAAGTTCGTACTAGTCAATCCAGCCAGTAGTAAGCTAGACGTAACTTGTCACACACAAGTCCGAGAATATCAACCTGCACAGCTACAATAAAACTGATCTGAACACAACAATAAAATCTTCAAACGTGCAAAAGGAATTACAAAAAATAAAACCAAATCTCAGTAGTATTTCTTTTAAATCTTTCCTTATATAATACAAATCTACGCTGCTTACATAACCCATGCGCCACCGCTTATCTAAACCGATTGAATTTTCCTGCGATTCTGTTGCGCGTACCGCCCAATTTCACAAATTTGTTGGGAGGTGTGTGTCCGCAACCACCCAAAATATCAAATCTGCGATTATGGTGTGTCAAAATTGTGAATAATTTCTAAAGCATTCAGAAAAATTCTTTTTATTTGATTCATTTATATATATATATATATTCAAATCAGATTCTTTGTTTAGTATTCAAATTTACTTTGGATTTACTATCAACTCCCATAGATCATAGAAAGCAAAGATGTCTGAGCATGAACTAGAATCCGTGGATGTGATGGCTGCTAATGTCATCGCAGCTGGTACAGATAAAAAAACTAGAAGAATTGTTAATGGTTTTGGAGGTATGATGGGTTCTAAAGAAATTACTTCACCACATTTCCTTGAAGAACAAAAAAAAGAGAAAGAAAGAGAAAATTTAAATAATATGTTGGCAAAAGATAAAGCTGAAAAGGCCAAATATTCAAAACAAAAACATATTTCTGAACAACCTTGGACTTTACAAAATTGGCATCAACATGTTAATTGGTTAAATTTTATATTAGTTGTTTTAATTCCATCAATTGGTTTATATTCAACAAAACATGTCCCATTAAAATTACCAACAGCTATAACTGCCGTTATTCTTTATGCTTTCGGTGGGTTATCAATTACAGCTGGTTACCATAGATTATGGTCTCATAAATCTTATAATGCTAAAGCTCCGGTACGTATTTTCTGGGCTTTATTTGGTGCTGCTGCCGTTGAAGGTTCAATCAAATGGTGGGGTCATTCTCATAGAATTCATCATAGATATACTGATACCCCAAGAGATCCATATGATGCTAATAGAGGTTTCTGGTATTCTCATATGGGTTGGATGTTGATGAAACCAAATCCAAAATATAAAGCAAGAGCTGATATTTCAGATTTAATTGATGATTGGGTTGTTAGAGTTCAACATCGTCATTATTTGTTCTTTATGTTATTCATGTCTTTTATTTTCCCAACTTTAGTTTGTGGTTATTTCTTTAATGATTATTTAGGTGGTTTCATTTATGCTGGTATTTTAAGAGCTTGTTTCATTCAACAAGCTACCTTCTGTGTTAACTCATTAGCTCATTGGATTGGTTCTCAACCATTCGATGATAGAAGAACTCCAAGAGATCATTTCTTAACTGCTTTAGTTACTTTTGGTGAAGGTTATCATAATTTCCATCATGAATTCCCATCAGATTATAGAAATGCTATTAAATGGTATCAATATGATCCAACTAAAGTTGTCATTTGGTTATGTTCAAAAGTTGGTTTAGCTTCAGATTTGAAAACTTTTTCACAAAATGCAATTGAACAAGGTCTTGTTCAACAACAACAAAAAAAATTAGATGCTCAAAGATCAAAATTAAATTGGGGTACACCATTATCTCATTTACCAATTTGGGATAGATCTGAATTTTTTGAAAAATCAAAAGATAAAAAAGGTCTTGTTATTATAAGTGGTATTGTTCATGATGTTGCAGGTTATATTTCAGAACATCCAGGTGGTCAAGCTTTATTAAAATCTTCAATTGGTAAAGATGCTACCAAAGCTTTCAATGGTGGTGTTTATTTACATTCAAATGCTGCACATAATTTATTAGCTACAATGAGAGTTGCAGTTATTAGAGATTCAGGTGCAAGTAATCAAACATTTGATCCAAGTGTTGGATTCAATAAAAAAGCTGAATAAATTAAAGAAACCTGGGGTTTCTATTCATGTACACTACAATTACAACAAATTACAAATGATTTAACGATAAAAGATCACAAAAAATACTTTATTTTTAAACACTTCTATTTATATTTTTATAATAATTTTTTACAATATAATGACATTTAGGTATACATCTTTTTTTTGGATTTTTTTTTTAAAAACTTTTCTTAAATATTAAGATCATGGATCTCTAAAACTGTTTCTTTCGACATATATTAGTTGATATATATATACATGATTTTGAATATGATTGATATGGGTGTTTTGATGTAGTCAATTTTATATTTATCATGAGTTCTGCATGCATATTGCTGATAATTTATATGACTATATGTTATACAGATTGCCAGTGTCAAGTTTCAACCTTAAGCTGTATGTCAGGATCTTTAGGTCGAACTAATATTGGCGGAAACTACGGATACTTCAAAGAATCGATATGTAGCTGCTTTTTGTATATTGTATACATGGTATATACATATTATCAGTCAGTACATGTGCGAATTGCTATTACTATAGCTTGCCACATGAGTACTAATAAAGCCAATTCAATTTATAATATGAACTGATTAATACAGACGTAACGTAGGAACATAGGCAAGGAACTGTTAAGATCTAACTATAGTGGAAGTTGATGTTGTTATCAATAAACTGTATATATATATCGTGATGGTGGTTACAGAACATTCAAGATGATATATTGAAGATGATAAAATCCAAGGTTATTTATAGATCTGAATGTTCTATGATCCGTTATATTACAATGACAAATATACTATAAGCTCATTTGTAATTAATATGGTAGAGACTACTACATACATTATCTTTGCTGTAGAACCGTCACTAAAAATTAATCACATATTGATATTTCACAGCTATTCTATAGGGGGCTGATTAATTATCTGTACTGATGCATGTTTGTGGGTGATTCACCATGATTTCACCTAAAGTATAAGCTTTGAACAGTTCAAACTTCACAGCAAGGACAGTACGTTTGTACAATGTCCTTAGGCCCAATTAAAGTTAGCATGTTTCGTTGGACTTCAAAACTTTATAAACAAGTTATCATGTAGTCTATTAAGTTGTTCCTTCCATGATCCATTATCAATTCACCATGTCCAGGCTCCAGAATCTAGATCGCTCTATATGATTCTCGCGACAATACGCTTTATCAGAAGGATCGATACATAAGATTGCAACAGAGTTTAAAATGCCATGGCTTATCCTCAAACCTGTTGTCTTTAATTAAAACCTAGATAAACGGAATAGTCTATCTTATAAATATCACTAAAACTAGACAATTCTTAAGGTTTATTTGCTAAAATTGGTGGGCACTAGAAAGTCAAAACTCGTAAAATCTCAATTGTTTCTCTGTGGAAAGTGAAATCCTGCGGGAGGAAATTCGGGGCACGTCAGCGCCTAAAAAATTAAAATCTCCTTTCCACTGCCAGAAATTTAAGCAATCAATGAAATTTTAAAACAAGGATTCCAAAATTGTTGATGTTTCCAATTAAATAAGGCTGCTTTCCCATTATTCTATTCATCAATTGAACAGTTGAAGTATACTTTTACAATATAGAACATCGGTGATAGCTATCCATCCTTCAAAGCACACAAACCTAGATACATTATAGATTAAGCGCTAGATAAAGCTTAGAGAGAGGTTGTTAACAATATTATAGAGGAAGGCAAAAGCAGTTGTAGTTGATATGGTTAGAAGATCTCAAAGTAGAGCAGATTTAGCTGGTCTAACTGCTGAAGAGAAAAGACTTGAAGAAGATAGAAAAAAGCAAAAGTACTGGAGAAGATGGGGTCCCTACATGTCGGAACGTCAATGGGTACGTTTATTTATGCAATAATGTTTGATACTATTAGATCAATACTAACAATTGATATAGGGTGTTGTTAGAGAAGATTATTCTTATGATGGTAATGTTTGGGAGAGTTTTACTTTTGATGATTCTCGTTCAAGAACTTATCGTTGGGGTGAAGATGGGTTAGCTGGTGTTTCTGATAATCATGGTTTATTGAATTTTTCAATTGCCTTATGGAATGAACAGGATGAGTTTTTAAAAGAAAAAGCTTTTGGTCTTGCAGGTCCTCAAGGTAATCATGGTGAAGATGTTAAAGAAGTTTATTATTATCTGGATAATACACCAACTCATTCTTACATGAAGTATCTTTACAAATATCCTCAAAACAAGTTTCCTTATGATGATCTTCGTAATACAAATGCAAATAGATCAAAAACTGAAAGAGAATATGAATTGGTTGATACAGGTATCTTTGATAATAATGAGTACTTTGATGTCGTCTTTGAAATGGCAAAGGATGATGATGAAGAATTATATTTCAGAATTACAGCTTATAATAGATCAGATAAACCAGCTCCACTACATATTTTACCTCAAGCAATTTTCAGAAATACTTGGGGTTGGAATAGAGATGATTATAAACCTCAATTATCAAAAGAAACTGAAAATTCTGTTTTGATTGATCATAAAAAATTTGGTAAAAGAAGATGGGTTTTCGCACCATCTCCAGGTTTAACTGAAGATCATCCTGATGTTGAAGCTCAATTATTGTTTACTGATAACGACTCAAACTTTAAAAAGTTATATGGTACAAAAAATGTTGCTGATTATACTAAAGATGCCTTCCATGAATATATTGTTGAAGAAAATGATAAATCTGTGAATCCAAAAGAAATTGGTACAAAAGCTGCTGCTTGGTTTTCATTCGATGAAGATGGTGGTGTTCCAGCTCATGATTATGTTACCATTCGTTATAAATTCACTGCAAAAGAAGCTGGTGTTTTCAATGAAGAAGCTTTTGATAACATTTTTTCACGTCGTGAAAATGAAGCTGATAATTTTTATTGGAGAATTACACCATTACCAATTTCTGATGAGTTACGTCAAATTCAACGTCAAGCTTTTGCAGGTTTATTATGGACAAAGCAATTTTATTATTTCATTCAAGAAGAATGGTATAAAGGTGATCCAATTGAGCCAAGGCCAGCTCCCGATCGTGCAAATGGTAGAAATAAAGAGTGGAAACATATGTACATTGATGATATTTTATCTTTGCCTGATAAATTTGAATATAATTTCTTTGCTTCATGGGATACTGCATTCCACTGTGTTCCAATTGCTCTAATTGATCCAGATTTTGCTAAAAGACAATTGGATATCTTTACAAGAGAATGGTATATGCATCCAAATGGTCAAATTCCTGCTTATGAATGGAATTTTGGTGATGTTAATCCTCCAGTTCATGCTTGGGCTACTTATAGAGTTTATAAATTGGAAAGAAAGATGTATGGTAGAACTGATAATGATTTCTTGGAACGTGTTTTCCAAAAATTGTTATTAAACTTCACTTGGTGGGTTAATAGAAAAGATTTTGATGGTAACAATGTCTTTGAAGGTGGGTTCTTAGGTCTTGATAATATTGGTGTTTTCAACAGATCAGAACCATTACCAACAGGTGGTAGATTAGAGCAAGCTGATTCAACTGGTTGGATGGCCTTCTTCACGTTACAAATGTTAAATATTGCCTTGGAATTAGCTAAGAATAGATCAGTTTATGAAGATATTGCTTCTAAGTTCTTTGAACATTTCTTGTTAATTTCTGATGCTATGACTTTTACTGGTTCAACTGATGAAAAGGAAGAAACCAAACAATCATTATGGAATGAGGATGATCAATTTTATTATGATGCCATTTCATGGGATGGAGGTTATAAACAACAAATTCCAATTAGATCATTAGTTGGGTTGATTCCATTATATGCTTCATTAACATTAGAACCACAATTATTAGAAAAATTCCCAAGTTTCAAAAAAAGATTGGATTGGTTCATTGAAAAAAGATCTGGTGTTGCTGAAAGAAATATTGCCAGTATGAGCCATAGAGGTGTTGGTGAAAGATTACTATTAGCATTGGTTGATAAAGATCGTTTACTCGCAATCTTGAAAAGATTATTGGATGAAAATGAATTTTTATCAGACTATGGTGTTAGATCATTATCAAAACATCATAAGGATAATCCATATTCTATCAATGTTCATGGTGTTGATTATCATGTTGGTTATTTACCAGGTGAATCCGATTCTGGTTTATTTGGTGGTAATTCAAATTGGAGAGGTCCAATTTGGTTCCCAGTCAATTTCTTAATTGTGGAAGCATTACAAAGATTCTTTTTGTATTATGGTCCTGAATTAAAAGTTGAATGTCCATCAGGTTCAGGTAATTTATTAAATTTAGCACAAGTTGCTGAATTTATTCAACATCGTTTGATCAAATTATTTACTCCTGATGAAAATACTGGTCAAAGAGCTTGTAATGGTGATGATATTATTGCAAGTAAGGATGAACATTTCCGTGATTTGGTTCCATTTTATGAATATTTTGATGGTGATACTGGTAGAGGTTTAGGTGCTTCACATCAATGTGGTTGGACTGGGTTAGTTGCTAAATTAATTCAAGATACTGGTATTACACTATATGGTAAATATTCAAAATCTAAAACTCCAGGTACTGAAACACCAACTGATTCAAATTCTTATTTCCCAAGACCTGGTCCTCATCCTGGTAAATTACAAAGACGTCGTTCTTCAAAATCATTAGTTGGTTTAACTGCTGATTTATTAGAACTAAGTGAAGAAGAAAGTAATGCTTTAGCAAGTACTCTACAACATAACAAATCTATTTCTTCAAGTGCTGCCTTATCTAGAGTTACAAGTAGAGGTGGTGCTGGTAATGATACTACTGATCAATCAGTTAAGAGTGGTTATGCTAGTGAAGATGACGATGATGAAAAGGAATTGATTGAACAAATCAAGAATGCTATTAGTAGATTCCATACAAATGATGAGGGTGAAGATGAAGGTGAAATCTCAAGTGATGAGTTTGAAGCACATTCATAAGATTTTATAACAAAAGTTAAGATTGTACAATAGATTAATTGCTATGTTTAATTATAAATTACTTTAATATATATAAAGATTCGATAAGTTTTTTTTACTGTCAATCATACAATTGATGTAGTACTAATATCCAATTAATTGAAACGTTGATCATTAGTTGATAATATATAAAAATACAAACCCAAAATGTACACAAAATCTAAAAACAAAACACTAGCCTGAATCACCAAAATTTACTAGCAATAACCAAAAAGATCAAAATGATTAAAACAGCAATGATTGAATAAGTTATAATTTTATTTGTTGCCATTCTTCTAGTCATACTTTTCAAAGTTTGAATACTTTTATCAACATAACCATCAGCTTCAAATAATGTATTTCTTGAATTTGTTAATTGTTCTCTTTGACTACGTAAATCCAACATTATATTTGAACCAATTTGTTCAGTTTCATTTGCAATTCTTGAAGAATCTTTTAATCTTTGAGATGTTCTTTCTAAAGCAGCATTTGATTGTAATAATTGAGAACGTTGTTGATCTCTTCCATTATTCTTTGAACCAAATAATTGTCTACGATCTTCATCATCTAAATATCTCTTTAATTCTTTTTTGATTTGTTCAACATCTGAACGATATGATCTGATTTTACTATTATATGAAGATCTGGCACTTGACTGTATGTTTTGAACTTCTAATGCTAATTGATCAAGCTAATAGGAGTTATCGTTAGTAACATTCTCCAAAATGATCCATGGTGCCACATAAAAACTTACAATTTCAATACATTCATCTGATGATTTTTCAACTGACTTTAATGCTTCATTTCTTTGCTCTGTCCTTTGGTTAGTATCTAGAATCACTTCAATTTATAACCAAAATTTAATTTGAACTTACCACCATCCAAATCACGGATTTGTGACAACTTTTGCTTTGCTTCATTATATGAGACTTGATAGTCTGTTTCATAAGTATTAAAAAGCTCTGAGTTAGCTGAATCTATAAGTCCTTCACTTGACATATCTGTATTAATGGTATTCTTTTTAATCACTAGGACCCTTTGTGCAACAAATAGAATCTATAAGATCTTGTGAGCTGCCCCCATAATCACATAACCCGTTGCAATCAAAAGCTGCCACTTTACCAAATATCGTATTGAAATCCGGTGGCTATGATCGCGAATTTTGAATTTGACTCACATGACTCACCTCGGAATTCATCAAGCTGATTACCCTGCTCGGATTTGGCAGTTGTAAAGTAATTCCAAAATTTATTTTTTTTTTTAAGCGGAAGGCTGCTTATCAAGCAGTATTGAAAAAATTAGATTATAATTGTTCAACTCTAACCTATTGTTTGTTGAGGTCTAGTGCAAAGATTGTTTTCAATGTTTTCAAGAAGTATTACTCGTGCTACTAGACTGGCATCCTTGAAAAGTCCTATATGGCATGCTTCCAAGTTAACTCAACTCCCAGTTCATAGATCACCATTGGCCAATGAACTGTCTCTCATTAGAAATTTCACAAGCACAACTATAACACAACATGGTCATATACACAAACCAAAACCAGGTGAAGAATTACATGTTACATTCATCACTAAAGAAGGAGAACAACTAGAGTATGAAGTCGCAGAAGGTGATTCCATTTTAGATATTGCACAACATTATAATTTAGATATGGAAGGTGCTTGTGGTGGTTCATGTGCATGTTCAACTTGTCATGTTATTGTTGATCCTGACTTCTATGATGAGATTCCTGAACCTGATGATGATGAAAATGATATGTTAGATTTAGCATTTGGTTTAACTGAAACTTCAAGATTGGGTTGTCAAGTGAAAATGACTAAAGAAATTGATGGTATACGAGTCGCATTACCTGCTATGACTCGTAACTTGTCATCATCAGATTTCTCATGATCAACTCAAAATTAAATATTTCAAAAATATCAAAGGCACATTTGGCTGTTCTGGTATTACACTGTACTATAGTTTGATGAAAATAATTGGTTGTTTATTGTGATGATACATAACTCATCGAAACAATTGATAATTTTAACGGAACAATGAGGATGTTTCACTGATCCAGAAATAATTGAATTTTCAAAGTGATCCTCTTATAATTTAATGGAAAAATATTTTACAAAATGTCAGATGGAATTTCTGGCAAGTTTCAAGCATCTTATACATAAGACTATTTATTAATATATTCTTGTACATTTCTGAATCAAATTTTTGATCTGTAGTTAGATTCGGTACATTAATGTGATATTGACTACAACTTAGCAGTTGATGGTAACTATAATAGATGAAATTATAGACTAGTGACAAAATCACCCAGATCTAGCAAATGTGTCATGTTAAGATTGCAAAATTAAAACCAAATTGATATAACTAGTGAAAATGTGACACCTCGATCTCCGTTCGGCTTTATATTTAATAATATAGCTATATGATCTGTAGGCCATAGATTCAAATTTATTAATTTAAACCGTCTCTGATCCATCGATATACATGGCTGCAGTAGGACTATTGAATCAATCTCAAGTACTATTTTCACTGTCTGTATGAAGAACGTCTGATTATACCTTTTAAAAGTTTTGTTGTCCTGGAGATGTATTATTTAAAATATATTGTATTATGTAATCCATAGTTAAGAAAATTTAATCAAATCGCGTATAATCAAAATTGTAAACAAAAACAATACAAAGAGGTAGCCTTCAGAAAGTGAATTAAAAGAAAACTTCAAGGTCCCACTCTTGTTATTATAGATATACCACTTGTCATTCAGCTATTCAATTATTGACTACACTCTGAAATTACACAAGCAACCAATTTTACACGCTAACATTCCATTATTCAACAATCGGCTTAAATATAGCTGTTTCATGATTGTTATAAAGACACTACAGGTTTCAAATTTATACATTTAATAACCTTATATAACAGGCATCATGTCGAATATACCTTTGAGTAATAAAAACCTCTCAGGTTCACCTCCCATTAAGAATAGGAAAGCTTTTAACAATATAACGAAAGAAGTTAATAATTCACCAAAGTATTCAAATCACACCAATATAGAAAGAAACTCATCCAAAAGAACTTCAATGAGGCTAGGTACATTAAGAAAGACAAGTATACCCACAAATATTAATGCTGAAACTATGAGCAAAATGAAAAGTCTATCACAAGCTGGAATGAATTTTGAAGCATCAAAAAGAACAAATATCAAATCAAGTAGACAAAGTAATATATTTGATAGTTCAAGTGCTCTTAGTGGCTCACTGAATGATCCTTTAAGTATAAGAAGACAGCAAGAAGCTTTAGAAAAAAATGAAAGACATGCCAATAGTTTAAGAGGTCAAATTGAAGAAAAGAGTCGCCAAATCCAAGAGATTAATGAAATTATTAAAGATTTAACAAGATCTAGAAACTCTTTAGTCAGACATGCTATAGACATAAAATCCAAGATCGATGATGCTGAAATATCAATAATTAATATAGATCATAAGATTGAAGCTTTAGAAAGAAGCGTTCAAAAAGATATACTGCATGAAGAACAAATGAATACAATAAGAATTAAAGAACAACAAAATATTCTTATACGAGAATTGGATGAATTTAAGGCTATTCTGGAGGAACAGCTTCAGCATGCTCATTCTTATCGAGATGATGAGTCTAAAGCTGAAATTGCAAAACTTGAAGAAGAATCAGTTCAATTATCTAATACTCTAAATTCATTGAACGAGGGAACTCAGGATAGGTTGAGGAAAGAAAAAGAAGTTTTGGACAAAGAATTAGAGAAAATACTAGCCGCTGAAGAAGCCAGATGTGAAGATATAACAAAAGCATTTGAAGAAAAATCTGTCAAACTACAGTCATCTCAGGAAATTTTGAATGATCTGAACTCCAAGTTATCAAATGTCAAAAGCAAGAAACAAGATCTCATTGAAAGGATAGATGAACAAACAAAGATACAAGAGAACTATAATGACAAATTTTCTGAACTTGAAAAACAACTACGTGAATTAAAATTGAAACATGACATCGTGGATGAAGAGCTTGCCGGTGTTACTGAAGTTCACGATTTAGCTACTGCAAGTTATAATGAATCATATAACAAAATTGATAAGGAATCAAAACTTAGAAGAAGAATCCAGAATACGATCCAAGATTTGAACAACAAGCTACGGGTTTATGCTAGAGTGCTCCCATCCTCTAATGACCAATCAAACTTTCAAATTTCACCAGCATGCGGTGAAGAGAAACAATCAATAAGCACCAAGACTAACTCAACATATTTGTTTGATAAAATCTTCAATAATGATTTTCTAGAGAATGATATATGTGATGAAATTGTTTGTTTGAATGAAAATAATTTGAACGGTGCTAATGTTTCAGTTCTTTTCACAGGATTTGAAGAATCATTATTATTTGATGAATTATCACAAAAGACTCTTGATGCTTTGATTCAAAGAGAAGAAAAATATAAATCTAAAAATTGGTATTTTGAATATGGTTTCAAATTTTTGTCAATAACAACTAATGGCGTTTTTGATCTTGTTACTGGTAAAGAATCAAATTTAAAATTAGAAAACAGAACCATTCATACAGATGCAGAATCTGTCAAATCATCAAACTTGAAATTAGCTGAAACTTCATCAGATGCCTCCATTTTGATAATTTTAACAGTTAATGGAACAAATGGTACAAAATCTTTCACATCACATTCATACTCCATGAACTTATCTCATATTGAATCATCAGATCTGATACTTCATGCCGTTAGCAAAATACGAGAAAACAAATTTTCAAGTTCAGAATTTACAGAATCACCAATGTATCAATTAGTTCACTTCCTTTATTCAAATACCAAATCACTTACTTTTATCAATTTAGTTAATGATGAAAATAAATCGGATGAAAACAAAAAACTATTAGAACTTGCATCATTTGTTAACGAAACAGATGCTATCCCTATAAAGAGAGTTTATAACACACCACTGCAGAAGTAATAGAATAATATAGGCTTTGTAATAATATTTGAAATTTCTACCCGTAATAAATCTAATATAGTAATACAAATCATTAATTAATTACAAAGCACCTAATGAAACCTACATACAATTTTTAATACAATAATAACTCCAAATGATGATATCCAAAATCAAATCAAACCCATTAAATCATGAACTTCCTAATGTGTCGAAAGAATATCATGGATAAGCCAGTTTAATTCATCTTTTGTACCAATATTTGCATCATTTGAAATACCAGCACCGATTGTTTTCCCATTAATTAATGGACTGTTATTATTTGATAAAGATTTATCGCCATTAATCAAGTTATTGGTTTCGCCTATCTCACTCTTTATTTTAGGTTCATTAGTATCCCCTCCTATTGTCTTTTGCTGTATTAATGGAGATGAAGTTGAATTTTCAGTTTTGGAATCATTACCATTCAATTTCAAAGTTTTGAAAACTTCTTCTCTTGGTTTTAAGATTGAATCTATGGCAGTTTTCTCCTCCACGTAAGTATCGTCATTCAATTGAACACCATTCAATCTGTAAATTGGTCCACTTGGTTCAACCAGATATGGGAAAAGTTCAAATGTATCAACCATATCTTCATTGGTTAAAGTGACTTTTTGTCTTTTTCTATTTTGTTCTCTTGGTTGTGTATTGCCTATGATATCATCTGAAGCATATTTTTGTTTTCTATAACGAACAGTATCTATAGCTTGTTCCACAATCCCTTTCAAATAATTTTCTAATCCGATATATACCAAATCAACAGCCCCTTTATCAACTGTACCTGTTAAACCATGTTCTCTAGCAATACCAAGCATCCTACTTCTTAGATTTTCATGATCTGGAAGAGAATAAGTTTCAGTGGATAATAAAGTCTGTATTCCATGACTAATATCTTGAGTCCATTCAACAGTGTTCCCTGTTAAATTTTTATCTTTATCATTAACATATGGAATTTTGGGAAGCAAAGATTGTCTTGTTAAAGTTAAAGCAGAATTTGCCATTTGTCTTTTACCAGATTCTCTGGTAATAGTCTTTATACGACGTCTTTCTCTTATTGGTAAATTCATTATATCTTTTTTCAGTTTTTCATACTGACTTGAAGCCTTAACACGACCATCTTTCTTTCTTTTATTTGACCCAATACCACCAAATCCTGAATTTGCAGATGCTGAATTTGGACCGTCTCTAAGAGCGTTTGCAAGATTTGCCAATAATAATTGATTATGCATACGGACCAATTTAGAATCTGTCAATAATTCTGACAGGACAGCCGTAAGTTCACCCCTAGAGAGTCTCCCTATAAGAAATGCACTAATTGTAGTTTGATATTTATCCCAGTTATTACCCATTTTCTTTTTGAAATCTTTCACCAATGTTTCAACTTCTATTCTCTTTGATAATGTATTTTTTGTACTTCCAGCATTTTTGGCATTTGATGAAGCCTCTATAGTATTCTGTTGTATAACTGGGGTTGAATTCACCGAAGAACCAATCGGTAGTGGTGATGCGACTTTAGCTGGTGATATTTCACTCATGATCTGAATAAATATTAACTATCTGGATGATTGATACTGAATGATGTATTGAAAGTAATATTTCTTTTAGAATTTGTCTTGATTTTAGTTTCTTGACCAAATAAGCTGAAGCCCTTAGCACTATGATTTTAATTGACTTGAAAACTTCTAGACTGACACGGTTTTCAACGACCAATATTCCAATAAATGACTTGATGCACGTTAATCCCACGAAAATAGTGTAAGCTAAACAATAACACACTGAATTGTAAATCTCTCTGGCTTCTTGGTATATCAAACGCTTAAACCTATCACCAAACCACGTCTATGTATTCTAACAGTTGATGCTTGTGTAAAGCTGATTTCAAACTGATGACTTGGACAACTTTTAAGATGTGTTTTCACCAATTATTCGGGCTCGCTACATTCTACTTGAGTGTTGATGCTTGATTTTTTCAACTCTGTGAACCAGATTTTTGAAGACAAAATTTCGCGGAATTGGTTTTTGTGTGAGGATGACCAGTGGCTTGTAACCATTTCCGAATAGGGAACGGATATATAACATATAACTACAGATTAATAGTAGTATCGAAGTATCTAATTGAATCGTCATGTATTGTATTGTATTCTTGAAACTTCAGCCTATTTCACTGGTGTTGAGTTCCAAACTCGACAGGTTTGGGTTGCTGTATCGTTTGGATGATGGGAAATGTCTATTAGAGCTGCTTCTCAGAGAATTAGATCTTAATTGTCCATTTGATCTATGTTTTGCAAAATAATCTTCATTATTAGTTGATTCATCATTTTTATCAAAATTCTTGAATAAATCTTGATCAATGTCATTGTACTGTTTATATGATGGTCTATCTGCGAACATATTACCAGTACTATACCTCTTCTCTGGTGAATATCTAGATGATTCTATCTTTTTATCCCCATACTTTTTATGTAACAGCTGATATGTGTCATCATTTTCATCTGAGTATGGAGCTTGTTGTGCATATCTATTTTGCTTATAATTATCCTTTGTAGTGTATTCTGGTATTATACTGATATTACGTGGTTCTTGTGATTTGGCTTTTTTCTCTAATTGACCTTCAAGATCTCTAATTCTTTCATAAGCTTTTCTCAACTTAGATTGGTATAGCTCTTCGTCATCTTTGAGCTTTGTCTCAAGCATGAAGTTCTTCTGGTTTAATTCAAACTTCTCACTTTTATGTTCCAGTTCTTGTTTCTCAATTTTATCCTCAAGATAATTGATCTTTCTTCTCAGCGTCGCTTCAAAATTTGATGAATTTGTTAATGTCCTTTTTAGATCATTAATTGTAGTGTCATTATCCAGAAATTTATTGTCTCTATCTTTAAGCTTTTTCGTCAACAGTTCATTATTCGTTTTTAAATAAAAGATTTCCTTCTGTAGTATTTGTATTCTTGAATCATCATTTGCTGTTTCTTTATATTTTCTCTTCAGTTCTTTGTATTTATCAACAAACTGATAATATGAATCATATAACTTCTTTGATTTTTTCAATTCTTGAATCAACTCTTGTCTAATCTCCAAATATTTTCCCTGGAAATCTTCTTCATTATTTTTCTGCAGTTTCAAATGACTAACATGTTTGGTAATATCATCAAGTTCTGCAATATTTTCATCCATTGAATCTAAAAGCATTTGTTCATCATACCTTAAGGTTTCTTTGTATCTTGGTGCTGCCATGGCAGACAGTCTTTCCCTATATGAACTTCTTGGTCTAGAGTTTCGGGTTATTGGAGGTTGCTGCTGTTGTTGTTGTTGTGAGGGGATTCTAAATGAAGGAATAGATTGGTTATTTTCGAATCGATTTAATATTGTATTTGATCTAGCTTTTTCAAAATTTCTATTAGCTGAGGAGCTCAATATATCATTTGAATCAAATGATGAGTTTTTAGTCACATATGGGCTTGGAAATTTACCTGGGTAAGTTTCTGGTAATGAAGTTTTCTTTTCTGTGAGATAATCATTGACATTGGGTATTGGTTTTAAAGGTTCATTGAGTTTTGGTAAGGCAGAATTGAATCTTGAATTTCTTTTCGGTGGTGATATATCAAATTTCTTTTTCTTGGTGAAAGTATTATATTCAGAATAATCATCAGGTAGTAGCTCATTCTCTTTGAAAAAATCAGTATCTCTTCTATTATGTATTGAACCATTATCATCAACAAATCTTTTTGGAATAGGTCTTTCACTAAAACTTGAAGATCTACTTCTAACTTTGAAATCTTCACCACCCCATGCAACATTTTTTCTGCTTGACATACTTAGTATTGTATCATCATTGGATCTACCAGCAATTGGTCTTGATGTAGTTTGTCCTATTCTATAATCATTTTGATATTGATTTATTTCATCTCTTTTATTCTTCATGTTTGCATATTTAGAAGAAGGGGTTTCTCTATTGAACACTGAATTAAATGCCCAAGAAGCTAGACCTGGAGTTGGTGGTGGTTGAGCTATCATCACATGTTAGTATTATATGTCCTCTAAATAATTTAATATGATAAAACATACCTATTGAAGCTCTAGTTTGGTCTCTTTTATCAGAACCCCAAAACATTTAACAAAAACACGAAACCTAGTTAAAGAATGTACGGTTTGAATTCCAAGTTTAGTTCGATTTTGTAAAGAATGATAACTTCACCTCTAAAACGCGAGTCTTTGGTTGATAATATTGTGAGATTAGCCTTCTTCTTTAAGAAACTTCACGCTTTTTGTTTTGTGTATAATTGTTAAAACTTTATCGCGTTTTCTATTAAAATGTAAACAAAGCGATTTCGTCTCGATCTGAATTCCGACTTAACATGTCATGTGACCCGATTGTTTCCTCGTATTTCCCTTTCTGGATCGTGCATTAGATCTCAGATCTGAATTTTTTAGTGTGAAAAGTTTGGATCAAAATTAAAAAGTTTTCAATAAAAATCAAGAGCTGGTAGCTTGAGCCTTGTAAGTTGTAGAGTCGTAGGGTTGGTGTTGTATGTATTATACTCACACTGGACTTTAATTGACCATATGTGTACCCTTATTGGGGTATAGCTATTAGTTAATGTAGTATATAGAACATTCGAACATTCCCAATTAAGTAGTTGATCAGCTCCAAAAGGGTAGTCTATTTTAACTACTTTAAGGTACCAGGGTATATCATGGTCGTGATTTGATTGAATTATACGTGATTTTATATATCCTATCAAGTCTAAATGTGTACAGTTTATGTGTGTACTTTGACATTTGTAGACCAGTTAATCAAATTAGTATGGTTTACTTTCCCCTGATGGTATATACGTCTTCCTGATTAGGCTTTCGTCAAGTTCAATGCGCGTCTTCAGACTTCAAGCGTGTTCAACAATTGTTTAAGGAAAAAGTTATGACTTAATTGAGCTGCTTTTGATATATTTGATAAACGCGTTAGCTAAATTTACATGACAAGTTCTTGAAGACTTGAACTGGTAAAGCATTTTTCTAGTTTGGGACGTACTGTGTTCAATTAAAGGTGTAACGTTTTCCAGATAATTTTTCGGTGGTGCATAGAGAATGTGTAGGAATGTGAGAATCCAAACCAATTGTATGAATTGATATTCAAAGCTATCACTAGGATGAATTAATCTAGGGTATATCCTTCATAGCCATGATTGTTATTTGTGTGGTATTCAGGAATCATTTTTAGATCAGCAGCTAGAAAACCTTGGATGGTGTTTAACCCTTATATATAGGTTTCTGTAGATGAGCTAAAAAGTTGGAAGCTGTTAAAAGTCAGTCATTCGACTTTACGTTCAAGGTTCTAATCTAATCAGTAATCGATTGTTCTGGAATCTAGGTAAAGCTCCATATTAAAAGCATTGTATGGTATATAAGCGTTTATACTTTATTTTCCCACTGCACTGAGTGCTATTGTTCAAGGAGTCAGGACTCAGGATTCAGCTTCAATCCTTGTCGTATTAATCACAACGAGTGATATAAGGACCGTATATATAAGCATTACCTGCACAATCACCTTCACTGTTCACCAAAAGACTCCTTCAAAGCTCAGACTCTCACCGTCTCACCAGTCTCCTGATTCTCCCTCTGAGCCTTTGTTATTTTGCTCTTGAAGATGAAAATTTCCAGTGCTCAAACTTCAAAGGTCAAAAAGATCGTCAAAGGAACAAAAATTTGTAGATTTAGGCGCGTCTCGAGCATTCCACAACCAATAAACATAAACAAAAACAAAGAAGCGACTAGTCCCTAGAACCTGTCCATATTGGTGCCATGGGGCCACCTTGGGGTAAAAATAGACGTAAAACACAGCTATACTATCGACAACACTATATCTTCAACAACTGGCCAGTTATAGCTCTCTAATGTTGTGTTCTGGTGTTGGATCTGCTGTCCTCCGCCTTGAACTCCGTGCCTTAAAATTAACATACCGGTATCTTGAAAAGTTAAAACCCGACACAAATAACGGCTTTGAGTACGTGGTGAAAATATTAAAGGTACCCTAGATACGTAGCTAACTTTTGGTGGAGGATACCAGTCTAGTCCCAGCTCCCAATTGAGCCCCAGGTGCCTTGGAAGTTAATAAGTTCAACGATAGTGCAGATTCCCTTTCAGTTCAATCGTCTGCTCCTCCCACAGCAGCGTACCTTTGATCAACACATTCATATTTTCAAATTTTGATAATATAAAGCTTTATCCATTTCCACATCTTCAAATATCATTGTTATCCTGTGTTTAGAGCTCCATTCACTGACGTTTGTTCCATCACAAGAAAGACTTCAGCGAAACAATCCCTCTCATTCATATCATCATTCATTAAAGTCATAATACACTAGAAACTTTTCAACTCATAATCTGAAAATTCTTGACTATACCATATTCTTTCAAATTCCCAATCATTACATGCTGAAATTATAGAATCATAGAATAAACAAATACAATACAAATCATCAAAGCAATACATTCATTAACAACGCTTTCCCTCATCATATAATCCAAGTGTCATTCGTTCATTACAAGTTCCACATATACCACACTCATTCCCAAATATATATATATAACATTCCACAATGGCTTTAGGTCTCAGAGTCACTGCAACCCAAAAAGAATATCCATTCGAATTATCAACAAATGAGCTTTTAGCTCATAAGCTATTCCTTCAAGATTATAAAGAAGAAATTTCACAATCAATGTACGATACTGCTCAAATTTACAAACCAGATTTAAACCTAATTAATCAACAACCAGAATTAAAACCATACCTTAGAACTAATTTATTAGAATTCTTATTGAAAATTTCAATAAAGACAAAAGTTACAACTGGTATTTTTTATCAAAGTGTTAGAATTTTTGATAGATATTGTTCCAAAAGAATTGTTTTAAAAGATCAAGTACAATTGGTCCTAGTCACATGTCTATGGTTAAGTGCTAAAACTTATGGTGGTTGTAATCATATCATTAATAACACAAATGTCCCAACTGGTGGTAGATTCCAAGGTCCAAATCCAAGATCAAGAATCCCAAGATTATCAGAATTGGCTCAACTTTGTGGTAAAAATTCATATGATCATTCATTGATATTTGATGAAAATATGATTATTCAAATGGAAAGACATATCTTGAATACATTAAACTGGGATGTTTGTGAACCACAATTAAACAATTGGTTAATGAATTTTTATGAAAATAATTATATTCAGTTTGAAAATTTACCAGAATTTAAAACGAAATGTGATATCATCAATTTGAAAAAATTCCTTGCAGAAATTTCAATCTTTGAACAAAAATTAATTAAATTACATCCTTCACAATTATCATACATCATTTTCCAAATCCTTGGTGATTATTTCCATGAAACTTTTGAATCTGATTTATTATTCCCAATCAATATGTCAACTGATCAAATTTCTTATTATAAAAACTTAATCTTGGATAAAATCTTAACAACCTCAGATTCAATCTTAAACCATTATTTCCAACAACAAGGTATAAGACAATTCTATAATAACTTATTAACACTATTGATAAGATCAGATTCATCATCAACAATTTACAAAACTCCATCAAAATCATCATCAATCTCATCATTTTCAATTGCAACACCTCCATCTTATTCACCAAATTTTACAAAAAAACCAATGTTACCAACACCTCCAACTTCAAGAAGAGGTAGTCCTGCAGGAGTTTTTATTGATCATAATAATAAATTGAAAATCATGAATAACCCTGGTTTTTCACCACCATTAACACCTGTTGATCAGTTATAATGAATTTTAATACCCAATTTAATAATACAAATATAATATTTTGTTAATGAAAAGAAAAATCAATTATCAAGATTTGAGATGTTTTGTTATAAAAGATGTCACTTTATCCAACCAATACGTTATTTACCCAAATAGAAAATTTTTCAAGTTTTTCAAATCACATTATCCATTAAAGTTTAATGGATTCATTTATACCATTGTTTATTCATCATTTTGATCATTTATTAATTCATCATAGTTATGTACATCACCAAAAAGAAAAAAAAATTAAAAAAGTCATGATTGTTTTTTATTTTATTTATGTGTTTATTTTTATTTTTGTTGTGTTTTTCGGTTCTTTATATAGTTTCTAATTTGAGTATACGGTTTATTAGGGGTTGTTTTAATTAGTTTGTAGTCAACAAAAAACTTTATACAGAATTTGAACGAAATTATGGTATCACTTGTAAATTATGTACTCTTTTTTGAAGTAACTTATATAAATAAAGTTTATATAGATTCTAGAAACAATTACATGTATCTATTATGCTGATATGGAAGGTTCTCCTTTCGAAAATTGATTTAAACTTCTTCTTGAATATCATGAATACTGTGGGAAATGATTGATCTGACTTCATTGGCATCATTATTAGCATAATTAACTTCAGCTAAAGCTTCCTTAATACTTTCTTCGATAATATCGTCCCAATCTGAATTGACAACTGTGTATGTTTGTAATAGTGATGCAACCAACAACGCAATACACATACCACACCATAAACCAAATAATCTTAGCCCTGCGACAAAAGCTAAAGTGAACCCAATTGGTAAGGCAATCAAATAATATGCAACTAATGAAAGATAAGCTGCTAGTTTTTGACGACCTTGACCTCTTAAAATACCACCTGTAACAGCTGCTAAACTATCATTGATTTGATATGCAGCAGCTAATGGAATAATTTTGGATGATAATTCAATAACTTCTGCATCACTTGTGAACAATTGAACAACTTGAGATCTGAAAGTTGTTAGTAAAGCACCAGTGAAAGAACCAACGATGATTGATGCAATGATTGCAGCATTAGATGCTGTGACTGATGATTTTTTTGATGCTGCACCAATAAAATTGGCGATTCTAGTTGAAGCTGCAATACTGATAGCAAATGGAACTTGGTACAATAAGACACAAATGGTAGCGATAACAGATTGAGATGCTAAATAGACAGTACCAAATTTAGCAGTTGATAAAGTGATCAATTCAAAAGCTAACCATTCACTGATAACACCAATACAACCATTATATGATAATGTTAACATTTTACCCCAGTTTTTCAAACCATCTTTAGTAAATCCACACCAACATTGATAACCATCAACAAAATAGGTGTATAAAAATAACAAAATTGCCATAACATAGTTTGTAATAACAATAGCAATTGGTGCCCCGATGAAACCTAATCCAATTCTTTCATCCCAAACTAACAAATAATTTAAGACAGCATTGAATGGAGCTGCAAATAAAATAACATACGTTGATGCATGGAAAATGTTTTGACTTTGCAAATAATGTTTACCATTTTCAAAAAGAATGAAACCTGGTAAACCTAATGCTAATGTGGCTAAATATGTTGACGCAAGGTCAACTAAATATGGATCATCCACTAGTAATGTTAAAATTGGATGTGATAAGAAGATCCAAACACCTGCAACTGGAATGAATAATAATAATAAAAATATGGTACATCTTAAAAAGTGTAAACCAACTGATCTATAATCTTTACGACCGAATGCTTGGGCACATAAAGTATCCAATGAAGTTGATGTACCTTGGAATAGACAATACCCTGTTATATTCGCCGTCATACCAGCTAATGAAACAGCAGCCAATTCTGTACTACCTATTCTACCAACACTGAAAACAGAAGCGACATTTAAAGAGTATTGTAATAAAAATGTAATAATTAATGGAACAGAATATTTGGCTAAAATTTTACCTTCTTCACCTAATGTTGTATCAACTTCAGGAACAAACCCAGTACTGATAACATGTTTGATTGTACTATGTGATCTCATTCTTTTCAAAGTGGCCAAAGATGCACGTCTTGAAGGAACAAAATCATTCCCAGCTGAATATGACTCTAATAATCCTTGTTGTTCATGAGCAGTGTTGAATGCAGGATTTCTCAAATTTTGAGATAATGTCGAGATCGTTGGTCTCAGTCCACCTGGTGTTGACCCGTATAGGCCTTGATGATTTGCATCGTGTGGGTCAATTTCATCCTCTTGATCACTTTGGAATCCGCTAATTGTTGAAGCATTATCATGATAATTTGCTGGACGAAATAAATCCAGAATATTACCTGCACCAATGGATGAAGAATGAACCGAGTTTCTTCTTGAAGATACCGATAATAATTGTTCGATAGGTGGAATATCAGAGTATGGCCCTGGTCCAGATGCGAAAATTTGTTCACTGGCCATTGGTTTGATTATTGAATTTAAGGGATGTTGATAGTGACTTGTTTCTTTTGATTATGTCTCGTAGATTTGAAAGAAAAGTGAAATCCCACTGCGAAGAAAAGCTGATGAAGAAAAGATTTGGGGATTATATATAGCTCCTTGATAAACAATTATAAAGATATAATCTCCTCCTTATCTTTTAATCTTTGGATGGTTTCTGGATGGTTTTGTTTGTGTTTTTGCAGTTGTTATGTTTGGGATTTTGTTGTTTACATAAAAAAAGCACTTTCACGCATGAAATTGGCAGATACGTTTCGCGCCAGGCACGAAAAAATTGCCATATCGGGTAAAAACCAAAACATTACGAAAAATACGAAATCAAATTGGGAAACTGATATCTCTATTAATTATTAATATATTAAATATTACTGATATCGAAAATTTACAATTCTACTGATTATGGGTTCAAAATTTGAAAGATATTACTTTGGTCAGAGAGATACTTCCTCTAGTTCAAATCCACAGTCTATACATCTTCTTTTCACTACTTCTAAGCCATCCTCGTTTGTTCCACCTTGAAGAGTCGTGGACCATTCATGTCTATGATCATTAAACTTACCATCACGTAGTCTTCTATTGTATTCTTCAGCTCTAGTTTTTTTTCTCATCTCTTTCATCTTTTTTTCATATTTCTGATCTCTTCTTTTAACTTTGAATTCTTCACGTCTTTGCCATTCTGCGTCTAACCCTTCTGGTCCTCCCCATTTTTTGAACGCAAATTCTTCAACTTGATACCTTAAATATAATTGCATCCTATTGAAAGTTCCATGTGGATTAGGTTTCTCCATATGTGGCAATATTGATTCATCTCTTAGTTCTGGATCAGTGAGGAAATAATCCTCACGAGATTCTGTCTTCGTCAAAAGTGAATACTTATCAGGTATGTTCTTCTCACATCTTTTGCAAACACGACATTTGAAATGTTCAAACAGTTTCATATTAAGTTCAAATGAACCACATTCAAAACATTTTGGCGCATTTTCCATATCCACAGGTGGTGGTAAGTCTCTAACAATTCTTTGTTCCTCTTTCCATTCATCAAATGTTTTTTCTTCCTTATTGCTAGTATTTGGATCATCAGCAATAAACCCACCTTTAGAGTCCTTCATAGTTGATAAGTCATATTCAATATAAGATGATTTTTGTATGGAAGGTCGTATCTTATCGAATGATTTTGTTGCAACAGCACCAGTAGAACTTGAACTTCCTGGTAACTCTTTTCCTAATGAAGGATTTGTACCACTTGATGCATCTCTAAAATTTTGTTGCTTCTCTTTGATCTTCTCTAGAGCTTTCTTCCTATTAGCCTCTATTTTCTTCTTTTGTTCTTCACTGAGCTTGATAGCACTAGTGAGTCTTTCTGATGAGCCTGGTGTACTTGAGTCTGGTTTAGTTATTCTATTTGTAATATGATTTGTAGAAAAGCCCTTTTGCTTTAATCTCTCAAGTGCTTTTCTTCTATTCTCATCCTAAAGCAATGATAAGTTAGTTTTATGTGGTAATCTTGAAAGGAGTCATACACACTATCCTCTGTTGTTGTTCTGGAGTTAATCCCATGGCGTATACTTGTAAGTTGTATGTCAACTTGAAGTAGCATGTTTGTTACGGACTTCTATGAATTTTTGCCATCAAATTTATATATCGGATTTAAAATTTTGATGAATAAAGACTAAATTTTTTTGATGATTTGACCTAACTATATGATAACCTTACTTTACTCAGTTGAGATAATGGAATTCCTGAACATTCATGTTCTGAGATTCCAGTTATCAATTCAAAGCCATTACAGAGCTCAGATGGATACATGAAGTTATAATCAACCAGCTGTTTGTACACTGATCAATTTAGTATTATATAATTGAATTGAATTAATATATTCACCATATTTCTTGAAAGGCCAAGGATATCGACAAATAAATTTGGTCCTGCTGCAGCACTATCTTTTAACCTATTTATAAATAGAAATAGAGGCTTATTAGTTGTAATATTACAAATTTCAAATCAAACTGGTTATAAGATCAATATAAAATATTGTAATATAGTAATATATATAATAATATTACCTCAGGCTTCGAGTCTTCGACTATACTGAAAGTTAAGTATACTGAATACGTGGTCTTGTTTTGAATGTTTTGCGGTTGGCTTAAACTTTAGATTACCATGCTATTAACATATATTAACATTGAGCATTTCCAACATTTCAATATAATTCTGTAATCATGAAACACCGTAAGTGTTTTTTATGGCTTCCCCCAGTTGACAATTATGTCACTGTGTCACTGTATTATTAATTACTCTGATTTGTTAACATGCTCCTCGCTTATAAAGGATTGTATATTACTTACCCAACTCCACAGTAATTTCATTTTATTAGATGGTCATGCACATGCTATAGTATTTATGTTTTAAGTAACTTAACCCTGGAACGCTAAGATCACTAGTACTTGAATACTTGTAGTAGCTCATGGGTCGTGAGTCGTGACTCGTTACACAATACACAGTACACAGTACACAATGCACATCACTCGACTATCATTGGATCTAAATCTGGAAAAATTGTATGGATTTGCTTATAAATTATCTAGAAAACATTGATCTACCTCAGATCTATTTTAAGTCAGCCGGACTATAGTAGTACTATATTTGTTAATTCAAGAATACAAGTACGCAGTTATAATTAATTAAGAGTTAAGTTTTGTCGAACAAGCTTAGTTGTTGAATTGAGAAGCTCTTTTAATAATGTTAGCGTCTGTATATCAGCGAATACACAACAGGTCGGATATGAAATCTGAATTATTAAGTTGTACTTCAGTTGACCCCAGTTAGTTTGGGCTAATTTTCTTCTCTATCTGCAATGGTTTGAAGTTTGAGCTTGGAACTTTGGAACTTGGAAGCCCAAATCCTATACGTTCATAGTGTGGAAATGATGTAATCTCGCATTCAACCACGTAGATTTAAAGTTAATTTTAGAATTTGGCATATAGTTAATCTTGGTAGCGAACACCGGGCATAAATTATAATACACTAGAAACTTCAAGGGTTCTCTGAAATACCTAGAACAACAGTGATCTACAACTGATCAAAAATAGCTTCAGAGATCTGTGAGTAAGCTTAATGTAATATAAATAAATGGTTATTTATAGTTTTAACTTCAAGTAAAGATCAGGTATATAAAGACCTAACATTCCCTGGTTTTCAAGATCTAATCACACAGGTTAATTATCATAACAAACAATATTATCAACGAATAACACTAAATACATTATTACACAATGCAATTCAAAACCTTAATCGCTACTGCTGCTTCATTAATCGCTTTTGTCAACGCAGAAGCTGCTCAAAACTATGTTCAATTCTATGCTGAATCTGATATCAAGGAAATCAACGGCAAAGGTTTATCATCAATCCATGAAGGAGCTGCTTTGAACTACTTTTTCTTGGGAGAAGATCCAGAAATCTTGGACTATAACCCTGAAACTGGTGCCATTTCATCCTCATTGAACACTGGTGATGGTCAAAGTATTGACTTAGCTTTTGAAGCTAGTGTTGGGAGCCGTTTCCCAACTTTACAAGTAACTGCTGGTGCTCAAACCGCTACCAGTTGGACATTTGAAGATGGTTATTTGAAAGGTAATGGTTCTCAAAACTTTTTCGTTGCTAAAAACACTAGTGATCCATACAGATATTCTGAAAAATCTTATCAAGTTGCTTTATTCCCAGAAGGTGCTTCAACTTCAGGTTTTGTTGATGTTCATCCAATTAAAATCAAAGTCACTCAATCTGCAGTCTTATAAGTTGTTGACTACAAGTGCAAGAGTTGTTAATTCCTAATGTGGGAATCATACTCTTAAATTTATTATAACATATCCCTTTAATGCATATTTATGATCTTCTATGATACTAATTAAGAAAAGTTTATACGTAAAGTTCTAAAATTCGATTTCATGAGCTGTCACTGTAACCTAAATTGATCATTTAATTGTTTCAATCAATCGACATCCACCTCTTTCAAAAAATATTACAAAACCACAGCTTATTATCTCACCATCCTAATGGGAAATGTCTTTTAGAAGCTAGTCATCTCAAAATATAAATTATTTATATAATTATTTTGGTTATGCTGCTTATATAATAAATTTCAGTAAATAACCCGGAATTATTTTGAAAGGATAATATGAGCTCAAAACAATTGGATTTTGAGATTTTGACATTGATACTGGTGGATGGACTTAATATGAGTCTGATGAACGTGTTAAATGTGCATTTGGAGCTAAAAAAATTTTGAACTTTTTGAGTCTTATGTTTTTTAAGTTTATAACTAAGATTAAAAGGTATACCAACTTTTTTATTTAATTTTAATTAATTTAAATATTTTAGATATTTAGCTTATAATAAACCAATATAGCGACTTAACAGCATAATAAATATTAACATCCCATCAGAAAGTTACTTTAGTAATATAAATCAGCTGTAATATGCATTATTAATTAATTAAAATGATTGCTGACATAAGCAGATCATCAATATAGACTATATATTATATTGCAGTGCATTACGAGGCGTACTTTAGTGCCAAAGTACCTTCAAATAACCAGTGTATCCTATTAAGTATGAATACTTGTAGCTTCTGAAAACATCCAATAAACTACCTATGGACCTCAAACATAACGTAATTAGCTCTATAACTATACGTAGCACTTAAAAATTATAGAGACTCATATATCACCTGTGATCAAATATAAGCTCATATTTCATGAAACCATATATTAATAGTTTTCAGTAAACAAAAGGAACGATAATATCATAAAAATAGTGTTCAGCCACTTTTGGCTACCAGTATAATTGTAAGTTATGTCACATATGTATCTTAATGTCCCAATGTCACAATTTCCGGTTAAGGCAATCGGGTTCTAAAGAACAAGAGAAAAAGGCAAAGTCGATGGATGGCGCCATAATATTTTTTGATAAATAAACTTTTAGATGATCTGGAACTTTTCGAAGTACTGTAACCTGTTTACTTTGTTGATTATAATTTTCAATTAATTTATTATTACTTCGACGGTAAAGTCAGATGTTGACTGCATATTTCATTTTAGCCGTGCGATATAAAGAGAACCTTATACTCAAGTATCAATCTAGCCAACTGAATTGTATTATTTGTTGTTCCGTATACATTCTAAAATACATATCAGTATTTATGCTTGATGAGAATGATGATTAATACTCAGCGACAAAACAACATGTAAGCCATACTCTGAATCATTGGGAGATCATTTTAGTATCTGTAGGTAGGATAGTTAGAAAACTCATTAGCCTATTAGAACATAGACTTTCAATTCCCAAAGATGAAGATAAAATAAAGTGAACTCTAAAAATATGGCAATTATCATCCATTAAAGTTTTGAGTTCATTGAAAACCTTAAACTGGTCACCCCATCTCGTTTCAGCTCTCAAATAGTTCAAATGAAAGGTATTTAAAGAGATGATGTTCTCAAGAAATAAATGATCCAGCTATTCATTTTCAGTTAATTATAAATTATATTAACAAAAATAATATTACAATGAAATTATCAACTGTTTTAACTTTAGCTGTTTCAATTATTGGTTATGCCTCTGCAGCACCAGCTCCATTTACTCCAGACCCTGTCAACAATGTTCAATTCTTTGTTGAATCAGAAAACCCTAATGTCCAAGGCAAGAGTTTACACCATCGTCATGAAGGTGCTGCCGTTGACTTTGTTTTCTTAGGTGATGCTCCAGCAACTTTCAAGTACGATTATAAGACTGATGTTATCACTGCTGATGTTGGTACTGAATATCCACTTTATTTCAGTGTTTTAAGTGGAGTTGAATTTCCAACTTTACAAGTTTCTGCTGCTTCAAGTTACTATACTAAATGGGCTGTTGAAGATGGTTATTTGACTGGTAATGGATCATCAAACTTTATTGCGGCTAAAAATACAGGTGACCCATACAACTATTCTAAAGATAGTTTCCAAGTCGCATTATTCCCAGAAGGTGGTATACCAGGACGTTACGTTACAGATGTTACAGACGTGAAAATCAAAGTTGTCTATGTTTAATCTCAATAAGTTTTAGACTTGTTGTCTTTAAGCCCGTGTGATAACATACAATACACATGTATACTAATTTCCAAGCGAAAAAATAAACTGTAGGAACTCTAATACGTAATTAATCGTAAATAAACCAACGTCATTAATTTAATAAGTAGGAAGCACAGAGAAAATTATCAAAATGCGTCCATAGTATAATCATGTTCAATACCAGGGGTAACACTTGTAATGAACTTCAAAAATATAATCAAGTATTGATCTACTCTAACAATATCTTCCTCTTGAACATCATCTTCATCAAGTTGTTCCCATTCTTCTTCATCTTTACTATCGGCTAGACCCAATTTACCAACCCCTTTAACTAAATCCTGTTCAGAAGACGATTCTTTTTCTTTCTCTTGTGATTTGTTTCTTTTAGCAGCTTGTACGGCTCTCCCAATCAAGACTTTCATAACAGCTGCATGTCGACATGGATGAATTGAAACAGTAGTAGTATCATCTAAGAATGGAGCCTTCTCAATAGTAACAGTTTTGGATCTGTAATCTGCAGTAATATCCTCAAACATTTGATCTGGTGTTAATGGTGTACCGTTTGAATCATAACCGATTAAATACATTCTTGGAACTCTATACGCAGTTGAATAATGGATATATAGATCATATGATCTTTTATTTGGATTGTTGTTAGCTGTTACAGCCGCAGAATCATCATCATCATCATCTTCTTCTGCATTTTCATCTATCAAATCATCAATTTCCTCAATATCTTCCTCCTTATTCTGTTTATTATCATCAACCTTACTAGTTTCTGTGGTACTTTTAGCAGCTGGAACAGTGGTTTTAGTCCATCCATCTTCATCAACTTCCTCCTCTTCTAGCGTTTCATTAACACCTAGATATTCAGCAGCCCTCACATAAGATGGAACTCTTCTTGTAACTAGAAACTGTTTGTCATCAGGTAAAAAGTCTCTTTTCTTACTAGCAGGAGCAGGGGACCATTGCCATGTTGGAAATTTATATGTTAAATAATCACCAGCGGCAACGAATTCTTCAGGTGTGATCTCACCAGTTTGTTTGAAAGTAGATGTATGATATGCTGGTGTCAAATACTCTCTCCAGGAATTGAAAGCTGATCTGATCATGGTAGTTGTTAGCTTAAAGTTGTGTATGTGTATGTGTAGAAGTAGATGTGGCAAATGAAGCTTTAAATTGTGAGAATAAGGGAGCTGTACCCAAGAATACCAATAATTTGTACGTTAGTGTGATCTGTAGTGTCTGTAAAATAGAATTAACCAATAATGAAATCTCAAATATCAAATTAGTTGTTGATTTCTTGTTTGATGCTCTTTTGCTTTCTGTGGAGGTTGGAAGCTCCATTGATAAGACGTTAGTTTTTGATTTCCATTAAAGTGTCAAAAAAGCTGCGAATTCTAAGCTACATAATCTGGTGTCTTTCAAATTTCTACGCTGGGCAGAAGCTAGACAGGAGTTAGGCAGAAGTTACTAGACAGCCCAAGGCCACGGGCACAGGCTCAAGTAGACACTAGCCAGGCCCCGTTCCGCATCACCAAAAAGAAAAGTTAGATGGGTTTAAATGAAAGTTAAAATGGTAAAATTTATGATGGTTACACAAAACTACAAAACTACAAAACACAAAAACAATTCACTATAGAGAATTCAATATCCCCATTCAATGGCTATAAAGAAAAGGGCTAACAAGATCTCGAAGCAGAAGAAGGAGGAAAATGCTAAGAACGATGTTATAGAGGTTTCAGAGGTGGAGACGGATGTTCTTGAAACAAGTACTGATGATGATCAAAGCAAACACGTAAAGAAACATAAAACATCTAAGAAAAAGGTCAAAGAATCCAAAAGGATAGTGTTCTTACTTGGTGCATTTGTTGGTATTTTAATTGCGCTTTATTTCGGTGCTAAACAGAACGGAAACACAGATTTTGATAAATTGGTGAATTTTGAAAGTCTACAAGATTATTTAGATGATTGGAAAGAAGTATTACCAAGTGGTTTACAAAATGTTTTGAGTGAATTCAATGAAAAATCACCAGGCGAAGGTAAAGATTTCAGTGAAGATTTTGCTGTAGGCAAGGCTATGAAACTTGAAAATGGACTAGAAGCCAAATACCCAGTTGTTATGATACCAGGTGTCATTTCTACTGGTATTGAATCATGGGGTCTTGAAGGTACTAAGGAATGCCCATCACAACATCATTTTAGAAAAAGGTTATGGGGATCTATGTATATGTTGAGAACCATGTTTTTAGACAAGGCTTGCTGGCTTAAACATATTATGCTTGATGAAGAAACTGGATTGGATCCACCAGGTATCAAGTTAAGAGCTGCCCAGGGTTTTGAATCTGCAGATTTCTTCATGGCTGGATATTGGATTTGGAACAAAATTTTACAAAATTTAGCTGCTATTGGCTATGAACCAAATAAGATGGTAACAGCTTCTTATGATTGGAGATTGTCATACTTGGATTTAGAAAGAAGGGACCAGTATTTTTCAAGATTACAACAACAATGTGAATTAAGACTTGCTACAACTGGCGAAAAATCTGTTTTGGTTGGTCATTCTATGGGATCTCAGATTGCATTTTATTTCATGAAATGGGTTGAAGCTGAAGGAAATCACTTTGGTAATGGTGGCAGAGATTGGGTTAATAAGCATATAGCTGCGTTCATTGATATTTCTGGATCTGTACTAGGTGCACCAAAGGCAATCCCAGCTTTGATATCCGGTGAAATGAAAGATACTGTTCAATTGAACACATTAGCTGTTTATGGATTAGAAAAATTCTTTTCCAGAAGAGAAAGGTTGGATATGTTAAGAACTTTTGGAGGTGTTGCTAGTATGCTTCCAAAAGGTGGTGATTTGATATGGGGTAACTTGGAAGGCTCAATTGAAGACAGTCAACAAAATAATAGCGATACTTTTGGTAATTTCATCAGATTTGAAAAAGAGGTTGGTACCTTTTCATCCAAAAATTTAACAATGGCCGATAGTATTGATTTTGTTTTAGATAATTCACCAGAGTGGTTCAATAGAAGAACTAGAGAACATTATTCATATGGTGTTGCTTCAACACCGCAAGAATTGAAAGAAAATGAAAAAATGTTCAATAAATGGTCAAACCCACTCGAAGTTCCTTTACCAAATGCTCCAGATTTGAAAGTCTATTGCTTTTACGGTGTTGGTAATCCTACTGAAAGAGCCTATGCCTTCCAAGAAGAAGAAAATAAAGATTTATCTAAATTGAACGTTTCTATTGTTTTGAATGGGGAGAAACCAAGCGTCTTCTTTACTGATGGTGATGGTACTATCCCGGTTTTAACTCATGCTATGTGTCATAAGTGGAAAACTTCACCAAATTACAACCCTGGTAATTCACAAGTCAAGATTGTTGAAATGAAACATGATCCTGATAGATTTGATATTAGAGGAGGTGCTAAAACAGCAGAACATGTTGATATACTAGGTAGTGCAGAATTGAATGAATTAGTTTTGAAGGTTGCAAGTGGCCGTGATGACTTAATTACAGAAAGAGTTATCACAAATATGACTGAATGGGTTGCTAATATGGATTTTGGATTTGAATAATAATGATATAGAATTAAAGATTAAAAAGTCGTTACGCGTTTTGAAAAGCTAAAAATATCAAGGTGATATACAGTTTAATATATAGAATATGTTTGTTGATCAAGTTTCCAAAAATGCCATTCAGGCGATAAGATCTGTAGGCGATGATTGATTATCTTAATTTATATTACTGTATCAATTTTCCATATGAAGTTTTCATAAAAAGTTGTTTAACAGCCTTCTTGGAGTTCAAATTATACTCTTGACTCTTGTGTTTCCAGTGTCCAGGGACCAGGGTCCAGTAGTAAGTACTAAGTAGTTACTGGTAAGTGGTGAGCAGTGAGCAGTGAGCACCCACATCAAACACCAAGCTTGAAGCCATGTAAACATTCTCGATTATTGGTGCGCGCTGGAAACATTTGTATTGTTTATAATGCATGAGCCTGTAAATACGCGTATCGTGACGGTGAATTATTTTAGATTCTTGCAAGATGACAGTATAAGAGTACTATAAGTTCAATGGTTCACGGTTTTTTAAAATCACGTCTCGCTTGTATTTTTGACGCAGTTCTGTAGTAGCTGTGGGTTACAATAAGACGTAACCATGACAAAATCTCATCCATTTGAAAAAAATACAAGCGAGATTGATTATTATTTTTAAATTTTAAAGGAAGGAGAGACAGCTCAACCAGTTTAATACTTGGATGGAATGTATAAAGATGATACACTTCTGGGATATTGGAACTATACTAGAGTTCATCTGATCGTAGTCACAGCCTTCTATATTATTTTAAAGATCATTTCACATTCTCCAAACGATATTGTATAAAATTGATTGATAAACTTAAGGGACACATTCTGAATTCTGACAGCTATATTATTCGTAGTGAGAGATCTCTCAAAATTCAAAACTTAAGTGATCTACCCAAAAGCCAAACATCATATCGAGAATCTAAAGGGCCAAAATTAAACGTTCAGACTTCACGCGCCAGAAATCCTCAAAATCACGTAAAATAAACTTTAATTTTTCGCGAGTACGTGCGTATCCTCTGCAAAAGTTTCCATGGGAACAGTTACACCAAAACAAAGCAAAATTTTAACGCGACGCGACTCTTTTGGTAAAAAGTAAACAATAACAAACGAGAATACAAAAGCGTGAAAGTGCAGCACTGAAAGTATATATACAAAACACTAGCTCTTTTCTCTTCAACACTTGTGTTTCTCGCTAAACTATCATTTCAATTGTCATTTTTGAAGCACCCTGTCTCATATCAGGATCAATAAACTAAGTTGGATAGTGATTAATATCATAGCAGGTCGTCTTGAGTCATCCGTCATAACTAATATAGCCAAGGTGAAAGAAGGTCAAGAAAAATACTCTATCCTCTCTTTTGAACAACAAAAATCATTAAAACATCAAAACCTTTGATTCTCTCATCATCAAGCTGTCATTCATTCGTTAATTGTACAAATAATAACTTCAAAATCATAAAAAGCATATACCTATTGGCATTTATTCATTTTAAACAGTTGTTTCTATCGTCGTTTTTCACCGCTTGCATCAATTATTTTCATCAAGTTTCCATTCATCAATAGTTCGTGTTTTCCCGTCTTCAACATCAAAAATATATACAACATCATGTCTGTCAATGAACGTTCAGCTTTGAGTGTCGTTTCAGCCAATACATTAAACAAAAAACAAGAACACATTGGATTCAAACCAACTTTACCAAATATCAACTCCCTTATATCTGCTAAAACTTTTCCATCACCAACATCACCATCAACATCATCTATCGGAAAACCACAACATTCTACAAAATATGCTAAACATGCTGAAAAATTGAAATACAGATTACAATTAGCATATTATAAACTACGCACTGACCAAGTTAAGTTACCAATTGCTGAAATCATTAAAAAAGAAGAAGCTTTTGCTGAAAAACAAGAACAAAAATCTCAACAATCACAACCAAAAATAGCATCTGTTACACCTTCTTTAACTCGCCATATTAGTTTATTAGCCGCCTCAACCCCATTACCAGAATCTTCAAACCCAAAGAAACGGGTTACATTCAAAAGATCAGCAACTACTTTAGAGCTACCAAAAACTTCAACTTTCAAACATACATCTTCAAATAAATCTGCTGCTGCTTTATCTAGAATCTCTGAATACCAGAGACCTGAAAACTTAAGATCATTATCATCACCACAGTTAAACAAACCAAATGGTATTCATGCTCATATTCCTCACCATCGTTCTTTAAAAATCGAAGATTTGGTCAACAATACAAACAACAACCAAGTTGATGTTACTCCAATCAAAGGCCGTACAGATGACAGTGGTGATTTAATTATGTCAAGTCCAACAAAGAAAATGTATTCATCAACACCAGGTTCTTATGGGGCTGCTAAATCTTTGTTACAATTGTCTTTGATCAGTTCCAATTGATAATATTGCCCTTTATTACTCGCATATCCTACCGAAAAGCTTTTAATTTTCATTTCATGACCAAAATGTATAATATATCAGAAGGACACAATGATTGTCTTTATTTAATTTGTGCTACTAGAAATTGTCCTTATTTTCAATTTGTTTTTGCTTTTCTATGGGTCATATGTTTTCTCATCTTCATACATTCATACTATGATAATTAATACCATTTTATGCTGCTTTATATTGATTTTTTACTAGAAGTTATTTGATTTTTCCCTTGATTTTATTTTGATTTAACTTGCAACATTTATTTACCAGAGTTAAGCCTATCTTTAATAGCGCAAACTCTCATGTCATTTTTTTTAGCATTGATGCTATGTTTTAATATATATATTTCAGAAAAAAAAGTAGACTACAAAAATCTATAATTGGTCATGAATTCGTCTCCATTAAAAATAAAACAGATTTGGATTAAACCTTTTAAGCCAATAGGAATGAGTCAGTAAATGTAGGATCTTGTGCACTAATTTGATCAACTATCTTATCCAAGACCATACACGATTCAACGATATGATTGTGCCATTGACCTAAAACAGGATCAGTAGTGACACCTTTAGTTTGTGTTGATGTGTTTGACCCTGTGAATTCAATGACTTTACTTATATCATCAATTAAAGCATCTAATCTTTCTTCCCTAATCATATCAGCAGTTAATTCTTCCACAAATGATTCATCTAATTGTAAAATAGCAGTGAAACCCTGTATAGAGGTATTGTTATAAATCTTTGACGAAGCAATCAAGTTATTTTCCACTAGTGCTTTCGATAGAGCCTGTGTAATATAGTCAGATGAAAGTGAATGATCATCAGTATCCAAGAAGTAAGATAGCAATTCAATATATTCATTATGATAAATTAGTTTTTGGGAATAAATTTTTTGAAAAATATTCAATAGTGGTGTATGCTCAATATTTGGTAAAATATGAGGCGATTCAACAAGTTTATTGATTAATCTTGTTTTCAAAGGGTCATGTTGTGAAAGAATGGTGTATTTAACCAATGGGATATCAAATTGCTCATTATCTAATACTATTAGTTTGGAAGCAGCTTCAAACCATTTACCTAATTTAACCATAGTTTCAACAGATGTCTTATAAGTATCAATGAGAAGATCATCAATACCATTTGATTCTAAATTTGGTAAGATTGGGGCAATCCTAGAGACATAGGCTTCAGCACTTTCAAAATCATTAACCTTTAATGAATTTTTAGCAATTCTTGTGTTGATTTCAACTTCAAATTTTTGAAATTGTAGGATTGAATCAAACTCTTGGGCCAAATGATCAACTTGTAATGACTTTAAAACTTCAGCAGCTTTATCATATTGAAATTTGGATTCATATATTTGTGTCAAATTCAAGATGGTTTTCATCAATGGTAAATATACCACGGCGGTTGGAGGTGTGAAGATTTTAACAATTTCTTCATAAAGTTGAACTTGTTCAGCCTCTGTATGTTTTTGTTTTATATTTTCAACAAACTTCACTAAAATACCCTTTATTGGTAATGTTTGTTGCTTGACTAATGAATTGATGTAATAAATGATTGTCTCGTTGTCATTGGACTCATTAAGTAGTTTGAGTATTTCGCCTTCTTTATCATTTGAATCACCATTTGCTATGGCTGCGATTTTCAATGTAGCTTGTGAAGACATTATTTTGTATGAGCAATTGAGTTCTTTGTATCCTTTGATGTATTCAAAATGACCAGAGTCCCGATTATAGAGCTGATGTAGTTCTTTAATTGCTGTTCAAACTTTTCAGAACTATCACTTATATCATGATTCATGAATTTGGCATGCTGACTAGGATTTCAATGGAAACCTTCAAAAATTGACAGAATTTCTCAATTTTATTTTTCACAAGTTACATGTTACTGATCCAAGGTGAAGTGAAGGCAATGTGAATAAAGGGAACATAAAGATCTTTGAAGACCCAATTATTGAATATGTTGGCGCATTTGAACATGAAATATGTTGGGATATGAATTCACGACTTGAACGAAACGGATCAATTGAATCTTGATATAACCGCATAGGAAAGCGAGGTGACTGACCTGTGATCGTACAAATTAAACTATTCTTTTTCTGTATAAACTATTCAATTAGATATTCTATTATATGGTATTGGTATACCTTCCCATTTTGATCTGGTGTATATGTTTTGTTAGTGTTGTACGATCGTATAAACAAACGCGAGAAACGACAAAACTGTATAAGTTCTTAACTGATTTAATATAAGGGTTTAAGCGGGCTCGTATAGCTGGACGTGATTTGACAATTGACAAAGAGCATGAGTGATTTAGATCTATAAATATTCAATTAATTCTCATTTTCATATGAAATCCCTCTTCAATAATTGTTCAATGTTGCTCATCTCTGATCAAATATAATGACACACATTTACAATAAGAGGTTTTTCTATTTATCAATTCCAATCTTCATATACTATATTCTACATGTTTTATATGATACATGGTTACCCACAAATTACATTTTTGACCCGGTTGTGTTAAATAGGTTATCAAATGAAGTCTTAGACCAACATCCAGAAGGTAATATCACTTTGATTTTTGAAGATTTGGCTGTGCGTTTAAAAGAAGAATATGGTGATTTCATCAATCCTTATACCACTGACAATGATGATTGGGTTTTCAACAATGCTGGTGGTGCCATGGGAACAATGTTCATCTTACATGCTTCAATTTCTGAATATGTGATCTTTTTTGGATCAGCTGTTGGTAACGAAGGACATTCTGGGGTTCATTTTGCAGATGATTATTTTACCATTTTGAAAGGTCAAGAATGGGCAGCGCTTGAAGGAGCATTTGAACCAGAAATCTACAGACCAGGAGAAACTCACCTTTTGAAAAGAGGTCAAGTCAAACAGTATAGTATGAGACCTAGTTCATTTGCGTTGGAATACGCCCGTGGTTGGATTCCAGCTATGTTACCATTTGGATTTTTGGATACTGCGTCATCAACCTTAGATTTTTACACATTTTTCAAAACCACTTACCTCACCGGTTTAGACATGGGTAAGAATTTATTGCGTGGTAAATTCTAAGTGATCAATGTGCTTCTGTATATCTTTCATGATCGCATTCAATTAAAAGTGTTTTGGTTGTGTATTATAAAATATTCAATATTATGAAAATTAGATCTAAACGAAGGCATCGCGAAATACCGATGGCGGCAAAAAAAAAGATTTCGTATAACCGTCATTTATTGTTTTGATGAAAAAAATTAAACGAGCTTCAAAAGCTGAAAACTATACAAAATACTCCAATAACCACTCAAAGCAAGATACGTTCCATTCCTTTTCTTAACAACAAAAGTATCCGAGCGCTTTAGATCATCTAGTCACAATGAGATTTTTATACTTGTCTATACCCGTCATCATTTATTATATCTTGAATTTATTGTTTGACACCTGGTTACCAAACAACTATGTTTTTGATCCAGAAACCTTGAATAAATTATCAAATGAAGTTATTGCAAAACATCCAGAAGGTAACACAACATTGATACTTGAAGATTTGGCGGTAAGCTTAAAAGACCACTATGGTGATATCATCAACCCATTAAACCAAGAAGATTGGTTATTCAACGTTGCTGGTGGTGCTATGGGTACTATGTTCATTTTACATGCCTCAATCTCAGAATACTTGATTTTCTTCGGTACAGCTGTTGGTACAGAAGGTCATACTGGTGTTCATTTTGCTGATGATTACTTTACAATTTTAAAAGGTGAACAATATGCTGCCGTTGAAGGTTCATTATACCCAGAAGTTTACTTAGCAGGTGAAACTCATCATTTGAGAAAAGGTCACGCTAAACAATACTCTATGCCATCTGGTTCATTTGCTTTAGAACTAGCTCAAGGTTGGATTCCAGCTATGTTACCATTTGGCTTCTTGGATACTGCTTCATCTACATTAGATTTCTACACATTTATTAGAACTGCTTACTTGACTGGTTTAGATATGGGTAAAAATTTGTTACGTGGTAAGTTTTAGGAATATTTAAAACTCTATTGATAGATATACGATACAGACTATGAAAATCAGAAGGCATTAAATAGAACTTCATAATAATATAATGATTAAAATTAAAATTGATCTCTGATCTATATAAACAATTTGTACTTTGTATGGTGTGTCTCGCACCAATATAGAAATCCAATCGCGAATTAAAACATATGAAGCTTCATATTAAGGCACTAAACAGAACAGTTTGAGTATCAACTTCAACGCCCAAATCATCTCAAGCACTTCTTTTTTCATCAAAGGACAATAAGGAGATGAATATTCAGAGACACTCAAGCCCATTTAGACCCGATATACGGCTAAAATCAGAACAGCCTACGGTTAGCGAGGAAACAAAGCTAAAAAATGCAGAAGAAGCTATTCAAGAATTGAAAAGTTTAGAATTGCTTCCACTAGTATTGGACATTGTGGAAGATGTCAATTCAGGTAAACTTTTACCAAAAGATGTCGAAAATGCAGTATGTAATGTTTTTTTATTTGAAGCACAATTGGGGGTTTGAACTAACGATTCAACAAGGCTGGTACTATACGTGTGAGGATAAACAAGGCAAGAGAAATATTGAGAAACATTCATGGGTTATCAGAAACACCAGAAGAAAGAAGCGTCAGAGTCGAGAAACTGAAGAAAAATATCACAAGAAAGTCAGAAGCTCTACAAAGGTTTAGAGAAAAAGTTGGCGAAAGAATTGCATTACCAGAACCACCTGTTCCTGAATCTTTAGAAGATTTTAAAGATTTATCAGTTGAGCCTGTCGAAGTAACACCAAACGCCCCAGTAATCGAAGGAACCCAGAATCATCAACTTCAGGAAGTACAAACAGCATCTAACGATCAAGACCTTGATATACAGGACCAACCTCCAATTCAACAAGATGGTTTTAACATTGGAAATTCAGAAATACAAAGTCAACCGTTACAACAAAGTGATACTTTAATGACCGACGATGTGAATTTTGACTTCAACGACTTCCCAACTGTTGGTAGTCAAGATCAAGATAACGACCTGAATATGGATTAAACAATAGAACGTGATTAATTTTAACCGTATGTAATACAATTTGTAAGTCTAAGTACTTATATTTATGTGTCTCAAACCACCTGTACCAACACTTGTGTATAACCCGGTTTTCGAGAACTTCAATTTTTTTTTTCGAATCATCGTCGAAACAAAAAAAAGGCTTTAGATCTAGCAAGAGCTAAAATGGCTCTAAACACTTGATCTTCAAAAGACATAAACTTTGACTTTTAGCATCGGATTTTTATTTCATATTGATTGGTTTCAATTAGTTTATTATAATTTCGGTCTAGATTAAACAATTCATCCATCATATTTCACTATTGATCTGAATATATTTTACAAAGTCAAGTACTTCATATAAAGTGGGTTACAAATCTTTTGTTGGAAAATTTCAAATAATTGTTATAATTTTCAACACAATAATTACAAACTTTAGAACATAAATAACTAACAATATCTAGAAATGTCTGCCCCAACACCATTACCATTAGGTGATGTTTCTAAAATCCCACAATTCCCAGGTGTCACCCCAGAAAAACCAAAACCATCAGGATTCTGGTCATCAAATCCAATCTTTTCATATTTGAATAACGTTTACAACAATGTCCATGAACATCGTAAATCATTAAACTTAGTCAACCCGGGTACTGTTGAAAATTTGAATAAAGAAGTTTCAAGAGATGTGTTTTTAAACCAATATTTCTTCACAGGTTTAAGAGCTGATTTGAACAAAGCTTTTGCATTAAACCCAGCATTCCAAACATCTCATACCTTCTCATTAGGCTCACAATCAATCCCACCATATGCTTTCAGTGCTCTTTATGCTACTGATAACTTCTTTGCTCAAGGTAACATTGACAATGATTTCTCATTAAGTGGTAGAGTTAACTATGGTTGGGATAAATCAAACATTTCAAAAGCCACTTTACAAATTGCTAAAGGTCAACCAACTATGCTTCAATTAGAACAAGATTTCCAAGCTAGTGATTTCTCTGTTAACTTAAAAGCTTTGAACCCATCTGTATTAGATGATGGTAAATTCACCGGTGTCGCTGTTGGTTCTGTTTTACAATCTATTACTCCAAAATTAGCTGTTGGTTTAGAAACTGTTTACTCTGCTCAACCAACCATGCCAGCTGATTCTGCTGTTTCATATGTCGCTCGTTATAACGCTGGTAACTGGATCGCTTCTGCTCAAGTTCAAGCTCAAGGTTCAGTTGTTGCCTCATTCTGGAGAAAAGTTGCTGAAAATGTTGAAGCTGGTATCGAAACTCAATTACAATCACAATTAGTTCCAGTTGGTGGTGCTGAAGCTTTAATGGGTGGTATGCCACAAATTCAAGCTGTCTTAGAAGGTACTACCACTTTAGGTGCTAAATATGAATTCCGTCAATCAGTTTTCAGAGGTCAAATAGATTCAAATGGTAAAGTTAGTGCATTTTTAGAAAGAAGAATCTTACCAACTGTTTCAGTCTTATTTGCTGGTGAAATTGATCAAGCTAAATCTGCTTCTAAAATTGGTGTTGGTTTAACTTTTGAAACTGCTGGTTCCGAACAATTAGCTTTAATGCAACAAGGTTTAGTTGATGCTAATGGTAACCCAGTTCCAGGTGCTCCATTATAATCTAATTCATAAGGATTAACAATAAACAAAATTTCATGAATAAAATCAACTTTAACGCCTTTTTAAACCATCATGAACAAGTTTTTTTCCATGAAACTTGTTTAAACAAAACATTATATATATATATCTGAGATCTTTCTTTTTTGTTTTGTCATGTATAGAGAAAGAAGATCTCATTTAATGTACATTTATACCTATATAATCATCGATTTTTTGTAGTTATATAAACTGTATGTATTAAATGTGTCTACAGAATAAGATTCATGTACTATAATTGTTTTATTTTTCATTCGTATCATCATTAAATTTGTTAAATATGCATAGAAAAATGGATTGTCCTTTCAAAAAAAAGATTTGATAAATCCTGTTAAACCTGGAGATTCTTCTTTAACTTCATTATTTTCATCACATAATATACTATAAATATCATAAGAACTGTATCTATTATTCTTTTTCTTCGTTATTATAGGATCAGTCATTATCCTTTTTTCAAAATTTTGTTTCTTTTTTGAATCTATAAATCTTGGATTTGGATTTAAGTTATGTTTAATATACCTTTCAGTACCCGGTGTAGAAGTTTGTGGTTCATCTGTTGGGTCCATCCAACTTGATTCTGATATATATAAAGAAGCTGAACGCGAAGATCTTGAGGCTGGACGGGTACTGAAAAAAGAAGTATTTTGGTTTGGAAAATGGGTTGGCGAGAGTAATATAGTGTCTCTTGATTCATCCATTATAGTAGTTTGATGTGCAGAAGATCTTGGTGTATAATAATGTGTTGTTTCAAAATTATCATTAAAAACTAATGGTTTGAAGGGTTCTTTGAAATCTTCTAATGCAGAATCCAATGAGGATACAACTGATTGTATATCATCACCATTATCATCACCATTATCATCATCACCTTCTTCTCTTTCAGTAAATGAACCATCCGGATTAGCAACTGGAGTTGATTTTGATGAAAATTGTTCGACAAATGTGCTGGAGTCCGATTCAAGATTAAAACAAGCAACAGCAGATGCTATGGACGATATTGAAATTTCTGATTTTGATGTGGGTATTGTTTTAATACTATCATTATTGATTGTATTTAGTGATTCATTTGATGGTTTAATATAAAGGTTCCTGAAATGACATATATCTCTGAAAACACGTTCCAATTCTGTTATCACTGATTCATCATTTGTTTCAATATTTATTTTCCAATAACGCTCTGGATTAGACAATGGTAAAATAAATTGGTTTTTAGATATTTTGAGTATTTTTAACCTTGGAAAAATTGGATATACCACAGACCCACAATGGAAATAACTAACTTTTTTCATATGCATTTGATAAACTTCAAAAACACCATGCCCAAGTAACCTTCCTTGTTTTTGATTATCATCCAATGTCTCCGAATTATCTTCAAATGTATATATGTTTGCCTTTGGAAATTGAAATAATGTTATTCTTTCTTCTGGGTCGTAATCTTGTGTTTGTTTAATATTTACAGGATCACCTAATTTTAGGTTCATAAGTGAAGTAGCTTTTCCAATTTGTCTATGTGTTGATAATGGAGGTGATAACGTACCAACAGAAGCATGTGTAGATGTTGATTCCTCATCTTCAGTTGACTTGTTATTATTCTGGTTATGATCTTTATCTTTGTTCTTTCTTGCTAATGCTCTTTTCCGTGGAGTCAAAACAACAGACCCAAATTCGTTAGTTGACTTCAACAACTGCCTGCTTTTGGAGATATCAACTGTACCATTGGACTCTATATCGTTTGAAGTTAAAGATTTTGTAGGTGATAATGTCTGTGAATATGGGCTGGATGAAGACAGCATTTTTGATGATCTTTCAACTCTCCTATGATTGTTATGATTTAGGTAATCCCTTCAAGACGAAAACACGTCAATAACTGAGCACCCAAAACACAGCCAGTTAGTTCAAACCCAATGGCTATTAGTAAATGATGAGAGCGTATGTGAAAGCTAAGACTCTAGCAAAGAGCTGATAATCGAATAGTAATTGATGTCTTCCACCGTTAGATATTCTTGTTTCGTTTCACATGAAGTTGTTGTTTATTTTTGTTATTGTTTGGGAAAATCAAGATCGAAGTCGGAAATCAGAATCATATCTACAAACAACCGAGGGTATATAAAATTATGAGTACAAATATTTTGAAGAATTTTGAAAGTAAATAAGTGATTCTCGAAAGGAAGAAGAAATCGAAATATAATTGTAGTTGAACACATTTGATATTGCAGTGATATTAATCAGTTTCAGAATTGTTCCTAATAGATATATGCTTTATAAGTGTTGGTGGAACACCCGCATTGTACCGATCTCACCGTAGAACGAGGACGACTGGAGCGAACATTTATTAACGATGATAGTGTATAGAAGTATAAGTAGCCTTCTTTGATAATTAATCCAATTGATAATTATTAATATCCCGCAGAAATCACCGTTGAGGTTTCCAATCACCAGTTAATATCTTCAATTGACACTTTGAGCTCAGGATCTTCTAAAATATACTCTTACTTGATTAGTCAAAAAACTAAAATCCGCATTCAAGAAAACCACTTTCCCACACAATTTTGAAAGCACCTCCACCATCTTGACAAACTAGGTATTTAACTCAGGTCATTTCTCACAGTTATATTACAAATTATACTCCATCAATCTTCAAAGAATAATGCTTTCAAGATCAATTATAAATACAACAAGATTTCAATCAAGACAATTGGCCAAGAGTGCAATTGGTTCTTATACTTCACGTCTTGCTCCATCTAGTGTCAAATTCGCAACTGCTGGTTCAGTTAACAAAATCATGTCAAGATCAATCACAACAGCTAAATCCATCATCTATTCAGAACATGGTGTTCCAAAAGATGTCATTTCAGTTCATACTCATCAATTGCCAGATCCAAAAGACAATGAGGTTATTTTGAAAAGTTTGGGATTCCCAATTAACCCTTCAGATATCAATCAATTAGAAGGTGTCTACCCTTCAAAACCTGAAAAGACTACTCAGTATGGTACCGAAAAACCAAGTGCAATTGCAGGTAATGAAGGTTTATTTGAAGTTATTGAAAAAGGTTCAAATGTCAAATTAGAATTAGGTGACCATGTTATTCCATTACATTCAAATTCAGGTACTTGGACCTCTCATCAAATTGCTCCAGAAGATCAATTGATCAAATTACCAAAAGATGTTTCAGTTATCTTTGGTGCTACTATTTCTGTTAACCCAACTACTGCTTATCAACTAGTCAATGACTTTGGTTTAGAAAAAGGTGATTGGTTAATCCAAAATGCTGGTACAAGTGCAGTTTCTCAAGCAGTTTCACAAATTGCAAAAACTAAAGGTATCAATGTTATCAGTGTTATTAGAGATCGTCCAAATTTACAAGAAATCAAAGATAAATTAGTCAAACAAGGTGCCGCTAAAGTTATTACTGAAGAAGAAAATGGTGATCGTACAGTTGGTGGTGAAATTTCTAAATTAACTCAAGGTAAAATTAAAATTGCATTAAATTCAGTCAGTGGTAAATCTTCATCAAACATTTCAAGAAAATTAGCACCAGGTGGTACTATAATTACATATGGTGGTATGTCAAAACAACCTGTTACATTACCAACATCATTATTCATCTTCAAAGATATTAAAGCTATTGGATTCTGGGTCACAGAAGGCAATAAGAGAGATCCAGAAGGTAAAAGACAAACCATCAATGAATTGGTTAAACTATATCAAAATGGTCATTTAGAAGAATTACAAGTTCATTCAAACGAATGGAACTATGATTCATTCTCTGACGAACAAATTAAAAACTTGATTGTTGATGCCTTAGAAAATAGTTCTGGTGGTAAACAATTCATTACTGTTAAATAAACTTGAGCTAGGAATCCTTCAATATACTTATATTAACGACTATTCTATCTAGTAGTATTTTAAACGTAAGTCTAGCTCAGCTCTAGCTTATTACAATAAAACGGGTATAAGACCCTATGCTGCTATTATCAAAAAAATCAGTATAACCGCAATTTTTTTTCTGGGCAAGAAAAAATGGTTGTAGTGCGATGAAAATCATATCATCTCAAGATCTAAAGTAACAAATTCTATAAACAACAAGATCAAACCCTCATATTTGACTTTGGATCCCAGCGGCAAAGACATAGAACATATATATCATGCTTGGTGACTTGTTCAGCTTGAAGGTTTTCTTCATTCTTTTGAGAGAAACTTTTGAGTCCGCTATTGTGATATCTATATTGTTATCATTCTTGAAGCAAAATTTTACTAAACCTGTTCAGAATGAAGATGGTGAAGTTATAGATCATGTTTTGACCATAGATAAGAAAGTATACAGACATTTGAAAGTCCAAGTGTGGCTGGGCGGGTTCTTTGGCTTATTTATTTGTGGTTTAATAGGTGCTGTTTTCATAGCGCTATTCTACCTGGTGGGGGAAAATTATTGGTCCAAATATGAACGTAATTGGGAAGCCATATTCAGTATTCTTTCATCATTATTTATTTCCCTTATGGGGCTTTCATTACTTAGAGTTAATCAAATGCAAAAGAAATGGGAAGTTAAGCTAGGTATTAACATGAAGAAACAATTTGGAAATGAACATCAACCAATTGTTGACGATGAAGGTACAATACTCAGTGATGAAGCTGATATAATAGCACAGCAATCTCATGGACACAAGCAACAAAGAAGAGGGTTGAAATACTGGTTCAATAAGATGACTGATAAATATCAACTAATGATCTTACCAATGGTAACATTATTAAGAGAAGGTCTTGAAGCCATTTTTGTCGTTAGTGGTGTTTCTGCTTCTGAACCTGCATCTACGTTACCATTATCTATAATATCTGCATTGGCTCTTGGGTCTTTGATTGGGTGGTCTATCTATAAAGGTGGAAGTAAAATGAAATTACAGATTTTTTTGATCTTTTCAACCTGTTTCTTATATTTGGTTTCAGCTGGTCTTATGTCTCGTGGTGTTTGGTTTTTCGAATTAGAAGAATATGTCCAAAGATGTCATGGTCAAGATATGTCAGAAGTTGGTACTGGTCCAGGTTCCTACGATGTTACTAATGTTATATGGCATGTCAACTGTTGCAGTGGTTTAACTGATGGTGGTTGGATGTTATTGAATGCACTTTTCGGATGGACAAATACTGCGACTTATGGATCAATTATAAGTTATAACGTTTATTGGATATTTATTATTGTTCTTTTGAAAATCAAGTTGTTCCAAGAAAGAAGGGGTTATATTCCATTTATTCCTATCAAATGGCAACTAAAGAAGATTGCAAAAAGATATGAAATCATTAAATTTAATTTACAACATAATTCCAAGTACAAATACCCAGAAGTCGAGTTACAAGCCGCGCCAGGAACTGTTCACTCTAATGGATATAGCAGTGTACATACAGATGAGTACAATGCTAATGACCAATCCCCTACAAGATTGAACGTTATTAATGATGATACTAGTGAAGCTACATCAAGTTTAATTGGTGGGCAAAAGTAAAAAAGTAAAATAGCATTTCATATTCCTGCTGATTTATTTTATTCACATTATACTAACTTTTGCATTTTTATAACACAGGCTTTTTCCAGTGCATTTATTCAAAAAGGATCGAGTACTGTTACCCATATCGCATAATCACAATATTTTATTTAATAGATTTTTATAATATCTGTCTGTTTTCACTAGATAATAAACAACGGTTAATTAATATATATAGCTAATGTGTAGCAATCTTATAGTTAAATTACGGATCTAACTTATATATTCAACTGGCATACAAACTAATATTCTGTACGTTACTCTAGCCAATATATCTAGTATAGCAACAACTTAATGGGCTTCCACTATACTGGTGATGCGTGCATGGAAAACATACCCACCGTGAATCGAGAGTACATTACAGCCCCTTACACCAGCTGGCTAACAATTTCTATATAATTTGATGCCGTGATACAATTATTGGCATTCTCGACATCTCGAAGGGTTACGTACGAATACCAGAAAAATTTATGAGTAATGTAAACCGTACATTTATTTAATTCCTAAATCTATTTAAATATTTAAAAGAGCATAAGAATGTCGTGAAAAGTTAAGAAAGAATAAACTTTCAATTTCTTCACTTTTGTATGAATGCAAATGAAAGTAAAGACGTATGATTATTGATCTTTGAAATTAAGCGAATAAAGCAATGGCTGAAACGAAAAGAGCAGAATATAGCAAATTAGAAACTGATTTATATGAAATCATTTGAGAAGCTGATGATTTTTTGGAGTCATCTGAAGATGATGAACCAGATGATTCTGATGTACCATCTCTTGCATTTGAACTTGTAGATACTTCACCTTCACTACTTGCATCTTCAGCACCATTTGATGATGTATAGTTTTGTGATCTGAGATCGACATCTTCTGTAACAAGTTTACCATCCCAGCAGTAGTCTTCAAAACATTTTTCACATTCATCAGATTGTGTTTCATTTCTACGTTCTTGAGAACGACGAATGATAGCACATGAAACACATTTTTTCCAGTCTTCATCAATGGTCATATTATATCTTGAAGAAACTTCATAACCATTTTTAATCATACCTAATTTTTCATCATCTTCATATTCCATTTTGAAAGTTGAAGTATTTGACCAGAATGTAAAAGGTTCATTTGCAATATAAACAACTAGTGGTGGGATATATGCTAAGTCTGTCAAGTTTGAAGCGTCACATCCGAAAAATGTTGGTTTAGTAGTCAAATTATGAGCAAGGAAAGTGCTTTGACCTGGAACATATGGGAATGCTGTACCGTTACCTTGGGAAGCAAATTGACGTTCATAAGTTGCAACCAAAGACGCACCATCTGGGAAACTATCATCAGTATCTGCTGAGTTATCAAATGCAAAAATAACATCAACATCACGTTCTGGTTGAAGTAATGGAGCAAGAGGAACATTTTGATTATCTTCACCACCATCACACAAGTATAAATTTTCATCATCAACAATTGTTTTGACAGTTGCATATGGTGTATTATAAAATGGATTTGGACCGTAAATGGCAATATCATCGAAATCTTCACTAAGATTATGCAAGAAATCCTCAATTAAATCATGAACCACACCAGTAATACCAGTTGTATTCAATTTCAAGAGAAATTGGTTGAATAATGAAGATGAAGTACCCATAACAAAACCCGCATTATCGAAACCTGCAATACAAGTATCAGATTCTGGATCACCATTGTCAACATTAGAACCAACATATTTCAAATCAGTAAATGCATATAATGAAGGATCCCATGAACCTAGTTCAAATGGTGTAAATTCGAAAACAGTGGAGTTTAAGTTGATAATCTTGGAAGTTGGTGTTCTACCAGTTGCAACACTGATTGGTAATGGCATTTCACCGTTTTGGAACACCTCAACATCTCTTAAAGTTGAGAAAGTAAGACCATCTCCACCATTATCATGTTTACCAAAGAATTGATATGATAAAGCTCTACCCCAAATATCAGTGATGGAAGTATTGAAACCAGCGTCTTTTTTTTCTTGAATAGAATCACTAATGTCATCCCATTGACCAACAGTTTTAAAGATGTTAATACCACCTGAAGTGAAGATTGAATGCTCTAGATTCCAAATGGAATCACCTTCGATGATTTCTTGAACACTAGTCCAATTGTTTAAAGCCAAAGTACCAGTCATCCAGTTACCACCCGACAAACCCGTTAAGTAAGTAGCGGATTGTAATAACCCACCAAGACCAGTTTCATTGGCACCATCTGTTCTATCATCTAAAGCACTGATTTGACCAGCACCACAAAGCATAGCTCTGTAACCACCACCTGAAAATGCTAAACCAATGTTAATTGATTGATTATTTTTATCGAAAAATTCTTCAACATCAAAATCTTCTAGATCGGCAGTTTCTAAGAATTCTTTCAAAGCTTCATCAGTATGTTCATGTCTTTTCTTCAACCAATTGGATTCATCTTCACATAAACCCCTTGAATGTCTTACCAGTCCTGAATCACCAGCAGTACTCTTCTTTGGACATGTAACATTACCAGGTCCATAACCACCGGAAGGTGAAAAAGCTGCTGTTAGCGAAAGTGTGTGTATTAGCAGAACCAAGGTATATAAATTCATCTTATCTTAGCAATTGAGAAGGATTGAAGTATCCGTGGTTAGCTAGTTGACCTTCAGCTTATTCTTGTTTATTAAATATTTTTAGACCAGGGATTATGAGGTCTTTTTATATATTCCAACCGCAGCGATCTACTCGAATGTTTTGATTTCACTTTGGCGCTAAAAAAAAATTTAGAACGTGAAATTTATGATTCGGAACTTAAATTTCAATGTTTCGCTTAACACGAGCGTGAGCCTTGAAAGTCGGTACTGGCAAGTTGCTGCAGGGAGGAGGTTCGTAGACAGAGAGATCTTCTTCAAGGGAGAGCCTGTTATCACATAGAACGTGTTATTACTGAAGGATGAGAGAGGTTCTTGACCTTAAGTGTGGTTGTGTTCTGTGAATTTGATTTTTTGTGTCTGAGATTAATTAACGATGATTTTCCAAGTTGACATGATGTGAATTTTCACAGACCTTGCAAAAACCTGGCGAAGGGTCGAATTTAATGGATGATTCGCACTATAAGTTTAGCATATGCTTGCGTCAAGAACGTTGGAAATTTGACACTTTTACGAATTCTCCCCAACTTTAGTGGATAGGATCTATGTATCATTCCTAAAAAGAAAGGCTTAGTACTGACGTTTAAGTACCCTCGCGCTTTAATATCTTCTTGTTCCACTATATCTTGCTAACGATGAGATAGTGATATCATAAATTTATCAGAGTTGATATGAGGCATCAACTTATCTGATAATTGATTGCTTCAAGAGTTAACTTTACTATGCAACTAATATATAAGCATTCATAAAGATCACCTGTCATTAGTGATCACTAGAAGTTCTGCATTAATTAACTACATATATATATCAAAATATATCAAATAGTAGATAACGTCTTCATATTAAGGTTAACCGAAACTTATATTAACGCTTCTGCATGTCATATATAAGCGAAATATAATTATATATATATATATTTATATAAAGTTTTAAGCCCCCATATTAAATGTAACAAGATAAAAGAACCTTAGTGATCAATAGTTTCTTGAAATATCTTCCAATAAACCAATCTGTTTTGGGGTCCAACCTAATTCCTTTTGAGTAATTTCACTTGAAACTTCAACGTTTGAAGCAAGGAAATAACCAAGAAAACCTAATTTTGATTCTAATTGATCATATCCTAAAGATTCAGTTTTCAAACCAGTTTTATTACCAATGGCCTCTGCAATCTTTTTGGTTTCAACACCTTCTTCATGAACAATATGGTATGATTTCCCAGCTTGACCCTTTTCAACTGCTAATCTGAAAGCAACTGCTGCATCATATCTATGAACCGCAGGCCATTTACCTTTACCTTCACCAACATAATATGAGACACCGTTCTTTTGAGCAAATTGAATTAAATGTGGAACGAATCCTGAATCACCTTTATCATGAACTGAATGTGGTAATCTTAATACAATAGTTCTAATTTGATTTTTGGAAGCAGCCTCAGCAACAAATGTTTCAGTTAAAAATCTTGTTCTAAAAAATGGATTGATTGAATCAGCATCAATTTCAGTATTTTCAAAGGTTTTAACACCAATATCTGAACCAAAACCACCAAGACCAGATGTATAAATAAAGAATTTTGAAGTACCTTTAATAGCATCAACAATCACTTGTGAAACTTGGAAATCAATATCATAAGAATGAGCCATGTTACTAAAATCATGAATGAAACCTAAATGAATAACACCATCTGATTTTGATACACCTTCTTTAATAGAATCAAAGTTTTCCAAATCACCTTTTAAAACTTCAACCCCTTTTTTAGTTAATTGTTCAGCTGATTTATCTGATCTTGCTAAACCAAGAATCTTATAACCATGTGATAACAATTCATCAACAACGATGGATCCAATGAATCCTGTAGCACCTGTAATGAAAACTTTTGACATTATAACGAAAATCTTTGATTATTTTTTGATTAGTTTTTGGTTGAACTTTTATAAGTAAGAACTTGATTATACAAAACAGAACATCTAAGCTATTTTTTTAGTAGGCATAGGTGAATTTCCATCTGTATTTATACCTTCTTGAATTCAAAAAGACCAAGATTATCTTTCTTCCACTAACCCCAATAACCCATATAGTTTTACTGGAATTACAACGTTTTTAACGGATGAATTGTGTCTAGTAAGGAAGTAAAAGCTTGAAGAAATTCATCACATTCAAACACTTTAGTAATTTTGTTATATGAAGCGCGTTCAAGAAAGGAAACACGGCCGTTAACTATTCGGAAATCGGAATCAATTCAATACACCGTATAACCGTGCATAGAAATATTTTTATACGTTAAATTAACGGTTAAATTGAGGGTAAATAAAAAGTACAAAGATTAATACTAAATAGTGTAACATAACTGCATAATGTAATGATTTACATAGAATATGGTTAAACTAACGGTTAAATTAAACATCAATATTTAATCTTGGTATAGTTAGTAAGCTGATGTACATTAAAGCTATTCGATATCAAGATTACAAATAAGATTTCACAGCTAGCTCACAATCCATAATTATAAGCTCTCTTAATATCGTATACTTATTATCTATATGTGACTTAGCGAATGTGTATGGAAAGCTAGTAATATTATACTATATATATTCGTAGATAGGGCTCTAGGACCCTTCTAAGCTCTAGCTGGTCCGGCTGAAGAGGACGTCCACATTTCAGATAAAATTAATCATTAATCCAGATCAAGCACATCGTCAAACAGCTGTCATGGTCGCGTTAATTCATTATCTGTTATATCTATTAGCTTTTGAAATTTGAAATTTGAATCCAAGCTGATAAATGATGAAGGATCATAAGAATGATGGAAGATAATAAGAGTGATGAGTGCATCTATATATGTTTAAGCGTTAACAATAGAGATTTTTTTTATAGAGAGTGTTGTTCGCGATCACTTGCATGAAAATTACATAAGCAAAATGATCGGAATACTTAGTTTCTATCACGTGAATTTTTTTTTACCCTCGTAATTCATAACTTCAACACTTTTTCTCAAAGGCGGTTCTCGTTCATCAATTACCTTATTCATATGAGAAGTTGAGAATATCCTAGTACACATCATACCTTTCCATTTTGCTCATTATCTATTTGATTTAAACTATCAGTCTACCAGTGAATAATGAAAGTGGAAAACAGTACTTGGTAGCTATAGTTGGCTTATAAGTTCAGTCAGACGATCGATGTTGGAACAAATTTTACAAAACTTGAACAATATATTAGCGCGGCTAGGAAACAAGTTAAAGCCTGGGTCGAGTGTTTACCTCAGTAACGCACTGGTGACTTCCATGTTGCGCAAATGACACCATATCAGGTAAGATAAAAAAGCTAATAAATTTAAATAAACACCCAGTTCTAACGATATGATTGTATTCTCAGTTTAACTAAAGGGAGACGATACTTCATGAAATACAATACTTCATGAAGTCGCTTTATTGAACTCTTTCAAAGAATCTTATCGTCTTTTGACATCCTGAAAACCCGAGAAATTTATTCAAGTTGATGCGAAGTTGACCAGAATTACTATATTAAGGAAGTTTCTCTCGCAATTTTCATCTATTTACGAAATAACTCAGCGCCAAATTACTTGTATAGGTAATACTCTTCAAAAGTGCGATGTCGGGTTTAAAACAGACAGTACTACTAGACTACTAGTATTCTGAATATTGAGTAGATCAAATAGATAGTAGTCATCAAGTAGTCTAGTATGCTTTGAGGATAGCTTATTAAACTATTATTTTACACTTTGAAATAATCACCTTATTCATGAATCATTTTTTCTTACTCAAGAAGAATGCCAGCTCATGACAAGAAAACTTGTTAACAATAGTGAACCAGAAAAACTTTTAAGTGTCAAATGGATTCGCGCGCGTCACCAGTTCATGATTTCGCAAAAAACTGCCATAATTTCCCGATCCGGAACCTTGTTAAATAATTTCGTAATTCTAGTCAAAGAGCTTCTAAAGCCCATCTCCAATTAATTAAATGAAAATTGAATCTTTCAATCTTTAATTGAATCGGTGCCTATAATTGGAAAAGGCTAAACAAGAATAATATCATACTTTTGTGACATCAATAATCAAGTCTATTGAAAACCTTTGACCATTCAAACACATAAAGAAATCTGATTTACAGCAAACTATTATAATCTCAGAAGCTACCAGTTTTAATGAACCACAGTCTAACATAACTTGCCTAAACATGCCACAAAGTAAAAGCTCACCCGCTGTGTTTATTCCTGATATACAACAGACATCAAATGATCCTTCCAAAGCTACTTTACAAAAGAGAAAAAGAGTTACAAGAGCGTGTGATGAATGCAGAAAGAAGAAAGTCAAATGTGATGGTCAACAGCCTTGTATCCATTGTACAGTGTATTCATATGATTGTACATATGACCAACCTTCAAACAGAAAGAAAAATGGCGCTGATGTTCATTTAATAGAAACAAAGTTAAGAAGTGCTGAACATGTATTGCACTTATTATTACCAGATCTTGATGTTTTTGATCCTAACTTCAACTATGAAGTATTTGAAGAGATTTTTTCAAAATTTAGAAAACCTGATGGTTCAATTAAACTTGATGAGTTATCCAAAGAGTACAAGTCAAAAAATATCATAAATACTTCAACAACAAAGGATATAGCTGAAACGCCCACTTCAAACGTGTCAACACCTACTGCGTCAACTGGATTATCTGCCTTACCTTCAAATAACACTGCAGCATCTAATACTTCTAATAATAATAACAATGCCAATTTCACCAATAATAAGAACAAAAAGAGAAAACTCACATTTCCACATGCGAATATTGATGGATCTATAGAATCAAGAGCTGGTCGTGAGATCAAAATCATTTTACCACCAAAGAATATAGCTTTGGAACTAGTCACAAAGACATGGGCATCACCTTGTGTTCTTTTCAGATTTTATCATCGTCCTGCTTTTATTGCAGATTTAGATGAACTATATGAGACAGATCCAGAAAACTATACAAATAAACAGAATAAGTTCTTACCTCTTGCTTATTCAGTTATGGCCGTTGGTGCGTTATTTAGTAAAAGAAATGGTGTTGATGATAGTTTCTTAGACGATGAAGGTTATAGATATTTCATTGCCGCCAGAAAATTGATTGATATTACAGATGCTAGAGATCTTTATGCTATACAGACAATTGTCATGTTAATTTTATTCTTACAATGTTCAGCTAGATTATCAACTTGTTATTCTTACATTGGTGTTGCATTACGTTCAGCTTTAAAAGAAGGTTTACATAGAAAACTGGCACACCCTTTCAATCCAGTAGAATTAGAAATTAGAAAGAGAATCTTTTGGACAATTTATAAGATGGATATTTATGTGAATACAATGTTGGGTTTACCAAGATCTATTGCCACAGAAGATATTGATCAAGACTTACCAGAAGAATTAGATGATGATAAGATTACTGAAGATGGTTATTTACCACAGGACCCTGGGAAATTGAGTTCCTCAGCTATAGCAAATAGTCATACTAAATTGATTTTGGTTTTAAATCAAATTGTTAAAAACCTGTATCCAATTAACAGTAATTTAAGATTGATTTCACATGAGAAAGTTTCACAAATGGAATTGGAATTGAGATCATGGTTATCAAATTTACCAAAAGAGCTAATTCCAGGATTTGATCCACCTTTCCAATATTACAAAGCTAATAGATTGTTACACTTATCATTTTTACACGTTCAGATTGTTCTATATCGTCCATTCATTCATTACATTTCACCAAAGTACACCAATCAACCAAACGTTGATTCACTGTCTATTCAAAGAGCAAAAAATTGTATAAGTGTTGCTAGAACTGTTGTTAATCTAGCTCAAGATATGATCAAGAAAAATATGCTATCAGGGTCATATTGGTTTTCGATTTATACCATATTCTTTTCAGTTGCATGTTTGGTTTATTATGTCCATGAAGTTCCATTTGACGAATTTCATCCAGATTATATAGGTATTAGATCTGATGCAGAAGCTGGTAAAGAAATTTTAACTTTATTAAAAGATAGCTCAATGGCTGCTTCAAGAACTTATAATATTTTAAACTCACTGTTTGAGCAATTAAATAGAAAAACAGCTTATCTGCATGCTCAGAGACAACAACAACGTCAAAGAGAAGAACAATTATCCCAACAATCTGCAAGTCAAACACAGCAACAACAGCAACAACAATCATCTCAACAATTACCACAACCTCAAATACCACAATCTCAACAATCAAATATCTTGTCTAATAATTATTCAGTGCCAATTGCGCAAAATTTGACAGCTTCAAATGTGAATAACAATACAAATAACTTTTCATATCCTAATCAACAATCTCAACCATCACAACAAAATATTCAACCTTCAGTTACACCTTATGATATCAAAATAGAGGAAAGTTTAGATGATTTTGATTATTTAGCTAATTTTGATAACTTTATAAATCCAAATTCACAATTTTCACAACCTGCCAATCAAATATCAGCTACAAAGAATACAACTACAAATAATACAACTACACAATCTACACAATCATTACCAACATCAACTAACAAACCAATTGACGACCTTAATAATAATTCAACTTCTGATAATTCAACAAATATTACAGGCCAAACTCCAGCTATCGTACCTACAGAACCAGGTGATAATTATATGCCAGGTATGATTGATCAATTAGATATGCAGATTTTCGGTAGATTTTTACCACCATATATGCTGAAGAGACCAGATGGTACAACTGGTCCAGGTGCAAAAGGTGGGGATTTACCATCAGGTTTAAATACAACAAACAATCCAACCAAACTTGAAGACTTACCAAATCTGAATAATGAAAGTAGTAACTTTACAAATACTGCAACTACAACTAATGGACTTGGTAATGCATTTGAAGGTAGTATTTGGAATGAATTGAATGACGGTGATTTCACCAAATTTGTATGATAAAATTCACTTAATGAATAGTAACTTAATTACTAATAATAATTTAATGTATAATTTTAATTACAGCTTATTTATATAATAAATTTCATCTAGAAATATAGGACATTATACGTCTGCACGCGATCTATTGTAAATGATATACCTTACCTGAAACAACTGCTCAGTTACAGACAATAAGTGGATTAGACCTAAAGTGAAAGTAACCATATTATGGACATAGGTCTACTTGTTACTCTTCATGAATCAATGTTATCTCATGAAAGTACGTTCAGTATCATTTGACAACACTTTCAATATTTTGATGTGCTGGATAGTATTGGACCCGGTTGGTGTACTACTGTGGATCATTATATAACTTTAATTTTTGAGGTGTATGGTGTATGTATCTAGTCTAGAATCACCGAACAAACAAAGTTTAAAGAAACTCACAATTTCAACTCCAAAAGTCATTTGTTTGCTCTTTTTAATACCTTTTAAAGTTTCACTCTAGTATGACTTTCAAACTCAATTGGTTGAAATTGACTTCAACAATAGACTAATTCGGTACCATTTATCTATTTGCCATCCGTATTATGGGTTCAAAGCTTTGAACAAAGATGATGTTGAAAAGTATATATAAGGTACCCCATTTCATCTTTGCTTGAAACATTTGATATTGATTTTTTGATTGTTTACTAACACCAAGAAATATGTCAACTGAACACGATCAAGCTACTGTCAGTAGTCCAACTGACCAATATCATTCTGAGAAGTTCCCTCAACAACAACAACCGGTTACTAAGAAGTCAACTAGAGGTGGAATTTTGGGGAAAATTGGCTCCAATCCTTTAATAACTTATGGTTTAAGAGCTGCTCAATTCATTTTCAGTATCGTTTCGTTAGCTTTGGCAAGTCGCTCTCTGAACAAGTTTTACAATGGCGAAAGACGTATGAGATTCACTTCATTTGTTGGAGGTTTGACATTGGCCTATTTGATTCTTTTAGGATTTATTTCATTCATCAAACCATCCTTCCTTATGTCAGGACCAATTATGATCATGGAATTATTATTGACCATTTTTTGGTTATGTGCTTTCATTTCAACAGCCGCTCGTTATAGTCAGTTTTCCTGTAAAGTCCGTCGACAATCAAGCTATGGTAGCTCAGGTTATGGTTCAGGATCAGGTTATGGCAATACTGGTGGTTCAGGATATGGTAATTATGCTAGCTATCCAAGTTATGGTAACTCAACTCATATCAAAGGTTGCAGATCAGGAAAGGCAGCTGTCGCATTTTCTGCATTCTGCTTCTTATTGTTTGCCTTATCATCTGCACTGTTATACTACAATGTTATTAGAAGACTTTTAGCCAACAAAAAGAGAAATTCATTCTTCCAAACAGGTGCCCAAAGTGGAGTGAGACTGAATAAACCAGCTCTAGCTTTCAGCAGACATTATAACGTTGATTCAGATAATGAAGGTGATTCAATTGGTCGTAAATATAGCTCACACGATGTTGAATCTGGTGCTGGTGATACACATACATATACTAATGAACATAATGATGGTGTTACTCGTGGTGGTTATAATACAAGAGCTGGAAATGAAAGTAACTATGGGGATAATTATGGTAATACTTATGGTAATAACCAGAGTGGTAACACCAATTATAATCAACAGACAACCGAAGGTTATAGTGGTCAATATGGATCGAAGATTTCTTATCCTGAGACTTCATATCAGTCAAGAGCAACTTGAAAGGCTATTGAAATTATGCCAAATGAAGAATGTTGGATTTTATCTTTATTTCAGTTAGCAATGATTTTAGTACTTTTTCACATTAATTTTTATTATATACTTAATTAATATATATTAATAATTTGACACCAGGATACCAGGATCAAAGCTCGTGATAAGTCGATCAGATCAGTAACTTTTCACTACACGTACACGTGTAAAACTAGTATAATATTAACAATATGGATTATAATGCTATATAATATGACTAGATGGTCAATATTTTATGATAATGTCCATAAATAGATGGGACCTTATTAGTTAATAAATATCTCACAGAAGAACTCTCGACCAACTAATATAGTTAAAAATTTTCGAATATATTATGCTGTTGTATATGTAAACATATAATAATTAATTATAATGAATAGTATTAATGACCAGCTAGTCCATAATATTACATTTTGAAACGTCTATTAATATATAAATGACGAGGCATTTATAAAGGTATATACGTAAATCGGAGATGGTGTATACAGGCATATTCAATCATGATCATCAATTTATTTTTAAATAACTTTTTTTTTTTCATATAGAATATTTTTCATATAGGACAATTGAAAATGAAGTATCAATGGAACAGAAGACAAAAAAATAACAAACTCTAACTATAATATAAAATGAACTTAAACAAACATAAATGAATAGACAAACAAATGACAAAACAATTCTTCAAATGATATAATGAGAATGAACATCATAGACATAAAAAACAAAACAAAACATATAACTATAAGGACAACATGAGGTCAACAAAAATAATCCATAATAATAATTTAATATAATAAACAATTTCATAATCATTATCGTAACTAAACAATCAACCAAATAATCTTTTCAAATCAATTCTGGTAGTTTATATTCTTGAATGAAATATTGCCATTCTTACCATTAATAGGGACTTCTTGTGGGGCAAAATTAGCACCATTTTGTTGATTGTAAACTAAATGTTGATTGAGATTTTGATCTTGACCAAAATGATATTGTGGTTGATAAGTTTGATATTGTGGCGGTAAAGCTTGACCGGGTATACTTTGAGGAGCAATTTGTTGTTGAGGTTGTTGCTGTTGAGAAGCAGATGTAGCAGTTGGTGGAGGTGGAGGTGGAGGTTGCTGCTGTTGTAATTGTGATTGTTGTGGTTGTGGGGATGGAATTGCTGAATTTTGATTTTGAATCATTGGTGTTGATAATGAAGGTGATGCTCTTTTACCACGACCTTTAATACCTCTATTTGAATTTTTGTATAGACTTCCAAAATAATTCAATAATTCACGCTCATTTGGATTCATGGCATTATTTGGATCTTCTGGGTCAATTTCAGCAAGCCTTCTTGTTAATTGATTTAAAGTTGCTAAATGAAATCTATTTTGATGAGCCTTTAAATTACCCAGTTGTGTAAATGCTTTATTACAACCATCTAATTTACATTCATATGGTTTCAAATTAGCATGTGTCAATTTATGAGCAGCCAAATTTCCCTTTCTTGAAAAGCTTCTTCCACATGTTTCACAAACATAAGGTTTCTCACCTGTATGTAATCTTAAATGAGTTCTTAAATTACCACCTTGAGTAAATCTTTTACCACAATAATTACATTCAAATGGTTTATAACCAATATGCGATCTAACATGAACTTCTAAATGAGTTGATTGTGTGAAATTTTTATGACAATATTGACATTCATGATTCTTGGAACCTTTAGTCTTTGGTTTATCAATTCCACCAACTAATTCAGTTTGTTGTGGTAAAACTCCATCACCTGTATCTAAAATACTACCATCATCAGCTTGTTGAATAGCACTGTGAACACCTTTCTTACGAGCTTGAATAACCAGCATTAATTGATCAACTTTAGTAGCACCTAGTAATGGACGACCATCTTCAGTTACTGCTGCTTCTTGGGCAGCCATTAGCCTATGACCCTCAGAACTATTGGAATATTGAGAAGAAGTTGGGGAAATATGTGAAGGTTGAGCAGAAGGAGATAGTGTATTTGTGGTTGTATAATGTGGACTTATTGCAGTATTCGATGGTTGGTTTTGACCCAAGCGTTGCTGCTGTTGCTGTTGTTGTTGGTGCTTTGTTGTTTTAGGTTGAATAGCATTTCTTCTATTTTTACCATTATTTGAATCTTGACTTGACCGATTTGAGGATTTTGATCTTGATGTTTTAGGCTTTGGTTGTGGTGATTTACTGAGAGGTTGATCTTTTTCTTGATTCTGCTGTTGAGGAACTTGTGGGGTTGGTTGTTGTTGCTGCTGCTGTTGATTCAATTGGTATTGTGGTTGATATTGCTGAAATCGTTGTGTTTGATTTGGAATTTGTTGCTGTTGATTGTAGTCATTGATTGGTAATTGAGGTTGACGAAATTGTTGTCCTGGTTGTTGGAGTTGTTGAGTTTGGGTTTGTCTTGAATCTGGACTTTCATTTATTGTATCTAATTGAGCATCTGATTCTGATTTTGTTTCTCTTTTTTTCTGTTGTTCATCATTTGGTTCGGCCTTGATATGGAAATCATCATCAATAGGTTTAATGGAATCTCTTTTAGCGAAAATATCAAAATCACTTCCTTCACCAAATGAATTGTTATTCAAGAAACTTGGTACCCTTGAATTTCTGATTGAATCTTTTCTTGTGAAAAAATCAAAATCTTCACCAAATGGAGCACCTTGATATAAAATAGAACCACTTCTTAAGCTTTGATTATTACTATTGTTATTGTTATTATTGCTATTACTACCTTGAGTTGAACTTGATTTGCTTGAAAAATTTGGAGCTTTTAGCTTGACTGCAGGATTAAAAGGTTCCAATTGTTCAGAAGGTCTTCTGACACCATTGTAGAAAGAATAATCACCCGGCAAATTGTTGTTATTGTTATTGTTATTATTATTGTTATTGTTATTGCTTCCCTGTTGAGGCTGAGGTTGACCTCCTTGTTGACTTTGACTTTGACCTGGAGGTAAAAACATATTGTTTAATATAGAATAACCACGACCATTTGAATCATAATTGAATCCTTGATCACCAGGTGCTGGTAAATTTAAAAAATTTGATATTGAGGAGTTTGAATCTGTTGAAAATCTCGGTCCGTTGTTCCCAAAATTTGTGTAAAAGGATAAAGAATCAGCACGACCTGTTCTTGGAGCTGTTACATCACTTTGTTTTTGATTTTGTTGACCATTATTCTCAATATTTGACCCAGTATTGTTGAATTGCTGTGAAGGAAATGATTTACCAGGATTATTTTCATTTTCATAATAACTTTGATCATAATTTCTGGGACTGGCACCTGTATTTGATATAGAGTTGAATCTTTGATTATTATTTCCATTATTTGTTGTGGATTGTTTTGTATTTAGATCATCATTTCTGTTTGACCCATCATTTGGGTTATTGCTATTGAATGTCAAGGCATCCATACTTGGAGTAATTTGATAGCAAAAAAAAAAGCCAGTTGTATAGATTTGATTCAAAAGTTAATATAGCACACTAGATATGTTATTTTTATTTGCTTTTGTTATAACCAGATGATGTTTTTAGTTTGGATAGAAGGCAAATTTATGATAACTATAATAACAAAGCGGAAGAGAAAAAAACACCACCACTAAGGAAAAAAGCCCAGTTGCCGAAACTAATGATGACTCGGTATGATTGTATATACTGTTGATGGGAAATGTGGTTGTTGATGTGTAGTTTGTTAATGTTGTTTATTGTTGTTGTTGATCTGTTGATGTGAGTCGACTTCCTTTTTATGGGGTTTTGAACTTGACGTTGGTTACTTTTTTTCCTGTCTGATATGTAAATAGTAAATAAGCTTCCTTAATAATATGATTAAATCCTAGATCTGAGGCCGCTGAATGCTAAATTGCACTGGGTTCAATTGTGCACACAGTATTTTAGACAGATGTTTGTTTGTATGGTTAGCGCTGTGTTTATAGAACAATTATTGACAAGTTTTCTTGATGTAAATGGTAAAAGTTTAAGATACTGTGACCCTTGGTTTTCAAATTTGATGTGCCAGTTTTGAATTTTGAATTTTATGCTCACCGTTTCAAATTCGAAAATTCCAATTTCCCAGCAAGCAAATTGACCAAAATTCTGGAAAGCGCGAATCCAAAAAGGCAAAGAACAAAATCCCGATGAAAATTGACAGAAATTTTGAATTTTCGATCAATTACGTAATTGTTCATGCATCGAAATGTCATGTGATCAGTCAGGTGACTTTCAAATTCAATGCTGACATAAGAAACTTTCAAATGGGATAAAGAAAAAAAAAATTTAAAGAGATGAGCCTAATATAGGTATTATAGAAAATCATACAACAAATCAAGAAAATAAGACAGCTATCTAATCATGTCTGTTGAAGAACCAGTTAAAGATGTCGATGTCTCTATGCAAGATGATGAAGAACAAGAAGAACAATTAGATACAGAAAAGATCAAGATAGTATGTTATACAAAGAAGAATCAAAAAGATAAAATATGTCAAGATCATTACTAATAATTCATTTTAGCTGCCTGGTGCTACTGAAGATGGTACTGCTGCTTCTTTTCAAATCTTAGACGAAGATCATACTTTAGGTAACGCTCTTAGATACATAATAATGAAGAAGTAAGTTTTGTTCAGATATTATATATCCATATTATTGAAATACTAACAATCATTTAAACAGCCCAGATGTTGAATTTTGTGGTTATTCTATTCCTCATCCTTCAGAAACTAAATTAAACATTAGAATTCAAACTTATGGTGATATGACTGCTGTTGAAGCTTTACATAAAGGTTTAGATGATTTAAGTGATATGTGTACTCATATTGAAGATAAATTTGCTGAAAAAATCAATAAAGCTGATTATCCAAAAGAAGAACCATAAATAGAATTTCACAGGATAAATGCAACATGTATTTAGACAATAAAAAAGTTAGAGAATTTCAATGTACAATAGATTTTAATTTGAAACGATATGGTATTCAAATGTAGTTAAGGGGAGTAGAGAAGTAATTAACTTACAGTCTAGTGCCATATACCAAAAAGCAGAATCAAGGTATACTAGATATTACGCATAAGATTAATTAAATATTGTCATGGCCTAGAGGTTTGTTATATATATTATAAGTGGCTTCGAAACTTTATCCGTTGAAGATCATATTGTATATATTATGATATATAGACCATACAAGCCGGAAATGAGATCAATTAATTCTCAGTAGAACAAGTAACACATGTAAGTTCTTGTAACATGACTTCCCAAATCCTAGATAGTCAATGAAACACGATTAACAAGATATTGTTGAATAAAATCGTTTATTATATTGATATAAATATTATTATAATATATAATAATTGAAATATTATAATTTACCCTACTAAATAATTACATAATCACTGATTAACTATCAAGAAAATTAATTTTTTTTTTTAAATTTCTGTTTTTCAGATGATCTATAAAAAAAAATTTATTTCCTACTTTTCTCTTAGCTCCCCTTTTCTTAAAATAAAACTTCAACATTCTTTATTAGAATTTATCAATTGAATTTTTAAAAAGAACTATTAACAATAAAGATGTCTTACGGTGGTAACTTTGATCGTAACGGTGGTTATAACGCCGGTAACTTTGGTAACAGAGGTGGTGACAGAGGTTCTGATAGAAACTTTGGTTACAGAGACGGCGGCTTCGGTGGTGGTCGTGGTGGTGGTCGTGGTGGCCGTGGTGGATTTGGTGGCCGTGGCGGTGGTCGTGGTGGATTCGGTGGTGACAGAGGCTTTGGTGGTGATAGAGGTTTCGGTGGTGGTGATTTCGGTGGTGATAGAATGTCAAACTTGGGTGATGGTTTACAAAAACAAACCTGGGATTTAGACTCTTTACCAAGATTTGAAAAAAACTTTTACAAAGAACATGAAGTTGTTAGAAACAGATCAGAAGAAGCTGTTCAAGCTTTTAGAAATTCACATGAGATGACTGTTATTGGTACTAATATTCCAAAACCAATTGAAGAATTTGACGAAGCTGGTTTCCCAAGTTACGTTTTAGATGAAGTTAAAGCTCAAGGTTTCGCTAAACCAACTGGTATTCAATGTCAAGGTTGGCCAATGGCTTTATCTGGTCGTGATATGATTGGTGTTGCCGCTACTGGTTCAGGTAAAACTTTATCTTATGCTCTTCCAGGTATTTTACACATTAACGCTCAACCACCATTAAGTCACGGTGATGGTCCAATCGTTTTAATTTTAGCCCCAACAAGAGAATTAGCTGTTCAAATTCAAACTGAATGTTCAAAATTCGGTCACACTTCAAGAATTAGAAACACTTGTGTTTACGGTGGTGTTCCAAAAGGTCAACAAATTAGAGATTTAGCTAGAGGTTCTGAAATCTGTATCGCTACTCCAGGTAGATTAATTGATATGTTGGAATCTGGTAAAACTAACTTAAGAAGAGTTACTTACTTAGTTTTAGATGAAGCTGATAGAATGTTGGATATGGGTTTTGAACCTCAAATCCGTAAAATTATTGACCAAATTAGACCAGATCGTCAAACTCTTATGTGGTCCGCTACATGGCCAAAGGAAGTCCAAACATTAGCTCGTGATTACTTACATGATTACATTCAAGTTAATGTTGGTTCTTTAGAATTAGCTGCTTCACATACCATTAAACAATTAGTTGAAGTTGTCTCAGATTTTGAAAAAAGAGATCGTCTGTTAAAACATTTAGAATTTGCTATGTCTGATAACAACTCAAAAGTTTTAATTTTCGCTTCAACCAAAAGAACTTGTGATGAAATCACTAAATACTTAAGAGATGATGGATGGCCAGCATTGGCCATTCACGGTGATAAACAACAACAAGAACGTGATTGGGTTTTAGGTGAATTCAGAGCTGGTAGATCTCCAATCATGGTTGCTACTGATGTTGCTGCTCGTGGTATTGGTAAGTTTTCTTTTTTTGCCCTTTAGGGTTTACTGACTATATTTCTTTTAGATCCTTGAATTTTATGACACTCAAACAGATTTTGAAAAATGTTTGATTTTAATGATACCCATGAAATTATGATACCCTCAAAACCATTTATTGGTTGAAATTTATTTCTATGAGGGGGTGATGATGTATTTCCTAATAGTGTTTGATTTATGGAAGTGATGTTCCAATATCCACTTTGATGCATTTTGAATTCCCTTCATTCACTTTGAAAGTGATTTCATCGTTCCTTATTTGATATGAGTTGAGCGACAACTAGATAAAAAGAGTTTTTTCCAATTTAATTGGGAAATTTTCGAAAGAAAAAAAGAATATGAACCTGGGTTCAAAAGTTTCGGATTGGAAGTTTGATAAAACTTATTAGATGAATTTACAGCCTCTTTGGGCATATCTGAAAAACAAGAAATTTAATAGACTGATGTTGATGATGACTTTTTAAAAATATATTAATCTTGAGGCCCTTGTGCGGGTTTGTCAGTTTTCTATTCAAATGGAATTCGCCTCATTGATTGTATTATTTAAGTCAATATCCGTCTTAATAGAGTTACAAATGTTTTTGTTTAGATACAAAACTTGTGATTCTTGTTTAAATTTTTCAGAGATATGTTCTTATAACTTCATCTAAATAGGTTTTAATAAATGAAAGCTTCTATTCCGAATAATGAGATCCAGTAGTCTTTTCAATCTCTTTATTATTGCTATATTTATCTCTTGATTGAGTTGTCATGTGTTTCAAAGGTCTATCTATTGCTACCCCTGTGGACAATATATCTTAGTCATATCTTTTATGAAAGATCATTTTTTACTAACAACTGATTTTTTTTAGATGTTAAAGGTATTAACTTCGTTATCAACTTTGATATGCCAGGTAACATTGAAGATTATGTTCATCGTATTGGTAGAACAGGTAGAGCTGGTACTTCAGGTACTTCAGTTTCATTCTTTACTGAAGGCAATTCAAAATTAGGTACTTCATTAATCAAAATTTTAAGAGAAGCTAACCAAGAAGTTCCACCAGCTTTAGCTCCATATGACAGAGGTTCATTTGGTCACAGTCGTTACGGTGGTGGTGGCCGTGGTGGTCGTGGTGGTTTCGGTGGTCGTGGTGGTGGCCGTGGCCGTGGTGGTTTCGGTGGTGGTCGTGGTGGCCGTGGTGGTTTCAACCGTTATTAGATCACCTAACTATCATCATAAATTATGGTTACATTTAGATTTATCAAATATTATAGTTAGATTATATTATAATAAGGGTCGGTTAATTTACAAAATTTAAATTGGTTTTCATTACTTGTTGCTGTTTTTTCTTAAATTATTTTTGCTAGTTACTTTTTACATTATAGAATATACATTTTAGTTAATACGTTATCTCAAAGTCATTTATGTAGAATCTATATATATATATATATATGGTTTACCAACCATCACCCCAACCATCATCCCCTGCAGTATCATCAAGTTCAAGTTTCAATTTACTTTTAGCCTTAGGTTTCAATTGTAAACCTTTCTTTGCAGGTGCACTTGTAGTTCTAGTTCTAGTTATAGGCTTTGGATCAGGTTTAGATCTTGCTGTATTTGATGTTGATCCAAACATTGGTTTAACAACAGGTTTGACAATCTTTGGTTGTTCAACTGGTGTTTCTTCGAATTCCGTAACATCATCTTCAGCACCCCATCCATCATCATCATCAATTTGAATTTCATCATCATCAGCACCCCAATTTTCAGTATATTCAACTTTTGTAGGCTCATTCTTAACAATTGGTTCTTTTTGGAACGATGAAACGACTGATGGTGTGGTAGATCTACTATCAGTTGGTGTTATGTTATTATTAGCATCTTGATTCAAAGAGCCACCAAATCCACCAGTGAACTTATTTAATGCATTTGAAAAATTTAAACCAAAATTTTGAACATCAGAAGTAACTTGATCCATTGCATTTTCATCAGCAGTAGAGTCATTATCAGGTGGTAACTTTGAAGCTTCTTCTTTAATCTTATTGAAAAATAGATCAAACGCCTTTTGTGCTTCATCTCTAACTTTTGAACTTTTATCCAACAATGAAGGTGCAATAACTGAAAGAATCTTATTACTAATAACTTCAGGACTGAAATAGTTTATACAACTTGTGATTGCCATAATAGCCGCTAATCTTGAGTGAATAAAAGGATCTTTCATGGCTTTGGCAAAAGCAGTAGCCAATATAGATGCTCTAGAAGAATTACTCAAATATTCAGCAATTTTACCAAGACAAATTGTAGTATTTGTTCTAATTTCTGGTTTTTCATCACTTTGAGTTTTAGCTAAAAATCTTAATAAATCATTATTTAATTGTCTCTCTGATAATTTTGGTGCAATTAATAAAACTGCTTTTATAGTTTCCTCTCTGATTGCAGGATTAGAATCTGAAAATCCAGTAACAAAATGTTGGAAAATTCGATCACTAATGTCTGATTTTGTTAAAACATCCATGAATTTTGGTAATGAAGCTAATAATAACACACGAATTTGCCTATCAGGTAAAGTAAAAGCTTTCAAGATGATTGGTTTGACAATTATGCTCTTATTGTTTTCTGGTAAAGCATCACCAAAAGTTAAGATTAAACGTAGTGCAAACGCAGCATTTTCTGGACTTTGCGTGAAAAATGTAATTAATTCAGGTATGATTCTATTTTCCAAGAATCCTGGAGGAGCATCATTTTTGACATTTTCAATATTTTGGAAAAATTGTAACTTTTCTTGATCATCTCTTAATTGAAATTCATCAAGTTCTTTATAAGCTGTAATTAAATCGGTATTAAAATAAGAATTTGTACCATTTTTTAATAATTGATCAACCGTAGGTCTAACTGTTACTGATGATGCAATTAACTTCTTGTAAGCAGCTAATAAACTTCTTGGAACTTTGGAACCTTTTGTTATATCATCATTTGTGATTGAATATTTACCAATATTGAATAATTTATATATGAAAACAGCCAATCTCCACGTATCAAATTTGATAGCTTGTGAACCTCTCAACACATCAATACCATTTGATGCAACTTCTGGTGATAATAATTCATTAAACCCTGATAGTTTCCCTGATAATCTATACAAAGCTTGATCAGGATCACTTTTTAAATTTGTGACAACTTCAAACCCACCTAATTTAAATTCACCACGTTCATTAATAAAAACTGTTGTAAAATCCAAATATCCCAATACAGAAGAACCTTCAACATTAATATATTTAATAGCTTTAGCAACAGAATGGATAACTAACAATTTAATCTGTTCTGTTAAATCTTCATTATTTTTCAAATAATTTGCTAATGATTGAACTCTTTCAGAAACAATATATAAATTTGAATCATTTTCAAAAGTATCCAAAATTTTCAAAATACCAGGTAATCTTATCCCTCTGATTTTTCTCAATGAATTTGAGGCCAATGGTAATAAATCAGGACGTGCTTTAATGTCAAATTCAAATATTGTACATGGTGTGCCATCATCTTTTTTAGTACCATCATAAATTTTCCAAATTGGGGCAATGTAAGAAGGATTGGGCACTTGTTCTTCACCAAAGTTGTATGGGATTGACCCACCAGTCAAAGATGTAAATGTCTTCGAGAGAAAGTTCATTGTGACCTGTTTGACTAGCTCTTTAAATACATATTCTTTTGTTTATGTTATTGTTGATGTTTTGATCCACGTCTAATTATAAAATTGACATTTGTCGAATTTTTCGCGACTTTTGATCTAACTATTCAATATAGGCACAGAACTACAATGCAACGGATCTATTTAATTTATTGTTTTATTCGTTATATACATTAGAAACCATCTGAACCGTTGAATCCAATGAATCCAGTCAACAAGAATATGTTATAGTATGGCTTTTTGGCGATTTGATTGGTATGATTCCAAGCACTTGTTAAACGACCATCTATACATGAACCAGACATGTAAAAATTATCAGCACCACTACCATCAAACATATGAGCATAACAATCTTGTAAGATTGATAATTTTAATTTTTCAGAATTTCCAAATTGATCTTGAATATATCTTTTTGTGAAAGGATCATTATTTAATTCATCAATTTTCAAAAGACATTGATCAATTGGAATTAAAATATTTGGAACTTGAGTATATTTATCCAAGAAATGTAATGCATTTGGAACTGCATCATCACCAAGATGTACCACACTTGAACCAATCCAATTTGAACATCTTGATTTACATTCTCCGACAATTCTATACATTTCCTTGTATAATGCCGGGCATGCTTTAACTCTATGTAAACCTTGACCTGTAAAAGATAATTTATAAGCTCTACCATCAAACATATCATCATCTGCAATTGACCAAAGACGGATCATTTCTCTTTGAATAATAGACCATAGAGTTAAAGATTGGTAAACATATTGGAATTGTCTATCATGATCATGTGTTAATCTTGCTCCGGATCTACCATATTGAATACCAATGGAAAATTGTGATTTAATATCATCTTCATTAAATTGATTTAATCTTTCAATAAATCTTAAAATTGGTTTACGATTCATATGTGTATAAGCATTATAATCACCGATTGAATATAATACTTGACGAATTTCTTCTTTTGAAAAACCTCCTCTGAATGAAGAATATTTTGATGATAATTTTTCAATTGAATTTTCTTTGATTTTAATATCTCTTTGAACTTCACGTCTTGATTTCCCTACTGGTGAAATTTCAGCTGTAGCATAAATAATTAATTCATCATCAAATAATCCTAAAGCTTTCCCTTGATCTTCAGGTCTAGAACTTAGATAACTATAAACTGTTTTAATTGGTTTATAAAGATGGAATTCCATATGTGATTCAATTTCTGGTAATCTTGAATCCATAACCATATAACATAATTTCCCGAAATTTTCTCTCATTCTTTCAGGATTCATAATTTTATAACGTCTACCAATTTCAAAAACAGTCTTATACCAATCAGCATTATCTTCAAAATTTTTATTCTCAATTAAATTTTGACCACTTTTCAAATTTGATGCAACAACAAGACCTGCTAAGACAGAGCACATTTCTTTCAATTGTGATACGATTCTCTTAGATTTTGAAGTGTGTGATACGATATCAACTTTATCAGTGTATTGAGAAACACTTAGAGCGGCTTCTAAAAGATGTAATAAATGACGTTCTTCAGCGGTTAATCTTAATGGGATATATTTGACTTGATTCTTGATACTTTCCACTAGTCTTCTGTTGATGGAAGTTTCAGCTGGTACCGGAGCGGCATCCCCATCGACTTGAGTATCTTCATCATCTTGATTATCATCTTCATCCTTTGTTGGTTGTTTTTTCGAATCACCATTTGAGGTATCTGGGGTTTGTTCGGAGTACAATTTAATTGAATCATGGGTTTTTCTTTTACCACCATTATGTATCAAATTAAAACACCCACCACAGAAATTTTCTTCACAACTATTACAAACAACTTCTATTCTCATATCTTGACATTCTGCACATAATTCTGAATTATTGGGTTGTTCTCCATTGGCATCTTCTTGAGTAGCATCTAAATGTGCTAAATCTCCCGGTTGTTTCACGTCAGCTTCTTCGATCTCGACATCGTTGTCACCATCCAATATGTCCTTCAATGTTCTAGACTCCATGATGTTCTCGTATAGTTACAGATTAACAAAATCTCCAGAAATGTTCTTTGAATGTGTCAATAAAGTACTTTTTCTCTTTTTCGTTTATTTTCTTTCAGATTCTCGATTGAAGATTCTGAAAAATTAAAATTAAAAAAAAAAAGAGATGGTTAAGTAATCCCGCGAATTTCTGGTATACCAATGAACGTTCGAATAAATTGATGACTGATAAGCAGGTTTGATAAGCTGGGGATCGTGTAGTCAAGTTGAATACTGAGTGGACTAGTATTGATGCAGTGTAATGGGAAAATGCACAGTACTCGTGAGAAGCTATCCTAGTTTAATATGAAACATCACATCGTATGATGGTCAGCTTTACCTCTACTGTTATTGGCTCTTGTTATAAATATACGTGTATTGTACAAAATTAACTGATATTATAACCAAAATTCTATTAAGTAGTGCTGAAAACAATGATTAACTGAATAAATAGTAGGGAAGAAAGTAATTATGACTGAATGACTTATTTTTATTTGAGATCCAATAGATCAACTTGATCAAATCATTTCAATAAGATAAAATATGCTAAAATTGCAATAATAATAACAATGATTGCAATAATTAAACCAATATTTTGTTCACCACCAGTGGTACCTGCTCCACTTGATGAATCTGCTGAAATTGGAGCACTATCTGGATCAACATCACCAATATATAGAGGGATCAATTGTTCTTTAGCATCTTCTGAATGTCCGATATCCTATATTAAATTGTTAGTTGATCTGATTTCCCAACAAAAAATTATTTCAAACACATACATCGAATGGACCTGTAGCATCTTGACCACCACAATCAACCATAACTTCTTCACCACCTCTGTTTCATCGTTAGTTGCTTCCCTCATTATGTATAAATATCTATAATACTCACGGATGCTCATCTAAAAATGGAGTACAAGCATAAACTTTACCATCTATAACCATCCAAAGGTCTTCTGCAGTGTTGTGTTCGGCAATTTCATCATATGTGAATATTTTAGCTGACATTGTAATAGTTCTTGAGGGTTAAAATTAAATTATGATTAGAATAAGATTAAATTCAACAAGCAAAATCAAAGAATAACTTCAAAAATTGGATTTCATTCGTTTAAATCAAATTTAATTCCTTTGTAATTTTTTTCGTTGAGCTTAAATCAGCGTGTCCGAAACTAAAATTCTTTCATAGCTGTGAAAAAAACTGAAAATTCGCGAGATATTCGGACTATTTTTTACCCAATTAGGATAATTTTTACCATATTATTAGAATAGAATATGGAAAGTTAGAGCTACAATAAAAATTCAAAAGGTTTTGTTAACAATCTATTGTACAATTTTTATATATGGTAGGTTTTAGAATCCTTGGATTACGGATCCTATGAGGGAAGTGTAAGCAATTCGTTTAGTTATCGATAATATGTCCAATTCAAGAAAATGCCCGAATCTAAGTATATCGTATGATAATGAATGCAATTATTGAATTTTAAACGTAGAAGTATATGGTGATGTCCATCATGATCATGGATTTAATGATATAAATTGATTGGTGCCTTAAAAGTTAATACCAGCAGCTTCTAAAGCTTTAGCTCTTTTTTCTCTTTTAGCTTGATCTTTTGCATTTAATTTACCAACATCTTTTTTCAATTTACTAACTTTGAAAAAAGCTTTTTTAGCTTTTTTAGATGATTTAAATTCTTCTTGAACTAATTCAACTTTTAATTGATGATTCATTAATAAATAATTATTCATTGTTTCTTGTGCAATTTTTGCATCATCACCATTATTAAATTCTAAAAATCCAAAATGTCTTGAATTACCAGTTTTTTTATTACGTGCTAATTTGATATTTGTTATTTCACCAAATTGATTGAAATATTTACTCAATTCTGCTTCTTCAAACCCATCTGGTAAACGACCAATATATATAACACCTTTTTTGGTTTTTTTAGATTTTTTATTAGTTTTATTATCAACTTTTGGTAATTTTTTAACTTGATGTGTTTCAGCTTTAGATTTTTTGCTTGATTTCTTTTCTTTTGGTTCTTCTTCTTCTTCTTCTTCATCATTTTCACTTTCATCATCATCTTGTTCTTCTTCATCTTCATCATCTGTACTTGAAAAACCACCTAATTCTTCATCTTCAAAATCTTCATCATCAGAAGATTCATCATCTTGTTCTTTTGATGAAGCATTCTTCTTTATTTTTAAAGTACCATCATCTTCAAAATCAGTATCTGATTCATCATCACTTGATTCATTAGGTACTTGTTTTAATTCATCTTCATTTTCACTTTGAGATTCTGATTCAGGTTCTGGTGCAGCTTTTTTAGATTTTATTATAACTTGTTTAGTTTCTTTTTTAGGTCTAACGACTTTACCTTCCTTTTTTGGTTTAACAACTGATTTCTTAACGATCTTGGTACCCATATTTGTCGATTTGTTCTGTATTCTGTTAAGGTTTTCAATTATGCCTCTTTCTTAATAGATCACCTTTATTTTTTTTAAACTTTCTGTATGATAGAAAATTTTTTTAGAAGCTCATCGGACCGGGGCTTCAAACCGGAAATAGAATAGGTACATAATCAAGTATACCCATCTTCTTTTTGAAACACAATTATTTAGTAGAAAGGTATATATAGAGGCTTTATTGAAGGTGAATAGGACACATCTAAGAGCTATATGATCTCAAAGATATAGCACTCACACTGAATATTATTGTGAAATATCGAGCTATGGTTCTTTGTACCAGTGACTATCATATGGTCTCTAAACAACGTCATCACCTAGAGACAAATTCCAAAATCAAAAAATTTGAGTATATTCTGGTATTACAGGGAAATTATAAGGTAAAACTTACCTCATATTATCTAATTAATTAAGTACATACTTTTTCATTATGGAGAGTAATACAATCGACTACATATTTCCTGCTTAAAATATGTACAGCTTGGTATAATCAATAAGACATATATTAATCGACGTTAATATTATATACTCAGTTTTGAATATTCTTATTGATTTTCGGATCTTCAGTAAATATTTTTGAATCAATATAGACGTGCTAAATTTATAATTGATATACTGATTAGGCGAACAAATGATCACCAAAATATATAAATACATGAAGATATTCATGAGAATAGATACATACTAGCTGGTTGTGGTAATATTAGGGTGTAAGAGAGCATGTGTCCATATTCCAACAGAAGACTGAACAACATTAAATCGTTCAATCATCATGTTATACTAGACAGAATATTGTAAGCATAAATACTGGATACTGAGGTATCGACAGGATGTATATTTAAGGTATCTACTATATACTATATATATGACAGAAAGAAAATCAGAAGCAGTTAGTAATCCTAGAAAAGTCTAAGAGGAAGACCAAGACTAGTATTTAGTACAAATATATTAAAAGAACAACATTGACTTCAAATATGTCATCGTTGATCTTCATTTTCACTCACGTAAATTTTGACACATTGAGAACAAGAAGTAACCGGGCCAGCCAGCCAGCCTTTTGAGATTAAGTTTGATACCCACAACAAAAAGGAGAGAACCTATATATATGTTTTGTTTGCCATTTACTATAATGACATTCTATTAATCATGTAACCAAATAGCCCTGTTGATCACTTGATACTGTGTGCTCTTCTGGTTTCATTCATAAAGATCAAATCTACTAAATCCACATTATACCCGGACAAGAAACATGACTTTTAATGATAAAGAAGCTGATATGGCCCATGAGTTTACTTCTCCTAAAAAGAGACGTACTGGCTCCAATAAAAATTATACAAAAGGTGCAACCGAAGCTATTAGAAACCAAGTAGATGAAGTAGATGCTTTTGCAAAGCGGTATGAAGACACTCAAGATTCATCAAGTCCATTTGATTCAATATTCACCCAGAACAGACTAGAATAACCTTTTAGTCTTGAAATGTTTGATAAGGAAGCTCAAAATGATAAAATTAAGGTTAATGAAGAAGAAATAACAGCTGACGGAGAAACTAGCGAAGAAGGAAGTACTAGGAATGATGCCGGTGAAGAAAGTACAACTAACTCTGCTGAAGAAGAATCAATTACAGATGAAATCAGCTCAGAAATGACAAATGAGAACATTAGTGAACCAATAATGGAGAATGAAATAACAATCGAGTCAAACATTACAGACGATGTCAAAACTGAGGAGAAATCTAAGCTTCGTTTTATTAGAAATCCACATTATGATTCGAAGTTGACTCCAAAATGGTATGATATCCGCTCAATCAAAGAATTGATAAACATTTTGGAATCTGAGCAGTTTGAAAAAAGGAAATATTTAGTGGTTGATTCTTATTTAGCTAATGTTGCTATTGACCTAAGCTTTTTAGAGGGATTGAGAGAGACTTGTAAGTGTGCTGTCAATATTTACAAAGGAGATCAATTTAGAGAAGTCCATATTTATACTGGATGCATATATCATAAAAAGAAAAAAAGAGTATCAAAGTTCTGTGACAAATTTGGAAAACCAATAGAGTATTGTATCTATTGTGTTCCCAAGGGTCTTGACTTTGAAAACGACCCTCCACCAGCAGGTACATTCAGGGAATATTTCATGTTCCATTTAACACTTAAAGATGATAACGATCAGACATCAATTAATCGGATCACCAGCTTCAGTGAATTTACAGAAAATGTGTTACTTCCATATGAAGCATTAAGTGCATCAAATATAATGGCAGGCCTTGATGAAGAGGGTAGTAAACTTCTGGAGAAAGGTGGAGTTGTTGAAACCCGTCTTAGTTCAAAATTTAATTTTTCAGTCAAGACTACAAAGTCTTATTACAAAGCGGAAAATGGTGAATTACTGTACGGTCCCTCCCATGTCGTGGAACATATTGAGATTGTTGAATAGTACTTACAAATTCTACCTAATATAATTGTTTGTCGATTTATGTACTGTATTCTTAGCAAGTTTGTGTAGAATCAAGTCATAACCATATATAGACTATCTACTTACTACTGAGTATATAATCAAATAATACATGACTAAATCCTGAATGGACATTATCTTACTGTAGCTGCTACAGAAGCAGCTCAACTTTTATATCTGAGTATGTGCGTCGTGAACTTTAAAGCCGCTAATATCCATTCACTCAAGAGTCAAGAGGTACTACGTCCGCCTTTGTAGAGATAAAATAGTACCTTCAACACTCAGGTTTCCAAGCACACTGTGAATAAACGTTCGTATGCCCAAGCTTGCAAGTCAAATTCGAGTAAAAGAATAGTACCCACATGATTTCTAGTGGTCCTGATCTATAAGTTCAATATTGCGATTTATTATGATGAAACCATTTTGAAACGAATGTGAAACCAAAGTAAAACTTTCATGAATTATCTATATTTCTTTGATCAAGCCCCTTAAAGCTATATAAATTGCCATTCTGCTCCAGCTCAACTATTTCATTTATGAAAGTAAAGTTCTAATCATCCACCTCAGCTATCCATTTAGCAGAAGTAACTTATAGAGAGTAATTGAGCTGGTATAAACTAAGTGACTGGGTATTGTGGTACATCAAGATAAATATATTAAATACTAGATATTAATTTTTTTGTACTTCCATACACTGAAAATTATATAAATCTACTCTAGATACCATATCATCACTAAATATCGAATAGCTTGATATATCAACAGGTACCTAGATAATTTGCTGCTCAGTAATTTTGTGTGTTCAAACATGAGCCACAAGAGCAAACCAAAAACACCAGGCTCTTCGCCAAAGAAACTGGTTCAATCCAATCAAGCCATAAACACGGTAGACTTGAAGCTTGAAGATGAAGATGCTTTGAAAAGATTAAGCATCGTTTCACCCAAGGTCAACAAATCTCAAGGATCACCATCTCGTGGGGTTTCTAAGCCGATTTCAAACTCAAGGCTTAAGGAAATTTCGAGAAATTTAGAATACAAAGGTTCTCAATATAGGGATGGTATCTCGCAAGAAAAAACATCAACCCCTGCTTCAAGTTATGCTACTCGCTCTGTGTCAAATAGAGAATCATTGGGATCATCATTGTCTCAAACCCTGGGTGCTGAAGTTTGTGGTCAATTAAGCTCTCAGGGAGGTAATACATTAGGTATTGGTGCTTCTATTGAAATTGGACATACTTCAAAAGTTGCTGAAAATGCTTATTCTGAAAACAGCGATGAGGCAGATGAAGGTAGTCAAGAAGCTGAAAGTGACGAGTCTGAAAATGATGAGTCTGACAGCGAATATCATGCTGAAGAATCCGGGCCTGAGGGGTTTGGCGGTGAAGAATCAGATGTTGAAGTTGTGAAAAATGAAGAATCGAGCAGTGAGGCTGATTCAGAAAGTGAGGATTCAGAAAGTGAAGATTTAGAAAGTGAAGAGTCAGAAAATGAAGAGTCTTTGAATAAAGAAACATATTTTGAAGCTTCAGAAGAGGGAGATTCAAATTGTGAAGATTCAGAAGAGGTAGAAGATTCAGAAGATTCAGAAGATGAGGATTCAGAAGATGCGAATGGTGAAGAGTCATCTAGTGAAGCAGATAATAGTGCAATCAACCAGGAAAACAGTTCATTGGATTTGGAAATCTCAAGATCTGTACCTCCTACTATAGAAGCCAAATCAGAAGACTTTGGCGGTGATATCAGCATTTATGATGATAATGTTTATACAAATGGTCCGTATTCTGCTTGTGAAGTCTCAGGTGATTCTAGTTCAGAGAATGAGCAAAGTATTAAAGTTGTTGGAGCTACAAGTCCAAGGGTTCAAAAGCTGAAAATGGAGAATGATATCATTGATGAAACTGAATCTAGTGAAGATGACTATGGTGATGGACTTGGTCAAATTGTCAGTCATAGAGTTAGGATACCACCATGGTCATCATATTATGAAACCAAGTTCTATACAACGAGGAATATCAAAGAGATTTTATCTATTTGCAACTCGAATATTTTTTTTGAAAGGGAGGACTTACAATATGAATCTTTTATTAAACATGTTAAACTGGATAGAAGTTTTTTTGAAGGGTTGAGATCTGTTATCTACAATAATGGTTCATTTGGAGCTTCAGATTTCGAGAACAAACATATCTATAAAGGATGTCGTATTCACTTTAAAATCCCCAGTTTTTATAGGCACATTAACAAGAGTGTTTGCTCTTATTGTCTTAGAGACGGGTTTATCAGCCCTGAAGGTCATTATACTGAACTTTTCAAGTGCAAACTAAGATTTTACGATGAATTTGATGATATTCTAGGAATTCCAGATGTAACAAGCTTCAATGAGATTACTGAAAAGAGACTTCTTCCATTTGAATCATTAAGTGCTGAAAATATATCAAATGGATTAGTTCCAAGTGAGATGGAGGAATTTCTCCAAGATGGTGGTATGTTGGACCAATACCTCCACGACTCAACATTTAACATATATATCAAAACAAATAAATTCAGCTCTGAATTTTACTTTCCAAGGCCTTCTCATGTTTTAGAAGGGATTGAACGCGTTGAAAATTTTGACTTCGGTTCTGGTTCTAGAGTTAAATCACGCTACGAATGATTCATATACAGCGAAATCTATAACAATATTATGATATTTAAATATATATACTGAATTATACTGATTAATTTTTGAATGTAAGATCGTTTTTTAGTTATCATAGGTTAATACAGGTAGTTTAATGATCAAGTAGATATTCAAATATAGATCCAAATTACACAAATTTCGATGAATTTATAACAGCATGATATAATTTCACGTATAACTTCCGTAGTTTAACGTTCTACAAATTACTTCTAACAAGTTTAATTGCATCTTTATCTGTACATCAATATATAATATATCAAACTAGAACACTTATCTGAGGATTAAGAAAAACGATTCAAATGAATTAATAATATCGATCACTAGAGTCCGACGTATCAATAATCATGGTTTTCAGATTTTCTTGAGGAACAACCTCAATTCTTGAATCATCTTTAACACATTTGTAAAATCTTAACTTAGCTAATTTGGGGCAGCTTTTGTTTGTTAATAGACCCTTTAACGCCTTGATATATGAAATGTCAATATTTTCTAACTTTGGAGACGAATTGAGTTCAGGGAGGGTCACATTAGTTTTAGACATAGATGGATTATAACCTTTGTCAAGTCCTTTTATCATCAAGCTGGTTAGCGAAGGAAGATAGCAATTGGATAAGTTTACTTCGGATTCCACAACACTTATATCAATAACTTCAAGACATGGAAGCTTAACGTTAGATATATCAAGAGCCGGTATCTTTCGACAAATAATTTTGTCAACAAAATTTGAATTCTCGTCAAAGAAACTTTTAGAAACTTGACATGATTCAAGTTCGAGATATTGTAAATTTGGGGCAATCATTCGAGGGACCTCTCCATGTTCCTTATAATTCCAAAATCTATCACCAGTGATTTTCAATGATTTCAAATTATCAAATGTTGTATCTGTAGGATATCCTTTAACAGGGAAAACCATTTAAACACAATTCCTCTAGATTTGCCATATCCAATGTTTTAAGAATATGATGACATCCATGAATTGTACCTTTTTTTGCATTTTTCAAGAAATGAAATGGTAGCTCTGAAGTATCCTCAGGGTGATCTCGTTTCGAATCCAAGTTATCATAGAAAGAAGTGATTTCAAAACTTTTCAACTGAGGAAAGTGCATGTTTGCAATATCTGTGATAATTAACCCACCATTTGATTTCAAAATAATTGATTCCAAAGCTGGAAATGATAAATTTTCCAGACATAGTTCCAAAGACGATGCATTAACATTGAATTTCTTCAACAATGGCGCTGAAATATTTCTAATCTCATTAATTATTTGACCACTTTGTATTTCGATCTCTTTCAAATTTGGGAATTCAAGATCCTTTAACCCATATTTTGATGGATTTCTTTCTCTTTGGTGTGTGTATGGGTATGACGAGTTTCTATCAAGAAGGTCAATATAAAGATACTTTAACTTTTGACACATTGAGCTCGTGAAAGAGATACCCCCGTGGAATGACCTCAGTTCCAGTACTTTAGGGAAGATGGATGACTTCTGAAATGATAATTCTTTAACATTTTGGATGGTCAATTTTCTTAAATTTGGAAAATAATCCAAATTAGCAACACCTTTGAATTTATTCATTCTGAGATGTATTAATCCTTCAAGTGATCCAATCACCTCTTTATTAATATCAAATTCTGAACCAATCTCAAGAAATTCCAGTTTGGGAAAGCTGATATATTTTAATGAATAATCTGGATCGTTTGACATCTTTAAAAGTTCTCTAACTGTATAAATTAATGACGTATGTGTATGAGCTTTGACATTAAACTCTACGCCATTAGTATTTATTTTAGTGATGTTTTCAATTAAATTAACGGTCTCATCAATGGGGGAATCATCTCTATACCCTCTGTCTGATTGATTTCCGAAAATTTCAAACATAACAGTTCCATTGAATATTTGAAACTTGTCAACATTTCTCTTCTTACCAGTTTGACAAAGCTTGAAACAAAAACGATTTGATAAAAATGAAAATTCAGCTCTATCAACACGATCAGTAAAGACTCTATAATTTTCTTTGAAACGATTTTGTAATTTAGGAACAGCACGAACATAATTCAATAAATCAAGGGATTTCAAATTATCCATAATTAAATGTTGAATTTCATCTGGAAAATTCAAAAGGATATTGAATTCCTTTTGTTGCTTTTTTAACTTTGACTCGGGAGGGCTCATTGTTTGATGCAATATAATCAATAAACAAACAGTATCAATCCACTTGCTTGAAATTAATTCAAGAATGGGAGGAATTGAAGGTTTTAAAGTTTTTTGCTTTTCATCTTCATACATTTAGTCCACCTTACTGAATTTGGAAATTTGTTCTCAACTCTAAAAGTGTCTATTAACCAGAACATGACTATTTACAAATATAATAAATAAACATGAAAGCTGAATCAACCAAGAGCTTTCTCAATAAGTTTAAAAGTATTTCTAAATGGTAATCCAACAGCATTATAGTAATCACCATCAATTTTCTTCATCAATAAAGAACCTCTTAATTGAACTCTATAGCCCGCAGCAACACCAAGGCCTTCATTTGTATCAACATAAGCTTTAAGAATTTCATCTGAAGCATCATGATCGAAATGTAATGACGTACTTTCAACAAAAGAGAATTGTTCACCATCATTTATAACAACAACACCACTTAAAACATGTTGAATTTTTTTACTATCTCTATAATAGGTCAAATTTGTTAATTGGTCTTGTTTATCTTTTGGCTTTTCAAAAATTCTTCCATCAATTTCAACTACTGTATCTGCAGCTAAAATTATAGTGTTTTTATGTTCACCTTTTGCTTTCTGAAGGGTGTTAGTTTAATAGGAGACTTTATCATATCACCGAGATCTTTGAACTTACCAATTCCTCATACACAGCTTGACCTTTCCCAATTGCTGTATTCAAGACATACTTTTAGTTGTTAGTATTCCCCTATTAGAAAAAAAGGATAATGAATACTTACATCACTTGGTGTATAATCTTCTTTCTTCAAATCTTCTGGAAAATTTGATGGATAAATTTCGATATTTTCAAATCCCATTTGAGTCAAAATTTCAATTCTTCTTGGTGAAGTTGAAGCTAAGATGAATCTCTTGGATTTGATCTTATCGAAAACGGGATGCTTGAATGGTTCAAAAGACATGATGTATGCTTGGATCAGTTACTTCAAACTTTCGTTTGTCAATATTGTTCTGATTCTAAAGTTGTAGATCTTGTAGCAAAAGTTCAAAATCTTCAATATACGTCAACAATTACGCGAATTCTCTCAACCTGAGTACTACATTTTTGCAAAACATAACTTTCTATTAAAACCAACCATTCTTATTCTTTCATTTTATTTTTTTGATTATTATTATTATTACTATTATTCTTTTGATTACTATTACCTAGGAAGGTGTGACATCTTCCAATTTAATTCTATCACTTATCACATATTTTTGTTCCATATCATCAGTAAATGCAACTTCTGTACCAACTAATTTTTGCCAATCACCTTGATAAATCTCATTATCAACTTTAAACAATGGAGCCTGTGTATGTAAACCACTAGCTTGTAATTTTGCTGTAGCGGGTATAGTATTAGTATTATAATTATTATTTGGAATTTCTAAAGTAACGTACACATCTTCATATTCTTCTTGATTTGTGTCTAAATCAATTTTTTCACTAGTTTTATTTTTTAAAGCTTCTGCAGCTTTTCTAGCTTTAATATCAGCATCTGAACCTGCTTCAAATCCATTTTGGAAGTCCCAATGCATTTCTTCACCATTTGTTAAGAATTCACAATTACCATTCATTGTAATTTTCCAATCAGTGCCATTATCATTGGTTTTACCATTCAAGATTCTTTCAAATTTATCTAATGAGCATGCACCTGCTCTCAATCTAGTATCTTCATCGTCTAAAGCATCCAATACGCTATTGAACCCTAAAAGTGCCATACCTAAGGCAATTTTAGCAGCTGCATGAGTAACGAAAATGATTGTTTCAATATGTGGATATTTTGCTTCAAATTTCGGTATAAAATTCTGTAAGAAAGTTTTGGATCTTTCAAAAATTTGTTCTTGAGTTTCACCACTTAATGATGGTTTTAAAGTTGGTTCCCAATTTTGTTGTAATTTTGGGAAAAATGGTTTAAGAATATCATAACCTGCAGGTTTTGGAATAACTTCTCTATCTGGTTTATACCATTCACCAATACCATTCTCAAGTTCAATATCAATACCAAGGACTTCGGCAATTGGTGCTGATGTTTGTAAACATCTATAAAATGGTGAAGTAAAGATCATTTCAGGATGTGGTTCAATAGACAATATATAATGAGCCAATTCTTTAGCTTGATCAACACCATGGTCAGCTAATGGAGGATCACTATCAATCCCAGTTGGATTCACTGGATGTGGTTCTGGTAACCAATTGGCTCTGTAACCATGCTATATTTCAAAAAAGTTAGTATTGTTCTCGTGTTTCTTCCCCTTATGATGGCATCACGGGTATTTATGGTGCGTAAACATTCAAAAGAAAACATACTCTGGCGATATAAAGGTTCTTAAGCACCATCTTGCTAGCTGTATAATTATGTGGGATAAGCGAATGTGGATATGAAGCAAATGCTAAGTGTGAAGCTGAAACAAAGTTCTTTTTCAAATTCTGTGGTCTCGTGTCTATTGTGTTTAAATTTCTGGCTCGTGATGATTTTGTTTTTCTTTTATTCTCTTGAAATCAAAAATTCGCGAAGAGAGCTAAAACGCGTTCGCGGGTATTTTGCATTTGAAAGTCATTTTTAAATAACAGTGAAGATTTGAACATCAACAACAGAGATTTAGTGCTTAAACAAGTGGTATAGAGTTGTTGAAGAAGATATAATGGCACCAGCAAGCAACAAGAGGATAAAGGTATGTTAATGTGCGTTTTTTTCTGGCTCAAATTGCCTTACTAACACCCTGGATAACAGACACTTTCGATAAGTCGTCCTATAATATATGGAAACACAGCAGAACCATTTGGTGAAAAAAGACCTCCAAATTGTCCAGATGAACACACACATAACTGGACAGTCTTTGTAAGAGGACCAAATGGGGAAGATTTATCATATTTTATTAAAAAAGTAGTGTTCAAATTACATGATACTTATAATAATCCAACAAGATCAATTGAATCACCACCTTTCCAAGTTACAGAAACTGGTTGGGGTGAATTTGAAATTGGTATCAAGATATATTTTGTTAATGAAGCTAATGAGAAAAACATTTCATTATATCATCATTTAAGACTTCATCCATATGGATTCCCACCAGATGCTGTACTGACTGATAAAGATAGAAATGTTAGAAGTGTACAATATGATGAAATTGTATTTAATGAACCAACTGAACAATTATTTGAAATCATGACACAAAAACCTGGTAATAGACTACCCGAATTGAAAAAACAATCTGAATTTAGTAGAGAAGTTGAGTACGAAGAAATTGCAAGATTAGAAAATGGTATAAAACAAGTTAATGGTGAGATTGACATTTTGAAAGAACAAATTCAGGATTTTCAAAACTTAAAATCTGAAAAGGCATAACTACTTTGGAGGATGGTTTGTATTTTAATTAATAAATGTAATATAAAGCTACAATTAAATCATAACTTTCGAATGCACATATTTCTGTAGCTTTTATAACCATTTACCTAATACACTAATATACAAAATTATTTTCACCGGCATCAATATTATAACGTCATAACTTCACTTTCCAATTCTTCCAAATAATCCATTAAAACTTCCACTATTGGTTTATCCAATAAGTAATTATTATACAAAGTCACGGGTATTTCAACTCTTTTATTACCTTCTTTATCAAAGATCATTATAACATCTCTCGGATAAACACCACCTCCCATGGGATCTAAAACATTGAACTTTTTAGATATTTTAGATCCATTAATCAAAGGGAAGGCATAATTATTTTTGGATACATTTGATGATATTGCAATGACTTCTGAATTGAATACCTTGGTTAATTTCTCATATGATTTATTTATTGGATCCAAAAATTCATTAATAACACCGAAAAACACAACCACAAGATGTTTTGGATGATTATAATCTAAGTTTAATCGTTTCTTCGTTATAGAACCATCTTTATTAACAAAATCCAGCATTGAACCTTCTAATCCATCAATAAACTCATGTGATCTCGTTATAACTCGCGTCTTTTTGGGACTTGATAAAACTTGATATTCTGGTTCCGAATACTCGGGAGAGGGTAGACTTTCTAAACAATCACTAAAATTTCTCTTCATCACTTATATCATGGTCTTTTATTTCTTTCAATACTTGTATCTATCACAACTGAGAACTATTTGGTTTAAATAACCGTTTAAAACCAGTCAAAAACTCCTCAATTATAAGCGTGTGTTCTGTGCTAAAGCTTATTTTTTTGGGTCACAATGGTCACAATAGTCACAATAGTCACACTATCGAGTAAAATGTTTGAATATTAATTAAATGGATGGTTGGAATTATGGTATATGGTGAGGAAGACAAATAAAATATTCTATTATTCAGCTTTGATCTGTGTAAAGATTTTTAAGTACCCACAGTTTCTATATTCACGTAATTTTCAATAAACCGTGTATTAATTTTTCATTTTCAGTAACAAAACCGAAACTATTTACCTTTTTCCGAAAAGGGTAAAGTAATTGAGTTGATAATGTATAACGTGAGTTGACACAATTTACTTCAAAAAATCAACTACACGGGAATAAATGAATCATGGTGAATGAGTAAGTGATAACTATACGTATATAGTAATCAATTGTTAATATATATTGTACAAATTTATAAAAAACAAAATATGTCCCTTTAAGTTGGTTTTAATGGTTTCCAACTATTCATATCTAACGAATCATTAAATGACAGTGCAGTACCTTTTCTACTTGGAGGTGGAGGTGGAGCACTTGAATTTGATGGTACTTCTGATGTCTTCTCTTCAGATTCGTTAGTTATCTTAGAATTCTCTATATCTTCAGTTGAAACCTTTCTTAATGAATCTGGTTTTTTAGGAATTGATGGTACATTTGTCTTAGAATTTGATGTAGTTGAACTATGCAAAAATTCCGGTTTCTTAGGAATTGATGGTGCTGGTGATGAGCCTAAAGAAACTGGTTTCTTAGGTATTGTTGGTGCTAATTGTGCTTTACCGTTATTACTTGGTGAACTAACTCTAGACGGTGTTTTAGATGGTAATAAAATTGTATCTGAAAATCCCGGTGGTAATGAAGAGCTACTTGCATTTGTTTTTCTTGGTGTTGGAGCTGGTGGTGGACTTACAGATGTGCTTGGTGTTTCCTTAGACTGTGATGATGATGGAGGTTTGGTACTTAATGGTGTTGTTGAACGAGGCGCTGGTGGAGGAGGAGCTTGAAGATTTTTTGCTGGGGTTGATATGGTTGATGATACATTCGTTACAGCTCTTCTAGCTGGTAGTGCTGGTGGTGGAGTTGGACTGTTTTGCTTCCTTGGTGTTAATATTTCACTAGAGATTGGTGATGCAGTTTGTCTTCTTATTGGTAATGAAGGTTTATAATCATCCTCATCATCAAGGAAATTTAATAAGTCTTGGTTTCTAGAACTTGAAGTCTTGACAGGTTTTTGATCTTCATTATTATTTTCAAATTTTAAATCAATTAATGAAGAATCACTATCACCAGCATGTGTAGCTTTATAATTTTCATAAATTTGTTTCGATAATGAGGATTTTTTAATTTCATCAATGAAATCAACAATTGATCTATAAGCAGCATAAACAGGTCTATGATCTGAAAATGTTAAATCTGAAGAGCTATAAGCCAATGGTTTAGTTGCTTTACCTTTATAAATGATTCTATCAGTCCATGATGGTATTCTTTGCTTTTCAGAACTATCATATCTATCTGTACCTTTATCAAATTTATAAGTTGGGTTAAAACTAATAGTTGGTTCTGAGTAACCTTTAAAAGCATTACCACTATTGATCTCTTTGGTCAATTGATCAAATTGATATAAATATTCGATATCACAATTAGCAATTCTTTTTCTAACTTCTTCATTACTTAATGAAATTCTATAATTTAAATCACCAATCCAAAATATAGTATCATTACTTTCAATTTTACCGCCTCTTGAAAATCTAATACCATTAGTAATTGAAGCATAGTCATTCGCTCTTTCTTGAACATTTGTAGTACCAGCTGCTAAATGTGCATTAACAAAACAGAAAGATGAAGCACCATAATTGAAACGAATTGCAACAGCACCTTTATTACCTGTGATACCACCAAGACCTGTTTTCTTGGTAGCACCTTCCACTTGTTTAACGTTGTTAACACAATCTGCCTTAACGAAAAATAATAATAACAGGGATGACATTTGTTCAGCTCTCAATAAAATATATTTATCAAATTGATTCAAGCATTTAGACACTTCTTTAGTCCAAAATGATGATTTGGAATAATCTGCATTCAAAATAGAGCCTGCAGTCAATTCAATAACTTCTTGGAACCCTAGAACAACAACATTTGGTTTGAATTTATCTCCAATAGGATACAACCATGATGATAAATCAGGAATTCTATTACTAGCATTAACATTAAAAGTACCTGTAAATATATTAATATTTGCACTTGATGTAAATTCATCTTTTTGCTCTTTGAGTTTTTCATTGACATAATCTGTAACTGGGTCATATAATAACACAGGAACCTGAGAGCTTAATCTACCCAATAATGTATCAATAGTCAATTGTTTCCCCTTATCAACAAAATTATTAATATACATTCTACTAACAGATTTTGTAGCATCAGAAAGGGCACCTGCAAAACTCATTTTACCACTTCTTGAAAAAGATGATTTAAGTGCATTGGTACCTGTATAAATTTGTGATATTTGATCACCATTATCTGCCCATAATGAATTATGTCTATTGAAAAATTCAGATTCTGGTGAGACTTGGAAATCATGATCTTTTAAGAATACTGACAATGCAAAATTTGAAATATACTGTTGGATCAGATTTGTTCTATCTAAACAGTCCAAACAATTTGTTCTGAAAGTACCATTTTGTTCACTTAATATCTTCTTATTCACAACGTCATAACTGAAATAACCAAATTCGTATAAAGATTCTTTAATCAATCTTAAAATTTTGGTTGATGATGAGTAACCTTGATTGGAAGTTTCTCTATGGAAATCAAATTCTGTCAAATATAATTCTGGGTTATTATTTTGTGTATATGTATTAACATGACTTCTATATCTCTTAGATAATTGAATTTCAGATGTCTTGGTACTTAATAGATTGACTATATTAACAGCACCATACTTTTCTAATAAATGATCAAAATGAGCATCGAAAACAGGTTGGGTAGCTTCTTCAGATCTGGTGATTTGGACTTTTGGATTGATTAATGCAGTATCTTGTTCCCAAAAAATCGGAACAGAACCTCTAATTTCAGTGTATGAATAACAAATTTTCCCTGAATATAATATAAATTCTGTTTCAACAAAATTTGCAACATTACCTTCATCATCTATACCTCTTGAATTGAATCTAGTACCTGCTCTCTTCCAACTTTGTCTTGATATAACAGTCATGGCAACTTGTTCTCTGCCTAAATAAGCATCGAAAGTTTCTGCAAACCCTCTTATAACAGTTGTTAAGAACCCTTCATCATCTAATTTTTGCTTCAATGGTGTATCTAGACGATTTCTAAATTGAACCACTTCATGTAACATGAATGAATTCCACATATACTCTTCATTATAACTATCAAAACTTAATGAATGAGAATCAACACCACGATCTTGTAAAGTACTTGTCAAATCAAAATTAGAACTATAATAAAACCCACCTGTTGATAATAATTTTTGTAATTCAAAACATGGATGTTTTAAAGCAGTATCTTGATTTGCAGCTGAGCCACTATTACCACCATTTATAGTACCCGTTCTATATTGATCATCGAATCCTCTTTCAAAATCTGGCATCACTGGATATCCATTAGGATCCAAATCAACATTATCCCAAGTTGAACTAGTTAAAGAGAAGAAATCAACACTGAAGATTTTATTAACAGTTTCACCAGGTATTGGAGAAGCAACTTGATGTTTACCAGTGATGGCACATAAATATGAATCATTATTAACTTCAATTAATCCTAAAAATCCATGAATTTCTTTATTTGTGATTTTTTTATATGATTGTAAATTGATTTCATCAATAGATGAGAATTCAATAACGCATCTGGGTAGATTATTCTTTGTTCTTATATGACGGAAAAGTAGGACATGAGTTTTGGACACGAGAGCCAAAGTTCTTGGATTCTCTTTGATCAATAATCTCATCTTACTTGGAAATCTGATATTGAAAATCCCAATAATCTAATGATTCTTATAGTCGTCTTTTAGCTTCCCTGCTTTTGATTTGGGTAAGCTTTGTCTTGTGATTCAAGTTTTTCAGCTTGCGTTTGTTGATATTGAACATTTCAGCTTCTGGATTTTCGTTGCGCCAACCGTTGATAAAAAAAGCATTAGTGACACTGTTGAAATTTGGCAGAAATTTGGAAATTTTAATAAACTACAACTTTATAAATTTCATCTTCAATCATATAATTGGACATATAATACACTATTTTTAATATACAAGATCATATCATTAACAAGGCTTATTCATCATAAGGGACATCATTTGGCTTCGTTGGTGTTTTCTTTCAATTTTTGATACATGGATTTGATTTGTGTACTCTTCACAGCTTTTGAAGGCCAATAATGTGAAGTATAAAACCAAAGATGTTTTTTAAATCTATCTTGTTCATCCTTCGCATGTTTTGAAACTGTTTTATTAATAAAATCACCAACGTTTATCAATTCTGTTTTCAAGATTTTTGCCCATTCTTTACGGTCTAAACCTGTTGAGCCTTTACTTAATCGTTTCAATGAATGACGCATTGGACTTAAAGTATCTTTACAAAGTTGTTCATCCATACTTTCATAACCTTCATCTAATGTTTTAGCTGGACCTGTAGGTTTCTTTGGTTTCTTTTCAGATTCAGATCTTGGAGTTGAATTACCAGATTCTGGTTTTCTACCACGTTTGGCACCAGGAACTGCACTTTTAACATCTGGAGTTTTGGCTCTAGTAGCAGCTGGTCCTTTTGGTTTTGGACCTGGCTTCAATCCCGGTTTTGGACCTGGTTTAGCAGCGCCTTCAGCTCTTGGTTTTCTTTGCCTTTTCTTTGGTTCAATTGGTGTTCCAGGTGTTGGTGTATTATTACCTGTATTGTTATCATCATCGCCACCTTTCAAGACTGAAATCAAATAATCAACTCTTCTACCCAAATGAACTGAACCTGGTACTTTCTTAGAATCTTTAGAATCCTTTGAATCTTTGGAATCCTTTGAATCCTTGGAATCTTTTGAAGATGGTTTACTTTCATCATCTTTTGTAGATGTAACACTTTCATCTTTATTTTCAGATTTCACTTCAGATGATGTAGTATCATTACCTTCTTCAGATTTCTTTTCACCATCTTCTTTTTCATCATCACCTTCTTCTTTAACTTTATCTTCATTTTTCTTACTAGTACTCTTTTTTGGTCCAGGAACATTACTACTTTCATTTAAAAACATTTTAGAACTTAATTTTAAAAATGGGTCATCTCTAATTTGAATCCATGAACCATAACCATATCTATCAACACCAACAATAAGCATTTCGTCATCATGTTGGGTCCAATCAGAAGTCCAACCATAAACTGGTTTAACATTACCATGGAATTTGAAATTTAATGGATCATCAAATGTAGCAATTGCATCATGAACTAATTTTAAATCTTGTGGTCTTGAAAGTAATAATTCAGCGTTCAATTGTTTAACACCTTGATATTCAAACAAAATTGCCTTACGTTCTTTACGTTTCATCATCCATAATACTTGTGGATTATTTTTACCTTCATTACCAACAATTTCACCCTTTTCACGTTTTTCTTTATGTTCATTTGCAGCTTTTTCTAAATCAGCTAAAACTTTTGAACGACGTTCTTCTTCCTTTTTAACAAGATCTTTTGAAATTTCCATAATTTCATCATGACATTTTTGGAAAAGATCTGGGTTTTTATTTTCTGGTAATGTACCTTCATTAATTAAATCTTCCCATTTACTTGAAAGATCACCTAATTTTAAAACTGATCTATAAATTGCTCTAATTTCCTTTTCAGTAATTTTATTATAATCAGCTTTTTTCTTTCTATTAACTTTCTTTGTAGTTTCATCGTCATCATCATCTTCTTCATAAGTATTAGCTCTTTGCATATTTTTCATAACTGCTTGTCTTCTTGAGAATTGTTGCATTTGTTCTTGAATATATTGCTCTTCTAAACGTTTCTTTTCATCTTCTTTCAGTTTAGCCAATTCTTCAGCAGGAATAATATCATCCCAATCAACATCAGCTTTATAATCAGTAACTTCAAATTGTTTTAAGAATTCTTCACCACCAAGATTTGATTCACCCATTTCTGGAGTAGTAACATGATCTTCTGCATGATTCAAGACATCATCTAAATTCAAGTCTTCTAATTTCTTTTGGTTATCACTAGCTTTAAACATATTACCAGCACCAAATTTTAAGATTTCACTTAATTCACCAGTTGATGGTTCATTTTTCTTGGATTTTCCAGTACCATCAGTAACACCTAAAGAAATGATTGCATATTCAAGAATCATTTTCTTTCTTGCTCTTTCCAAAACTTCTTCTTCCACTGTATCCTTAGAAACAAATCTATAAACCATAACATGATTTTTTTGACCAATTCTATGAGCTCTTGCCATTGCTTGTAAATCAGCTTGAGGATTCCAATCAGAATCGAAAATAATAACAGTATCAGCAGTCATTAAGTTAATACCTAACCCACCAGCTCTTGTTGATAATAAAAACACAAAATCTGTTGAATCTGGTTCATTAAAATGATCAATTGAAATACGACGTTGTGCTGATGGAACAGTACCGTCTAATCTTTGGAAATTAATACCTTTAATTGATAAATAATCACCCAAAATATCCAAAATTCTAACCATTTGTGAAAAGATTAAAACTCTATGACCATCTTTTTTCAATCTTGTTAATAATTGATCTAATAAAACCATTTTACCAGATGACATAATCATCCCCCTTAATATATCTTCTCTTGAATGAACACCATTTAATGAAGAACCAAATTTTGCTAAAACTTGATCTTCAGCTGCATCAAATAAATAAGGATGATTTGAAGCTTTTTTCAATTCACTCATAACATTTAATAATGAGACATGAGCACCTTTTGAACCTTGATTTAATGCAGCATAATTCTTGGTTAAAATATTTTTATAATATTGAGTTTGTAAATCAGATAATTCAACACGTAAAATACGTTCAGTTTTGGAAGGTAATGATTTTTCAACATCTTTTTTCAAACGTCTAAGTATAAATGGTTTCACTTTATTTTGTAAATCTCTAATATAATTTTCTTGATCATCATTTGAATGTTCAAAATCAATTTCTTCATCAATTTCAAATTTACCAGGCATTAAGAAATTAACTAATGCAGCTAATTCTTTAATATTATTTTGTAATGGTGTACCAGTAATTAATAATCTATTACTGACTTTAAAAGAATTTAAAGATTCATAAAGTGAACTTTCTGCATTTTTCAATCTATGAGCTTCATCAACAGCCAAGAATTGCCATTTTATGGATCCTAATTCACTTGCATCTTTTAAAATATATTCATAAGTTGTTAACAAGACATTGAATTTGATTTTTTTATTATTATAAAATTCATAATCTCTAATTGTTTTTCTTGCTTCAGTATTACCTAAATAATAGACACAATTTAAATCTGGTGACCATTTTTCAAAAGTTTCTTGCCATGCAGGTATAGTTGATAATGGTACAACAACAATATGAGGACCATTTTGTCTTCTAGCATAGATAAGCCAACTTAAAAAACTAACAGTTTGAACAGTTTTACCTAACCCCATTTCATCAGCTAATATACCATTTTCATTTCTTGACCAAAGGAAAGCCATCCAATTTAAACCTGTCAATTGGAAATCTCTTAATTCACCATTCTTGATGAATTTTGGTTGAACAACTAATTTTTCAAATCTTGGACGTTGAGAACCATAACTTGAAGACAGTGAAGGTAAAATTTTGGAATTTAAACGTTGTTGAAATTGTTTAACTTCATTTGGACCAATTTGAACTATAGTATCAGCTAATTCCCATGTAGCTTCATCATAATTTAATCTTCTCCATTTAACGAAATATTTTAAAACTTCTTCACCTTCATCATTTTCAGATCTTTCAGAATCAATAACACGTTCAACATTTTTATATTCAGCAATTTCATCTAGTCTTCTATCTTTTTCAATATCCATAGCTTCAATATCTTCTCTTGTTGTTAACGCGTCGTGTCTTATTTGATAATCTAATATTATGAATTGTTTAATATAATTATCAACTTTCTTAATACCTTTCATACCAATTAAATTTGAATATTGTTCCCAAGTATTATGAATATGAGAAGTTTCAGTCCATTTGATCAAGAATTTATAATCTTTCTTCCCCTGGGCCAAATCTCTTGGATCATTTGGATTATTATCAGGATCAATTAATTGATGATCCACAACAAGATCAACACCTTTTTCCGGGGTTGGAGTAGTTTCAGTATGATTATCATAATAATAATAACCATCTTCATCTTCTTCATCGCCACTTTCTAATAAATCATCATCATTTTCTTGGTCAACTTGATAATTTATTACACGACTATTTCTTGAACTAAATCTAACTTCTTCAGGTTGTGATTGAATCTTTTGTTTCTTATTTGATTTACGTTTTTTAATAATTTTTGATTTTGATTTCTTTGGAGCACCAAATTCTTCATCATCATCATCAGGATCTTCAAATTCTTCTTCCCCTTCGTCTTCTTCTTGACTTTGATTATCATCACTATACTCCACTTGTTTCTTCTTTCTCTTTGGTTTGATTTCTTCATCAGATTCATCACTCTCCACAAAACTCAATGGTTTTGCACGTTCTCTAGTTGACCTTCTCAATCCATACAATTCTGGGTTATCAAACACCTCCTCGTCATAATCAGCAGGTGCCATTGTAGAGATATTTCTATACCAGTGTATCTATTCTTTGAACAGTTTCTGTATGAATTATGATTGGATTGGAATATAGCTACCTTTTGGATTTTCTTTGTTGATGTTTTGATGTTGATATTTTGTTTGTTGTTGTTTTCTTTTACTTAAAATTAATTTTTCAACGAAAGAAAAAAATTTGAGAAAACCGACAACAACAATTTAAAATGGAAATTGAATACTTTTAAATGAGAATAGTAATAGTAATTATCTTCAATGGTAAAAAGTGTTTCACAATTAATTGAACTAACTGGAATTCTTAAATCAACTCAGACTTCGATTTAACCGAATCTTTGATTTCCTAAACTAGATATTCGTATATGCGATGGGTTCCTGATCTGATAAGTTTATATAACCTGACGCGATCCACTTGAATTAAAACACAAATAGTATAGTTATTCAATGATATCAAGTAGTATTAGGCTAGTTGTTACCTGAAAGTGATATAATTATACTCGATATTTGAATTTGATATCGTTTGGTCTTGTTTTGATAAGTTCAGCTGTTGTTCTTGATCAATTCTTGTTGATAATGGTAAGAAGTAAGGATTAAATTGCAGTAGGATTCCTTAAAATTATATGAAAATTTCAATCATTTTCAATCTCATGATGATCAAATTTTCATAAATTTGGATCTAGAATCATGTTAATTCTTCACATTATCAAAGTAATATTAAAGTGTAATTGAATTTGATCAATTGAATATCTAATATCATAATCTACAATACTATAACCCCTATCAAAACATAAAATCAAAACTTTTTAAAGAAAGAACTTCTAAAGTCCTTCATATATATATATAAATAATAAAACAAGGTATAAAAAAGAAAACACACAAATTATAAATAATCAACTCCCTAGTACCCTAAGTGATCTAGAGTCTATATATAGTTTTTTTGGTTATATTTTGATCTTGGTATGATTCTCCTCTATTTTGAATTCAATTCAATTTCACCTTTAGTAATTAATGAATTAATTGTACTCAAGACTGAAGTGAAAGCAGCAGTAGAAACATCTTCATTAACACCAACACCCCATTTATTAGTCTTTGAATTGTTTTCATCCAAATAACCTAATTGAATAAATGTGGCAGCTTGAGTATTTGAACCTGAACCAAGAGAATGTTCACTATAATTAACAACTTCAAATCTAACATTAACATATTCGGAAATTGCATCAACAAATGAAGAAATTGGACCATTACCAACACCTTTAATACCAACAGTTGATCCATTAACTGAAATTTCACCAATGAATAATCTATTATCTTTATTTTCTGGATCACGAACAATATCATAATCTAATAATTTAATTGAACCTTCATTATGGAAATTATATTGAGATTTAAATAATGAAATAATTTCATCAGATTTTAATTCACGACCTTGAGCTTCAGATAATTTTTGAACTTGAGTAGAGAATGAAATTTGTAAAGCTCTTGGTAAATCAAGACCTAATGATCTTAAAACAACCCAAGCAGCACCACCTTTACCTGATTGTGAATTAACTCTAATAACAGCTTCATAATCTCTACCAATATCTTTTGGATCTAATGGTAAGTATGGGATTCTCCAATAGTTATCACCTTTAGCTTGTCTCTTAGTTTGAGCTTCAAAACCTTTCTTAATAGCATCTTGATGAGAACCACTAAAAGCACAAACAACTAAATCACCACCATATGGAGCACGATCAGCAACTTTAATCTTGTTACATTTTTCCACAATTTCAATAACACTTTGTAAATCTGAGAAATCTAATTCTGGTGAAACACCTTGAGTATATAAATTTAATGCAACGGTAACTAAATCAACATTACCAGTTCTTTCACCATTACCAAACAAACAACCTTCAACACGATCAGCACCAGCAAGCATACCTAATTCTGAAGCGGCAACACCACAACCACGATCATTATGACAATGAGTTGAAATGGAAACTTTTTCACGTTCTGAAATATGTGTAGCGAAATATTCAATTTGATCAGCATAAACATTTGGTGTAGCAACTTCCACGGTAGCTGGTAAATTAAAAATTATTGGATTTTCCACTGTTGGTTCCCAAACTGATTTAACAGCTTCACAAATTTCCACAGCAAATTCAGGTGTTGTATCACTAAAAGTTTCTGGAGAAAATTGATAACTCCATTCAGTAGCTTGTTGATTTGGATCATCTTTTGTTAAAGAACGAACTAATTTTGTAGCCCAAACAGCTTTTTCAATAGCTTCTTCTTTAGACATATTGAAAACAACATCTCTAAATAAATCTGAAGTTGCTAAATAAACATGAATAGTAGCTTTTTTAGCACCAGTAACAGATTCCACGGTTCTTCTAATTAAATGTTCTCTTGATTGAACCAAGACTTGAATACTAACATCATCTGGTGCATTTTCAACTGCATATCTTGTAAAATCAAAATCTGGTTGAGAAGCTGAAGGGAAAGAAACTTCAATTTCTTTAAAACCTAATTCAACTAATTTATGGAAATATTCTTTTTTTTGTTCAACATTCATTGGATCTGGTAATGATTGATTACCATCTCTTAAATCAGTTGTTAACCATCTTGGAGCTTTTGTTATAGTCTTATTTGGCCATTGTCTATTTGGTAAATTTACTGGAGGGAATGATTTATATTTAGTTGAAGGGTCTTTCAACATATTTGCATATGGTGCTGTCTTTTGAGCATTTTTAAACATTGTTAATGATCTCCTGAACATGATGGTAATAATTTTTCTTCTTTATTTCAATTTGAAAACTTGAGTATTAAACTCTTTATATATATAATACAGTCTAAGAAAAATTCTATGACTAACTTTGGAAATGAATTGAAATAAAGTTTAAAATCAAAACTTATTAAGTATAAAAATTATGGGGAAAGATGACAAGATTTTTATAATAAGAAAAGATTTTCTTTTTAAGTAAATTTGAGTCACAGTATTAAAAGTTTTTTGTCATAGTTTATATAAATTTTTCAATTTGGAAATCGTGTCTAAAATTGCGGGAGCGCGATAGGAATTTTAATGACAGCCTACAGGTCCGGTAAAGGAGAGTTCATACGCAGAGAGACGTGAGCAGACTCAGCAGAGACGTAGACAAGAGGCAGACAGAGGTATACAGAGGGAACTTGGTAGAGCGTTGTAGGAGTTAAGAGAGCCTTTGTTAACCGATTGTATGGGTTGTGTTTAGTGGATAATTGTGATATTGGATATACAAAAGATGAAAAGCTATGTAAATATGACAAATATGACGTTGATCCTATTCAATTTAATTCTGACTCATTTGAATCTGATCATCTGATATTTTAATTTCCAGTGGAGACATGGACTGAGCTTTAAGTGGACTCCTAGAAAGAAGAATAGGAAGAAATAGGAAGAAATAGGCTGGTGTGTCACCTGGTGTGGTGGAACGTTAGACAGAGGTCTTTTAAACTCTTTCTAGAGTTAGGCAGAAGAGTTGTCCAATGGTCCCTCTGTGTGTGTGTCTCCCAGTGAGGGGTTGGAAATTGAATTTTGATTTTGTTCGCTTAAATTTTGATTTGATTTTAAAATTTCGGAATCGAATTGGAAATTTACAAAACATATTCGCGAGATTCATATGATTCCCAGTGCCACGTAACCATTTCTCCATACGGAACACCGCCCAAGCTGTCCAGATCAATAGATTATACTTTCGAGAATTTAAGGGTATAGTATGTTCTATTGTTGATATTACGTACTATAGATAGAATTATCAGTTCAATTAACTTGCATCATGGCTGAAGTTAGCATTGGTAACGAATTGAAAGATGGATTCAAAGAAACAAACAACTGGATCAATAATAATATTCATTTCTTAACAGATGTGGAACAATTTTATAGACAACGTTCTCAAATTGAAAGAGAATATGCAACAAATTTAAATAAATTAACTTCAGAATTTTTAAAGAAAAAAGCCAACAAGACAACTTCAATTAGTGTTGGTGATGAACCCAAGATAACACCAGGGTCTTTAGAATCTGCCTCTTTAGTGACATGGACTGAATTATTATCACAAACTGAAATTATTGCTAAAAATCATCATAATTTTGGTAATGAATTAACAATTAAAGTTGCAGATCAAATTATATCATTACAAAAATATTTATCTATATTACAAGAAAAAATTTCAAATTTCCATAATAATTCATTATTGAAAAGAAAAGATGAAATTTTTGAAAATGTTAATCGTGCAAAAAAAATTTATGATGAAAAATGTGTCATTATGGAATCAACAAGATCCAAAATTGAAAAATCAAGTTCATCAAATGATAAAAATCAACGTAAAATTAATGAAAAAACAGTTGATATGAATAATGCTAAAAATGATTATTTATTGAAAATTAATATTGCAAATAGAATTAAAGATAAATTTTATTATCAAGATTTACCAGAAATTTTAGATATATATCAAGATTTAAATGAATTCAAGACAAAACAATTAAATAAACTTTTAAATCTAGCTTCAAATTTAGAAATCAATAATAATAATAAAGATAACAAGAATTTGGAACATTGTATTTCAATAATTGAAGAAAATAAATCACATTTAGATATTCAAATGTTTATTAAACATAATCAAACAAATTGGTCTGATCCTCCAGATTTCTATTACATTCCTTCAAGTATTTGGCATGATGATGAACATTTCATAACATCAAATCAAGAATTATCATATTTGAAAACTATCTTGTTGAAAGCAAATCAAATTAATGATAAATATGAACCAGGTTTAGAATCTGGTAGAGAAACTTTGAATTCTTTACAAACAACAAGAATAAATTTAAAACAATTATCTGATACTAAAGAGTTTGAATTTAGAAAAGCTTCAGATTCTTTAAATTCTTATTTATTAACATTATCAAATTTTATTCTTGATGAAAATATAAAAGTTTCTTCACAAGTTGAAATTGAAACGATTGAAAATAATGCAAATGATAAAGATCTTTCATTAGATGGTTTGGTTATTCAAAAGAAGAAAACAAATTTCTTTGGTAAATTAAGAGGTTCAAAACCAAAAGAAACCATTGTATCAACAAATGATAATAATAATGATTCACAATCAATACGTTCTTCAAAATCAACAAAATCAAATCATCATTCATCTTCACCATTCCATATACCTTCATTACGTCGTAATAGATCAAGAAATCAATCATCTGCATCAAATACTTCAAATTCAATACCTAGTGCAATTGCACAATTCCCTTACCAAGCAGATGGTGAAGATGAAGTTTCAGTAGCTGCAAATGAATCATTAGTAATAATAGAAATGGATGATGGATCAGGTTGGACAAAAATTCAAAATTCAATAGGAGATTCAGGTTTAGTACCAACTTCATATATTCAAATAAATGAAATACCACAAACATCAGGAAGTGGTTCTTCAGGTGGTGGTAAGAAAAAAGGTCCAGAAGTTGTTCCTAAAAGAGGTGCTAAAAAAATTTCATATGTTCAAGCTTTATATGATTATCAATCTCAAGGTGATGATGAATTAACTATATCTTCGGGGCAAAAAATTGAAGTTTTGGAAAAAGATGATGGTTCTGGTTGGACTTTGGGTGAAGTTGATGGACAAAGTGGATTGTTTCCAACTAGTTATGTTCAAGAATTATGAATTGGATCATGTGTATAGGCTATAAAATAAAAGATGTACTTCGTGAGATGAATGTAAGACTACAAAATAAGGATCAATATAGGTAAAATAATAAGATCATAATTCATTAAATGTGTATAAGTTAATCCTTTTAAAAGGTCATATAACAACATTAAATCCTATATGATCTTTGCATGTATTGAAACAATCTATTAAAAATCAAGTTCAATATCTTATACATTCATGTACTCAAACAATCATATCAAGATCAAATAATTAACTATGGATTTTAAATATATGTTCCTTTAAATATTGTACAAAAGAGTAATGGGATCAGAGCGATGCATTCCTCACAATCCGAATCTTACTAGGATCTTCAATGCACATATCAACATTGAATTCTGTTACGATGGTTAATGTATATAAACATCAATGTTAAGGTTTTCAAATTTTCATCTTTTCTTAAGTTATTTTATATATTCTCGCCTAATTCCCAACTCGCGGATCATCATCATGATCATTTCGCCTGATTTTACCCTGCTTTTTTATTCACGCGAACATTCTGCTCGTAAAATATCTTTGATGGTTGGACTATTGGAATAGCTAGATTGTTTCTTAGTACAACACTGATTGGAAATTGTTCGCTATACCTTCTGATATGTTATGCATGCTATCAAAAGGCTATCCAACGGCTACGGTAATACTAAAACGCTTACAAATTTGGTGAATAATCATCCATTAGGACTACTGTGAATAGCTTAATGCCACTGAACTGATCAATAAGGTGACCAGTTTATATCATTATATTATAATATAGTTGAGTTTTAAAGTGATATTTAACCTTAATTTTTTATACATTATTGATATCATCACTTGAAGATTATACAATACAATGTTGTTATATGACCTTTCATTGTTAAAGGATTAACTTATACACATTTGATTGAATTAATGGTCTTATAATATATGTTTTCTAAACAGAGATGGTTCTTGTAGATATACTAAGAATATGTATTAGAACAGAAACCTATAAGTAATATACATATAACATATTTGGTTGAAGATCAAATATATCGCAGTAATAATTAAAATATACTGCTGCAAAATTAACTAGGGGTAGGGGACCGGGGTACCCTGAATCATGTAAAATTATAAGTCGAATTACGAAGGTACGCGCGGTTTTTCTTTTTTAATTAATATAGACATTTTCTCTAATACCATCTAATATCTGGCAGCTGATCAATTATACATTGTCATGAAAGTATATTAAATTATACTTGATCAAGTTTTTTTCCTATTGTCTCTTTAATTAGCTGTTTTGCTGTCTTGGCTTTAACATTGAACTCTTTTAATAATATTTTTGCAATCCTAGCTTGAGTTATTTAGCTTTATATCACTCGATCTTAATAGCTGATTTTCAGTTATATACTCTTCCATTGAATTATATTAGATCATCTTATACGTCTGCACGTCTATTAAACATCAAAGATTGATTAAATTATTTTGGAAATTGTTCAAAAGAGATTGTTATTCTTATGTTGTTATATGACCTTTGACTAAAGGATTAACTTATACACATAGAATCAATTCAGTTAATTTTAATATACATTTTTTAAATAAAGATGGAATCCAATGTGTAGTACTAGATTGTGACAAGCTCAACTGAACTTTTATTAAAAATACTATTAATATATGTTCTATAATAATAATAATATTGAATTTGAAGCATTACCCTACGTATTTGAGTAAAATTTAAGCTGTTTTAATATTTCACATTGAAATATGAAAATTTCAACATCAAAATCAACTAATGTTTATTATTTATTGCCCTATATTAATAATAATGAATGATTTCATGAAAAGTGACCAGTTTAGTATTGTTTCCCCATCTTCGACTAACATGAACGCTAAAGGGACCGGTTGGTTATAATTCACCCATCGAGTTTCATCCATCAGTATTGTATATAAATACTATTTGTCACCTAAATCTAATTACTGTCAATGGGAAGAAAATAGATCAATCAACTTCTTAGAACGTTAATGATCATATAATATTACTCTGAATTGGATGATTCAAGAAGATTGACTCGAATATTGATGTCGTTATATCACCTTTAAAAGGATTAACTTATACACATCAGATTATTTGAATCGATATTAACATGTTTTTAATATACAATGTTCACACCGTGAGATGAGTTTAACAACGTAGAAATGACGACTCTAAAGATAGGAGGTAATGCTCAAAACATTTCATTCAATAAATCATGTTTAATTGAAAAAAAATTGTGGATCCTTATAGACTATACTATATAGCTAGGCAATGGGAGTTCGAGTGCAGTGATTATATTTTACAACAATACTTAAGTCTTAAACGCGTATGAGATCTAATTTATAGTTGATGAAGTCTCAATAATTCAAGGTACATATCAACTGTACACTATCGTAGACACACAATCCCCATCTCCATCTTAAGCTACTAGCACTTTACTAGAGCACTCTTTAAGAACGACTCCCCATTAATTACCCTATTAATACCTCACTCGTATAACGCGGTTTAATCTGTACCTATGTTTCATATACAATCTAAACGTCGAACAATTTAAGACGAGATACTTTAAGAATTTAAGGCACTATCAAGGCGATCTATAAATTTCCAGTTACAACTATACACATTCTTGTTGTATTAGAACCCTAATAAACATACTTTGACTAGCTCTCTATCAACACTGATGATAATGTTACATCAACATCAGTTCATCATATAATACATGACATGACGCATTAACCTTCAACCAAAATTTAAAGCTATAATTTACGAACAACGTTACCAAAGTGTTACACTTCAAAGTTTAAACATAACATTGACTGCCTTGGAAATCCATGTAAATTTCCATCTAAAACCTGTGTAAAAATGCTTATATTCCCTTTAAAATGCAATATAATTTACTATAATTTACGCGTTTTTACTCTTTTGGGATTAAATTTTATGCGTAACCGAATTTTCACGAAATTGTACTAAGGCCAAAAAGTACAAAACAAATATGCCTTAAATTTTTAGACCCGATATACATAAACATACAACTGTGTGTGTGTTGAAACTTTTGAAAGTTGTTGCAAGAAATAAAGCTTTTCTTCGAGATTAAGTTTTCATAACTTATTTTTGAAACTAATTGAATAGTCGTTGAAGTAAAGGGATAGAAATTATATATACAAAATGGGTGGTTCTGTATCGAAAATAATGGTGAGTATTAAATATGAGTTTGAAGTTATAGGATATGGGCTAACCGGTTTATTAGGGGAAACTCTTTGGTACAAAAGAGATGAAGTGAGTTTGAAATTATAGAATTATGGTGAAAGTGATGAAATTCAATGGCTAACAATGATTATAGAATTTTAATGCTGGGTTTAGATTCTGCTGGTAAAACAAGTAAGTTTGATTTACAACTTATAACATTAGACAAGATTTTGTTACTAACTTTCTTCAAGCTATATTATACAAATTAAAATTAAACAAGATTAAAACAACAGCACCAACCGTGGGTTTCAATGTTGAAACATTCCAATATAAAAATGTTAAATTTAATATGTGGGATGTTGGTGGACAAGATAGATTAAGACCTTTATGGAGACATTATTACCCCAAAACAAATGCATTAATTTATGTTATTGATAGCTCTGATCGTTCAAGATTGGAAGAATCCAAAAGACAATTATATAAAGTTTTGAATGAATTAAATACAAATATAACAACAAAAGGATTTTTATTATTAATATTTGCAAATAAACAAGATTTAAAAAATTCAATGAATTCAAAAGAAATTAGTGAATTTTTAGAATTAAAGAAAAATTTAATTGATGAGCAATTATTTGCTGTTATTGGAACTAATGCATTAACTGGTCAAGGTTTGATAGAAGGTTTGAGTTGGATATCAAATAATTTTAAAACTCAATAATATAGAATTCATCATACCACTACAAAATAGAACATTTTTACATTATTTGCATTCAATTCAATATAATTCAATACAATTCATATCATAATAATCATAATAATTTCATATACAATTTATTCAATTCAATGACTTTAATTTAATTTTCAATTTATCAAATAACAAAACTCAAAACACATCATTTATATAGATGATTACACTTTAAAACATGTACATTAATAATGAAAAGGGAATATTAAAAAAGAGCTGTAGTTTATAACAAATCAGAGATTAATCTAAGCTGTGCTTGTTTTATCACCATCAATAGTTCTAATTGTAACACTACCATCTTGTTCCCCAAAATAAGCTTTATCGGCATGACCAATAAATAATCCAGTATCAACAACACCAACAAGTGATTTAATCTTAAAATGTAAATCTTTTGGATCTTGAATTGGACCAAAATGAGCATCAATAATAAAATTCATATTATCTGTAATAACAGGACCAGCTTTTGCAGAACCACCTTGTCTTAAAGTAATACTTAAAGCCCCTAATTTTTCCAATTCTTTTGTAATATGAATATAAGAAATTGGTACAACTTCAATTGGAACACCTTTAACCCATTCAACACCTAAATAATTTGGTGATTTTTTTCTATAATCTGCAACTAATATAAATTTTTTTGCACTAAATGCAACTAATTTTTCTTGAAATAAACAAGCACCACCACCTTTTATAGCATTAACTTGATTATCAACTTCATCGGCACCGTCAAATGCAATATCTAATTCTGGATATTGTTCAATAGCACCTAATCTTAACCCATTATCAACAATTAAATTTTTAGATTGGAATCCAGTTGGAATACAAATAAAATCTTCCTTGTTATCTAATTGTGCAATTCTTTCAGCAACATAAATAACAGTGGAACCTGAACCAATACCAATGATTTTATAATCAGTGGAGAAATTTTCATCAACAGCTTTATAAGCTGATAATCTTTTAGATTCTTCAGTTGGATTTGATAATGGTTCTAATTGAGAATATGGAATTTTTGGCATTTTGAATTGAGTTGAAGTAGAGAATAATAATCTTTGTTGAGGGAAAGGTTTAAATAATCTCAAGGTTCTTAACATAAACTAGTGGATAATCTAGTATATAGTGGTTGGTTGTTTGTTTATTTGGTTGTTGATATTGTCCGGGGTTGAGGATATTAATTTAAAACTAAATCGGAATATTGAAATCCTTTTTCATATGGTTTGATGAAGACCGAGAAATGGTATAGGATAATTAGGAGTTGATAATCTGGGGAATTTAATGGATTAAACTGAGAGTATATAAGATAGTATTATATATTTAGTATATTGTGTATTAATTGATATGGAATTGGTGATTATTTTCCATTTTGTTGATTTGATTAATTCCATCTGTGTGGTTTGCTACACTTGTACCAATCAATGGTAACCAAAAGATATACGAATTGAAGGAGAATAACACTACGTACTGAACAGAGATCATAAAATCAATATACCACTTGATTAGTTCAAGTATAGATCATTGACTATTCATATAACCAATTTTATTCCTATTCAAAACCATTTATAATGACTCATTAATTTGGCATTCTTTCCTCTTCTCCATTAAAGTGTGTTTCTTAATTTTCAATAAACTGAAGCCCTAAACCTCATCAAATATTTATCACCTGATCATGATACATAGACACGTGCATTTTATTTTTAGGGCTCCATCGACCACCCACACACCACTCTCATCACTCTCCCAAAACAGTCTCGACATTTCCTCTTTCGGACACCCGTTGAAAATTATTCCAACTACTCGCTCTAGGCTCTAGGATTTTTTCACTTATACAAAATTATCAAAATTAAACAAAACCTTTAATCAAATAGACCTATTTTAGAGGAATCACCACCAAAAGATTATATACACAATGTCTGCTGCTGCTAAAATCTTAAACGAAACTCCATCTGAATTGGAATTACAAGTTGCTCAAGCTTTTGTTGATTTAGAATCAAACTCTCCAGATTTAAAAGCTGATTTAAGAACTTTACAATTCAAATCAATCCGTGAAGTATGTAATAATTTAGGGTAAGGCCCCAATGTGATGTCAAATGGTTAATAGAGTATCGTGTGATGGATGTCAAGTATATTACAATATGAGATTTGTTGGGAAAATGATAAGTTGGATATATACCCTTTGGTATCATATCTACATATAAAGAAGTTTTTATTATATGAAAATTATCCACCAATATCCATTTCCACACTTTATAATATTATCACTGACTCGCTTGGGCACCCTCCTAATTTTTACTTCACTGGAATCCCCATACTAACCTTTATTTTTCTAGATTGAAGTTACTGGTGGTAAAAAAGCTATTGCTATCTTTGTTCCAGTTCCAGCTTTATCTCAATATCATAAAGTTCAAACTAAATTAACTAGAGAATTAGAAAAAAAATTCCCAGATCGTCATGTTGTTTTCTTAGCTGAACGTCGTATTTTACCAAAACCAGGTCGTCGTTCAAAACAAACTCAACAAAGACCAAGATCAAGAACTTTAACTGCTGTTCATGATAAAATTTTAGAAGATTTAGTTTTCCCAACTGAAATTATTGGTAAAAGAGTTAGATACTTAGTTGGTGGTAACAAAATCCAAAAAGTTTTATTAGATTCAAAAGATGCTACTTCAGTTGATTATAAATTAGAATCATTCGAATCTGTTTATAACAAATTAACTGGTAAAGAAGTTGTTTTTGAAATCCCAGAAAACTATTAGATCATTTTATAACTTCTTGTTAATATCATTGTTAAAAAAATTTAAAAAATTTAATGTGTATCAATAGATCATAATATATTATATTATATTTTGTGGTGGGTAAAAATTTGTCTTTTCCTATTTTAATATTTATCGTACAGTTTTTGTTTGTTTTATGAATTAATTAATTGTAAATAAATATTTCGATCTACACATTATAAAACTATCATATCTCATGTACTTATAAATAAAAACTATATAACCTATATGATTAACCAACTTTAACCATTTTTTTAATACCTTTTCTATTATCATCAATAAATTTATTATATTGTTGATGTTGTTGATCTTTTTCAATTGCAATTTTCATAAATTCATTATAATTATTATTTGGAACCATATGATCTTGTGGGAATCCATCTGATAATTGAGTTGGTATTCCATTATTTTCAAATCTTTCAAATTCATCTTCCTGAGTTTGTTCAGTTATATTCATCAACATTAATTGATCTTGATTCATTGACTTATTTGTTGTAATTTGATTTAATTCTTGATTTGATTGTGGTAATGTAGGATCAATTAATGATGGGATTTGATGCTTTGCAAGATTGGGCCGATCTCGATGAGTTTTTTTAGACTTAAAAGATTTAGTAGGTGATGAAGATCTTGTTTTATTAGTCTTCACTGTCATTTGGTCAAAATTATTTGATCTTGAATCATCATCATCATTCTTTTTGGTCTTGAAAACATATGATAATACACCTGCAACCATAACCCAAGCCATTAAATGTTTAAATAATCTACCTAATAAAACAATCCATGAATCTAAATAACCAACTAAATAAGGTTGAACCATAACCACAATAGAAGTCATTATAATACCAACGAAAAAACTTTGTAAATGTAATTTCCCATCATTTTCTGTATTTATATATGGAGATTTTTGTAATTTATCCCAAATTATATTCATTATCTTTTTGAGGAAATCACCAATCATACCAATATTTAAACCATCAATGAAATCTTCAACATTATTTGAAGCTCTTGCTTCTGATTTATAAGATTTATTGGAATGAATACTTGGAGCATAAGAATATGGTGTCTCATCACCAGTTGGGAAATATTGAGCAGATGCAGAAGTTTTACCATACCCAGTACTACCATTTGTTGTTTTTCTACTTAATTTTGGTGGTGATTCCACTGCAATGGGGGTTATGACACCAGTATTTATGAATATACTTTCATCATCTTTAGTTCTTGGTGGAGGTCTTGTTATTGAAATTAATTCATTTTGATCTATTGGTGTGGTTGGTTGTGATTGTGATTGTGGTTGTTGTGATTGCTGTTGTTGACTTGGTCTAAATGCAGAATTATCTGAATCTCTTCTTAAGATTGTCTTTTTAAATTTACCTTTAATCATATTATCAATATCAATACCAACATAAGAATTTGGATTTGTAGTTGTTGATGAACCCATATTGTGCAAGATATATAAATTAAACTGGAAAAAATAATTTGAGTTGATCTCAATGGAATGAATAAGAATGGATCTTGAAATGTACCCAGTAGTTTATGCTTATGCTTGATGTGATGAGTATGTTAAATATTAAAGTTATGCAATTATTGATAAATTTTTCCTGCTGGTATGAACTATCATTAAAAAAGATCCACACCCAATTAAAAAAGATGGATCAGCTATTATAACCAATAAATCAATGAGTATAAAAGATTTTAAATGATCTGAAAGTGAATGATCCCTTTGATTTATTATGATTTATCCACTGGGAGTATGATCCTATGTTCCTAAATACCCAGTTTATCAAATTCTAATGATCACTTGTGTTTAAGTGTATAAGCTTTAATGTACTTGAATATACCGAACTATACCTCCAATAAATTTTTCTATAATCACGCTAATCTGATCTGTATAAAAATTACACTGAACCTATCTTTGATTTGTTGATCTGATCCCAACGTCCTCCCTCGTGTTAGGCTGCTTTATAAACTGTGGGATGCACGGTATTCAACTGGTTCTGAGAAAAGGATCTAACTTGGTTGGGAATGAATGGAATGAAGATTTCAAAGGAATGTATAGGAGTTTATATTTAAATATGGATCAACAACAACAATTTGTTCCTGAATTTCCCCAAACTTTGACAGTCACCCTTAAATCTTGACCAAAGTATGTGTGATCAGTGATCAAATTGCCACTTTTTACCCTTGTGACTTGTGAGATTTGTGAGATCTTTGATTGTGGTTTTTGCTGGTTGTTTAATTACTTCGGTGTTTACTTTTGCCCTGATCTGCACAAGCTATAATGTCTGGTTATTGCACTGATCAGATAAGAACATAAGGGCTTATATAAGTGGACTAATAGACTACGATTAATTGAGTATGAATATTAATATCTTATAATCTTGATCTTTTACTTGAACAAAATACGGTTTTATTGATCTCCTGGATCATAGTTCATCATTTAAACTTCTTACCAAACAAAATAATTTGTAATTGATCATATAATGAAATAACCATGGCACCTGCAACAGCTCTTAGGATATTAGCACCACAACCTTTAAACAATGAACCAACACCTTCATTAGCAACAATTTGATTAAAAGCATCTAAAGAACCTTTATATTTAACAGCTTGACCTGAAGTCATCATCATTCTTCTACGAACAGTATCTAATGGATATGAAGCAGTTGAAGCACCAACAGTAACTGCCCAACCTAATAAGAATGAAGCTAAGAATGAACCTTGTAAATTACCAGTTAATAATTGAGGTTTTAATGAATCATAAAGACCAAAATAAAGACCACGATATGCAATAATACCAACAACTGATGGTAAAAATCCACGATATAAACCTGCAATACCATCAGAAGCTAAAGTTTTCTTATAAACATCAAATAAACCTGAATATTCACGTGAACCACCTTCTTTAGCAACAGATTTTGCATCATTTGCCAACTTGGTTCTTGCATAATCTAATGAATAAACAAATAATAATGATGTAGCACCAGCTAACCCACCTGAAGCTAAATTACCACCAAACCACCACCAATAACCTTCAGATTTTTTATAACCAAACATTTCTTTATATTTATCTTTAAATGCAAAATTTAATGCCTGGGTTGGGAAATAACGAATAACATTTGCAGTATTACCTCTCCAAAATGAAATAATACCTTCTTCTGAAGCAGTTCTTGTAAAACATTCACCAATACCAGCATAACGTTTTGATAATCTACCTTGTTTAATCATTTCATCTTGATTTTGAATTAATAATTTAACTCTTTCAATTGGAGCTGCTGCTGTTTTGGAGATTGCAGCAGAAACACCACCCATTAAGAAATCAATTAAGAAGTTTGATTTGGTTTGATCTCCTGAAGAGATTTTAGCGGCTGCTTCTTTAGTTTCTTTAGACATTGTGTATTATTTTTTGGTACTATACCTAGTATTTACCTAGTATACCATGAATCATAATATTACCAGATTTAAATTTTAAGGGATGTAAATTTGTTTAAATAAACTTTTTAAATTAAATTGCCCATGTTTTCAAGTTGTGATCTTTTCTTTTGTAATAAAATTAACTTTATACTAGAAGCAATTCGAGACACAAGTTAATAAAGTTAATAAAATTAATAAAGCTACTTTTATCCAGAGAGTTAGGGTAATACATATATCAAGAGATTGTGATCGTATAGATATAAATATATTATAGTTGTATATAACCTTTGAATAGATGTCAATTGATAATTGTTTAGTTGTTGTATGAATTGTGTTGTATTAGACCATGTGGTTCTTTGGATTCGGATTGACATATACGGAATCCATGAAATCTTGGAACCTTATGGAAAATGACAGACAGTTTGTATATAGATGAATAGATATCATTGTATTCGATTGTATTATATTATATTAAATATCATCAAATATCATTATATATCATTTTATTAAATTAATAAATATATATTCTATGCTCATGCACCCCATATAACCCGCGCTCAGTTCTCACATATTAAATTGTACTTTAACTATATAAGTAACCAAAATAGGTAAAGAAATAACCAATATAGGATATTGTAATAATAAATATAAAGAAGCACAATCCATTTGAACTCTTTCCTCAGCATCCAATGGAGTATAAAAAGCAGTGAAATAAATCTGTGTAGTCATACTTGGTAACCCCCATGAAATCATAATAACAAATCGTAACATATAATCATCTGGTGAAATCCAACCTGATGAAACTAATCTATTAACCCAAAGAACACCAATTATTGGCATTATACATAATCTTAACAAGACTAATAACAGGGCACCTCTCCAAAAACCTGGTTTTAAATTTCCTAATGATAATCTACCAATTGCACTACCTAATAAAATTAATGCAAATGGAACTGAAGCTGCTCCAACATATGATGTATAATCCATTATGAAATTTAATGGTGGTAATTCATCAGGTGCATTAGGCATGGAAACTGTTGTTTTAACGAACAAAGCTTTAACCCAAGGTATGAATGCAATTATTAAACTTATTATGATTGATATGGAACAAGGTCTAAGACAATTCTTGATAAAGAATATTAGGATACCTAAATGATATTTTTTGAGAAATTGAGGGACACTTGTTTGGATATCTTTACTTGTAATACCAACATCTGTTGTTAAAATCTTGGATAATGGACGTTGTTGATTATCTGTTTCTATGATAGATTGTGGATATTGTGAATATTCTTCCACTATATCATCAACATTTTGGGATGGTAATAGTCTTAATTCTGTAGTTTTAGGTCTTTGATATGATTGTAATGATGAATGTTGAGAATTGTTTGTAAAGGATCTATGTATTGATGAAGTTCTTGATCTTGTTGAGGATCTTCTTCTTTGTTGTAATGATCGTTGTTTTAAGGTTTTTAATTGTTGTTGGTCTATAGAATTTGATCTTTTATTTTCTGTTGTTAATGCTATTGGATTTAAATTTTGATTTTTTATGGTTTGTGAACTTGAATTTTCTGAATCTGATTCATCATCTAAAACTTCATCGTCATCATCATCATGAGTGGTACTTTGTTCTTCATTTTTCTTTAAATTTTCTATATTAATTTCTTCATCATTCTTAGGATTCAAAACATCTCTAAAATCATACTCCATTAATCTAAACCCACCAAGATTGAAAAGACATAATGTAAACATTGTCAAAAAAATACATGTATGAGCTATACCCTTTTCACCTTGTTCTTTATTGAAAACCAACCCCGAGTCCAATGTCTGAAGATAAGCAATTGGAATATCTGAAATATTTGGGAAAATAGCACCAGCCATTAATCCACCAAACCAATTTGATGGAATTGGAGTTAAAACTTTAGTAACCAGACCAAAAACACCACCAGTACCAAAGATCAACAAAGCACTAAGACAAACAATACCAACGTTTTTAATATCACTATCCTCTATATTTGTAACAACTTTATTGAAAACAAGACATGGTAATAATATAGTTAATATAATATCTGATACATTTCTTGTTGTTTCCACAGTTAAGATATTTCTTTTAGCTAAGAAATAACCAGTTCCTATGATTAAATATATTTTGATTATGGGTTTGACTGCAGACCAGATGACTTGTCCCAGTGTGACAGACATATCATACTATGACTTTATAACTCTAAGGGGAGAACTAGTTTGTGGTATTGGTTCAACTTGATGTATTTGATGAAATATTGATAATTTTTCATTCGCATCATCGGATTATATATTTGATAGGTACAGATTAGATTAGCGGGCGATGGATTCCGCATTTGAGAAGAATATGATAGTAATGGATAATTGAGTGTTCGTGGGGTGCTAATCTCTTTTATCCCACGTATTATGTATCAATATATAATAATCAGTTTAAAAAGATTTTTTTATTTGCATTGACTATACCGTTATCTTTATGTCTCGTCCTATTCTTCCGTAGTTAAGAACGATACACGATCAATACATTCAACTTGTGCTCAAGAACAACAGAAAAAAGAGCAAACAAAATCTGTTTAATGGATAATCATCAATCACAATCACAAAATGAACCATCTTATACCCTCTTCTTCTCTTTAATGCCTGTTAAATTCTTCTATTGTTCTTGTTTCCCATAGTTAATAATGACCCGTGTTCATGACAGACACTTTTTTTGTTTTTTGTTTTGCTTTCATTGAAACTAAAAAATAATGGCACCAAAATTCAAAACGAAAAGAGGCAAATCAAACAACAATCAATTAGAAGTTCAAGGAGTTATTCAAAGAGCGGTAATCTAGGGAGTCAATTCAAGTGGTTCATACTGGTCATTGTGCTGCTAACGAGAAGATTATTTATTTTTATTTCATTCTCCAAAGGGAAAAGGGTCTAGTTGTCTAGTTGCTTCATTTTCTGTTTCATTTGTTGAAGCTGTTTTCTTGCAATTATTTATTTAAAGGCACTATAAAGGGCCAATCTGGTCTTTTCTTCAATTCTATTCCAACTTATAAGCATCAACCTGCTCTTCAAGGTATCAGATCAATAAGTTTTAAATCTTTTAAATCATTTGCTAAACATTCTTTATCTCAATATATCAAAAGGAAAAATTGGAAATCTAGGGTAAAATATCAAAAAACAAAATATTTATTGAAAACTAAAATGAGTAGTGGTAATGATCCTTCTAGATCAATGTCAAGAAGACAACGTTTATTTGATATGGGGAAAAATTTAAAAGATGTTTATATACCAACTTTCCAATCAACTATAACTCAATTAGCTTCGGAAGCTACAAATAGAGCTTTAAATTATAATGATGTTGATTCTAATATACCCAATAAAAATTACCAGGGGGCAAATATTATTCTTTATCCTCATTTCACAAGACAAAGTGAAGATGGTAAAAGTTATTATACTCAAGTTCATGGTTGGGTTTATGCTAAAGATGGTTCTTCCAGAAAGAAAAGAATTATAATATCATTAGCAAGACAATTATGTAAATCAAATAATCCTGTTATATCAGATGCAACCGCAGGTCAATTAGATGAACAAATTAATAGTATTCAAGAAAATGATTCTTCTTCTGATTCTTCATCTATAATGACAAATTCCACTATGGGTTCTACTTCATCACCAACTTCTCCAGTTAAAAGATCTGGTACTGCTTCAAGTTCCTCATCAAATTTCCATGAACATCCACCTTCATCATCTTCATCAAATTATGATACTGATGAGATTTTAAAAGAAAGAATTGCTTCATTTGTTAATAGATCAATTGGGAATTTAGAATTAAATATTGCAATTGGTGGTTCAAATAGACATGAATTGAAAACTCTTAAAATTTTAACAGATAATAATGGGAATTTTAATATGGATGTTATAACAAAATTTAAACCAAGTTATGTTCAAGTTGCAGTAAGTGAAGATGAAAAAATTTTTGAATTTAAAGATGTAATGTTCCCCGGAGAATCAAAATTTGGTATTATAAGTGATATTGATGATACTATAAAACAAACTGGTGTTTGTGGTGATAAAAGAAAAATGTTTAGAAATACATTTGTTGATGATATGTCAACTTGGGAAGTACCCGGTGTTGCTGATTTTTATAGATTTTTACATCAAAAATATGATGTTTCATTTTTTTATGTTTCAAATTCTCCATATCAATTATATTCAAATTTAATGAAGTTTTTCAATATGTTTGAATTTCCCAAGGGTGCAATTTATTTGAAAAGATATACAGGGAATATCTTAAATTCATTTATGGAACCATCTCATTCAAGAAAAAAAGCTCCATTAGAAAGAATTATATCACATTTTTCAAATAGGAAATTTTTCTTAATTGGTGATACTTCAGAACAAGATCTTGAAGCTTATGTTGATATTGCAAGATTATATCCTGATAACATTGCAGGAATTTATCTTAGAGTTGCACCAAATTCTATGAATCTTGATACTTTAAAACTTGTTTTAGAAATTTTAAGTAAAAAAAATATAAATGATAAAAATGATGGTAATGATCTTACAGATAAAATTAATGAATTGAAAGAAATTAATGAAGAAATTTCATTAATTGATTTAAATAATGAAGATGATATAAAATCAAAAGAACAAATTTCAATTGATAATTTGAATAAAATTAAACAAAATTCAAATTTAAAATCTAATGAAGTGATTCAAGATTTAATTGATTTAGACGAACCTACATCACCATCACCACCACAATCTATAAGAAAACAACCACCAAAAATTCCTAGAAAACCAAATTCTTTAAGAGTTGAGATTCCACCAAATGAAACTACATTACAAGCAAGAGGTATAAATCCAACAACAAATTACACAAATACATCACCATCATCATCATCAGGTTCAAGTTCAATACCACCATCATTACCAAGAAGACCAATACCAAATCCACCACCAACTGCTAAATCAAAATTATCATCAATTGCATCGAAAACTTTACATAATGCTAAAAGTTTTAATTCTGATGTACCATTTGATGATGAAACAAATGATGAATGGATAAGTAGGATTATAACATCATTAATTATATTGAAAAATTCAAGTAATGATAAGATAAAGATTAAATTTTTTAATGATATTGATGAAATTCATCAAGATATTCAAGAAATTATGAATAAATAAAAAAAGCTAGCTACACAATCTGAATTTAATATTAATAAATAATTTTATTCCATCATTGGATGAAATTTCATGCAAATAAAACAAACTATACACTTTTTTATTTATTTATTTTCCAAAAAAAAAAATTAAAAAATTAATATATATCTTATAATATAATTGAAACCCCCCTAAAACTAAACTCAGTAGATCTAGTCTTACCTTTTCTTAAACTTAAAAACTTGGAAAACAAAGAACATAATACAATAGATGAACAAAAAAACACAAAAACTTTTTAGAAAAAACACTTCACTTTTATACAGTGAATTTTTGATAAATTTTTTGATAAAATATTTGCCATACAAAGAATTTCATCACAATGTATGATACAATATTTTTTAAAAAAAAAACTTAATGATTGATTTTCTTGTGGATTTGATATGTAGATAAAAATGAATTAAGGTATGATATGCATATGACTGTGAAATTATCCACTTGTTTCTATTGTTGTTGATTCTTTTGTTATTGATTCTGTTTCAGGTTTGATTTCTGATTTAGTTTCTGTTTGAGTTTCTGTTTGAGTTTCTGGTTGATTTATTTCAGGTTTTGTTTCACCTTTTGCTTCAAAAGTAACATTTTGACCATCACCATAATCTTTAATATTTGCATCTTCAGGATCTAAAGCTTGTTTAAATTGTGATAAATCAAAAGCAGATTGAGAATCATCTTCATTTTCAAAGTAATTTTTATCCAAGAATTTCTTTTGAATAATTTCACGACCTGTTAATTTCTTACCATCTTTTTTACCATCATTTAATTTTTTAATTTTATTACCTTCTTTCCATTTTGCAAAAGTTTCAACATTTATTGGAGTTAATCCAGTTTTTGGTAATTTATGTCTTTCAGTTTCCAAGAATTCTTCTAATGAAATCTTTGGTTGAGCATCTTCTTCCATTTTTTCTAATCTTTTTTGTTCTTTTGTCTTCAATACAAAACCTTCAGGTAATGAATGTCTATATTTACATTCATTACCACCATTTGGACAAACCCAAAACCAACCATATTTACCATTCTCCACAGCTTCAATGAAAAATTTACAAACTTTATCAGTTGTTGTCTTTGGATTACCATGTTTTGATTTAATAACATCTCTTAATTTATCTTCATCCCATTGATCCATTGTATCAGCTTCTTTTGTTGCACGATCATCAGTATATAAATCCTTTTTAGTTGCTTTTTTACCAACATTCATATCATGACTAAATTTACATTTGGCACCTCTTGGACAATTCCCATTTTTGAAATTAATACACAAGACAGTTTTTGGATCAACACCAAATGGAACTTTTTGTTCAACTTGAGAATTTAATATTCTAAAAGCTTCAGCTTTTGCAGCTTCAGCAGCTTTCTTTTCTTCAGCTCTACGAGCTTGTAATGCAGCATTCTTCTTCTTTTGAGCATCTGTGACTTGAGTTTCAACTTGTTTAATATATTGTTGAACTTTTGTAGATCTATTTTTCTATTGTAACATGTTAGTGACTAGTCCGAAGACACATATACCTAGTAGTATTCACATACATTTTTCAAACCAAAAGTCTTATCAGCAGCTTTTTGTGATTTATCTTTTTTTGGTTCTTGTTGTTTACCTTTTCCTCCTCCCTTTTTTGGTGGCATTTTTAATCTTTATTCCTTATTATTACTTGAATTACACTAAAATTTTTAATAGTCAAAAGAGTTTAAATCAATTGACGTCTTTTGAACTTTTTTTTCAACACCGAACAGCAAAAAAAAAAAAAAAAAAAAAAATTTGAGCTTTGCTGGTTTGGGGACGACTTCTGAGATTTTCAGATTTTCGCGGGTGATTACAAAGAAGAATAAAGTATGGGAAATCATTATTTTGGTGTATATCAAAGGGAAGGAATAGGTATGGTGTTATAAGGAGTAGCGGATATTGCTTTATGAGATCTACTGATTATGTTTCTCGAAAACTGGGTTGATTTTAAGGAATTTTACATGGTAATAGATCTCATATAGTTGAGCAAATTTGAAACGAAAATTATCAAGTATATTAAACATTGGATATATATATACAAAAATATTGATTAAGAACTCTTTGGATGATCTAATTTAGCCTTAACTCTAGCAAAAGGTTCCTTTAGCTTCAAAAAACTTATAATATTAGAGATCCAAACGGAAAAAGGTAATAACCAACTAATCCAACCCACTGTTGATGCTTTATCACCTCTATAGACAACTTTGTAAAATGTAGATTTTGAACGAATCACTTTCTCAATATCACTTATGACATTTTTAGCATAAACATCTGCTTTTTGACCATCACCAAAATCAGCATAAAGAATATTTGTATCTTCATCAAGATAATAAATTGAATCTTTTGATGGTTTTGGAGTTTCTTCAGTTCCTCCAATTTCTGATTCAACTCTACCTGTTCTCACTTGAACAACTTTAACACCTAGTGGATTAACTTCTAATGCTAAACTCTCACCTAATTGATGGAAGGCAGCTTTTGAAGCAGCATAAGCACCTGTAAATGGAGCTGGTGATAAATCAATAACAGAATCTGTGAATGCAACAAGACCTTTTGATTTTAAGATTAAAGTTTGGAAGATTTGAATAACTTCAACATGACCAAAATAATTAGTTTCAAATCCTTGACGTAATTCTTTTATATCTTGATCAAAAATTGAATTTTTAGATGGTGCTATACCAACATTATTAAACAAGATATCTAATTCACCATCAGTCTCTTTAGATATTAAATTTTTAGCTCTATTAATAGATTCAGTATTTAAGATATCAAATTCAACAATTGTTATACCATATTCTTCCAATTTTTTCAATTTTTCCAATCTTCTAGCACCTGCAAATACTTTATAACCCTTTTTAGCAAATTCAATTGATAATGCATAACCAATACCTGCAGAAGCACCAGTAACAAAGACGGATTTCGGTTTAGAAGATGACATGATATTAACTTGTTGATTAATCAGTTGATTTTACTGAATATATCATGATCAAAAAGATCATATCATAAGGGATATTTCATGTTTTTTATATGTTGCCACCAAAGCTGTATGTTTAAAGCCATCTTATTCCCGTACTGGACTAAATCATGCTAAAACATTCCGCAGAACTCACGCTTTTAGTGGACATGAAATATTTTATGAGGTGATATGTGGAGATGATTCAGATAAGTATTTACGATTATCGATTGCAAATATTTGCAATAGTATTTGTAATCTTTGAGCTTAAGAACGTGATAAACCCGGTGTATATAAATATTATTTCCGAGTTCCGTTATTATACAGAAAATAATTCCATTAATTCCATGTTAGTTAAACCACAATTATACAAGAGTAATAAGAAAGAGAATCAGTTTGAGTAATATCCAAATGGTTCAGGATGTCTTTGGCTTTGAAAGTTTGGCTCTAATCTTTGCAAAAGCTGAGTCAATTTTCAAGAATCTAACAATAAAAGTAGGCCATAACCAGTAAGGGAAAAATATATCCAATTCACGAGCTAATGAAGCTTCATGACCTCTATATATGATTTTATAATTTGACCACCATCCCCATTTCAAGAAGCTTTCAATGTCATTAACAACATTTTTTGCATAAATATCTGCTTTTTGCTTAACATCAAATCCAAAATCAAATATATTCCCATCATCTAAATGATATATTGAATTAATGGGTGGTTCACTTGTTCCATTATTATTATCAATTTCTGATTCAACACCGCCAGTGGCAACTTGGAAAACTTTAATACCTAATGCATTCACTTCTGTAGCCAAATTTTTACCTAATTGATGTAGAGCACCTTTTGAAGAAGAGTAAGAACTATGGAAAGGAGCAGCAATATAATTTAAAGCAGTACCGGTGAAAACAATAGATCCTTTAGTTGCCACAATCATCTTGTGGAAAGCTTTAATAACTTCAACATGACCAAAGAAATTAACTTCATAAGTATGGCGTAATTCATCAGTATCTAAATCAAATACTGAACTTTTAGGAGGTGCAACCCCGGCATTATTATATAAAATATCTAATTCACCACCAGTTTCTTCTTCAATGAATTCTTTAATCTTATAAATTGAATCCTTATCTGTGATATCTACTGGATGAATTATAACACCATATTGCTCTAATGATTTCAACTTGACAACATTTCTAGCCCCTGCAAACACTTTATAACCTCTTTTAGCAAATTCAATGGCTAATGCGTATCCGATACCACTTGAAGCACCTGTTATGAACACTGTTTTAGGTTTTGAACTTGACATAATGATAATAGTTTAATTTAATACAGAGTGCATACATAATAACAAGAAGTAGCTGGATATATGAATTATTATTTCCGTTATTTTTCATGTTTATATACGAAACAAAGTAAAGCAATAGAACCGTTATTTCCTATTCCCAGATCACATCGATTTACTGCCGAGTGGTTATCAAAGCGCTTAATAAGACATATAGATACAAGTTAAGAACGAGTATCGCCGATTTATACATTCTTGAAGGCAGAAATTACATCTTGTATAATCATTAGTCATGGTATTATAAATGTGTTATAAATTTATTATAAATGTTGTTCAAGGTGTCTTTTGCTTCTCAATTTTTTGCTTAACTTTAGCAAATAAACCATCAATTTTCAAGAATTTTATAATGAAATAAGACCATGCCCAAAATGGTACTAGCCAATTCATCCAATAAGCAGTACTGGCACTTTCACCTCTATATATGATCTTATGGTATGTGTTTTGGGAATTAAAAACTTTTTCAATATCATTTATAACATTTTTAGCATAAATTTTAGAATCTTGACCTGTACCAAAATCTGCTTTCAAGATATCCACATCATCATTAAGGTAATAAACTGAATCTTTGGAAGTTTTGCAAGGATCTGTGGTACCAAGTTCTGAACTAACATTTCCTGTTCTGACTTGAACAACTTTAACACCTAATGAATTGACTTCTAATGCTAAATTAGCACCTAATTGATGGAACGCAGCTTTTGAAGCAGCATAACCACCCAAGAATGGAGTTGGAACCAAATCAATAACAGAATCAGTGAATGCAATGAGACCTCTTGATTTTAAGAATAATTGTTGGAAAGCTTGGATAACTTCAATATGACCAAAATAATTGGCATCGAAAGTTTGACGTAATTCTTTTATATCTTGATCTAGAATAGAACTCTTATTAGGTGATATACCAACATTATTATATAAGATATCCAATTCTCCACCAGTTTCTTTAGAAATAAAATCTTTCACTTTAAAAATTGACTCTGTTTTTGTTATATCGAATTCATAAATCGTGATACCATATTGCTTTAAATTTTCTAATTTTTTGACATTTCTTGCCCCTGCAAATACTTTATAACCTCTTTTGGCAAATTCAATTGATAAGGCATAACCAATTCCAGCAGATGCACCTGTGATGAAGACAGACTTTGGTTTAGATGTAGTCATATTGCAATTTGATTCAAAGGTACCGTTTTTAAAGCATCAAGGGTAAAATGGGTGAACGTTCAATTATTTGTTTTTCAACATTTCAACAAGACTTATTAAGCAATCAACCATGCATTGAAATTGATAACGCTTTAAGAAACAACATAAGGTAAGCGAATGATCTTGGTTGACACTCAGTAATCTTGAACCTTCCTATATCTACATAGTTATTTAGCAATTAACAACTATCTGCTTTAAATCATAAACTTTGAAAATGATCATTATTTTACATTAAAATTCAGGTATAATTACTGTTCTCCGAAACCCGAGAGAGATTTCCGAAAACACCGATAAGAGTAAAAGATGAAATATAAGGATAAAAGGTTCATAAATGAAATAATAGCTTCAATAATTATATGTCAGTGTATTCAGAGCTCAAATAAACTAGCAATCATGAGAAATTTGCCTTATTCGCTAAAAAAAATTTTGAAGTTTTTCAAGTTGTACCATTTTAATCTACAGAATTAATATACTGCGTCAATAAAATTATGTTCTTGAAATTTTTATATGTTTAATTGATCAACTTTAAAATGACTACATTTTTTAATTACACTAATGAAAAAATGTATTATAAACTTTTTTCTTTTAGTATTTACTTAGAAATTCTGATTATTTATATAATGATTGTATAAATATGTTAATTTAGTTCAGAGTGTGTCCCATACCAATCACAAATTAATATAAAAAGATGTTCTTTAAGGGGTTTTCTTACTTCGATTTAATTATAAATATATATCTTATTACAAAAATGTTTATTGATCAATTTTTCGCTGGTGTTGCCGTGCTGCAAATTAAATCAAGGTGTTTTATGTCATTTGAAGCTGATTATACGAGAGTTGATTGATTGTTTGATAAATATTAACAATTAACTTTCAGTGTTATAATAAATGAAGTATACAAATCATAAATGTCATTGTTAGCTTGTTCTAGACTACATGGATTTATGGATATTTGATACCATTTTGTTTTGAAATGTTTATTATTCTTTTGTAGAGTTGGGCGCTAAAGTATTGTCTTATTGTAATTGGGTTGTAATTAGTTAGCCGCCGACCATCAAGATGTTTTATGAAACCACAAAATCGACCAAGTGAACCTTTTTAAATTTTTAAATTTTTATATTGATACCTATATTTACTTCAGTATTATTTTGATCTTGATTATATCTGATTTATTTATGCTGTAAGTTTTGTGTCCATCATAGGGTGGTGTAAATTTTTGTTTTTGACTAATATAGTTGGTATAAAACTTCAACATTTGCAAAATATATTATTTATTGAAGATATATCTAACTTTGTGGAGAAAAGTTGTTTATCATAAAATATACATTACTGATAACAAAGAGTGATCTATTAAAGATCATGTCTTTATATCATTGTTTTGAGAAATATTCTATCGGTGTAGAATCTTAATCCAAAAAATAGTATTAAATCACTCCAACAGCAAACGCTAATGTAATTACAAAAAGTACTTAATATTAAACCAATAAATCGTCCTTATTCAATTCTAAACTAAATTAACAACTCCAAAAAACTAACATCTATAACTCTAATTTAAAAACCAAAACACATAATTCTCTTAAGTCTCATTCAATGATTGATCTCATTTCATTCAATAAACTTTCTAAAGATCCTCTATAATATTCTGAATTATCTCCTGAATGATAAACAACTCTTGATAAATTACCAGTCCTACGATGTGCTGAATTTTCATCAGGACTGTAACTATTACCATTATTATCATGATTTGAATTTATAGAGTTAATATCTTCATCTGTAACAGGTTCATTAATTTCATCATCACCTTCATCAGTATCTTCATCCTTATCTGAAGATTCAATATCATCAAAATAATCATCAGAACTTGAAGATTTATAAGTTTGTGGAATTTTACCATTTTGTTTTAATAAAGTACTCATGAAATAACTTGTATCAACTGAACTTGATGCACTTTTCCTTCTTGGATTAAAACCTGGTTTTAATTCTTTGTTCAAATTTTCTAATCTCCATTTAATTCTTGCACTTATAACTCTTCTTAAATATAATTTCCATAGCTCTTCAATACCTTCTTTATTATTAAATTTTGGTGGTAATGATCTTGTACGATGTAAATAAGAAATTGGATCTTCTTTAGGGAAAGTATCATATCTATTGAAATAAGGTCTTTCAAATTCATATTCTGGTAAAATTGGTGTATTTGCCTTATTAAAAGTTATTGGTGTACCTAATTTTAATAATTCTTGATCCAAGATTTGTTCAGGATCTGATATTAATGAATTTTTACCAGCTGTTGGATTTGGGGTATAAATGATATAATTATTTTTGGAATCAATTGTTATAGCTTTTGTAGTTTCTTTTAATTTAGGTTCTAATTTAATTAATTCCTTTGGGGGTAATTCATAAGCTTTAACTTGTTGATTTAAACAAAGATCTTTTGACATTGATGAATCTATATTAATATAATTCATACTTGAATTTAATTCAAAACTATTTCTAAATTTACCTCTTCTAGATTTTTTCCTCTTTGGTGCATTAACAGGATAAAAAAATTTATTCTTTAATTCTTTTGAACTAATCATATGTCTTTTTTTTTGCCTTATAATGGAATTTTTTCTTGTAACAGTTGGTGATATAATTGTTGATTCAATAGTTGGAGCTTTACCTATTGATCCAACTTCACCTATCAATGTATTTCTATTTGATTGGAATGCATGTTTTTTATGATATGTTGGATTAAATGCATTTCTATTAGGAATCTCTTTTATTGTAGGAACAGAAGGATATCTTCTATGAAGTGTATTTGAATGTGAAGCTGTATCATGATGGTTTGTAGCTGAAGTGAAGACATAATCATCCACCACCGTCATTTGTGGTTATTTTGAATGATATACTTTTTAAAAATCACTGGAATGTAAAAGTATTGAAAATATTAATGCTTTGATCTCTTGATGTTTTATCAAATAAAAGTAAGGTACTCTAGGTACTAAAGAACTGTTTAAACAAAGGATTGGAATCAAACAAGGATTAAGAACAAGGGAGCAAGAAGCAAGAAGCACGATCAAATTTTAAATCATCCATTTTTACTGTAGTTGGTTTGCAATTTCAGATCTAAAGTGTAAATCTATACATTTTCGTATACAAATTACATTCAAAGAAAATGGCTGGCTCTATCTATTATGTGATATATATAGACGTTTTAGTACGGGAAACATGGGGCGGCGCTAAATTAAAGAATTTACCCGGATACTCAGAGTCATGTGATCAGAGTTTTTCGCGAATGTGTTTTATAAAATGTATATATCTCCCGCGAATTCTGGAAACATTCCAATTTTTGAAAAGTGAGAGATCAGTTTTTATTTTGGTTTTGGTACACGTAAAACATTCTTGTTGCCTCCTTTTAAAAAGTTGAAACCTTGATCACAATTTTAACAACTTTTGGGATCTTTAAAAGAACAACAATACAACAACAACGAAATTAGACACAATGGATAAATTAAAAGAAGTATGTATAGTGAGCTGATGGAATACAATTGATGGAGAGAGAACCGCCCTGTTTTGGGAATGGGATCTAAATGGGATCAATCAATTTGTTATTGTGTGTTTATTGTTTCCTGTGTGTGCCATTGCCTGGATTCACGGGTTCAATTGATTCCCTTTTTTAACCTTTACCCCTTGATCTCAACACATCCACCACAACTATCACTGTCAATTGAATATACATCCATTTAGAATTGAATCACTAACATCTCATTAATCTATAGAAATTAGCCAACTTAAAATTAGATGCTGAAAAATGGCAAGAAAAACATGATGATTTACAATCTAAAGTCAAAGAATTAGAACAAGAATCATTAGAAAAAGATAACCAAATCCAAGCTTTAACAAGAAAGAATGAAACTTTAGAAGAAAATTTGGAAAAATTAGAATCTCAAGTTACTGAACATAAAACTGCCGCTGAAGAATCTCATTCATTAAAATCTCATAATGAAAATTATACTAAAAAAAATCAACAATTAGAAGAAGAATTAGAAGAATCTGATAAAAACTTGAAAGAAACTACTGAAAAATTACGTGAAACTGATTTAAAAGCTGAACAATTAGAACGTAAAGTTACTTCATTAGAATCTGAACGTGAAGAATTAGAAAAGAAATATGAAGAATTAACTGAAAAATACACTGCTGCTAAAGCTGAATTGGATGAAATCTCAGCTCAATTGGAAGCTATCTAAATTGATCAAGAAATCACTAAAGAACAAATTGTTCAAAATTCCAACAATGATTTGCATATAATATACCATATAATTCTTATTTCCCTTTTAATGAAATTTTCTTTAAATTTTTTTATTTTTAACTTACGGCAAGCTAAATTGGTTTGGAAAAGTATTAATGCCGTTCTTAAATATTTCTATTGAATAAGATGTCATCGCTATTGTTTATAAGATGTTGTAGTTGAATAAAGAACAAAAAATCACGGTATAGTGGTACAAATCAACAATTTAAATCACCATGACAACATACTTTAACCAATGGAGCGGACTGGGGGGGGACTCAGATTTACACAGGGGAAGTAGCGAAAGCAGCGTGTCTGTTTGCCTAAAGTTCGAAAGTTCGCGTGTAAGTATCAGCACTGGGGATACTAATAAGTTCGCGAACGCCAGCATTTTTTCGTGTGAAAGAAGTTTTGGCAATTTGAGAGAGTCGCATTAAAACACGGTTATAACAGAATCTTAGAATTGAAATAAAATAAACAATAGACATCAAATCAAATTTTAAAGTGGAAAAGTGTGGGCGGTTGCTTTAAACATCAATCGAAAACAATCATCATGGCGGATCAATACTGGCTCAACGAGCAGCTGAAGAATGATGATGGCTTTGCCGCCAATAACAATTCACAACAAGATGATCAATTAATGTCGTCTTTTCTTAACTATCTGGATGGTGATAATAACAACAGTTCTAGTGGCAATGGTACTGTTGATAATAGAAATCAAGTCAAGAATAATAGTAATGGTGCTTCTGGTGTTAATAGTAGACCTTTATCAACATTTAATCAAAATGCTGGTAGTATTGGTGGACCGGGATCAAATGAACCATTTGTTGATTTAGGCGTGAGTCCTTCTTCAATATTGAGTCAACAACAAGCATTACAACAACAACAGAATCAAGGTCCTCCATTACAACAATCACCTCAATTGCAGCAAATTCAACAACAGCAACAACAAAATCAATCTCAAAGGTCCAGTCAAGATGCTAATGCTTTAATCCAAAGTTTATTACACGAGAGAAATAATAATCAAAATAATCAATTCCCACAACAAGGTGTTCAACCTCAACAAAATCAACCGAATTTTAATCAGAATCAAGGATTACCACCAAATGTTTTTTCTCCTCCAACAAGTTCTCAAACAATTCCTCCTCAAGTTCAACAACAACAAGTTCCAACACCTCAATTACAACAACAAAATATTCCAAATCAAATACAAAACCAAAATATTCAACGACAAGGAACTCCCCAATTCAATAATATGAACAATGTACCATTAGATAAAGCTGCAATGATCGCTGCACTTCAACAACGTAATAATCAAAATCAACAACAACAGCAACAACAACAATTCTTGCAACAACAAATGATGAATCAACAACAGCAACAGCAGCAGCAACAACAACAGAATTCAATGTCACCAAACTTGAATAACCAACCTATATCTAATCAACAACAACAACAGCATATGTTTCAACAGTTACAACAACAACAAGCTTTGAGATTACAACAATTACAACAACAACAAAGACAACAACAACAAAATTCAATTGGAGGTCCTCTTAATCAAACACCTATGAGTCAAGATAGTCGCGTTAACTCACCTATGATTTCAAATCAAGTCCCAGGTCAAAATCAATTCAATTCTCAATTCTCTGCACCAAATCAAATTAGTCGTAATGGAACACCATTTCAACAAGCTCAACAACAAGCTCAGCAACAACAGCAACAAAGACCTCAAACTCAACCAATGAATATGCATCAAGTTCCTGGATCTCAACATCCAAGTGTTCCTAATACTCCACAACAAGCACAAAGAGTTGTATCAAACCCTCAACAACAAATGCCACAACGTCCTTCTCATGGTCAAATTCCACAAATTCCACAACAACAGCAGCAACAACAGCAAGCTCAAGGAAGTTTACCTGGAAGTGTACCTGGATCTGGTAGTATACCACAACAAAATTTAACACCTGAACAAATTCAACAAAGAAAGTTACAACAACAACTGAGTGCTACACAAATTGATTTGTTTATGAAAACTTTGACAGACTTTATGAGAAATAGAGGTACACCAATCACATCACCTCCTTATATTTCTGATAAAAGAATACATCTATTTTTCTTTTATGCTATAGTTGCAAGATTAGGTGGTTCTGCATCAGTTTCAAGACAACAACAATGGCCATTTGTCGCACAGAAATTAGCTTTACCAGTTGACCAAAACCACCAAGTTGCAAGAGATTTAGCTAAAATTTACATTGATTATTTATTACCTTTTGAACAATATGCAGGTACTCCTGAAGGTCAAAAAGATTTACAAACTAGAAGACAAAATATTCAAAAACAACATGAAGATATACTGAGACAATTGAAACAAAGTCAACAAGGCCAACCACCTCAAGCTACTGTCCAACCACATCAACCACAACAAATACCTTCAACTCAACCTCAACCTACTCAAATTCCAAATCAACCATCAACTCAACCTACTCCTGCTCAAATACCTCAACATATTTCACCACAGATCGCACAACAAAATATAAATCAATCACAAATTCCAACTCCAACTCAACAACAATTTCAAAAAGCTAATAATATAGGATCAAATGCTGGCTCTAATGCTAATAGTCCAATTGTTGCTCAACAACATGCATCTCCATATAATCAACAGTTTGGTGGGTTACAACAAAGCCAAAGACAAAAGAGTGTATCTCAAATAGGTTCAAATGTTAATTCCCCATTACCTCAACAACAAGTTCCACCCCAAGCTACTCCAGAACAACAAATTCCAATCCCAGAACAACAGCAAGAACCACCTTCTGAAACTGCAAAGCCAAATGTGATTAGAAATTATGTTCCTGAACAAAGAATTATTGAGCAACATGCTGGTTATGATGTTAAATCTTTGAATCAATTAGGTGAACAAATTGATGTTGCAAAACCAATATTTTTATTTGCTCCAGAATTAGGTGCTGTTAGTATTCATGCTTTAATTATGAGTTTAGATTCAAGTGTCTCTAATGAAGTTAACACTGCTTTGAATACTGCTCTGGTTACATCTGCTGATAGTGGACTGACTATACCATTGATTGAATGTCCTGAATTTTTAGAATCTTTAGCAAGTTTAGGATTGAGAACATTGGATCAACTATTAAATGGCACAAATTCAAGAAATGTTGTTGGTGTGGAAAAAGTTGATTTAGAAAATTTAGTTTCAAAGAATTCAAATATCGATGATATTTTTGATAAATATGTTAAAGATGAAGATGATGCTCATGAAGTTGAAATTCAAATTGATTCATTTTCAGGAGAACAAATTAGTGAAGAAGATGAAGAAAGAAGTTCTATCAAAGAAGAAACTGATGCTATAGTGGTTGATGAAGATGGTGATGTTGATCTGAATAATGATGTTACAGTCCAAAATGATGAATCAAGATCTGGTAGTGTTACAGATTTAAAGATACCATCAAATTTCAATATACCACCGTACATTGACATGCTGATTGCAGTTCGTCATGAAAGTGAACATCCATTTAGTAAAATTCATACAAAGAGTGCTGATGATCCACAAGTTTTATTAGTTGATCAATTGACGACAATTTCAATGGTCTTAAGAAACATTTCATTTTATGAACATAATGCAGCTTCATTAGCAGCGAATGATTACCTAAAAGAGTTTTTGTTCAAATTAGTTGCAGCTATTGCTTCAAACCCAGAAAAATTCATTTTCACAAGAAGAAGATTAGGATTTGTTAAAGATGTCTTAATAATTCTAGTTAATATCTCTCATTTATTACAATTAAGAAATCATAATGATGCACTTTTAATTTTAATTTTAGTTCTTTCATTTGGCGCTGAACAAAAATCTGAAGATGAATTAACATTTGCAGAATATAATCCTTCATCACATAAATATCAAAGTCATGGGGTTGATGTGCTAGCTAAATTATTGGTTCGTGATCCACCAAATAGACAGTTATTTCATGAAGTATTGAGTGGTAATTATGATTCAAATACACCATTTTCAGAAGTTGAAGAAAATAAAAAACTTGCACAAATTTATACAGAATCGGATACTCCACATAAAGTTCTTTTATCAAAAGTTTTCAAATATTTGATTTCTGTTATACCATTAACTAATTTAGGACTGAATACAATAATCCAAGAAAGAGATGCGGCAATTTTACAATCATTAATTGCATCTATATTAATTATTGATATTGTTCCAACAGAAGGGGAACAAAACTTAGCATTATCATGGTTAAGTGGACCAGAATGTGTTGGTAATGGGTTAATAAAATTAGGTTTAGTTCTTGCAGCTGTTGCATCCAAACCAGGTGATAATGATGCGTTAAGATTAATTTCAGCTAGAGCTTTTACACTTGTTAATTCCTTAATTCAAAAATCAATTGAATTCATTGATAATGATGATGGTGATTTAAGTCATTTTAATCAAACAAAGTTACAATTACCTTCAGATGCTGTTTTAGGTGCTTTGTTAACTTCAATTGATCCTTCAATTTTGAATCAAATTTTAACATTATCAAATTTTTTGAAAAAAATAAATTCAGCTGCTGTTAAAGTTGGTAATTAAAAAGAAACAGAATCAAAGAGAATAGATTTTGAAGAACGTTCTTAGTTTTATAATTTAAAAGAAGTACTATATAAAAAGTACACTGTAATATATAATGATAAATGAGGTTTATATTTGTATTATTACCTATTCTATGTAATTTGCTTGTATATGATCATAAATCCTTTCACCTAAATCTTCTCCCACTGCATCATTCAATTGTTCTCTATCCATACCCGTTAATTTATTTACATCTTTAAATTTTCTCATTATTGAATATAAATCAACATTAGTAATTCCAGGGATGTTTTGTAATAAAGTAATTATATTACTCTTTGTAGAGTCATTATTACGTTGTTTGTCTTCTTTTGTACCAGCTTCCACAGCTTTTACAATATCTGGTTCTTCTCTTGAAGCTTTCAATTCCATAATCAATTCAGTAGTTTGATAAGGTGAAGAAGACCATAAAATCTTCATCTTGGGGAACTTAAGTACTAGAGCAGCTAAATTCATTTGAATTTCATCTTGCATACGACCTGAAGAAGTTGGATGTGGTGCTTGAACAGAATTTGGTCGAATTCTAGTTTCTGAAAATGGTTCTAATGAAAACGATTGATTATTATCAAATTCAATAAGTAATGCTGGTAATTCATAATATTTTGACATACGTTCACATTGTTCATATAATCTTCCACTTTTAAAACTTCCAATTAAATCTGGAATCGATTTTCTTTCAATACAAACTTTTGGTGTAACAATATAATCACCAACTGTAAGCATACATGGAACAACTCTAAGACCAATACGATATAATAAACCTGGAAGAGGTGCTCTGAACTCTCTATGATCAACAAGGACTCTTGATTCATCTGATGGATTTCTAAAATTTGCACCACCTGCAATTCTTGTATTCATAACTTGAGATTTCCTTATTGAAAATTTTGAGAAATCCTCTTCAGTTTCAAAATGTGATGCTAAACTTGATTTTTCTCTAATTAATTTCGTAAATGCTTCTTTTTCCTTCTTGATAGCTGTTAAATGTCTTTGTTCTTCCACCGAATCATTATAATACATAAAGTATGTTCTTGCTGGGTCGTCCTTGAAATTTGCTTGATGAACTTCAACTCTTCTTATGAAGGATAAATCTGGTTCATACATGATTATGAATGATGGCATTAACTCTTGTAAAATTAAATCATCAGTTTTACTTTGATATCTTTCAGTTATGACTTGATTTTCTCGATCAATATATTCAAAAGTTCGAGTTGATGCTTGTTCATTGATAGCTTCAGGTTCTTCTGCGACTTTTCCAATTTCTTCAACTTGTTCTTCTTCATCTTCATTTCCTAGGTCTTCGATATCACTAGCGTCAAGTTCAAATAATTCCATTTCAACATCATCCTTGTTCAGCTTAGATTCAATGTCATCTCCTGGGGTTGGTGCACTCAATAATCTACCAACAGCAGCCACAGCAGCACCACCTCTAGTTCTTCTTCTTTTAGACGTAACAGGTCCTCTAGCAAATGCTCTTGATATAGTAACTTCTTGATCTTGTGATTCTTGAGCAGCTGCTTCTTGAATTTTAGAAGTCACATTTGTTTTCTCTTCTTTAGCATCCAAATAAGCTTGTAATTTATCAACCATCACTTTACGACCACTGTATGATCTTGAGCCGGTTTTAGATTCTTTCATCGTGGATAAAAATCTTTTCAATTGGAAACAAACTTTACTATCTGAGCACATTATGAGTACAGGACCATCCTTATGTGGATTATGAGCACGCTCAATAACAATGTCATCAAGTAATATAGCGAGTTGTTCCCATTTAGGATTTTCTTCCAATACATATTCATCATTTTCATATACTCGTTTCTTAGCATATGAAATAACAGCTTGTGATTCATCAGCCATCAACCATGGGGATTCTGAATTTCTTTTGTCAACAGATGGTTTATTTGCCTCTAGAACCAATTGAATCACTTCATAAAAATCAACAGCATCATATGAAATCAAGCATTTTAAAAGATGTTTTAAAAGTTTTATATCTTTAACTAATTGTTTGGAATCAAATGAAATTCTATGCCAATTTGGATCTAGAATCATATGAATCACACCAAGAAAATTTGGATCTAAAGCATTTTCAATATTCCAATAATCAATAGCTAAAGTTGGATTTTTTCTTTTCAATTCTTCAATACATTTTTTCAAACAGCCCAAGAGACCAGTTTGAATATGTTTCATAGATTCAGTCATCATAACATTAATCTCAGTAACTGATTTTGTATCTTTGTTCATTAATGATGAAGAAACTTCAATATGAAATCTTGGCCATAATAAGATTTTTTTCAATCTTAAATCTTTTAATTTCCTATGTAATGGTGAAAATCCAGTAGAAAAATCTTCAGCTGAATCCGTTAATGCCTTGATAAACCCCCATTTGTTTTGTTGTCTATACATATGGACTATGAATGATTCATTTGATAAATCATTAACTCTTTCAGCATGCATAACAACAATACCAGTTATCTTGGATGGATTAACAATACCAGATAACATATCCACAATGAAAATTCTTGAAGTGACAGACATTATACCACCAGATTGATATAGTTTCTGACGTTTATCAGCAGTATATTGATCACTCTTGATCACAATGAATGGTCTTTTACTATCATCACGATCATCTTCATCTAACCAAGAAAGCTCTTGTAATTCTTCAGAAAATTTCTCATTATCTTCATCAGTAGCACCAAGAACAACAACAAGACTTCTCTTTGTGACATTCGCAATAGTAGCTGGTGCACTTAGAGTATGAAGTAAATTAGCAGCAATTGGTTCTAAACCTAAACCTTTACCCAAGATCAGCAATGAATCATCTGACACCAAATCTTCCAATACCAATTGTTGGAATTTCAAAGGTAAGGTCAAACTAATATTTATAGGCTCAATCTGATCCACAAGATCTTCTTCCTCTTCCCTAGCGATCAATGGATATTCCACATGCTCTTCACCATCATCTTGACCATCTTTAATATTTGCCTCTGGAGCATTGTCGTCTCTGACACTGTTCAAGTCCAGAACCAGCTGTTCTTGCTCCTGTTCATCATCTTCATCTCGCACAAACAAGGACATCAGGGCATAACAAGAGTGACTTGAACCTTGAAACTCTTGATTTAAGCTGGTCTAGTCTGGTCTTTTGCTGATGTTGATGTTGAAGCAATCTATTCGCGACTGTCTCCAGACATAATCGATGCTTATCAAACAAACCATCTTTAATGGCAAAAAAAGCAGGGAAAAAGCAGAAAAGTAGATGGAAACAAAATATTGGTTTCAATGAGCAATATAAATATGATACGAACTATCTCCAAGTCTTTAATGGCCCGTTAATCTGCTTATCACCAAAACCACGATTATCTTCACCATCTCTCGCGAATTTTACCCTGAGAAATGGACAAAAAGATTCATAATTAACGATGATCCAAAATGACGAAAACGTTTATCCAACTAGTAACACAGTATAACAAAGTTGTCTCAATTATCTTCAAATCCATAGTAAAAGATGTCATTGACAATCAAGGAAAAGATACAAAAGTTACAAAATGATCAAGTCTTTCTTTCATTAGAATTCTTTCCTCCAAAAACCGAATCTGTACGTATCCGAGTCAAATTGATTCATAGTATATACTAACATTGTTTGGAACTTAGGGTATTCGTAACTTATTAGCTCGTATGGAGCGTATGAGTGCATTGAATCCATTGTTTGTTACAATTACATGGGGTGCTGGTGGTTCAACTGCTGAAAAAACATTATCTTTGGTTCAAACTTGTCAAAAAGAATTAGATTTCACCACATGTATGCATTTAACCTGTACAAATACCGATAAATCAATCATTGATAATGCATTAGCTAAAGCCAAAGAAGCAGGGATTAGAAACATCTTAGCATTAAGAGGTGATCCTCCAAGAGGTGAAGAATATTTTGTGCCAAATGCTGCTGATTTCCAATATGCTGTTGATTTGGTTAAATATATAAAACAACAATATGGTGATTATTTCAGTATTGGTGTTGCTGCATACCCTGAAGGACATTGTGAAGGTGCTGATAATTCAGAACAAGAAGTACTAAAAGATTTACCATATTTAAAGGAAAAAATCGATGCTGGAGCAGATTTTGTAATCACTCAATTATTTTATGATGTTGAAAAATTCTTACATTTTGAAAATTTAGTTAGAGAACAAATCAGTCAAGATATTCCAATTTTACCTGGGTTAATGCCAATAAATACTTATCAATTATTCAATAGAGCAGCAAAATTATCTCATGCTTCAATTCCATCAGAAATTTTAGGTAGATTCCCAGAAAATATTCAAAATGATGATGATAAAGTTAAATCAATTGGTGTTGAAATAATGCGTGATATGATTCATTCAATATATTCAAGAACAAATGGTAGAATCAAAGGTTTCCATTTCTATACCTTAAATTTAGAAAAATCAATTGCACAAATTGTGGAAAAATCAAGTTTATTAAATAGAGTTTTAGAAAATGATGATCAAAATGATGAAGATGCTATAATGAGTGATGATGATGAAAATCAACCAATTGCACCACAACATAAAATCATTGGTCATAAGGATAAATCGAGAAGAAGTTCAAGTGTAAACACTTCAAATAAAGTTCTTGTTGATAGAATTAGAAAAGATTCACAAGATTTTGAAGATGTTAATAAATATAAATTCATTACTCCAAGTAAAAAGGATATTGTGGCAATATCATCAGGTGAAGGTACTTTGGGTCGTGATGCTACTTGGGATGATTTCCCAAATGGTAGATTTGGTGATTCAAGATCTCCTGCTTATGGTGAAATTGATGGTTATGGTCCATCTTTGAAAATTGCTACTAAAAAGGCATATGAATTATGGGGGTATCCAGTTGATACTAGTGATGTTTCTAAAGTTTTCATAAATTATTTAGAAGGTAAAATTGATGCTTTACCATGGTCTGAATTAGGATTAAGTCCTGAAACTGCAATGATTCAAGAAGAATTAATTCAATTAAATGAACGTGGATTTTTCTCATTAGCTTCACAACCTGCAACTGATGGTGCTAAAAGTGAAGATAAAATCTTTGGATGGGGTCCAAAAGGTGGTTATGTTTATCAAAAAGCATTTGTGGAATTATTTGTTAGTAGAGAAGATTGGGAATTTAAATTAAAACCAAAAATTTCACAAAATTCAAAAATTACGTATTATATTGGTGATTCTAAAGGTGGATTTGAAAGTTCTTTACCAGGAAAATCTTCAAATGCAGTTACATGGGGTGTTTTCCCAGATCGTGAAATTTTACAAACTACAATTATTGAAGAAGAATCTTTCAAAGCTTGGAGAGATGAAGCTTTCAGTATTTGGTTAGAATGGGCTAAATTATATAAAAAATCAACACCAACTTCAAAATTATTGAATCATATTCATGATAATTATATTTTGGTTTCAATTGTTTCTCATGATTATCGTAACGAAACTGGATTATGGGAATTGATTTTAAATTAGAGAAAAGATAAAGAATATTTGCATATGTACTTAATGTTATTTCAATTAATGAACTTGAATTTTTCTCAATCTGTAGAGTGTTATCTAACAATATGTCATCTTTATCCTTGTGCTTTAATTTCTTCTAATTCATCTTTTAACAGTTGAATATGTTTTTTATCTAATCCTAAATTCCATGAAGGTACCATTCCACCTAAATAATCAATCTTGGAAGGAGAAAGTAATAAAACACCACTAATAATTTCAGTATTATTATGAATTAAAATCTTAGAACCTAATTGAATTGGGAATCCACTTTTTTGATTGTTCCCCGTTAAAAATGAAAGTTTCTCCACTTCAATACCATATATTAAGTTCCCAAAGCAATCTTGTAACGTTAATTTATAATAACTGTTATGATTTCCCGAAGTTGATTGTTGTTGTTGATTATTACCACCTTGATCATCATCTTCAAGATTCACATTTCGTACAATTCTTTGTTGTCTCCCACGAAGTCTATCAGCACCTACAGCATCCATATCATCAGCAGCTAATAAATCATCTAGCCTCGTAAGTCTTGATTGTGACATATTATCTAAGGAAACAATTTGTAATAATATTTCATTTGAAACTTTATTAGAATCAGTATCAATTGTGAATTTCGATGCTTTTAAAGCTCGTTGTGATCTTTCATCAGATGGGAAATCTAGACGATTGGGACTTGTATTCGCCAAGTCAGCGATAAGGTATCTAGTTAGTTGTGTCATTATGATGTTGTGGATATGATTGTTGCAAAGATAAGTTTATGAAGGTTACTACTAATATTGAAAAAACGCGGTATACATTTATACGCGTAAAGCGCGATTGATAGTAAGATTGAACTACTTTTAACTACTAATTCATTAACAAATGGAAGATTGGGAGAAGAAGCTGCACAGTGCTATTGAAATGAGCCCATGCGAGCTTATATAAACAGATACTCTGGAAGTGTTTTTCTGATCAGAGATTTTTTCGTTTTTGTGGTTACCATTAAATTTGAAAACCGTTGACACAAAACCGTATAGAAAAAAAAGGACCTTTTCTTAACCACAAATCAAGGAAATATATGGGAACCCCCTTAATGATGATTATGGAGGGTGCTTTAAAGATCACCAAGGTTTCACTGCTCATTACAATCTGCTAATTTAGTCTGTTTCAAATCATAGGTATAAAGAACTAGCTCATTTCATTAGAATATCTGCTGCTTTCATCATCAAGAACTCAACAACTAAGTAACTCATTAATTTATTCATTTACTCAGTCAAACCACCCATATTGGTCTTGTCACACATTTTGCCAATCAAGTAACCATTAAAACCATAAACCATGAGATCTTTACCACCACCAAGAAAATCCAAAGCAAGAGCATTTAGAAGATTATTACATAAACTATACAAGATTTTAACATTACAATTTCTTCTCAAGAGTCAAAAGGGTATTGTTGTTCGGAAAAGGAGAACACCATTCCATTTCACAAGTAGGAAATATAAAGTTAAACTGCCCAAAAATAGACGTTATAGATCAAATTATAATTGGTTTAAAAAATCAAAATATCATCGTCGTGGTATACCAATTTCACAAATTGCATTAGGTGAAGACAATTTACTGGATGATAATGGTAATGGGGTTTCAATACAACAAGTTCAATTTAGATCTTATAGAAGAAGACATGGGTTATCCAGAGCTGATCGGAAAGTTTTAAGACGTTTATTTAAAAAGATGATTTATAAAATGTATGCACCAAGACGACATAGAAATATGAAAAATTTGAATATAGTTGTGGATATTTGAATGATATAACATAATATAGTTATGGAATGCTCAGAATGATTAATATACACTTATTGAATTTATACATAAAGCTAATTGGTTAGGTTTAATTTGTAGTTGTTAATATTTAGAACGTTGATATTCGTCTGTCATGACTATCGTGTCACCAAAATCTTTCAATCACGAAATCAAATTATTGAAAATGAACAACAACAAATTTGAATCAATTTGACATTTTGTTTAACAATTTAAATCCAAACCAATTGCATCAATAACCTTTATTTCATTCTCATTATATCTCATATCCCATCAACAATGACAATATATTCACTTTACATAATAAACAAAGCCGGTGGACTTATATATCAAAATGATGTTAATCCAGGATTATCACGTCTTACAGCAAATGAATATTTAGTTTTAGCAGGTACATTACATGGTGTATTTGCTATAGCATCAAAATTAACACCCACAGCATTAAAAGTTAGTACACCATCATCAATTTCCGGGGTTCATAATAGTGCAACAAGTTCAATAACTTCATCATCAATTGGAGGTGGGACTAATAGTTCAAATAATATAAATTCAAATTCTACAATATTATCAAATTATTCTAAAGGTGCATTAAATGTTGTATCTAATTCAAATACATCAGGGTTAAGATCTGTTGATACTAAATTTTTTTCAATTCATATATTTCAAACTTTAACAGGTTTAAAATTTTTATTAGTTACATCACCAAATGGATTAAATTCAAATGATGGTATAAATAATACTGGAAGTAATGTTGATTTAAATAAAAATTCTGAATTTGCAGAAAGTGTACTACGAAGAATTTATTCAATTTATTCAGATTACGTTATGAAGAATCCATTTTATTCAATGGATATGCCTATTAGAGTTGATTTATTTGATCAAAAAGTTACAGAGTTGATAAAAACACTTTCATGATTTTATAAATTATGTATATAAACTTGAGCATTGAATATAAATTGTGACTTAATATTGAAGAATAATTTGAATATTCATAGCTGGTTTGATCTATATCATTATTACTCAAAATAGTAAACTTTACAGGAATTGCGAAAAAATTATGGTTTTGCAGTCTAAATTGGGAAATATCCAACGTTATGTATTTGGCTCAACAGGTCAACAATTAAGTCTTAACATGTCGACAATCTAGCACTAATTATATTAACAATTATAAATTGGCATCCAGGATTCAAATATTGTTACTTGTTTGCTGATTAAGAATTGCTTATATGCTAGATCTAGATCTTCTTCAAAACCGTTGGGTTTAAACTTTTGAGTTACCTAACGCGTTCAAATCTAATATCTAGTAGTTACTAGTCATTGTAGATAATAATACTTACAAGTTACCACTTAATATAATACTATTACTAGTATATAAAACTAATGACGATAGGGGTAACTTGGCCTTATTAAGGGTCTTCATGGAAACAAGCATCCGATTCTATCCTCATTGTACCTTATATTTTAAATCCTAACCCTAACGTTTGAATTTCTTGATGTCTATGAAAAATTGTACGACTTTTTAATGGTATGATGTTTAGAAATTAGAGTCATCAAAAGCGATACAAGGAGGGATTGGAAGTGAATTTTGTATACTTGATGGATACATGATCATACAAGATAAACACTGTGTCGTTATACCTTGGATTCAAAAGGAATATGGTGAACAATAGCGAGTATACTTTGTTATAATAGTATGAACCCATTTTGAACTAGTTAAAGTACGGAACAATTCAAGACAAAGAAATTTCCATGAGACTCCGGTAAATTTTGTGACAGTTTCTTTTGATCAGCCCGGGATTTAAATCTTAATGAGCCTAGTGTAAAACAAGTTTAGTATGGGTGTCAACTGAATACACCTTCATTTGAACCACAGAGTAACTGAACTCACCACTCATCACAGCCTGGACTCGAAGAACCCAACAACCTGTGTAAGATACCCTCCTATAACTGTTCCCAATCATCCCATCGTTTCAACTTTCCCAGCAAAAGTTCTCTTTAAAGTCTGGTGTGATTAATATGAAAATGTCACTCCACTAAAAAGAACTTTTATACGATACAATTCATAAGGAGACTAGACCTCATAGGATCAACTTGTAAGTTATCTTATCAGCTTATAGCTCATGGCCAATCCATGAGCCTCGTAGAATTACTCATAGAAATCTACTTCTTTAGTCTCTTTTATCTTGTTTCAGTCTCTTATATTGTTATTAAATGCTCTTAAATCCAGTCCTTCTAGGTCCCTCTCAACCAATTTTAAAGACCAACACCCATAACATCATGCAATTGTTATATTTAAAATGCTCTCGTACATGGATCCATTATATATATCTTGACACATCCTATGGGTTTGCTAGGTCCTAGATATAGTTTACTTGTTAAGATCTCGAGGAAATTAAACATAGATCTAACAGCTAACAGCTAGAGTATAACAAAATGACTATACCAAAACATAATATAAATGGTGCTATATTAAATGATTATGAAATTTTAAAAGAAATAGGTTCTGGTGCTTATGGTATTGTTTATAAGGCAAGACATCTAATAACAGGTCAAGAAGTTGCTATCAAATCAATATCAAAAGTTATCAACAGTTCAAACAACTCAAATAAAAAGTTAAAACAAAGTGAAATTTTATTATCTGAATTATTCAATTATTTTAAAAACCTAGATTTCAAAGCTACTGGTCTTAATACATTAAATTTAAAATTATTAAGTGAATTTAATTCATCAAATGCTAAATGTTGTTCATTCATCAAGGAAATCACAATCCATTTAAAAGTTCATGATCATCCAAACGTCATAACAATTCATAAAATTATAGATTCGCCAATTGCTTTATTCATAATAATGGATTATTTCCCAGAAGGTGATTTATTCGTTAACATAGTGGATAATGCTAAATATACTTCAGATCCAATGCTAATCAAAAAAGTTTTCATACAATTAATTGATGTTATATCATATTGTCATTCCAAGAAAATTTATCATTGTGATATAAAACCAGAAAATATAATGTGTTCACAAAATGGTTCAAATCTTTATATTGGTGATTTTGGTCTTGCTATGGAATCTGAATTAATCAATGCTAAAACATGTATTGGTTCAAGTTATTATATGCCACCTGAACGTCTAATATCATCAAACAAATCACAAACCTCTACCACCACACAAACTGCAGGATCAAAATGTCCATTTAATCATGGCAATCCACCACCTTCAGAATTAACTGCAAAATCATATCCTGCTCAAGCTGGTGATCTTTGGTCTTTAGCTATAATATTAATAAATTTAACATGTACAAGAAATCCATGGATGAAAGCAAGTGAATTAGATAATACATATAGAGCATTTTGTTCAAAACCTGAAATTTTAAAAGAAATTTTACCAATTAGTGATGAATTATATAAAATTTTATTGTTATGTTTGGAAAGAAATCCGTTCAATAGAATTACATTATTTCAATTAAGAGAATTAATCATCCAATGTGAAAGTTTCACCACTGAAGGTCCATTATCTTATTGTGATGGTTCATTAAATGAATTCATGGATTGTAAAGTCCTTAAAACAAGAACTCCAACACCAACATCAACCATTGTTCAAACTAGTACAAGTCCACTTATATCAGACCTAGAAGAATATAAAGAATTATTAAAATTAAAACAATTAATACCTGAAAATCATATCCCATTAAATTTTAATAAAGATGACCAGGGGATTCATGTTGAATTGGTTCATACTAATCAACAAGAAAATTGGATTGAAGATTTAAATTTGATTGATGATAATTATTCAATTTTGACTAATGTTAGTTTTAATTTAAATTGTGATTTGATTGAAGCTGGTGGTGATTTTTATTTAAATATGTGATTTACATGGGATTGAAGTGGTATTGAAGTGGATTGAAGTGGATTGGGTTATATGGGTTAAGAGTTTATAGAGGTAATGATGGTATGATATATAATAGATCCTTAGGGATTGGAATACAAATAATATATAATAAATTAATAAATTTTGTGATTAGTGTAGCTAAAAACTTATACTTTTATATAGCAAATGAAGCAAAATGACAAACAATTAGCAATGAAGATTAAGGGGGTTCAATGATTATAATGAAAAATGATTTGATGATAATTTTTCAATAACAATTGATGATGCACCACCACCACCATTACAAATACCTGCAACACCAATTTTACCATTTTCTTGATTTAAAACTGAAGTTAAAGTAACAATAATTCTTGCACCTGAACAACCTAATGGATGACCAATTGCCACGGCACCACCATAAACATTAATCTTGGAATCTGGGATTTGTAAAATTTTTTGATTTGCTAAACCAACAGCTGAAAAAGCTTCATTAATTTCAAAAAAATCAACATTTTCAATTGAGATGTTTGCATGTTTTAAAGCTTTTGGAATTGCTAATGATGGAGCTGTTGTAAAATCTTCTGGATTTTGGGCAGCTTCACCCCAACCTAAGATTCTTGCAATTGGTTTTAAATTTAATTCAATTAATTTTTTATGTGAAACTAAAACTAAAGCAGCACCACCATCATTAATTGATGAAGCATTTGGTGCAGTAACGGTACCATTATCTTTTTGGAAAACAGTTCTTGCACTTTTCAATTTATCAACATTTAATTTTGATGGTTCTTCATCAGATTCAACAATTGTATCAGGTTTACCTCTAAAACCTTTAATTGTAATTGGTGAAATTTCATTTGAAAATTTACCAGATTCTTGAGCTTTTTGAGCCTTGGTATATGACTTAATTGCGAAATTATCTTGATCATCTCTTGATAATTGATAATCTTTAGCACATTTTTCAGCATGAACACCCATAGCTTGATTATCATAAGCATCTGATAACCCATCACGTTGTAAAGAATCAACTAAAGAAGCTTCACCAAATCTAGCACCAGATCTAGCAGTTGGGACATAGTATGGAGCATTAGTCATTGATTCAGAACCACCAGCAACAACGATATCAGCATTACCTAATAAGATTGATTGAGCAGCTATTATAGTAGATTTTAAACCTGAAGCACAAACTTTATTAACAGTTGTGGCAACAGTATTAACACCTAAGTTTGATTTAAGGGCAACTTGTCTTGCTGGATTTTGACCAACATTAGCTTGAATAACATTACCAAAGACGATTTCTTCAACATCTGAAGGTTTAATTTCTGGAACTTGAGCTAAAGCAGAAGTAACTGAATGAGCACCTAAATCAACATAATTTAAAGAAGCTAATTTACCTTGGAATGAACCGATTGGAGTTCTTGAAGCGGCAACGATATAAGCGTAGTTATCAGACATTGTGGTGTGGTAATTATAAGTGATTGACTATTTCTAAAATTGATAGATCTGAGAAGTAGTTTAATGAGATCTTTGAAAGGATACGAAACTAAATTATTTTGGTATATTTTGATTTTTTTAAACGAATACGTTCAACAAAAAAAAAGTGGTTTGCGCAGGAACGAAATACAAACGAGTGATTACTTTAAAAGGGAATGTGAAGAAGGGGAAGACAACTTGACAATTAACCAGTGGATGATAATGTTGATGGTAGTGTTATTGTTATTCTCCTGAGTCTTGTGGTTCTTTTCGTTGTTTTCTGGTTGTTGTAGTGTAAATATATCTACAATAATCTAGTAAAATAATCATCTATTAAAGTCATTGAAACTCTCCAGAGTATTAGAAAGAGATCCAAATGGGTTCACAACTAAAATCATGGAAGATAGTGTACAATGCTTATATAAGGTTCTATGTGTCACAATGTATGTTCAATGGACTCCTTATATGGTTTCAATTCAAACAACGTCTCACACTTTAAATAGCTTGGTAATTTTGCAAGATTTAATTTATTTTTCCATCATCGATTACCGATTATAAACTTCTTTAACAAGAAAGATATAACAATCAGATTGATCAAGCGTCGATAAAATCCATAGTAATTCATACTGGGAGAATCACAAAAAAGACTCAGACAATACTGTACTATCAACTTTAATGGTACTAGACAGCTATAGTAATGCTATGATGCTTAAAAGTTGAAATGCTGGATAAAATGTGAATTTTCACAACGCGTAAAAAAGTGAAAAAGTAAAAGATTATTTTAATATTGATTTTGTATTCCGAGGTACTTAAATGTGTGTGAACGTGACGCGTCAGATGACCAGATTACTCCATTTCCGACTCAAGATTTCTCATGTTTTGATTTTCCAGCGTTTAATTGAATAATAGAAGTGCAATACAAATGAAGTGTTTATAGACAAGAACAGTCTTTAGGATTCATATTATATTTATTGGTTTGATACTGGTATACTGGTACATTGGGAAGCTCTTAGGAATATTAGAATATCAATAGTCTTCTTCCACAATGACTGACAAGTTGAAAATATTTGAAAATAATGATTTAGATAAATTATATTCAATAGCTTTAAAATTATGGAATCAAAAAATATTTGATTATTATTTAACAAATCAACAATTAATTATCCTAGAACAAATTTTCAATAATCCATATCATAGTAAAGATTATTTCAAAGCTTTCCTTAGCTCAAGAATTCATTTAAAATTTACTAAAGTTGATAATAATGATGGTGATACAAATGATAATGATAATAATACCCCAACCACCACTAGTAATGACATTGGTACTCCATCTATGAAAAAAGAAGATTCTATCAAACAAGAAAATAATCAAGATCAACAATTAGAATCAAGTTTAAATGAATCTTCATTGATTGATGGTGTTGAACCTGCAAGATCTTTATCTTTAAAAATTCGTTATATTCTTTGGGAAAAAGCTATTGATGTTTATTATAATGATGGTAATATACAAGAATATGAAATATTTGGTGAAGATGATGAAACTGATACAAAACAGTTGGAATCAAAACAACAAAATGTTGATATACAAGAACCTAAACAAACCAGAGATATTGATGAAGATGATGATTATGATGATGAAGAAGAAGAAGAAGAAGAACAAAAAAAAGAAGACCAAGTCATAACAAAAGATTCACCTCAGGAAGGTGAAGAAATTGATCTGGATGATGATGGAAATATTATATTATTAGTACCCATTGCAACAAATGATACTTCTCAATTAGATAATAAAATTTTAATTGATAATTTTAACAAGATTTATCATAATTTTGAAAATGATCGTGAAACTTTAATTAAAAGAAGAAAATTAGAAGAAAATGATAAATTATTAGAAGATCAATCAATTAATAACCCTACACCCAATAATAATGATAAATCAAATCAATCAAATAATTCATTTGCTATAAATTTAGGTGCTGCAAATCTTTCATTAAAACATCTTTTACAATCAATTGATCAGAATAAAGAAAAATTAAATTTACAAGATAATGAATTAAGACAATTAATTATGGATGTTCGTAAAAATAGATCAAAATGGGCTTCTGATGATAAAATTGGTCAAGAAGAATTATATGAAGCTTGTGAAAAAGTCATCATGGAATTAAGAGGTTATACTGAACATTCCACGGCTTTTTTAAATAAAGTTAGTAAAAGAGAAGCTCCAAATTATTTACAAATTATTAAAAAACCAATGGATTTAAATACAATTTTAAAAAAATTAAAAAATTTCCAATATAAATCCAAAACAGAATTTGTTGATGATGTTATGTTAATTTGGAAAAATTGTTTAACTTTTAATTCTGATCCAAAACATTTCCTTAGAGCTCATGCTATTGCAATGCAAAAAAAATCATTAACTTTAATTCCACTTATCCCTGATATTACTATAAAAGATAGATCTGAAGTGGAAATTGAAAATGAAGATAATTCTACACCTATACCTTCATCAAATAAGGGTAAAACTACAGGTTCTTCCAAAAAAGGTACTAAAAGAACAAGATCTGGTGAAGAGAAACCTAAAGAAGAAACACCACTTCCAACAGCAACAGCGGATCAACAACAAAGTGAAGTTTCTACTCCATTACCTCAAGATTCAACTAAAGATAATAATCAAACAACTGATGCTTCTACTACAACTCTAAATCAAAGTAATGTTTCAACACCTAATCCAAATGCTCCAATAACCCAAGGAACACAAGGAACCCAAGGAAACACTTCAACAGTTCAAGCTGATACAACTGAATTAGATGATGAAGAACAAGATGATCAAAATTCAAATGAATATTTAAATCAAGAAGATAATGATAAAGATGATTTAGAAATTCAAACTTGGAAAAATTTAACTGCAAAAACTAGAGCAAATTTTTGTTCCAAGAGATCAAATTTATTTGAAAATAATAAATTAAATATTGAAAATGATGCAATCCTTAGGGATTCTACCAAAATGAGTAATTTCCAATCTCATTTGAAAAATCATGTTGAAATTAAAAATCAATCTTTGAATAAATCTAATAATGGTAGAAATCAAGAATTGGATGATTTATATTTAATTGAATATGATGTTACAGGTGGTTTACCCTCGATCCCATATAAAGGTATTGATGAAGATGAATTAGATAAACAAGAATCAAAATTAATTGATAAAGTACTTGCTGATGGTTTAAAACCTTCAGAATTTGCACCAAAAAATGGTGGATTAAATAAAATTATAAATGAAAATATTGAAGAAATGCAAGAAATTAGAAAAATTTGTTTTAAAATTTCTTTAATTAGACAAATGCAACAACAACAATTTGTTCATCATACACAATTAAAACCACCTGAATTTGAAAAAATTAATGATTCAATTGATTTAGATCCAATATCAAGATTAGATAATCATGATAAATTTAATAAAGATTTAATTTATTTTGTAATGAGGAAAAAAATTTCTAAAATTGCAATGCAAAATGGGTTTGAATCAACTGAATTATTTGCCATAGATACTTTAACACAAATTGCTGGAGATTTTATGGATAATTTAACAAAATCTATTAAAACTCATTTAGAAACTTCAAGTGCAAATAGAGAACAAAAATCTAAAAATGTATTATTATTATCACTATTACAAAATGGTTTAAATAAACCTGATGATTTACATACTTATGTTGTGGAGAATGTCTTGAAACAAAATGGGAAATTAAAAGATTTAAAATTAAAATTATCACAATTTTTAAAAAGTTTATTAAGACCTGCAATGGAAATGAATGAAAAAAATTTTAATGATAATAGTGATCAATTTTTATCAGGAGATTTTTCAAATGAAATTGGTGAAGATTTTTTCGGTTTTAAAGAATTAGGATTAGATAAAGAATTTGGAATGTTAGGAAATTCATTACCATTACATTTATTACAATCAAAATTTAATGAATCAAATACAAGTGATGATTTGAAAAAAATTCATCTTGAAGAATTTGAAAATGCACCATTTAAAAGAATTCAACAAGATGATATTCAACAAGAAATTGGAATTTTCCAAAAATTTTTAAATGATTGTGTTACCAAAACAAAACATTATCATTCAAAACAATTAAAATCTAAAAAAGAAGTTAATGAATATTTAAATACTGTTAAAAATGTAACGATAATGGATGATGAAGATTATCCTAAAAAGCAAAATAAACCAAAATTACCACCAACTGGGAAGATCACACCTTCAAAGAGAAAAATAACACCAACTACTTTCTTTTTACCAGAAGAGGATGAGAAAAAGGAAACAGATGATACAAATCAATCAAGTTTGAATACAATAAAAGAAGAATCTAATCAAGATGATTATGATCAAGATGTTGATGATGATTCTGAATTTAAAATCAAATCTGAATTAAATACTTCAATGAATGGTGGATCTCCTTTGATGACTGGTTCTCTTGGTCTTGATTCTGAATTGTGAGAATGATAGATGTTGATATATATATAAATTGTTTAATGAATTGTATTATGTTTTTTAAAGATTTATGTAAACTGATCGGGTATATGCTGTGTCGATATAGGCCTAATAATGATCTCCAGGGCCCAGGAAAAAACGAGAAATACAAGGGCGTCCACAATTGGATACTGAAAATAGCCTCAACTATTCAATAATATTATCATTTGACTTTTATTATACAAGATTATACTTGATTGTTCGTATATTTGCTTTATGTTACTTATCTCTGATGTTGCTCAAACCGGGAATGATTTTGGTTTTTTGGTTGGAAATTAAATGCATTAAACTTGAAATAAAATGAGGTTGATTTTAATTTGAGTGGTTTAACAAAAAGTTTTGAAAAAAGTGGTTAAATTAAGTACTGGAGTAAACAAGAAACGTATTCTGGATAAGATATATACTATACAAGATTGATTTTTTTTTTATTGATTTGTTTTGGAAGTTAAAGATTTTAAAGAAATGTATCCAAATCAATCAAGACAACATCAGAATACTACACAATTACAACGAGAATATTTATTACGATTACAACAACAACAACAATCACAACAGAATGGAACAGGTGCTTTGATGAGTGCACAACAGAGGAAACAATCTGCCCAGTTTCAACATTTACAACAATTACAACAACAACAGCAACAACAATTGAATTTATCTAATTCATCTAATTTATCATCATCAAATCCAAATCCAAATTATCCTAATCAACAACAAAATATGTATCAAAACAGACCTGCCTTGATGGCTAGTAATAATTGTTTCACATTACTCCCGTATAAAACAAGGAAAGATGCATTAAGAAAATCAGTTTTACAAAAATATGATATTGTGGGTTATATTGCATCAGGTACTTATGGACGAGTTTATAAAGCTAAATCTAAAAATCCAAAAAATTCATCAGGTATTTTCGCTATAAAGAAATTTAAAGCTGATAAAGAAGGTGAAGTTGTTTATTATACTGGGATTTCACAAAGTGCATCAAGAGAAATGGCACTTTGTAGAGAATTAAACAATAATAATATAACAAAATTGACTGAAACTATATTGGAAAATAAATGTATTTATATGGTTTTTGAATATGCTGAACATGATTTATTACAAATTATTCATTTCCATTCACATCCTGATACTAAATCTATACCTGAACAAACTGTTAAATCTATAATGTGGCAAGTTTTAAATGGTGTTTCTTATTTACATCAAAATTGGGTTTTACATAGAGATTTAAAACCTGCAAATATTATGGTTACATCTGAAGGTGTTGTTAAAATTGGTGATTTAGGATTAGCAAGAAAATTTAATAATCCTTTACAATCATTATATAATGGTGATAAAGTTGTTGTTACCATATGGTATAGAGCACCAGAATTATTATTAGGTGGTAGACATTATACTCCAGCAATAGATCTTTGGGCTGTGGGTTGTATCCTTGCAGAATTATTAGCATTAAGACCAATTTTTAAAGGTGAAGAAGCTAAAATGGATAACAAGAAAAATGTACCTTTCCAAAAAAATCAAATGCAAAAAATTGTGGAAATTTTAGGTACACCTTCTAAAGAAAAATGGCCATCATTACCCAAATATCCTGAATATCCTTCATTACAACAATTTAAACAATTTCCAAATAATTTACAAGCATGGTATCAATCAATAGGAGCACAAAAGAAGAAAGGTTTACAATTATTATCAAGTTTATTAGAGTATGATCCAGGAAAGAGAATGACTGCATTTGATGCTTTATTACATCCTTATTTCCTTGAAACTCCTCTTGTATCACAAAATATTTTTGAAGGACAACAATTTAAATATCCATTGAGAAGAATTCAAACTGATGATAGTGATATAACTTCATCGGCTCCTTCTAATAAAAGAGGTTTAAATAATGATCATGACCCTTTGCACTCTAGAAAAAGACAGAAATGAAGTATGAAAAGATGGAAAAATGAAAGAAACGTTATGAATATATAAAGACAAGAAACATTAATGGCATGAAATATACAAATATATACGATACATTATGAATAATTGTAGTTTCCATAGAGTTTATATAATTATTGAAAATTCGCGACGAGCATAAACTAGTCTTTGGGCCATATGTACTAGTATTTAACAATTAATTAATAGAACGTTAGAGATAGATTTTAATAACTGTCGATATCAGTAGCTATTCAAATTATAAAACACTAGTTATTGTATATGCTACATAGTTTTGATCACCAAATTATAGTAGTTGAAAACCTTTATTAATGATTAATGAAGAAAATATCTATAAGATTTCAAATAAAAGTTCAAGTACCTATTCTTTAAAGAACCAGTAACTTTGAAACATTTTTGAATATCATGTGAAGTATTAATCATACACAAGTCTGTAAGAGAACCAAATAAATATATCTCATATGTAATGATATAAGACGTATCTAATCTTGAATCAAATTCAGCTTGATGATTGATTGAATGTTAACCTATCAATATTTTGAGTAAAATAGAAAAAAATTTAAAAACACAAAAACATGCATACGTCATTGCTGGTCAAAACATCAGACGAAGTTAAATTATTCCGTAAGTTTATTGAGTCAAGAAACCGAACAATCGGGAGGGATTATAAAACAAACTGGCCATGGTGATCAATTCATAAATCAATTAAAATTAGGCCAATATACAAAAAACTTTCGCTTGCGTATATATTTTAATTTTATTGAAAACATCCAAACACCACCTATGTTATATAAAGTTTTTCTATCTCATCACATCTAACATACCAAAATACCAAAAATTTATACTTGATTTTAAAAGCTGTTAGACTCTTAGATCCATACTTAAGCTGTGTTCATATCATGCTTATACGATCAGGAAGATCAGTGATACGGTCTATCACTAGACTTCCCATCTTATGTCAAATTCAACCAGTAAGATTTAGAAATGATTATGGCCATGCTAAAAATGTTAAAAGATATAGAAATATTGATTGGATAGGTAACCAAAAATTATTTAATGAAGATAAAAAAGATAAACCTAAACATATTCCTCGAGAATTAAAAGTTAGAACAGAGGAGAGTTTATATTTCAAAAATGAGACTTTTAAAAAATTGTTAGATGATGCTTATAATGTTATTAAAGAAAAAGTTTTACGTAATGATTTCCAGTATAAACAATATGATCATGGGATTGTTTATAAACATTCTTCTATAGAATCTTTAGGCCGGTTAAGATCTGAATTATCAGAATGGCTGAATGAATTTCAAGGAGAGGAAGAATATAACTTGGCTTTAGAAAATTTAATTAATCCAATTTCAAAAGATATACCACATTTAACATATAAAATCATTAATCAAGATTCAAATTTATTATCAAAATTCCTCAACAGAAAGGGTTTAATTGAACAAGATGAACAAGTAGATTATTTCTTTGAACAAACTTTCCATTCAATCATGCATAAACAATTAATTGCAGATTTACCTGCCCAGGATATAAATGTTGATATTTCAAATCCTGAAGAATGGTATCCAGAAGCAAGAAAAATCAGAAGAAAATTAATCTTACATATGGGTCCAACAAATTCAGGTAAAACTTATCATGCATTACAAAGATTAAAACAATCAAATGATGGGTATTATGCTGGTCCTTTAAGATTATTAGCAAGAGAAATTTATGATAAATTTAAATCTGAAGGTATAAGATGTAATTTAGTTACTGGTGAAGAAGTTATTGAAGATCGTGATGAATCTGGTATTGAGGCTTCATTATCAAGTGGTACTGTGGAAATGATTCCTGTTAATCAAAGATTTGAAGTTGTTGTTCTTGATGAAATTCAAATGATTGCAGATAAATTTCGTGGTTGGGCTTGGTCTCATGCTTTATTAGGTGCTCAAGCTGATGAAATTCATTTATGTGGTGAAGAATCAGTTATCCCATTGATAAAAAGAATTGCTGAAACTACAGGTGATGAAGTCATTATTAATAGATATGAAAGATTAGGTGAATTACAAATTGAAGATCAACCTGTTACTGGTGGTCTTAATGGGTTGGAAAAGGGTGATTGTATTGTTGCTTTTAGTAAAAAAAGAATTATGGCTTATAAAGAAGAAATTCAAAATAAAACAGATTTAAAATGTGGTGTTATTTATGGTGCCTTACCAGCTGAAACTAGAGCTACTGAAGCTGAAAGATTCAATAATGGTGAATATGATGTTCTTGTTGCATCAGATGCTATTGGTATGGGTCTTAATCTAAGTATTAATAGAGTTATTTTCGATTCACATAAAAAATTCGATGGTGATCAGCTAAGAGCTTTAGAATCTCCCCAAGTTAAACAAATTGGTGGTAGAGCTGGTAGATTTAAAGCACCTGGTGCAGATGGTAAAAAATCTAAATCACTTGGTAAAATTAGTGCATTTTATCCAGATACTTTAGAATTTATAAGAGAATCAATGTCAACACCAACTATTTTTTTGGAAAGAGCTGATGTTTGGCCAAGTGATACAATTTGGTCATTATATACAAGTACATTCCCAAAACAAACAAGATTAAAAATTGTTTTAGAAACTTTCCATAAAAATGTTGAAGATACTAAACTTTATAGAATTTCCACTTTAAGAGATAGACTTGAAGTTGCACATGCATTAAATGAAATAAGTAATAGTATGCTTGTTGGTGATCAATTAAGAATGAGTACAGCTCCATTATCTTCTACTTTACCTAGATATCATGCAGTCATTGAACATTTTGGTAATAATGTTATTCATGGTTTTACTAAATCAATTTTAGATTTTGCATTCTTAAACTTTAGTTGTTTAAATAGACCTGCAAGACAAGATGACCTAAGTACTTATGAAGAGTTACATAAGTATGTCTTGTTATTTCTATGGATGCATAATAGATATCCAAGTTATTTTGTTGATAGAGAATGTGCCGTGGAGATTAAAGATTCTTTAGAATCTAAGATTGAAGCTGCTTTAAGAGGTAAAAAACATAAAAGAATGGGTATAATTAGAGATTCAAAAGATTCAGATGCTGTTAACATGGAAGAAAATCAATTTTATAAAAATAATAGTCACCCAAAAAGTTTTAATAATAGATCAAATGATAAATTTCAAAATAGATTTGATAATAAATCCAACAACCGTTTTGAAAGAAATTCAAGAGATAATACAAGGGGTTTTAATAATAGATCAAATGATAGAAATCAAAATAGATTTGATAATGAATCCAACAACCGTTTTGAAAGAGGTTCAAGAGATAATACAAGGGATTTCGCCCAAAGAAAATCTTACAATGATAAAAACCGTTTCCAAAGTTTCAATGATGCTCCAAGAGATCGTTATCAAAAAAGTTATAATAAAAATTCAAGAGCTAATGATAGTTATGGTTCCAGAAATCAAAACCGTTCATTTGGTGACAGAAATGTGAATAATAAAAGATGGAATTAGTGAACCTTGAATATATTATTGATGGTTTTGAAAACTTATGATCTCGATGTGCTACTTTTAAACATGTATATAGTTAAACTTTTTAAATTAATGAATTGTACAAAATAATGATAAAGAAATAAATTAATTAATTGTAAATTAAAAGGCGTTGATTAAATAAACTTTTGTGTGTATGCATAAGTTTGTGCTGTAACGTCTCCAATTGAAGTTTTCGTAGCATCAATAATTGTTGTATTAGATTCTTCTTCAGGTTTTGGTAATTCTAAAATTGCAAATTGACTTTCCACCATTGATGATTTCATATAATGTGAAGGTCTTAATTCAGTTCTTCTTATCAATTCTTCCTTTGTGGCATATAAAAAGATGAAAATAAATTTTGTATCTGATGATTTAGATCTAATCAAATCTCTATATACTTTTTTCAATGATGAACATGATACAACTGATACTTGTGATTCAACTTCAGATGCTGCTTGTGCTGATTGCAAAGATATTTGTTCCAACCAACCCCATCTATCTTCATCTTGTAATGGTATATTATTGGACATTTTGTCAACATTCTATCAAAGCAAATAGTTAGTACAACACCCCAACAAAGGATCATTGATGATTAATACTCACTTCTTTTGGATGTAAGCTATCACCTTCGATAAACTTTGCATTGTACTTGGAAGCAATAACTTCTCCCACAGTGGACTTCCCAGTACCACATGTTCCTGCAATCACAAACACTGTTTTCCCCATCTTTACCTCTGCTCTTTATCGTTAATATTGATACAATCAACTTTCAAAAGAGTACCCCCAGAATCCTCAGCGTATTTATACTTTTCTTGTCTGTACGGTTGGAAAAATTCCGGAGAAAGAAAGCTGGAGAAATATTGAAAATCTGGAAAAATTATGGTATTATACCACATTGGGAAAGTTACCGGATATGGACAACTACAAATAGATCATATTAAATCAATTAAATCTTTTACTTTTTATATATAAACCAGTATATATTTCTATTTTATTAACTTATAATCATTCAATATCTTCTATTTCTTGATGTCGATATTTATTCCTTTTCTTAATATATTTCTAATATATTAGTAAATTAAATTATATTTCATTATATATTGCATGATATTCCTAGTCAGTATAACCTCATTCATAAAGACAAGGATAATATAATTTAATTTTAATTGAACAATATAAGAACAATCTTCAAATTTATTAATAATCTTGTTATTACAATATTTTAATTTAAATCCATGGTTTAAATCTTGTCATGATGTTAAATATTTTGATATAATTTCATTATTTGCATTCTATAGTTTCATTTGTTTTAGTTAATTCATGAAAATCATCAGGATTTATATCAAGCTGTTCTATGATATTTTCAACATGAGCATCACATTTAATCTTTTTGGATCTACAAAGATCATAACTTGGACCAATTCTTTGCTTTTTGGATTTGATTGAGTTTTCATCATGCGTTATTGAATGTCTTTTGGTTTGTGGTATATATTCAGGATTTAATTGAGGCTCTGATTCATTTGATTGATCTCTTGAATCATCCGAATCATTAGAGTTATTTGATGTTGGTATTGCTTCTATTGGAATTAACTTTGATTCATTATCCACTTTCTTAATTTCTATTGGATCCAATTATTTTGATTTGATTTCATCATCATTAAAATCTTCATCATTTGAACTAAATCCATCCCCAGATTCATTACTAAAAATAGAAGTTCCATATGATTTCTATTAAATCACATGATTCTTAACAAATTTCTTATAAAAACAAACAGGTACGTTAAAACAAAATTTATTGGATAAATCTCTTCAGCACTTGAGATTAGTTTCACATGATCTCCTTATAATCTCAATTTTCTTTTTATCCTTCTTTTCTCCTTTCCTATTGGTAATGATACCCCTCGTATATGATGTTTTAAGTAGCACTCGAGATAGCAGGGCTGCTCATCCTCTTCATGAAGTTCATTCATGGATGGCTTCTCTTACTTTTAATGGTATTTCATGAGTAACGAGTAACAAGTCTTTGCTGTTGCTGTTCCTTAAGTTGTCACTCGATTTCACATGAAGATATTTCTTTATACCGTATACCTACGTCTAAACCAATATCCTGGGTATCCCATATAAACGTCTCTCGATTAACCTGAATTACATGTTCATGTATTTTATACATTCGTGAGCGTTTTAAGTTTTAACTATTCAATTTTTGAAAATCTAGATTAATAATGCGTGAATCTCGGAACGCTGGTTATGTGCACTTGGAGGCGAAAAAATCCGTGGAGAAAGTTTCGAGAATATTAATTAAGATGAGCTAGAGCCTAGAAGTCCACTGAAGTTAATTTTGCTTTGATATACTGTCGTGGTGAACTTGAAGAGACATGATGGCGAATGCATACACAGGCTACCATTATTGCTTCAATACTGATTCGATTCTATTTGAAGACACTATTGATAATTTGAATGAATATTTACCTGGGGCTTTAACTGACTTTGAACTTCAACAGTTATTTAGAATACGTCAGCAAGAAAAATTGGAAACGGAAAATGAATTTTATCTCGATATCAATAATCAGAAGGAATTGTACGATGGCAAGTATAGATTTTTTTTTCAGTATATGACTTTCAATGAGATAGAAAACTAACTTTAATGAATAGCCATTTCTGTTATTAAGGAAATGTTTTGTAAACCAAAGGAAGACCTAAACTCCAGAATTATAGAAAGACTTGACCTAAAGAAACACACAAGACCAAATTATTTTAATTCACTGTGGAAGATCTTTAGTGCTACTCCAATAGTCAATGATCGAGTTACAAATAATGCATCAAAGACTTCCGCTGGTTATGAAGAGTCTAATGAGACAACCTCAGATAATGGTTCAGTATTTTGTGATGCTTTCAAAACCATTCGTTTCCATTCTATTGAAGAGATTAAAGATAAGGATCTTGCTCGGAATATGTATGAACTAGAATTATTTTTTGAATACTCATTAAACAAAATGGATGAAAGACACGCAGCTGATGCTTTACGCAGATTATTGGATACATTTACCATCCTCCAATTTAAAAATTCAAGATCTCATTTTGGTAACTCACGGCAAGATTTTGATATCTTGAGGTATGAAGCTTTGAAAGATTTCATCGTAAAACCCATTCTTTACTTCATTGGACATCTACTTTTAGTTCATGGTAAAAATGCTATTAGCTCTGAACCTACATACATGATTGAGAAAACACGTCCAAGTTTAATTTGGGATTCTTTAGATGCTTCTGGTGAACCGTATCCCAAAACTCTCAGAGATGAGGAAATGTTCCATTCACACGTTCCAGATTGTTTAATTACACTATTTCAGGCAAATGCTTCAAACTCGCCGGTTCTTGGAATACATTTAGAAGAAAGTGAGCTTTCTGAAGTGCTTAAATCAGGTAAGACTGATAATTTCTCCAAGTTATCAAAAGTTCTTCGTCGCATTGTTCCATTTCAAGTCTTTAACAAGTTGAACAGTTATATAATCAGTGATGTTAATTCAAGCATATATTTCGAATACCCACTAGATGATGGTGAATGGTGGTCTGACAACGAAGAAGAAGTCTATATTACTGGTGCACCAGTGAGATTTAAGTTATTTAATAATACCGGGAAAGATCTAGTAGAGTCGTTTTCATTGCAGCTTTTATTATTATTGAAGATTTATGACAAAATTAAAAGAAAGCTGCCCTCAAATTTATGGTTGGAGAGTCTGAATGGTAATGTATTAGAAATGGGAACATACAGATCACTAGATGAAGGTTGGAAGGAAGATTCTTTCAAGCCATTTATTATATCACAATTCAGACATGGGTTTAAAAAGAATGTTGCAGTGGATAAAATGGATCAGATTCCAGAGGAAGAAACAAGATGTTCATTGGGATATGCAGCAAATGATACTGGGAATTCGATAAAAAGGCTAAAAGTCGGAAAGAAATTATCCAATGGCACCTTGACTTATGAAGATGAAGTGGCCCCTTTGTATCTAACTAAAATGTTCACTATCAGTAGCAGTTTGAAGGTTTCTAATTATCAATTACTAAGTGCGTATTCAAACAGTATAAGTGCAAAACTTCTTGTTAAAGGCTCAGAAATATTCAAAAGTAATACAAACATTTCGAATAAAGTATTTTTCAAAATGTTTGATTTGGCCAATTTAAAATATCTACACAAGTATATAAATACTTTTGGTATGCCATATTTTGAGGAAGAATTCAAAAAGTTTACTGAATCAGAACTTAACACATTGGTTTCACTAGATCGCTGCAACTTCAAAGATTTCAAACGTATACTGGAAAATTTAAAGAAAAGTTTTATCAGAGAAGTAACAACTTTGAGAAGAATAAACCAATGGAATTCAACACACGAAATCAATGAACGAATTAATTCGCCTAAATTGCTACAATATGGATGGACGTACCTTGAACTGTTATCAGAAGGTCAAGTGAAATATTCTTATTGGGGACCATTTATCTGTACAGAATCGCTTCAATTTATAAGTGATAATGAATTTAAGGATAATTCGAGACGAACAAAGAACTTAAACAAACAAATCAAAATTCTTTCAAAAGCTGGGATCAAACATAACGATACTAAAAGGGATAATGTATGCTTTGACAATTTTGATCAAGCTTATTTAGTTGATTTTGGTCAAAGTATTGTTGATGATGATCGATATCTTGAGAATTATGACCTACAACATATTGGCCCAGATGAGAAATGTCCCTAGTCCCTATATAATTATTACAAATATAATATTATCTAATATTATCAAATGATCTATTTGTGATGATGCAGTTGATGAGTTTTAGTCAATATTGGCGCCCTTATATATTATAACATGTACAGGATTGATATTTTTTAAATTAATTAATATTAGCTGCCTATTTTTAGCGGTTAGAAGCGCTTGCGCGTATAATCTTTTGTACCCAATATAAGTCAATTGGTATAAAGCAGCCAATTTGAATTACTAGATCTAGGACTCGAGTCTACAGCAGAGTGACAAAGATGGATATTGATCAGTCTGATACAAATTTTTTACTTACAAGGTTTTCAGTTCTTATAATCATCTACGCGTTCTCATTACAAATTTTACCAAATTCTAAACTTCCAATTGCAGTTTTTCTACTTGGGATGTCATCTTCATTATACAAGACAAAGGCATTTTCATGGATAGTTAAAAAATTCATTCAAAAGGATATTAACTCTGATAGACAAGACTTAATAAATGCTGTTCAAAGTTTCCAAATGTATAAAGACCGTGCTTTAGGTTGGAATAAAAGAAAATATGGGAATTTGAAAAGAATTTCTTATGATGATTATATTCAAGCTAAAAAAATTGGTTATTATGATCATTTAACCAAAACTGATAAAGCTATTGAATCAAATGCTCAATTAGCCAATGCTATTGCTAAACAAACAATCCAAAATTATGGGATAACTGATTTAGAAATAAGAAGTGCTGTTTATAAAGATAATTCAAGAGTGATTGAATCACTTTGTCATTTTGCAAGAGATTGGACCTCTATGGGTGATGTTGAATTAAAACCATTATTTGATTATATTCTCAACAATTTAAATAAAACTATACCCGGTAAAGAAGAAAGATCAAAAACTGTTGTTTTGGTTCCAGGTTCAGGTTTAGGTAGAATTGCACATGAATTATCTTTATTAACACCAAAATTTGATGCTGTTCATACAATAGAATTTTCTTATTTAATGCATTTATGTAATGAATTCGTTTATTCCAAAACTCAATCAAGTGAATCATACAAGATTCATCCATTCATACATACTTATTCTCATCATGTTTCTGAAGAAAATCAATTAAGATCAGTTGAATTTAAAACCCAACCAACTAAACCCCAAAATTTAACAACAAACTATGGTGATTTTAGAAAATTCCAAATTCCAAATTTAGACAAATATGATAATGTTGTTATTGTTACTGCTTTTTTCATTGATACTGCACAAAATTTATTTGAATATTTTGATAGTATAGAAAGATTAATTGGTGAAAAAAGTGGGACTTGGATAAATATTGGACCATTAAAATATGGTACTGCACCAAAAGTGGAATTTTCATTAGAAGAATTAAGAAAATTAAGGAAATTAAGAGGTTGGAAAGATCTAGATGAACCAAAACCTTATGGATCTGAAATCTCGGGTTATTTAACTGATACTAAAGGTTTATGGCAAGGTTATTATGGATTAGGTAGATGGACATCATCATTTACATCAAAGAAGAAGTAATATTAACATATCTACGAATTTCAAATCAAATATTAATATACAATGCATTAAAAATAAGTTTCTATATTTCTATCACAGGAATCCCAATTTAATTATTTGGTAATTGACCTGCAGTATTAATCTGTATTTTTTTATCTTGACCACCACTTATAATACCAGTTTGATCCCAAGAAACAGCAAACACTTTATCTTGACCTTTTGGCACACCAGATTCTCTTGTTATAGTGTAAAGGGCTTTTTGAGCTCTAATATCCCATACTTTAACAGTACCATCATGAGAACCTGAGGCAAACATATAATCATTATCAGGACTTGGTGCTAATGAAACAACAAAATTGGTATGACCGATTAATTGTGATTGAGTCACAGTAGTTGCACTAGCTCTTGGATCATGTAACGTTATATGACGAGCTGATGAACCACATGCTAATAAATTTAATTTTGTTAATGATGCAATTGATAATAATGAAAATCCTGTGGTTCTTGTATCAACTGCACGAGCTGTAACTAAATCCCATGTTTTAATAGTATGATCTTGAGAAACTGAATATGCAACAGTTGAATCATTTGGTGCAAACATTATATCTTCAACTGGTTGTGAATGACCTTCCAAGAAAGATAATGGGGCTCTACGTCTGATTGAAGCATCTTGTAAAGCTAATTTTCTTCTCTTTTTTGCTGCAGTTGATGTGACATTATTATTTGGATCAGCTAAAGGATCAATGTTTGTCATTTCTTTATAATTTGTTGACCATAGACCAATTGCATTATCATAACCAGATGAAAGAATTCTATTATCATTAACAGCTAATCCACTAATCGCAGCTTTATGACCTTCTAAGATGGCCAAAGTTTTACCTTCTTCAGGTTCATCTTCATCTTCATCAATATCTTTAATACCATTTGAATCCACTGCACTTGTTTTCCATAAACGGATTTGTCTATCATTACCACCTGTAACAACTCTAGTTTCTGATACCCAACCAACAGCTTTAATTGGACCTGAATGACCAGAATATTGTTTTTGAACTTTACCAGATAAATCCCAGGTACGTACAATACCATCATAAGAACCTGATAAGATTTGATTATGTTTAACATCTAATGAAGAAACCCAATCTTCATTATTAAAAGATGCTAAATATGAAGGAGGTAACACTGATCTTGTATATTCTAATGTAAGGAAAGCTTCACTTGATAACCCTTGAGTGGTAAGGTATTCATCAATAGAGGTACGTAACAAGGTACCATTGATTAAGAAATCAAAAGGAACTGGTGATTCAGTCTCTAGTAAATGATTAACAATTTCTGATAAACCAAATCTTTTCAAAGAGATTGGAACATATAATGGGTTTTCATTAACATGAAGAGATTCGTCTTCCTCTCTGGTGAAGAACTTGATTTTGATTTGTGATTTATCAGCCATCTTTGTGAACAATCTTTGATTAACAATAAGCAATGAAACTGATATCAAAAGTATGATTTTACTTATAATTTTGTATAATAATAAACTTTTTGAAATTTTTTTAGATACCTCATCGGAGACCCTCGGAACTCTTAACTATGGGAGTCACGTTTATTCCCCCTCGGAACTGATTTCTATTTACAAAAACGATAAAAAGTTAAACGAGACACCAACAAAATTCAAATTTGATGAAAAGGAACAGAAAAGTTGTTAAGATTTTGCTGGGAAACTGCTGCTTTGCAAAAGGTTCATTTTAACTGGAGAAGATAGTACACAGAAGTGCAAAGGGGAACCAGGTTATCAGGTCGCCACGTCACCACATTCGTTCAAATTTCCATCAAAGTTTCACCATCGTGATAGCGCCTAATATCAATCCAGGAGAAATTCATAATTATCATTATTAGATCCAACATTCATACTTTCAAAGACACATTTTATACATCAATATGACACTAAGTCCCCCTTTCATCGTCTCAGCACCTGGGAAAGTCATTATCTTTGGTGAACACGCTGCTGTTTTCGGTAAGGTATGTATCCAGATGATTATCAAATGGAAAATATTCATATATACTAACAGGTCATTATTTTAGCCAGCTATTGCCGCTGCTGTTTCTCTAAGAACCTATTTATTGGTCACTCCAAGTGATAGTAAAGATGAAATAATATTAGATTTCCCAGATATTGGATTATATCAATCTTGGAAAAGTTCAGAATTACCTTGGGATGTTGCAGAAAAATATCAACAAGGGAAACCTCAACCAACTGATGAATTAGTTCCTGAAATTGTTTCTGAAATTGCCAAATTATTGACTGATTTGGATAAAACCATTTTTTATGCCGCTGCTAGTTCATTTTTATACCTTTATGTCAACTTGTGTAGTAGACATTCCGAAGGTTTAAGATTTACTGTTCGTTCAACTTTACCAATAGGTGCAGGTTTAGGTTCTTCAGCTTCAATTTCTGTTTGTTTAACATCTGCATTATCATTATTAGGAAATCATATTAAACCTGCTTTTTTGAAAAAAGATGATTTAACCTCTGATAATGAAGATTCTTTATTTATTGATTCTTGGGCTTATATGGGTGAAAAATGTATACATGGTAATCCATCAGGTATAGATAATGCTGTGGCAACTCATGGTGGTGCTGTGATGTTTCAAAGAATGCAAAGTTCCATACCAAGTGTTCGTACAACAATGAGAAATTTTCCACCTTTAAAATTATTATTAACAAATACAAGACAACCAAGAAGAACAGCTGAATTAGTTTCAAATGTTTCAAGATTAACAAATGAATTCCCCAAAACAAGTTCAAATATTCTTGATGCTATTGAAGCATTAACTAGAGAAGCTTATAATATAATGATTAGACCATTTTTCGATGAAGCTGCAAGAAATAGATTAAGAGAATTATTTCAAATTAATCATGGTTTATTAATTGCTCTTGGTGTTAGTCATCCAACTTTAGAAAGAGCCAGAATGTTAACCGATGAAATGAATGTTGGTAAAACTAAATTAACAGGTGCCGGCGGTGGTGGTTGTGCCATAACTTTATTAAATGATCAAGTTGAAGATGAAATAATGAAGAATCTGAAATTGAAATATGAAGAATTAGGTTATGAAACTTATGAAACTTCATTAGGTGGTAAAGGTGTTGGATTCTTACCTTTTAATAATGATGTTTCTTTCAATCCAGAAAATTTTAAACAAAAGACTAGTAATGAAATTGAAATTAGTCTAGGTGCTCAAAATGATGGATGGAAGTTTTGGTAGGTTAATATAGTCCATTATATTGCTATTTTCAAAAGTCACAGTTATAAAGAGTAAGATCATAAGGGGTCAATAGAAGTGACCATATTGTATCAAATCTATGTTTTATTTTGCTGTATTAATAATTATTGTGTTTTTAACAAAAACCACATTTTGCATTTTTTAATATTATAAAATTGTTTATTTTATTTGCTCTGTTTTTAAAAGAAGAAGGAACTGTTCATACCCTAATAATCCCATTTTTACAAAAAAGTGGCAGTTTTTCAAAATATTATATCTCATGAATTTGCATTTTTTTTATTCATTCATATATATAAATAGCTCAAAAGGACACATATTTAGTGTTCAATTAATTTTAATTTAATAGTTTACAATAATAATTACTAGGATTGTAGTACAATTAATCTATAATTATTTACAAATATATACAAATCGATGCGTTCTTTTAAATACCTCTGTTGAAATAAACAGTTTCAATAGCGTTACCATCTTTATCCTTTTTACCAGATAATTCAGATTCTAATTTTGAAACTTGAATTGGTTGATATTGTGGGAAAACACCTAAAGCAAAAGGTAAAGCAACAAATGAAGTTGTTAAAATCAAACCTAAATTAGCTAAAGTTTGAATACCAACACCTTTATTCTTTAATAAACCTTTTTGTAATTGAACAAGAATTAAAGGTGGTACAACCATGATTGGTGTAGCATTAATAACTCTTGATGCTGCAGTTTCACCAACGGCATATTTAGCAGCAGTTTTAGAAGTACCGACTTCATCACCATTTTTATCGAACACTGTAATACCTTTTTTAATTTCTTCACTTCTCATAGCAAAGACATTAACAATACCTGCAGAAACAACAGCAGCAAATGGAACTAATCTACCCAAGATTAATTTTGTATTTTGTGAAAGAGATTTTAATTTTGGAACTATTGAATTAAGACCTAATGCAACACCACAAGATGCTGTAACTGCAATGGTATAGTTTTGAATTAATTGTTGTGTAGATAATGGATGTGATTTATTTGCATTTGCTGTATTAATTGCAACATTTAATGATTGATTTGCAACTTGCCAAAATAATGTACCCACAGTACCTAAACCTGGGGTTAACATACCACCAGTAACAACCAAATTTGATAAGACACAACATGACATTCTGAAAGGTAATAAAACAGTTTCACCAGTATCTGGATGAACAGTAGAATCTAAAACTTTCTTAGCATCCCATAATTCTGGTGTCATTTGTTTTTGTTCACCATTTTTATATTGACTAATTAATTTTTTAGCATTTTCTAAAGTTACATTTGAATTTAATAACATTGAAGGATCTGAAATTTCAGCACAATGACGAACACGACCCCAGTATGTTGTTAGATCGAATTTGGATTCTGGTAATGCTATTGGACCTGGAACTGATGATGCCATTTTGGGTTTTTCTTAGATAAAATTGATGATCTGTGTATGAAGATATAGTACAAAGCTATATGGATTGATGAATATGTTGTATAAAACGAAGTAAAAAACTGAAAGCACCGAGTAATTAAACACTCTGTGGTTTATCTATGGTAAACTTGTGAAATGGATCAATATAACCTAGTAGTTTTGTGAATTTAAATTGACAGGTTTCTAGTATCAAATGGCTGATGAGATGACAAACATTTTTTTTTTCAACGTTTAATTTTTTTTTTTTTTCACCAACGGAGATAAATTTGGATCAGTATAAATTTCAAAATTTAAACAATAGTAAAAATAAACGAATTGGTGATAAAATCAGTCGAAAACTACGGGGTATGAGCAGGGTTTTGGGTTTAGGGACTGACATTGTCAAGTTGGCAAGATTCCACAAGATTGTCACAAGAAATGGGCTTGCAAGTAGGCAAACTGAGGCTTTTGCTAAGAAGATTTTAAATGTGGACAAAGAGATGCCATTATTCAATAAACATGTCAAAGATGATGATATAGATAAGACAGTGAGAGTGCTTGCAGGAAGGTACGTATATAATTTGAGACTCATTGGAATATCAGCTACTAATATATCTAGTTGGGCTATGAAGGAAGCCGTGTTCAAATGTTTAGATGATAAAGATCAATATGGTCAAAAGTTTAAAGATTGGTTTAAATATAATGAATTAAATGGAAGACCCAAGATTGGTGGGTTATATTTAGAAAAATTCCCCAATGAAGAATTCTTATTATCAATTTCACATGATGAAGATATTTTAATTGCATCAGTTATACGACAAATTACATTAGATAAATAAAACTCCAATATTAACATTTTTTATAATAATAATCTAAATTAATAATGCACAAACTATACAAAATACAACCTCCAAACGAAATAAAGAATTGAAAAAAGATGTTAATCTATTCCCATTCAACAGTTGCTGGTGGTTTTGAAGTAATATCATAAGTAACACGAGCAACACCATCAACTTCATTAACAATTCTTGAACTAACTTTTTTCAAGAATGAAGCATCAAAACAATACCAATCAGCAGTCATGAAATCAGTAGTTTCAATAGCTCTTAATGCAATAACTTGTTCATAAGTACGTTGATCACCCATAACACCAACTGATTTAACAGGTAATAAAGCAGCAAAAGCTTGAGAAATATTTTTATATAAACCAGCTTTTTTAATTTCTTCAATATAAATATGATCAGCTTTTCTTGCAATTTCAACTTGAGATCTTGTAACTTCACCTAAAACTCTAATAGCAATACCTGGACCTGGGAATGGATGTCTCCAAACTAAATCATGAGGAATTCCTAATAATTCACCTAATGCACGAACTTCATCTTTAAATAATTCTCTTAATGGTTCAATTAATTTTAATTTCATATTTTCTAATAAACCACCAACATTATGATGAGTTTTAATAGTTTGAGAAGGACCTTTAAATGAAATTGATTCAATAACATCTGGATATAAAGTACCTTGTAATAAGAAATCAATTTCTTTACCATTTTTAGGTTTAATAGTTTGAGCAACTTCTTCGAAAACATGAATAAATGTATTACCAATAATTTTACGTTTTTTTTCAGGATCAGTAACACCAGCTAAACCATCTAAAAATCTATCAGATGCATCAACAACGGTTAAATTAATACCTAAACCTTTTGTTAAAGTTTCTTTAACTTGTTTAGCTTCATTTAATCTTAAAACACCATTATCAACCATAATAGCATGGAAACGATCACCAATAGCTTCAGTCATTAATTTAGCAGCAACAGTGGAATCAACACCACCTGAAACAGCACCAATAACTTCAGCAGTTGGACCAACTAAAGTTCTAATTCTATTGATTTCAGTATCAATGAAGTTTTCCATAGTCCAATTAGTTGCAACTTTACAAATATCAACAGCGAAATTTTTCAAGATATATTTACCCTTTTCTGAATGAGTAACTTCTGGATGGAATTGAATACCAAAGATTGGTTCAGTTTCATGAGCAACACCACAATAAGGAGAGTTATCTGAAGTAGCAATAACTTTATAACCAGATGGTAAACCATTTAATTTATCACCATGAGACATCCAAACTTTTGAATGATCAACATCTTTAAATAATGGAGATAAAGCATCAACAACGTTTAAAGTAGCTGGACCATATTCACGTTTTTCACCTCTAGCAACACCTTTACCATTAATCCAAGCTAATTCTTGCATACCATAACAAATACCCAAGATTGGAACACCTAATTTGAAGACATCATGATCAACATGAGGAGCATCTTCAGCATAAACTGAATAAGGACCACCGGATAAAATAACACCTTTTGGTTTCCAATTTAATTCTGAAATTTTTTGAGTACATGGTAACATTTCAGCATAAATATTAAATTCTCTTAAACGACGAGTAATTAAATGTGAATATTGTGAACCAAAATCTAAAACCAAAATGGTTTCAAAAACACTAGAAACTGGAGCAACTGATTCAGACATTGTGTTGATTTGTATAGTTATGATAGATTGTGGTTGATTATCAATGTCTTGATGAAGAACTAAACAAAGGAATTAACCAAGTTTTATACCCAAATTCAAATCTTTATGAAAGATGACTGACTATATGTATAAAATTTTCCTTTTTAATTAAAGATATAATTACAAGAAATTTTTTTGAGATGAGCCGAGTTAAAATGACAGACAAAATTTTCGGGGATTACCCGGTTCGATTCCCGATGACCAAAAGGCTTTGAATCCACGGGATATCCGATTGATTACTTGTGATAAATTACCATTCTACAATTGATTCAGTTGATAATAGATTGTGTATATATACTATTAAAATGATATGATGTTAAAGGAATTCATGACCGTTCAAGTCCTTGACATTGTCTCTTTTGAACGGAGATACATCCTTTAATAATTCTTTCTATCATATGTCAACACAGTATAAGCATCATTGGATGAGGACGGAACCCACCAGCAAATGAATGCTACTCACAAGGCCATCGAACCAAAGTAATTGTAAATAAAGATACCTCGGTGACGCCTCGTGAACATATGATTTTGATAAAGAATTTATAAAATTGTTAAGTTGGTTGAATTTGTTTTGTCGAGATTTTTTTTTTCAATTGGGAGTTGAGTTTTGGAAACCGCGGTAAGTACGGTATAAGATCAGGGTAAGCGAAAGGTTGGCCGCGGAACGGTGGTCTTAGGGTAGGTACTATTATTATAATATAATTAATATAAGCAGCGCCCGTAGTTTAAACAGTGGTGGGTTGAGAGTACCACCATTAGATAGAGAAAATACGACTTCTCCTTCCGGACGCAATAAAAACTCCCATTATCCTCCTCCCTCTTGACTTATGGGCCTTTGAAGTTTGGGAAAACCGGAACTCATCAGCCAATAGAATGCCTTTATTTTGCCTTTGTTTACTTTTCGTTTTTTTTTTAATTTTGTTTTGTTTACTTTTCGGTGGTTGTCGGTTCACCTTCCCACAAGAGAAAGGTTATTTGCTTACATTTTCAACTGCTTATTACATGATCCTTGATCGTTGAACTTTAATTAATTAAATTTTTAGATCTCTACATTAACACAGTACATTATACTCTTCTTCAAACAACAACAACTACATTTATTGCTACCATTGAATTTCAAGACAACCGCTGCAGCTTGGTATGTATTGTTTTTTGATTTTTGAACTAATTTAATGGCTCCATTTACTAACTCACTTACAGCAAACCTCTCCAATTTTAACAATTTTTTACCAAACTTCAACATACTGGTTGATTGGGATTCCTTGGAGGGAGAAAAAAATCCTTCGATAAATAAGATCTTCAATTCAGAACCAAGAAATATTGAGGCTGATATGCAATCACTTAATGCTGAGCAAAAGTCATTATTTAATCATGTCAAAGATTTATAAGATTCTGTTTCAGGTGTAACTCATAGATCTAATTTAGGTGTCCTTTTAAAAAGAGTTGATATTATTATTTGGGATGAAATTTCAACGAGCAGCAAACTAAATGTCGAGTGCATGAATAGGTTTCTCAAAGATCTAATGAAAAATGATTTTCTTTTTGGTAATAAAGTTATCATTTTAGGTGGTGCTTATAAACAAATTCTTCCAGTTGTGAAACATAAAGCATCCACCGCTTCTTTAAATTTGTGTCTGTTTAATTCTACTTTGTTTCCTTCCTTTAAATTATTTAATTTGGTCCAAAATAGAAGATTGATGAATGATACAACAGGTTATGTTGACTGGGTAGAAAAGGTTGGTGGTGGTGATACTTCAGTGTGTGCCTCTTCAGCTTCTCAGCCTTTCAGATTCTTGGTTCCTCTTTCTGGAAATTTATTGAATAATGTTGTTTTCTCTCAAGTTGACTTGATAAAAAATGTCTTTGGTGAATCTTTCCCTTATTCAAGTGATACCAATCAATTAATAGATTTGTTTAAGGAAAATATTTTACTTGCTGCAACTAACAAGGCTGTTAATGAGTTAAATGGTTTAATTTTATCTTCTTTGTTTAATCCTAATATGCCAATGGGTTCTTTGATTGCTGTTAATGAAGTTTCAAAAGGTCCTTCGGATCATCAAAAATTAAATTATACACCAGATAATCTGGCAAACATTGATATCGAAGGTTTCTCTGATAGTGTTATATTATAATGTTCAAAATTGGGACTCCTTTTATGATTAATATAAGAAATATTGATGTCAATAACGGTGTTTGTGATGGTAAAATTAGAGCTTTGCTTTTGAAAAGACATAATAATGTTCTTGAGTGCCAAATTATAAATCCTGGTGCTCATTTTTTGAAAAAAGTTTTCATTCATAGAGTTTTATTTGTCCACGAGGTTAGTGATGATTTTTCCGTTTCCTTCAACAGATTGCAGTTACCTATAAAACAGTGTTTTGCTATTACCATCAATAAGGCTCAAGGGCAAACACTCTCAAGAGCTGATTTAGATGTTTCTAAATATCATCCTTTTAGCCATGGCCAGTTTTATGTTGCTTTAACAAGAGTTACCATTTCTAATAACCTCTTTTTTCTTCTCAACTCACAACCTCAAAACAATGGTAATTCTGTTCAAGATATACTTCCATGTTGACATAGAAGTCTTATTAATGTCGTTTTCAAAGAAGCCATTTATTATCTCAATGATCATGAGGTTATCAATTGATCTATTGATCTTATATCATTTTGGAAATTGAGAAACTGTATCAATCGTTTTGCTGCTTTTCGATTTTAAACTATGTATATTAGTTTGTATTTTTATTTGTACACTATTTACTCAATTTTATGTTTTTTGATACAAAACTACATTGTATTTATTTATTTATTCTTCAATATATATTATGTTATACGTTATTATTATTATTATTATACTAGATAATTCGTTTACCCTGATCGAGATATTCGCGATCTTACTAAATTTTCTTCTACACTATTTAGATTAAGCATTGTGTACGACTATTGGGATTAAGCATTGTGAGCGAAGCGAGCAACCGAGACTTGTCTCGTAGAATATATAAGCTTAAACAGATCATTGGAATTGTTGATAGAGCTCATGATTTCGAAGGAGCTGATGAGGTAAAATTGGCATTATAATCACATAGAAATGTATTGAATCAGTATAAGTATCAAGAGCAGGCGGACTATACAGAGCTATGACTTTGAGAGAGATCGAGCAGGTTCAATTATGGTATTGATTATGAGTAACGTCAACATGTATATTAAAGAGCAGTAATAAGTGCTCTTGATGCAGCTCACCCCACGAAATACGCTAACCATTTATGATAACTAATTCAAACTTCACTGTCGAAGAAATTGGTACTAGAGCAATTGAGGATTGAAATCATGATCAGACAATTAAAGCAAAGTAATCACCACAAATTGAAGATGAATAGTTTGGTTCAACTAAGGATGAGTAATGTAACCTCATACCATTATATGAGCTTACGGGAGGGAATTTGGATATTTAATGAATCTATAAGAGGGTGATCATATTGAGCTCTATGAACTTATATTGATTTAATGATTCTTGTTTCAATACCCATTAATGTCCTTATACTATTCAAGATCAAGATCAATGATTTATTGAAAATACGAACAAAGGATGATCATCATGTCAATGTTAGTACATGTAAGTGTATAATAATAGATATGTATAATCTAAATATAGCTAAGTTAACTTCATGATTTACTTCATTTAGTGGTATATTTGGCTTGATTAAGATCCTCAATTGGTGTATAACTGTACAGCTATATGTAGCGTTCAACGTCAATATAACGGTTAATGAGTTGATTGTGGGTAACCGTTCCGTGATATTGATATGTTCACCTAATTATCTTTAATACTGTTCATTGATAGTTATGTTCTATTTACTGACATCTATATCTAATTATATTCACTCTTATATATATAATACTAGTAACTTGTAAGTACTATTACGGAACCACGGGGTACTAATCCGCATCCGAGATCCCTTTGTGATAAAGTTTCAAAAACGCGGTTATAAATAAACTAAACTAAAATCTGAAACAAATGAACAATAACGAAGATTATAAGAGAAGGAATCATAATAATTATGGATTGCTGACTCCTGAGGTTTTATGGTATTCCAATGTTCCAATTCTGAATGTAAATACGTAAGATACTATGATGATTCATGAACACGATTATAATTACGCGTATTCATTCCCTGCGCTTAAATAAATCCTTTGTGCTTTTTCTGATCTGAGGTACAGCCCAGCTCTGTGAATAAGAAATCTAGGTGATGTTCATTGGATGGACAGACTGTTGATCAAGATTCAGGAACCGGTGTGTAGTATACAGTGGACTCCTTATACTCGTTACACGGTCCATCAAACGCGACATGAATTTGAACTTTGGTCATAATATTGCTTGTTTTCTTTGACACTTGTTTGAGATTTCCTAATGATTCCTGCCTATGTATCCGAATCCGCTAGTGCATTAACGCGACTTGATCGCTTGGATTTTAAAGGAAAATACACTAGAGTCACTAAACTACACTCAAAAGAAGCCCAGTAAACTCATCACATACTCTCTATACCCACCACAGTCTACGCTCCACTCAACCAGTCGACAAACAATCTTAGACTTCTTCATAAACTCAACTAATTCAAATTAAAATTCTTTTTATTCCCGTAAATTTTGTACCATAAAACACTTCGCGATTTTTTATTTTTCCATTAATTTTTTTTATGGCAGTGGAATCTCAGATTTTCAAATTTACTTTTGACAATTGAACATTTGAATTTTAATACCTTTTAAATTAACAACAACTACTACGCTCGTTTGGTTCAGTGTTACTTAGGTTTTGGTTCTTTTCAATTACTCGTGCTGCTGGTGGTGGTCCAATAATCCAAGTGAATAATATCAAGTCTCTTTCTTCCCAAGGATTCTTCTGCTCTTGTTCAATTTCATACTCTGCTTCAAAGGCTTAGAATCAGGTACAAGGTTTCCCGTTCGCTTAATTCAAAGAGACATCAACATCAACAAATAACAGATCTATATCAGGGCGGTATAGTTGGAAGTGGTCCTTGGAGCTATTTTTCATTAGATTATCATCGTATTGTTCTGTTATAAGATTAACTCAAAATGAGTAGCCGTTTAAATGTTTTATCCGTTGGTGCTAATCCAAATCTTTTATACTATTCATGGAAATTAAATAACACTGGGAAATTCAAATTCCATATATTCAATGATGAATTGGATTCTTCTTTACCAATCACTTTATCAAATGAAGAAGGTTTCAATACATTCCAACCTGATGTGATATATTCAAGATTTGATCAATTTTCTTTACAAACTAAATTTGATATTATATTCCTTTCATCAAAATCTTTACAAGATATATCAAATTTATCAACAAATTTATCACCATTTTTAAATTCAAATACTATAATCATTGTGGAATCAACTGGGTTTGTTAATTTAGAACCTTTTTTGAAAAATTGTTTACCTTCAAAATCTTCAGCTTCAATTATTTCCATATTAACAAATTTAGATATTCGTAAAGTTGATCAAAATCAATATTTGATATTACCAAATACTTCAGGTGAAATTATCTTGGGTGAATCAAGTACAAAGCAACAAAAATTTAATTCAACAACTTTTAAAAATTTATCAATTATTGCTAAAATTTTCCAAAGTTCAACAAATGAAAAAATTATATTAAAAAACACATATTTAGAATTCCTAACAGAAGAATGGAAAATTGCAATTCCACAAATTTGTTTTAATCCATTATTAATCTTATTTGAAGAATCTCAACCTTCAGGTTTATCAAATCAAATATTAGCAAAACCTTTATTAAGTGGATTAGTTACTGAATTAATTACAGTTGCTAAAACTATGGGTTGTAAATTACCTCATGGTTATGATAATGAATCAAATTTCTTAAGAAATTGGATTGATCAATATCCAAATTCTACATCAACTTCACAAATTAAATTTTTACAAAGCCCAAGATTTTTTTATGATTTTTTCCATAAGAATAATTTAGATATTGATATGTTATTATTACAACCAATCTTGTTAGCAGATGATTATGGTATTAAGACACCATATTTAGAATTTCTTTATGCAACAATTTGTCAATTTGATAAATTTAATAATTCCAAAGAAGAAGAATCAATTTTTTTCAATAGATCTATATCAAATTCCAAAAATTTAGAATTTGAAAAATTAATTAAATCAAATGAATCATTATCTCAAAAATTAATATCTAAAGATGATGAATTATCACAATTAAATTCAAAATTATTGAAATTATCACAATCAAATGAAAAATTTAATAAAGATAAAGATTTACAACATTCAACAATTTTAAGTCAATTTGATTCTTTAAAGCAACAACATCAAGTTTTACAACAACAATTACAACAACGTGATTTAAAATTCCAACAATTGGAAAATCAACATAGATCTTTACAACAACAACAACAAGTTCAACAGCAACAACAACAAATTCAACAAATCCCTCAACAAATTCCTCCTCAAATCCCACAACAAATTCCACAAGAACAAAATGATAGATCAATTCAACCTCCTCAAGAATCTCCAATTCAACAAAGAAATACTGAACAATTTAAACATAGTGTTGAAGGTACACCAGATCTTAGAGATTTAACAGATGTTGCATTATTAAGTCAATCTTTAGAATCTCCAGTTAAATATAGACAAGCTCCACAATCTCAAGTTCCTACAATTCCTCAAGCTTCTGAATCAGATACATTAAATGGTGGTGTTATTCAAGTTAATGGATCAACTAATCAGTTGAGTAATGGGAATAATAATGGTGGATTACAATCTCCTCAAGTTGTACCACAATTACATTTATCTGCAAAAGAAATTGAATTACAAAAAAAAGAACAATTATTACAATCAAGAGAGTTAGAATTAAATAAAAAATTACAAAAATTAAATAGATATCCTGGTGGTCCACAAGGTCCACAAGGTCCACCACAACAAAATGGTCATCAACAACAATCTTCAATTTATTCTAATAATGGTCCATCAAGACATCCACATCAACATTCTCAACATCATCATCAACATCCTCAACATCCTCAACAAGTTATTCCTGGACCAAATGGATTACAACAATTCCCACAAAATCCTCATTTAGTTAATGGATTACCAAATAATCATAATCAAGGACCTGTAGGTCCTCAAGGTTTAGGACCACAAGGTATTCCAACAGGATTAGGTCAACAACATCAACAACAACAATTACAAGGACCAGGTGGAATAATCCCACAACAACAACCTCAACCTCAACAACGTCGTGTTTCTACAATGCCAGTATTAGATTCAAATGATATGTTTAATAATCCTCAATTTAAGAAAACTTCAAGAAAAAATAGAAAATCTTCATTCCCATTAGTTACACCTGGAATTGATAATAATTATGGTGGTATGCCATTACAAACAAATTTAGATTCAAGATTTAGAAATCAATATCAACAACCAACCACACCAACTAATGGACATCAAATTTATAGACCAAATCCAACAAAAGCAGTTACATCACCAACTATTCCAACAACTTCCCAATTTCAACAACCTCAACCTCGACCACAAGCACCTCAACAAGTTCCACAAACTGATCAATTACAAACAAATCCATATACTTCACAATCATTATCAAATTCAAATTCTCAAAATAATTCAAATTCAAATAGTTCAAATGAATTAAATAGTACAGGACAATTTAATAATTTATCTATATCAAATGAAGAACCAAAACCATTAGGTATTGTTGGTAATAATCCACAAAATAATCAAATAAAAGAAGAAAAAAAAAGAAAAAGGGATTATTTAGAAAAAAATAAGAACTTTTTAGTAGTAGTAATATGTTTTAATATAAAATTGATCTGTATATTATAATTAATACTTGAATATTTCAATGTTGATATAATGATAGTTATAATCGTAGTAGATCCTAATCATTAGATCCAAGACTTGGTCATATGTATCTAATCCATGAGCAATTAACCATATAGTCATTATCATGAATTTCTATAATCAAACCTAATCCAAACCCCTAGTCAATTGATCTTTACTTAATATACCTTATACAACTTTCAATTTGACATTTCCTTTACCCGATATAGATATAAACATAAATCCGATCAATTTTTTTTACAAATCAAGTAAAAGTAATACTTTGACATCTATTAAACAATTACAATATCTTTAATGACGTAGTTGAAGTATACTGATTACCAATTGATAAGATTCAAGAAGTTACTAGTTATTTAGTTATTAAATCTAGACTTTGATCCGATTATCCAGTTCTTTTGATCATGTTTACCATAATAATTTACCCCTCTGTGTGTATTCAAATCCCGATATAGGAAAATTAATAAGTACTGTACTTCTTATCAATTGATCCTGAGTTTTAATTTGATAATGATATCATGTATATTTACTTATTGTTTGATAATGTAGTTTGATAAGTGTATATATATCTTGTACAAGTACGATTATTGTAAAGTATATCATATATTCATAGTATTCATATCATAACAAATCATAAACAAATCATTAAACCACAATGCAATAAAGTTGAATTACTTTTAATCTTATTATAATAGCTATATGCTATAAGGTAATATTATCTATTAGCTATGGGATAAACGCCTTTTTAAATACCCATTTTTAACCATTCATAATTTGATTCATCAGCACTAAACAATCCATCATTTTTACCAATAATTCCATGATTTAAATGATTTAAATCATTTGATTTTTCATTAGAAGTTAATTCGTCTAATCCAATTGATTTTAAATCAATAATTGAACCAAGATCTAGGTCTAAATCTAGGTCTAAATCAATATTATAATCTGAATGTTGATTTGTCATTGATGGTGCTATTGTTGAAGTATCTAATGCAATTGGTTGTTGTTGAGAAGTTGATGGAGTATTATTAGTTGATACAGGAGATATATAAAATGAATTAAAACCAGGAGTTTCTTTTAATTTATTTGTTGATGATGATGATGCTGTTGTTGTTGGAGTTGTTGATTTTGTTTTTGGTCTTCTTGTTTTTGGTTTTTTTAAAGTTGATTTATTTATTGGTCTTATAACTCCATGTAATTTATAAAAAAGTCCACATGCATTACACAAGATATCACCATTTGAAGATTTTCTCCATAATGGAGTTGTTTTAGTTTGACAATTTGAACATGTAATGTTTTTATTTGAGTCTTTTTTAGTTGGCGGTTGTGGTTGGGGTTGTGGTTTGGAATTAATTTGATTTGAATTTGAAGTTGATGGATTCAATCGAGTTGAATCATTTAATGAATTTGTTGTTGAATTATTTTGTATTGGTGATAAAGAATTTGAATTTGATGAAATACCTTGAGAATTATTTAATGATTGGAAAATTTCATCCTGTGAAATCTTCTTTATATGAGCAACATAATCAAAATCATCATTAATTGGATTTGTTTGATCCTTGGTTAAATAATTTGATAATTGACTTATTGAAATTGAATTTGATTTTGGTTTTGATAATTGTGGTTTTGTTATTTTATTAAGATTAATATTTGCAATTGAATTTGATCTTCTTTTATCATTGGTATGTGGTGATGAATTTATATTATCATAATTTAACCAATTTAATTCATTTGATAATTTATAACTTTGATCATTTGTTAAATTATCAATATTTGAAATTGGAGTTGATGGATTTTGATTAAATATTAAAGATATATAATCTGACAAGTCATTTTCAAGATCCATTTTAGTTGTAGTATTGATTGTGGACATGGTATAACAAGTATATAATGTAACATATAGTGTATATGGTTTTATGAATATATAGTTGAATAAGATTGGAAAGTGTTTAGAAATTCATATTTAAAATGTCTTTGGTATAACTCCTTTGAAATGCTTTTTTCCTAAATGACTTGTTTATATTACTCCACATAGTCATTGCCGTTTATAATTCCGATTCTCAACAAATTAGTGAATGAAAACAAACTTTTGGGAAAAATGGGGAAATAAAAATTTAAATTTTAAACGGAATCGAACGGAATCAATCGGGAGCATCTAAGTAAAGCGAGAAGAAATTCGCGATCGAAATAGATTCAATTCAATTTTGTCACGTTTTGCTACACGTGATTACCATTAGGTAATATATTAGGTAATACTCACGTGATTTCAGTATTACATCATCATTATGTAATCAAAAATATTAAGAAAAAATTATTTTCTTCCTTTCTTCTTTTCAACACGTCAAACTTGTTCCTTAGTGAGTCGTGACTCATAGATATCAGTATTATAATTTATAACATATGATAAAACATAAACTAATATATATAGCTAACTAATATACCTATACAATTACACCGTTAATAACGGTTAGTATCACCACAACACCCACTGTTTATACACCCACTCCTTCAAACGGATCCCACTATTCACCTCTTTCCAGCTCAATGCCATCCACGGCCTTCAATGCCATTCAGTGGTTTATTATACATAATCTCCATCACTTGTACTTAACTGCATTGTTATCGGTACTTTTATAACTTAGCGGTAAAAAACATAGTGTGTGCTTATGTCATTGATTACATAATCACTCGGGTATGATTCATATACTTTGTGTGTGTAATCCTTTTATATTTGAAATTCAATTTCTATTCTCTTTTATATCACTTTTTAAAAAAGGTATGGATAATTTTATATTCCATCAATACTACAATCACACAATCATATAAGTCTCTGAAGAGATATGTCTTTATTACACAACTATAATTTAAATTCACCATTAAATTCAAATCCTTTTGATATGGATTTTAATCAACAATCAAATCATAATAAAATGGAATCAAAAATCATATATAAATTTATTATAAATCATAGTTTTAATTTAATTATATCAAAATATGGTTCAAAATTCCATAATTTAAATATTGAAAACTTGAATCAATTCATAACTATACTTTTCCAAAGATTAAACCTTACATTATATGATTTACAAAAATTAATTATAATATTGATTAAATATTTATCAATAATCATTGCACCATTAAAAATATCAATAAAACAATTAATCTTGGGTGTTTTGATCAAAATACATGGTAAGGGGAAATATAATTGGTGTGTTATAAGTGGATTATCAATGGAATCTATTGATAATTTAATTGGGATGATTGAAATTAATGATGAATTTGTTAAAGTGGATCATGAAGAAGTGCTTGAATTGAATGGATATATGAAGAATTTAATTTATTCGAAATTTGAGGTGGTTTAACGAACAATTCCGTAAGGAATTGTGAGTAATGGGAAATGAAACAATCATGAACAATATGAACAATTCCGATAGGAATTGTGAATAATGAAAGACAATAAACAATTCCGTTTGGAATTGTGGAAGGGAGAGTTGGTGATATACAATTACACCACGATGATAGTATGAACAGTGAACTCAATGATAAGAGAATCAAATGAAAGTCAAAGGAATGTTCAATTTCAGAACAAATTGATGTTTATATAAAATCCACAGCGGCTATTTTATAATAGCAAGTACTCCCAAAAATTAACCGCTGAACAAAAGTGTGATTTTTTTTAGTTTTAATGAATATAACGAATACAAAAATAATTTATGAATTTAAATTTGTAGTACTACAAACACATCATTTTGTTTAAATTGAATTTCAATCATAATCACGGATCAACCCATATAACATTATGATTGAATAGAATTGAATTGAATATCTATATAATATAATACAAAATAAACCACTGGCCACCAGCTTTATATATCATGACCTTGCTTTTTAGCTTCATTTAATATACTTTCAACATCACCACCACTATTTAATAATTTTTCACGATTTCTTTTACATGTTAATGTATCACTATGTCTTTTTAATGCATCTTTACGAGCAAATCCTTTACCACATTTTTTACAAATATGTGGTAATATTGGTAAATGAGCTCTTTGATGTCTTCGAAGATCTGATGATCTTCTAAATGATAAATTACAATCCGAACATAAAAATGGTTTTGGGTCGTTGATGCCTCCTTGGGATCTTGATGATGTTGATGGTGGTGTTGAATTTTGAGAATTTGGTGTAGGTGTTGATAATGGTTGTCCTTGATTATGTCCATTATTTATTGACCATGAAGAATTGGTATTTGAATTATGATCAAAATCATTTGAAGTTGTTGTTGTTTGGGATTGAGATTGTTGTAAAGAATCAAAATAATTCAAGTTAAAAGTTGGGAAATGATGAATATTTTTTGCTGGATTTATATTTGATGAAGTATCTAAATAATTTAGGATATTTGAATTTGAATTTGAATTCCCAGTGGAATTTGTTGGTGATTGATTTAAATTTAATTGATTATTAGTTAATGGATTAGAAACTGTATTATTTAAATTATTTGAAGATAATGGAGTTGTTGATGTTGAAGTATGATATGCAGAAGTACCAGTATTTGGATTTATTGATCCTGGTACATTAGCATATTGAATTCTTCTTAATAATTCTAATATTGTGGGATCAATTTGATTATCCATAGAAGTTGCCACTATAGCTTCTGCTGCAGCTCTTAAAAATTTCCTATCTTCATCTTCTTCATTATTTATAAGATTATTTATTGATGTTATATGATTTGATGACATTTTAATCTTATTTAAAATGGAACTAATTAAATTATTAACTTCTATTGATATTGTTAGTATTGTTTCAATTAATAGTTGGTTTTTATAACACACACCATGTTGATCTATATGATCATATTCTAAATCTGAATCATTTTCATCTTCTTTTGGATTCATAATAATTGTATTCTTTTAAATCTAATCATTAACCCAATAAAACAAAATAAACAATGGAACCAAAATTAAAGGATAATATAACCTTGAAACGATTTATGAATTCAAAATATAATCAAAATAACCAAGAAAAAGAAAATATAATCTTTATAAACAACTAGAATCATAATAATACTTACTTAAAATCCAACTTTCTCTTAAACCTGTTCAATTGTTGTCGGGATCTCAAAAAAAAAAAACAATAAAATATCAACAAATTATTGCCTAATATCTTGTGACACCACAGTTATATCAAAGTCAAATAATATGAAAAAACAATAGAAAAGAAATTTAAAATCTTAGATTTCAATGATGTGATTAAAGATTCTGCAAAAAGGTTTAAAATGGTTAATCAAAGTTCCAAGTATATCCACCTTTTAGAAAAAAAATTCCGAATATGCAACTTCTTATAATATTACCTTTTTCAAAAACAACCTAAAATTCTTTTGAGAAGTTTTAAAAACCAGTTTCCTTGCACAGCTTATTCTAATCAAATATTAATCAATGAGCTATTACTTCTTTAATAAACACCAGTTTAATAAACGTGCAACCACCTTATATTTAGGAATACCTTAGAATTTTATGTTTAAAAATGCAGCACTAATTAATACCCAATTAAAACAATCTTTTAAACGGGGAGAAGTAAATCCAGCCGATACTAACCAGTTCGTACAGCTTTATTGATCAATGACGCCTCTGTTTCAATACAACCAATGGTATATAATAGGCTAAACTCCACTTATTGTCTTGAAGTACTAAACAATGGTTAATCCTATAGCAACAATTAAAATTGTATTTGATCCAATGATAGTTACTTGTTGATGTTACCTTCTGTATGATTTCAACGCCACAAATAGTCAAGAACCTGTCAGCTAATCAAACTCAATCTCTTAAATCAAAAAATTTGGTTATGAACCCTAAAAAACCTTGAATCCTTATTACGCTAGAGTTGGTAACGTACGGCTAATTAAGCAGTTACTCTAGTAATTGACAAAATAGTATTAGCACTTAACTGTGGAAAATTATGAATATGATCACAAAATGAATATGAATATTAAATAGCGTATGACCAAATAATAACAATTATGTATCAAAATCAATCAGTCCCTTTTGATCCTTAGTCCTTAACACCTTTAAACTGATGTGAAGTTTGAACCGTATACCCTATACCTTATAAGACCTTAAAAACCACAGTATGTTATACCACACAACAGATCAATCAAAATGATTAATAGTATATTAACTTGATGAAAATTGTGGATACTTGTTGTAATAAATATGAAATCTTGTAACCAACACAACAAAGGAAATACGCTCTTTCAATAATTGTACCTTAACCTAGCTTTATACGCACTATGTCTAATTGATAGTCCGAATGATGAGATGATGATAAGATGGAACCACAGTTTTTTCAATCTCTTGAGTTACCGAACTATATTGATCTCTTGAACGTCAAACTTAACAAAGACCTGAACACACCAATAATTAAACAAAGCTTAATACAAAACCACTTCTATACTAGTATAGTCAATACCAAAGATTCAACAACTACTGTATACCCAACTCTTGATTCACTTCTGTACTTATTTACCGTTCTCCAGATATTAAATTTTGTACCTTAACCTTCAACGCCACAGTTATTATAAAGTTGAACTAAAGCACCAAGCCTGTGCGATCTTTAACAACGTCCTTCAAGACTGACAGATTTCAAAAACTTTTAATTATTACCCATCTTCTATAATCTTCCAATTTCTCAACTGCGCAATGCATATCGCATTAAATTTTTGTCACTGCTTATTACCGTAAATTAATAAATCTGCAATTCAATAACGAAATAATGTCAAGTCACGTGAAAATTGGAATACCTTGGGTCATGTGATCAGAAACGTGATATGGATTTCTATTACAAACTTTTAATAAAATCAATATTCATATATTGGAAAACAATTCATAAGTATGGAGTATATATATATATATATATACATAGGGATAATTGGTATTCAACATGTACCTTTAAAAGTACTATGATCTTTTTCCTTATGTTCTTGTTTCTTTTGATGATTATCAATATCTTCTTCACCACCACTTGCAATTGAAGTTAATAATTCATAAATATATTTAGTTCTTGCTTGATCTTCTTTAGCTTCAACACTTTGTTGATAAAATTCTGAAGATTTGATTAAAGCTTGAGTTGTTTTCAAAATATCACCAATTAATCTAAATAATAAATCATCAGTTAATTCATAACGAACAACAACTCTTAAAATTTCTAAATTATCTTCATTTGGTGGTAATGGATAATTTGGTATGATCCAACCCTTTTTTCTTAATAAAGTTGATAAAATAGCTTGAGGAAGATGAGGATATTGTTTTTTAAATTCATCTCTAAATCTAAATGCAACAACGGGTAAACCTTTATTATAATAAGTATCTTCATTATCTTGATTATCCAATTCTTCTTGTTGTTTGGAAGATTCAAAATGTAATACACCTTCTTTACGATGAATATTTGAAACAACTTCAAAATATTGAGTCTTTTCCAAAAAATTTGCTAAAATTCTTGAATTTTTCAATGATCTATGATGAATTTTTTTATATCCTTCAAAACCTAAATGTAAGAAATTATAATATTGATGAATTGATTGATAACCAGGTCTTGAAAAATTTAAATTAAAACTTTCTTCAACACTACCTAAATATCTTAATTTGAAAATTAATTCTTGTGGTAAATGTTTTGAATCTCTCCAAATAATCCAACCAAGCCCCGCGGTAGTTAATCCAAATTTATGACCAGATGTATTAATGGAAACAACTCTTGGGATTCTAAAATCCCACTTCAATTCTGGATAAATAAATGGAGCAACAAATGCACCAGATGCACCATCAACATGAATTGGAACATCAAAACCTTTTTCTTTTTCAACTTTATCTAGAATTTTAGAAATTCCTTCGACATCTTCAAAAGCACCTGTATAAGTACTACCTAAAATAATAAAAATACCAATAGTATTTTCATCAACATTTTCTTCAATTTTAGTTGGATCCAAGACATAATTAGAATCTTTAGAAACTGGAATTAATCTTGCTTCAACATCAAAATAACGAGCAAATTTCTCTAATGCAACTTGAGCATTTGAACCCATGATAATATTTGGTTTATAATAATCTTCACCAGCATCTTTCCTTTTTTGTTGCCAGATCTTCTTCAATGCTAATCCACCAAGCATGATAGCTTCTGAAGACCCCGTAGTAGCAGTACCAATTGGTTCATCATCAGTTCTATTCCATAATTTCCCCAAGATTGAAATGTTTCTTGTAGTTAAATCGATTAAAGTTGGATATTCATCTGCATCTGCTAAATTCTTGACTAAATTTTCTTTAGCTAATTCTTTTGCAGATAATGTGGAGAATGTATTAACAAATGAAGCTAAATTTAAGGTTGGATTACCATCTAATGATAAATCATCATGTAATAAACAATAAGTTGTTTCTTCATCAAGACCATTTTGAGGAATTTCATATTTATTTTGTGAAACAAATTCAGTATCATCTTTCCTATTATTTGGATTATGATAATGAGAATTTGACAAAATTGTATCTTCTAATTTTTCTGGATCAACAAGTTTTGAAAGCATTGTGTATAATGATCAACTGCAAGTATATTCAATGTTATATGGAATCAATTGAGTTAATATTTTTCAGATCCAACTTCCAAGGGGGAATTCAAGGCTTTATATAATACCCATGTTTTTCAAGATTTGCCTAAAAAGGTTATAATCAAATCTGCGTGTAAATTAGAAACTTCCTGGACAATTGCTAAAAGCTTAGCAGCTTAAACAAGCCAAACCGCATAAAGATGACCTTGAAACTCGGAGGAGTTCATAAAATTATACCATGAACTCAATTAAATCAACCTAATTAACTTTAACCACGTTCAATGTCTCATCGGTAGTGTACCAGGTATAAAACATTTTAAAGCCTCCATCGGTTCGTATGGAAGCCAAGTTTTGAGATTGCCATTGACATAAAAAATACGCTAGACTTCCTAATGCGGTAATAAGTTGTAACATTAGTGGGTATAGCGATATACCGATCTTCAACTATGGCTTTGAAGAGCTTTGACACAAACTTATTAGTAAGTATACTGATGGCCAGAAAAGGGCTACAACAATACCGGTGGTATACTGGTTTCTTTGTTACTTCACCGCTACAACAATCAACTTTCTCTCGTTAATGTTATTCATTCAAATAAACTTATATACACATTTATGCAAAAGATTAAATTTATTCGACTTGAGATTCAAAGTTTTCACCTTCAACTAAGTCTGGAATTTCATCATCACCAGCAGCAGCTTGACCTTCAGCACCGGCACCTTTTTGTTGTTGTAATTGAGCAGCTAATTTAGATAAGATATCTAAGTTTTCAGCACCTAATTGAGGAATAATGTTTGGAATTAATTCAGTGATTTCCTTTTCTTGTGGGATACCGTAGAAACCATGGACATTGTGTTGGTTAGCTGATTGAACACCAACTCTGTTGAAGTGTAAGACTTTACCATCATCTCTGAAGAAGTTAGCTTCTTCAACATTGTCTAAAGTTTGAACATTTAATTTTTGTAAAGTAGCTTGTAATTTTGAATCATCGGCTGAAGGTTTTTGAGCTGGTTTCTTAGCTTTTCTTCTGATACCACCAACTTTGTTGTTGGATTGTTTTTGTAATTTGGCTAATTTTTCTTGATCAATTGGCATTTTGAATGATTGGATTACTTCTTTGAAATAGATTCTGAACAAGTTCTTCGTCTTTTAGTCAACTTTTTTTCATCGTCGACGCTTTTTTTTCACCAAAATTTTTTTCGCTGAGAAATTTTGTGGTGTGTGGATTTTCGCGTGTGTATAAGGTATAGAGAATTCAGAATTGTTTACTATGTATTACTCGGTGATTATAAGTGTATTGGTTTCTGTCGTTTGCCTTTTAAATTTGACTGTGAATTGGTTCCAGGGATGTCCAAGCTCGTCTCAAGTGCTCAGAAGGCTCACTTGAAAGAATTGGCTCATAAATATGCACATACATTGAAATTGCCAGTAACTGATTTCCCCAAAAGATCAAATCATGATTTAAATATTAAAGATCTTATACCCAGATCTTCTCAAATTTTATATAAAGATCAACTAAATAAGAAACCAGTGGATAAAGATGTATTCATTCTACATGATGGACCTCCTTATGCTAATGGTGATATTCATATTGGTCATGCAATGAATAAGATCTTGAAAGATTTCATAAATAGATATAATTTAATCCAAGGGAAACAAATATATTATAAACCAGGTTGGGATTGTCATGGATTACCTATTGAATTGAAAGCTCTTGAGACAATTGCTAAAAAGACTAAAAAAGATCCTTCAATGACATTATCTGTGCAAGAAGTCCGTAAAATCGCAAGAGATCATGCAACAAAGACAATTTCATCACAATTAGAATCTTTTAAAGAATTTGCTATCCTAACAGATTTTCAACATAATTATAAAACTTTGAATCATAATTTTGAAATTAATCAATTGAAAATATTCCAAAAGATGTTAGAAAAAAATTTAATAACAAGACAGAAGAAACCTGTTTTCTGGGGTTGTGAAACTCATACAGCTTTAGCTGAAGGTGAATTAGAATATAATGATCAGCATCGTTCTGTTGCTGCATATTTAAACTTTCCACTGTTGGAGACTACACCAGAACTACAAAAAATCATTGATGAAAATGGTTTACAAAACGTTCATGCCTTAATTTGGACTTCAACTCCATGGACAATTGCTTCAAATAAAGCCATTTCAATTAATGAAAACTTGGAATATACATTTGTTCAAACAGATGATAGCAAAACATTAATAATTGCTGATAGTTTAAGCTCAAATATTTTGGGAATGAAATTAGGTATGAAACCAACAGATATTAAATTCCCAGGTTCAATTTTATCAAATTCGAAATATTTACATCCAATTAGCAATGAAACTAATCCAATTATTCATGGTGATCATGTTATTGACAGTGCAGGTACAGGTCTTGTTCATACAGCTCCAGGTCATGGTAATGAAGATTATTTTGCTTGTTTAAAACATGGTATTGAAGCATTCTCCCCAGTTGATCAATTTGGGAAATATACAAATGAATTACCAAAAGGTTTTGAAACTTTAATTGGTAAAAGAGTTTTAGGTGAAGGTGGTAAATTAATTTGGAATTTATTTTATGATAAAGATATGGTTTTCTCTAAGCAAGATGATTATATTCATTCATATCCTTATGATTGGAGATCTAAAAAGCCAATTATTATTAGAGCTACTCCACAATGGTTTGCAAATGTTGGTAAGATTAAAGATGATGCTAAGGATTCATTGGACGATGTTAAATTTGTTCCTGAAAATGGTAAGAATAGATTATCTGCATTTATTAATAATAGAAATGAATGGTGTATTTCAAGACAAAGAAGTTGGGGTGTTCCAATTCCTGCGTTATATTCCAAATCAAATGAAAATGTTGTACTCTTAGATGATGTCACCATAACACATATCATTAATAAGATTGATGAATTAGGTACAGATGCTTGGTTTGAAGAAGAATCAAACGTTTCAAGATGGTTACCAGATTCAATGAAAGATAAAGGTGATGAATATTATAAAGGTAAAGATACAATGGATGTTTGGTTTGATAGTGGTTCAAGTTGGACAGAAATTCAAGATTTTTTACAAAAAAACGGAATCGAACGTGATACTTTAGCTGATGTTTATTTAGAAGGTTCTGATCAACATAGAGGTTGGTTTCAGTCTTCATTATTAACCAAAATTGCAACAAGTGATTCCTCTAGACCAAATGCTCCATATAAACAAATTGTTACTCATGGGTTTACATTAGATGAAAAGGGACAAAAAATGTCAAAATCAATTGGTAATACCATTTCACCTCATGATGTTATTAAAGGTGGTAATAAATTACCTGCTTCTGGTGTTGATGGTTTAAGATTATGGGTTGCACAATCTGATTATACAGGCGATGTTCTTGTCGGGCCAACTATCTTGAAACATGTTGGTGTTCAATTAAAGAGAATTAGAAATGCATTTACATTCATGTTGGGAAATTTGAAGGATTTTGAAAAATCTGATTCAGTAAACTATAAGGATTTGAAAAAAATTGATAAATATGCATTAAGTAAATTATATGATTTAGAAAAAGAAGTTAATCAACATTATAAAGATTTGAATTTCAATCGTGTTACACAAACAATTTATCATCATATGAAGACTGAATTAAACGCTAAATATTTTGATATAATTAAAGATAGATTATATGCAGATGATCCAAATGGAATTTCACGTCGTTCTGCACAAACTGTCATTTCTCAAATCTTACAAACCTATTTATCAATACTTTCCCCATTATCACCAGTTTTAACTCAACAAGTTTGGGATTATTCACCAAATTGGTTACAAGATTCAAATAATTCACCATTTAACAAAGGTTGGTTTAAAATAGACGAAAAATTCCATAACACAGAAATTGTTGATGAATTTGCAAATGTTTGGTTAATTCATAATGAAGTAAATCAATTGATGGAGAATGGACGTAAGAATGATAATTTTGGTAGTTCATTAGAAACTGATATTATTATAAACGGTGATGGTAAAATAATTGAAGCTTTAAAGCAACATTCAGATGAATTAGCAGATTATTTTGTTGTTTCTCATGTTCATTTCCAAAAAGATGTTACAAAGGATGAATGGAGTTATTCAAATACTGTTAACATTGAGAATGAATCAATTTCTATCTCTGTTAATCCTTCATCAAAAGCTAAATGTCCAAGATGTTGGGTTTATAGTTCTGAAAGTGTTGAAGAACTTTGTAAAAGATGTGATGATGTCCTACATGAACATAGCTAGATGGCCTTTTGGAGCCCTTTTGTATATAGTTTTATTGAAACAAATAACAAATATGGATGATGTATATAGAAACTGTAATGACATTTTCAGCTAAATAGATGATTTAAATATTAGCACTATCCTGTTTATAATTCATAACAATTAGGCTTACTCATCTTTGTTATAATATGTTGTGTTTACCGATTATCGTTCATCTTCATTGCGTATCAGATACAAAAAAGATCATCAAATGAAGAATGATTAGAACATTAGAACTTACTTTCAAGTTTGAGGAAATTGTGGTTGTCAAATAAATATCAGAAACATAAGCATCGAATACCAAGTCAAAAACCAAATTATTTTATTCAAAATCAATGAACGAATAAGTCAAGCTCATTCGCATCGAATTTGTATACCAAACATCAATTAACAATGAGTGATATTAGTGATGATGAAATATTGGTGGTATGTGATGCTTTATCTGAGAATACAAATACGGTGGTTGGAAATATGGTAAAAGCTTTAGCGGGAAATGATGCTGAAATAAGTATTGAGAAGTTTCTAGAAGGGATAGACCTACAGGGTATTGGTGAAATCCGATTGAAACAGGTTTTAATGCATCATAGGATAGTATCTCTATTCTTTGATTTACTCATAAATCATGTCGGATTAACATATTTAAGGAGAATCTATTCAAAGACAGAAATTTTAAATTTGTTAAAATTATTCTTTTATGGTCCCGTGTTGAAAACTTATCGTTATGATGTGACGTCTGAACCTGATGTTGCTTTCGAACCATCTTGGGAGAATAATTGCGAATTAACAAGTATGCTGAAATTCATGGTACCTTCATCAGACAGTACCGTTATCGATCAAGCTGATGCTTTAAAATTATTCAAGAGGTATGAGCTAAAATTGTTGCAAAACATTGACAGAAATTGTGACTATATGGAAATTGCAGATTTAGTAGCTGGTGTCGGTCTACACTATTCAATAAGTTTTAATATGGATAATAGTGCGTCAACTTATCAAGATGCGTTTAATATGAGATATTTATACCCATTAAAACTCATTTTTAACAAAGCTTTCAAGAATGAACCTACAAAATCATTCATTTACAACGCTAATACTGTTACTCGTTTCAATCCAGAGACATTCAAGGAAAGTTTTGGATGTCTTAATCGTAAATCAGTAATGACTAATTTAAAAATCAGGAGGCTGGGCTTAGATACAACAACAACTAAATTTGAAATGCTACTTCCAATTGAAACTAATCATGTTAATATTGATCTCACTGCTGAAAATGTGTTTTCCCCAGATGATATTTTACCAATAAACGATATTAAGTTATGGAGTCGGTCATTCAGTCAATTGTTATTGTCCTCTAGTCATTCGTCAATCATTGGAGACCATGACACGACTTTTTTTATGAAACTTCCTTCACCTAATACAGATTTCAATTTAAAAGTAAAGGAGGTACCTATACTTATTGATTTTGAAAAATCAATACAATCTTTTGAATCTGTGGTGTTTAGTGAAGTTGAATATTTAAAAATAAATAATCGTGAATCCATATTTGATGGAAATGGTCCAGTTTTCACAACTCCAATGTTGTTAGTTTTATTGATATTTGAAGAAATTTCAGGACATTCGTCTCATGATCATGCTACTTCACTCTTGGATTGTGCAACTTTAAATAATCCCATGTCTTCTAGCTTTGTTGAAAGTGATATAATTGCTTATGATAAAATCATGAGATATACAATTGAAAGACTCAAATCCGAGCCATCACTAACAAATAAATTACAAACTCCAATAATAAATGATCACATTATTAATCCTTCCAAAATACTGAGACAATATGAAAGACTATATGATAATCCTAAAGTTACAATGGTCATTAAGAGTAAAGACCTTCCATTGGAGTTTGAAGTTGATGCTTGTGAAGAAGAAATGGTTGTACTTAGCATATATGATATAGATGATCACTTTTTATCATTCATTGATTATAAACGCAAAAACATTGATGATCTGACTTTTGAGCAATATTATTCAGAACTTATCAGTTCACAATTTCTTATAGAATTGAAATCACTTTTAAAAATCCAGAAGTATAATGAAGCAAACCCTGAGATTCAGATGAATTCTCCTGGACTCAAAGGATATGGATCACTTATTAGTAATGGCTTCAATGGGTTTTATTTGATTCAAGAATATTTACCTTTCATTAATGATAAACCTTGTACTAAACTTCATTTAGAGCATGGTGTAAAAGAATTGGAAAAATTACATAAATTAGGTATCATCCATGGTGATGTCAAGATTGACAATTGTTGTTATAATTATGAAGATAACAAATTCTATCTGATTGATTTCAATAACGCGTACTTCTCAAATACTGGTGATATGTCATCAGTTCTTGATCAATTCATGAATAGTGATCTAGATAGATTATATGATAGTATGTCAGAAGTTGTAAGAGAAGAAATCTAGCTCAATATTTAACTTCCAGGACAATTACTTGAGAAAGGGGCTTTCCTACTATATAAATTTAATTGACTTGATATATATATATTGTTTTTGGCCAATGAATACCCATTTTCTGTGACTTATTGTTGATTTATATCGTAGAGCGTATTGATAGTACTACCGGTTAATCAGCCCCGGTTGAGATTCCCCATAGTTTAAAGTGAAAAAAACCACCACCAAATTTAAACGACATCAAGTAATTGAAGTCAATAATTCAATAAAAAATTGACATTGAGCAATATTGGAAATGATACTAGCTAGATTCTCACCATTTGGTATTAGATCATCATTAAGAGTGGCTAGTGTGAGGCCATTTACCACGACAAGGTTTTTATTTAATAACCAGTTGAATAAACCCAAAACACCACCAACTCATCAAGATATAGATATCAACTCAGATGCTTATAAAGATCATCCAATTATCAAGAGATTACCAAAATCAATGAAGAAATATGGTAAAAGATTTGTTAATGCTCCTGTGTCACATCTTACTGCTTTTGTAATATTACATGAATTTACTGCAGTGGCTCCTTTCTTAGGGTTATGGTATGCATTTCATAGTTTTGGATTTTTACCAGCAGATATACCTTCATGGATTCTCGTGAAAGGTTCAGGTGTCATTGAAACTATAGTGAGTATTCAAGAAAGTATTTAGAGGGAACTTTTTATTCTAACGTTGTGCTTTTTTTAGTTGGGTGATACTGTTAGTGATTGGTCTGTGGCAGAAAGAACAAAACTTATAATTGAAGGTGCTACTGCTTATGGTATTGTTAAAGTGAGTATATATCAAAGGATGACTTCAAATAACATTTACTAACGATATTTAAGGCTGCTTTCCCTCTACGAGTTTTCGTATCATTATTCTTTACACCTTGGTTTGCAAGAGTATTTGTATTACCAATGAAGAATTTATTCACAGTTACTTTACCTGATCTTTTCAGATTTTTCAGTAAAAAGGAATATAAAAATGATCAATCATTGGAAAAAGGTTTTAAAAAGAAAACATTACCAAAAGATAAACCAAGATTGTAAAATGTATATATAGACCGGGATACACATGAATATATACTTATTTATTGAACAAATGTAGCTAAAAATGTACTAAAAAGAGGCATTTCTTCAAAGCTAAATCAATCAACAACAACATTTGACAAGCTACTCTTCCCTCAGTCCAATATCTCATGAATTAACGACTATAATATTCCAGAATATTGACTACTTATCGCTTACCCTTTTATATGGCTCAGCTTATATAAGCACTTGAAAGTGTCATACAAAAATTAAAATCAGCTTATCAAAAGGAGCCAAAAATCTTAAATAGAAACAATCTTCAACAAAAACTACGCGCTGTTTTGAAAAGACGCTGTTAAGAATACATTGAGGTGGAAACTTTGTCCTCATCGGTTGCTGAATCTCTGATCAATTTCATTACTAAGTTTATTGTGAAGCGCTTAGGTTCTTACTGTTTCTTTGGGCTGGTGTTTTGCTATAACTAATCAGTTTTATTTACCCCATACAAATCAGTGGCAATATTCATAAAATTATCAACAAGATGGTCAAATTCAGGTTTAGTCAGATACAAATGTACTCTAGTGTCACTTCAAAGAGATATTTCAAGGTCCATTATGCCAAAAGGGTGCAAGTGATACGACTAGCTGCTGTGAATTCACCACATCATTTGAAGAAGAATCTACATACAACACAATGGAATCAACAGAAAGAGAATAAACAAGATATAAATGATGACGATTATGAATTAGATCTGATAACATTGACTAAGAAGAAGAAATCAAAACAAAAGAAGCAAACTACACCATCACCAGAAGAATCAACATCAAAATCTGTGAATAATGTTAAACCAATCAATATTGTTGATGATACCAATATAAGAAGTGACAATTATAAGTTTAAGAAACAAAAAAGACAGGTTCCATCATTGGATAAAGATGATGTTAGAAATGATGATGAATTGATTACACTTTCTGAAAAGGATAAGAAAAAAATTGATGCTAGAAAACAATATAAAGCTGAAAATCCAAAACCTATTGAACCAATATTTAAAGAATCATTAAATCCAGAAGAAATCAAGAAACATGATGAAACAATACAAAAAGATTTGACACGTTTATTGAATGAAGAATTTGATCGTCAAGATAAACCAGAAAATAAAAATTCAAAAAAGGCAATTAATTTATTTGATATTGTTTCAAATGGATCATATGGTAATCTGAAGAAAGATACATCTAAATCTAATTCATCTCCAACTCAGTCAACTAAAGAGACAAAAACGAAACCAAATATGATTCGTAATGATGTCAAATCAGATAAAACTGTCAAATTAAATAAACAAGAATCTTTGAATAAAGATGCTAAATCTGATGATGCTCTGGTATCAAGTAAGAAAGAAGTTAAGAATAGTGATGTTAAATCTGATGATGGTTTGGTTTCAAAGAAAACTTCAAATTCAAATGAAGATATAAGTTCCAATGCTACAGATGTTGATTCTAAATCAGATCATGGATTACTCAATGAACAAATCTCTGTTGAATCAGCTAAGCAATCAGACTATTTACATGATCCATTGAGTACACATGAACAAGAAATACTGAAAAATATTCAAGATAATAATCTAAGCAACCCTCTAAACTATGAAAGTACAAAGACACACATTCCGTCACAAGATTCAAAAGTGAATGAAGCTGAAATCAAAGCTGAAACTAAGGCTGAAGCTGAACCATCTGTTGTGAATATTTCCATGCCTAAACCTGAAGGTAACTCACAAGCAAAATCATCTATTCGTTATACAACAGAACCACCAAAAATTGATGAATTTGATAATATCATAAATGTTTCAAGACCATCCTCTCCGTCGAAAAGACAAAAATCTAAAGGTTCCAAAAAATTTAAACAATCAATTAATTCAAGCCCAGACCTAAGTAATCTTTCTGGAATTGATAAATTAAATAAAATTGAAAATATTATGAAAGTTTTAGAAAATGAACTTCCAAAATTATCAAAACAAAAAGATTTGAATGAAGCTGAAATTAAAGATAAATCAATACAAATGAAGAAACTTCGAGAAAAATTAAATGAAATTCAAAATTCGGAATCTAAACCAACAATCACTGATCCAATTCCTGTTCATGATTTAGAAACTTTCTTGAAAGATGCCAAAAGAGAAAAAGAATTGAAAGAAGAAGAACAATTTAGAGAAGAAAGAGCTTATGAATTTAGTAAATCAATTAATGATCAAAATTATAAAACTCTGGAAAGGAAAAATTTCTTTACACCAATTGATGAAGCATTAATTAAAAAGTATGCAAGACGTTCTAAAATTTTTAAACCAATTCAATTTCAAGATGATCAAACAATATCTGAACCAAAAGATGAATTATTTTTCCCTTCATTATCCAGTATTGCAAATAATCAAAATTTGACTCATGAATTTATGATTTTAGCAAATAAAAAGAAAATCATTATAAATGAAAATCCATTAGGTGAACATTATCATACACCTGATTTATTTACAATTTTCAAAAATTTAGGAAATCCAGAAAAATATTTAAAACAAATTAATAAATTTGAAAAAAATGGTGGTTGGAAATTAATTGGATCTGGTGGTGCAGATTTCAATAAAATTTTAATTTTTGAAAGATTTGTTGATAAAGAACAAGAACGTAAAGATTTACGTCGTAAACGTATAATTAATTATTCAACTTCAATAGTTTCAATTTTTGCAATTCTTTTAGGATTTGGAACTTATTATGAATATGAAGAACAAAAAAAATCAACAATGTCAAAATATAAATTTGATGATCAAGGTAAATTCGTCAAGACTGATAACAAATGATAACAAGTGCTAATTTTAGTTCTCACAAATATTTTATATTCTACGTCAACATATATATGATTTTTATGCCCCCAATTATTATTGAGATTGATATGATATTATAATGCATTAATATATATTTATTATACCCATAAAATTATTTCCCAAATTGATTTCTAATGTACATGTAACTCCCTTTTAACCACAATTTAATCTCTCATTGCATCTTCAGGATTTGGTAATTCAGTTGTATCTTTTGAAATACGAATAAATTTCAAAATACCTAAACCACCAGTAGTACCATTCCAATTTCTTAAAAAAACAACAGTTTTTTCATCACTTATATCAGGTATTAAATAACCAGTTTTATATTCTTGTTCTTCTTCTTTCTTTTTATTTTCTAATAAAACTTGTCTTGTTGTTGCAGGTCTACCTTTACGTCTTTCAGATTTTAATTGTTCAATCTCTTCATCATCTCTACTTAAAAAAGCTTCAATGAAAAGTTTCATATCTTCTAACCCGAAAACATCTTTCTCTTCTCTATTACTTATAGCTTCTTGAAAGAAAACAGTTCTTTGATTTTGATATTCTTTATTTTGAACATGATGTAACTTCTTTTCATTAATTTTTGATTCTCTTAATGTAGCTCTACTTAATTGTTTAAATTTTCTACCCTTTGGATGCATAGCACCTTTGGATTTTTGGATAGTCTTCTGCACTTTGGTCAAACTGTGGGCAATAGGCATGGTTGATATTATGGATTAACTGAGTTCTCTGGTCCCTATGAAACGTACTTGATCTAGCTCATCGCCTATATAAATTTAAAAGACATAATTAAATTTTTCTAAATAGTCGGATCTTCAAAAACTTATGTAATCAATTCCGACTTTGTTCGACAATTTTTTTTTTTTTCGCAGTGGAAGAAAAAAAACGAAATTTTAAAGGAAATTTGGTGAAATATTGAGTATTAATTGAATATTGACAAGATTATTGTGCTTAATTGAAGATAGTTTGTTGAGAAAAGAAGACAAAGAAACAAGCAAGAATACTATATCTAAAATGGCTAAATACGAAATTGAACAATTGATCCAACTACGTGAAACTGCTTACGTTCCAACTTCTGTTGATTTTGCTGAATTTACTAAATCAATCTTGGAAGAAAGAGAAAGACAAGCTCAACAGTAAGTTATATAATAATGTGGTTGTAGGTGTCTTTGTTATTATTATATATTGTTTTATCTGTGAAAATCTCCAAATTGAAGTGGAAATGATGAAATAACAATATAATATATAAATAATACTCGTGTGACACCAAAAAAAAAACAGAACATTAATACTAACAATTTTATAACAGAGAAGAAGAATCAGGTTTCACAGGTGGTCGTAGAAGATCTTCTATAGGTATCAGACCAAAATTCAAAACAAACCGTCCAAAACGTGCTCCAGCTCCACAACCAGATGCTGATGGTTGGGTTACTTTAGATAATCATAGAAAATCTGCAAGTGGTGAAGAAGCTGCAAATGAAAAGCAAAAATTTAAAGATTCATTAAAATCAGATACTACACAAGTTAAAGTTCGTCCAAATAATAAAAACTTGGGTTCAAGTAAACCAGTTGATTCTCGTGATATCATTGCTGATCAACAAAAATCTACTTTTAATGCTTTTGCTGCTTTAGGTGATGAAAGTGATGAAGAAAGTGAGGAAGATGATGAATAAATTATAACTGTTTGATGTGTTTCTTTATATGTGTATATTTTTTTTTGATTTGATTCAATAAGTTTTTTTTTAATTATATTAATTCTTTGTAGTAAAATAAATTTCTACAATTTTGGTTATGATTCTATTCTATATCAACATGAACAGCTTCATAATGAAGACTAATAATACATAAAACAATTAAACCGTTCTTTTGAGATCAACTCTATCAACCAAACAATAATAAACACTTAACAATACATACAAAAAACAGCACATACAGATATTTCATCTAAATGCTAATGAACCTCTATCATCAAATGTTGAAGATAAATTCAGGTCTTGAAGTACTGAACCTAAGTCAGTATGTTGTTTTGATATATTCCCACCATTAATTGTTTGAGTTGATGGTTTCAGGGCAGTACCTGAAATTGCTTTTCTTAATTCTTGAACTTTTGGAGCTTGTAATCTACCATTCAATAAAGATCTTGCAGATAATGGAGCTGATCTTATACTATGATTTTCTCCAACTGATGTCGGAGGGAACAATGTAAATTGGAAATTTTGTGGTGCACCATTTTGTGATATAAATGAATGTTCATTTATACTATCATTTGAACCATCTTCAATTAATGGATCTGAAGTTTGATATTTATAGTGAGAATTGAAAATTAAATCATTATAATTATTACCATAATGGTTTTCAATTAAATTTGAAGTTTCATCTTTTGTAAATTCCAATTTTGATGATTTAATTTTTGATGATTCAATTGGTAGGTTGATATTAAAATTCCATAAATTATTTTCTTTACGATATTCAATTCTTGATATGACCTCATTTTGGAAAGATGTATCATTTAAATATTGAGTTGCATAGAAAACTAATAAATAACCAATATTATCTTTATAAATCAATGACAAATCATTACCAGTTTCATTTTTCAATTGCCATTCAAAGAAAAATGGTAATAAATTAACAATAGCATTAATACCAAATTTTTTAACAATTAATTCCATAAATTCAATTAATAAATTATAATTTTGATAATTATCCAAAATTGATATTCTTTCAAATTCTTCATAAACTTCATTGATAACACTTGCTTTGGAATCTGAAATTAATGAATTATGATTTTCTAATTCTGAATCTTTTGAATCTAAATATTCAAGTTTTAATAATGTTATTAATACATCTGTATATTTTGATTGAATTTGGAAAATTGAATCATTTGATAAATTCTTATTATTATATGAAAGAAGTTCCAATGTTTCATCAAATAAATCTAATGGAACCTTAACTCTTTGTACTGTACTATTATTATTTGCTGTTATGATAACATTTTTAATATTGTCTAAATGAACCAAGACAAGAGTTTGTAAAGTTGCAGCATTAAATTGTGTTTTAGAGGATGGTAAATCAATATAATTTTTAATTCTAATCAATAATTCACCCACGGTATCAACAATTTGATTTTGATAATAAATATGTGTAGCTAATGAACTAATAACTTCAGAATATGCAAATACCAATTGATGAACATCTTTATTATTAGATTCAATTATAATTTGAGATTGTAAATCAGTTAATTGACGTAAATTATCAAGTATTGAAAGACCAACCATATTAACAGATGAAGATAATAATTTTGAAATTGTATGTAAATAAATCAATTGTTCTTGAGGTTTACCATTTTTCTTTAGATGACTTGAAATCACACTTAGGATAACAAATCTTAGTTGAACTGGAACCCAAGTTGTAATCATTTCCACTAATATAGACGCCCATTCATGATCAGTTTTATAAGTAGCAAAATAATGACATATAGCTTTGGTACATGAAACTAATTGACTTGAAGAACTAGACCCAAAGAATGCCTTTAATGAATTTAAAGCTAATTCATCAGTGGCAATTTCCTTTGGAGTTGATTCACCATTTTCCACGGGTTGTGGTGGTTTAATTGGTGAAGTTGTTGTTGTGTCATGTTTACCTAAAGTAGATCTTGCTGTATTGTATCTTGATAATTCATGTTGAGAAGCATTTGATTTCACTTCTGATTGTAATTGGTCCTTGGTAAAATCTTCATGAATTTCACTTAGAATAAATGGTATTAATTTTTTAACAATATAATTCCCATTACCTTGTGCAATATTTTGACAATGAGCTAAATCTCTTGATGCATTTAAAGCTATAGCCTTCCATTCTGTAGTGTTACTTGATGGGGGGTTTGAACCTAATCTCAGGAAAGATTCAGCTAATTTGGTGAAGTTATCAACAAACTCTAAATCACCAGTAAATAATTCACCATCTAATGTATTACAAAAAGTATTGAAAACAGGTTCAGCATGTTGACATAACCCCAAATCTTTTGTAGTAAGCACCGATGATAATATGACATTAACATTTTGAGCGAAAACATTCAAATCATCTGGACATTTCTTGATCAAGGAGTTGATAATCTCAAGTGTAACTTGGACATTACCAGTACGGTTACGGCTAATATCAATGGTATTCTTTTTTTCAATGAATTTCCCAACTTTTTCCAATTTGACACGACGCGTAGAGGCATAGTATAGCAAGTAACTTAATTCTGATGAGTTTGGTTTCTTATCAAAGCCTCTTCCTGGTGGATAGCATTGTAAGATCAATTTTTGATGTTTTGGTTGGAATATTGGCATTTTGAGCAAAACACGGTTTAATTCATGTAAAAAGAGTGACTGAACGATGCAAATTTGATGATTTTCTTCTAGATCTTGAAATAAGCAGAGTACTACCTTTGTGGTTTTTGAAATCCCTTTCCAAAGTTGTGTTTAATAGACCTTGATTTCTTACAAAATGTTGTGATCTGTTAAAACTTGATTTGTGTTTTTCAAAAGGAACAAAAATGCTGGAAATTCAATTTTGAAAAAAACATCACCAGAAATTTTGATAGTAAACAAACGAAACTTAGGAAACATTAACAATCAAAACCAGATATTCAAGATGGTTCCCGTCTATGTGAAAGGTGGTGCCTGGTCTAATGTTGAAGGTGAGTTTGAGAGGATAATGGTCGTTTTTCCCCCAGTTTCAAAGGGGTTCTTGAAGGCTTAAGTACTAACAAAACTATAGATGAAATATTGAAAGCTGCTGTGTCGAAATATGGATTGAATCAATGGTCAAGAGTAGCTTCCTTATTGGCTAGAAAGACTGCAAAACAGGCGAAAGCCAGGTGGAACGAGTACTTGGATCCAAGAATAAGGACATCGGAATGGTCAGTGGAAGAGGATGAGAAGCTTCTAAATCTAGCGAGATTGATGCCTAATCAATGGAGATCTATTGCTTCGAAATTTGGAAGAACAGCTACACAGGCTATAGAGAGGTATCAAAAGATTCTTGATGATTCTGAAGGTGGTGATGGTGCTGGTGATAATGATTTGAAGTTAAGTGGTCCAGGTATTGAAACTTTAGCTTCAGTAGGTGCTAATAAGGATTTAAAAATCGGTGATTTAAACGTTAATCCTGAAACTAAAACTGCAAGACCGGATGCTGTTGATATGGATGATGATGAAAAAGAAATGTTATCAGAAGCAAGAGCAAGATTGGCAAATACACAGGGTAAAAAAGCTACAAGAAAAGTTAGAGAACGTATGCTTGAAGAAAGTAAACGTATCGCATTATTACAGAAAAGAAGAGAATTGAAAAATGCTGGCATCAATACCAAATTAAAAGCTCCAAAGAAAAAATTTAAAAATCAAATTGATTATAATGCTGATGTTGCTTTTGAACATAAACCTATTGGTGGGTTTTATGATACTACAGAAGAATTAAATAATAATGAACGAATTTTAAATAATTTTGAACAAAAGGTTTCCAAATCTGGTGTTAAATCTGATGATTCAAAATCTAAAAAGGAGAAAAGATCAAGAGATGAAAAATCTGGAGGTGGTTCAATTTCAATTACTAAAGCTGCTGAATTGGTTGAAACTAAAAGAAGAAAACTTGAACTATCAAAACCTGTTTTCAAAGATGACCAATTAGTTACAGATGATGATGTACAAAAACATATGGATTCTCAAAAATTGGATAATAGAATAAATGATGCTGTCCAAAAGATAAGGCAGGAACAAGGTATTCAATCTGCACTTTTAACTAAAAATGATGAAATTGATGAAGATGAAGATGAAGAGTCATCTAAACAAGAAACACCATCTATTAATGAAACTATAGATAATGAAAAAGTTAAAACCATTAAAGATTCTTTGAAAACAAGGTTTGCCTCATTACCTAAACCAAAGAATGATTTTGAAATTATTGAACCTGAAGATGAAGATATAATTATGCAAGATGCCAATGATGAACCAACAACATCTACGGCAATACCCAAGATCATTGAAGATGAAGGTGAAAAAGAACGTCAAAGAATTAAACAACAAGAAGAAGAAAAACAACGTAGTTTGCTGAGAAGATCTTTAGCTATACAGAAAGGGTTAAGTATACCACATTTGGCACCAAATTTCAAACTTGATAAAATTTCTGAAAACCATGTTCAAAACCTTATTGATATAGAATTGATAAAACTTATTAGATCTGATTATTCAAAGACCATTGATAAATCCTCCAATGGTATAATACCAGATTTAGATGATGTTTCAAGAGAAAAAATTCAACAAGAATTACAAAAAGAAATAAATCAAGATGAATTAAATAATTATCAACAAATTTTCAAAGAATTACATACCACTCAACAATTAGAACCTAGTATTGATAAATCTTTATTAATAACAGAATTACAAGATTTAGTTTCCAAGGCAAATAAACTTGAAAAAAAATTAGATCTTCAATTCGGTGGATATATCAAAAGACATGAAACTTTGAATGAATCATCACATTCAATTTTAAATGAATTGAAAGATACAGATAGAGCTTTGGCTTCATTCCAGCTTTTACAAAATTCTGAAAATATTGTAATTAAATCAAGAACTGAATTTTTACAAGAACAAGTTAATAAATTAGTTAAAGCTGAACAAATTGGTCAAGAAAGGTATCTTGAAGTGAAAAGGAATAAACAATTGAAATGAATACACATCAAATCATAAAAAATCATTTGAATCTTTATGAATATCAGTAATAAAATTGAAAATTTGTGTAGTTTATATCAGCTTGAAATACCGGGCTTGTAACCATTTCCCGATTTGGTGATGTTTACATTTTTAACAACTTTTGCGAATTGAATCAAAATATCAAATCATCATATTCTAAAGTGGTTTAGAGCTAATTAACATCAATTAAGCTGGAAGTTGTATAGACTTCATGAGCTCCAATTTGTTATTTGTGCCATATAGAAAGACCTTGAAGGTTTCTTTCGGTGATGAACTACGTGATATAATCAACAAGGAATTTTATCAATCTGCTACTGTTTTTGAAAAGGATCTTCAAGAAATTGATACTCTAAGAAATGATATCATTGATTTAGAAGTATCTCCTCAAGATCTTGCCTTGCTTAGAAGGTATTATATCCATTTGACTACACTAGAAAGCAAATTCCCTGGTGATTTAATTGAATTCCCATGGTATGGGACCCTTGGTTATCATGTTACTGGTCCAGTTAAGCTAAAATCATTTACATTTGAAAGAATCAACATATTGTACAATATTGCATCATTATATACCCAGTTGGCTTCAAATGAAGATTTATCAAGTAGTGAAGGTGTCAAGAAGGCATGTCTTTATTTCCAATACGCTGCGACTGTGTTTGGGTTCATTAATAAAGTTGCTGAACAAGATACTTCATTGATTTTACCTTTAGATTTACAAAAAGGAACCATAGATACTTTATATAATCTTTCTTTGGCTCAAGCTCAAGAAGTTTTCTGGTTGAAAGCTACAAGAGATAAAGTTAAAGATTCATTAGTTGCTAGATTAGCAATTCAAGTTTCAGATTATTACTCACAAACATTATCATCAGCAAATAGAAGTGAAGGTCTAAGAAGTGAATGGACTCATCATATAACAGTAAAGAAATTCCATTTCCAAGCTGCTGCTGAATTTAGATCATCCTTAGTTGCAGTTTCAAACTCAAATTATGGTGAAGAAGTTGCAAGATTACAAAAAGCTCAAATAGCTATTTCAAATGCTCAACAAAGTATTAAATTCACTAGTAATACTGTTAAAGATGATTTATCTGGGTTAAATGAAGTTGTTCAAGATACTTTAAGAAGAGCTGAGAAGGATAATGATTTGATTTATTTACAAGAAGTTCCTAAAAAATTACCACCAATTTCTAATGCATCTGTTGTGAAAGAAATGGATATTAAAGATATTTCAAACCCTAAGGAAGCATTAACATCAGGTAATTTTGGTAAACCTTTGTTTAAAGATTTGATGCCATTTTCTGTTATTCAAGCTGCTGAAGCATTTCGTGAACGTCAATCCGAATATGTTACCACTCATGTTATATCACCAGTTAAAGCTTTAACAACTATTTTAAATAAATTCATATTAGAAAGAGGGTTACCAGGTTCAATCGATGCTCTTGATAAACCCCTAGCACTTCCTTCAAGTTTGTTGGATCATCATCGTGAAATCAAAGCTAATGGAGGTGTTGAACGTATAACATCTACTATTGATGATATTCAAAGATTATCACTTGAAGGTGAACGTTTAATAGAGGGAGCAAAAGATAGATTAAAAGTTGAAGCTGAAGAAGATTCCCTGTTAAGAAATAGACAAGGCTCAAAACATTGGACTAGACCAACCTCAGAAGAAGCTTCTGCTCATTTAATTTCAAGAATTCAAGATCTTGAAAATTATTTGAAACAAGCTAAAAAGGGTGATGAAACGATAAGGACTCAATTTTATAATATTGAAGCACCTTTGAAAATTCTTGCTTCAAGTGAAGATAAACTTAAAGAGTATGTACCAAATTCTAAAACTGCCAAAGTTGATCCATCATTGAAAAGATTAGTCTTAAATATAAGAGAAGCTTTAAATAGAGCTCATAGATTAGAAACTGATCGTGAAAATTTTATCGAAACTGTTGAAATTAAATCATTACATTATAATATCTTACCAAAAATCATCTCAGAATATAAATCAATTCAATCAAATGTCAATGATTTAAAAATTGAAATTAAAACATTTGAACCAGTTTTCGAAAAACATATAAAAAATTTCAATAGTGATATTGATTGGATTGAAGAACAAAAATTAAAACAACGTGAAATTGAAAATAAAATTGATGAGTTTAATAATCAATTCATACGTTATAGATCAACTAATCAATCAACAAATAATTCAAGAGAAGAATCTTTAAAATTTTTAGATACTGTTTTCACAGAATCAAGAGATTTAAAAGAAAATTTATCACAAGGGTTGAAATTTTATAATGATTTTAATTCAAATTGTAAACAATTGATTGAAGACTGTGACAGTTTTGTTTATGAAAGAAGACTTGAAGCAAGAGATCTTGAGTTGTAAGTATATTTTACATTTTATATTAACCTATACACAAGAATACTAACAAATTTTCTCTAATTTAGTGAGTTAAATAACAGATTCCAACAAATGGATATAACAGATTCACATTCATCAGCTTCAAATTCTGGAAGAACTTCTGGAAGAAGCTCTGTTGCAAGAGTTTCAGAAGATATCCCACAACGTGTTGCAAGTCCAGCATTAATTGCACCAAAAGCACAATCAGCTAGAGGTAAATCAGGTGTTTGGAAACCTGAATCTGGTATTAAATTTTCATGATTTTAATTCATCAGATTGTTCTTCAACTTTAGCATTTTGATTCTGATTTTGATTTTTAGCTAACCATTCTTCATAATCTCTTTTACGTTTACCTTTTCCAACATTAACTTTATGTCTATGACTATTCAAATGGATTTTCCATTGTTTTTCACCAACTGCGGTAACAGGTGTATTATCTTTATTAAAGCATTTATCACATGTGAAGTGTTTCCATTGTAGAGATTTTTCCTCTTTAGGTTCATTAATTGAAGGTAATAACTCTTTTAAATTTTCAGGTGCTTGATTAATAGTTCCTTCTTTTGCTTCTAAGAATTTTTTTGTAACTTCTACACCTCTTTCAGTAACATTCTCACCCCAAATACTTAAATCAGTGGCGTCTAACAAGAATAATCTTCCTCCTTTACAATAGTTATGGTTTTCTTCTTTGGCAAGGTCAACAGCCAATAAATTCTTGATCCATTTAACTTGTTTCTTAGCATATTGTCTAGTACGAGTTTTCATATCTTCTATTGATTTTTTCAACTCCTTTTCTGAGTCATTCCCATTCTCTAGCCAAGGTAAGAATTCTTTAAATCCAATTACTTGCCATATACCTCTTTCACAATCAGGTTTTGGATCAGATTTAGAATAATAAGAATAAAGTTCATTTATTTCATTTAACCCACCTTGTTCCAACATTTTATCGACACGATCATCTAAACGTTTATCTAATATAGGTTTTTCAGCGAAAAGCCAAAATGCTAATGTATTGAATCTCAATGTTGAATCATCTTTTTCTGAAACTTGTTGTTCCTGATAATGTTCACTTGCTTTTTTATTTGTTGAATAAAAGATTTCTAAAGCTCTCCTTATTCTTCTTGTATCATTTGGATGGAATTTACCAGCTGCTATTGGGTCATTCTGTTTCAAAATTTCGAAAACTTGATCAGATGGTCCATCTAAAATAGCTTTTTGTTCTTCAGTCAAGAGATTTGGAGATTCTTCTTTTGGTTTATCAGATTTGATAGTTTTATTCAAGAATAATAATGAGTTGAGATAATAATGAGTACCACCAACAATTATGGGTAGTTTCCCTCTTTGATGGATATCTTCAATGGTACTTAAAGCTTCTTTTTCAAATCTGTGGATAAAATATTCTTCATCCCATTCTATATGATTCATAACATGATGTGGTATACCTTCTCTCTCCTCTATTGGATGCTTGTTTGTTATTATTGGAGCACCACGATACATTTGCATAGAGTCAGCATTGATGATTTCACCATTAAACCTTTTAGCTAATTCAATACTAAACTGATTTTTGGTTAGTTTCTTTCTCCGGTATAAAATCAACTTTTAAAGCATACATACTTGTGACTTTCCCACACCAGTAGTCCCCACTATAACCACAACATTCTTTGGTGGACCCATGATGAAATTCCTTAAGGCTCTGAACATATATCCAAGGACGTTGTTCCTTATGTTTCTTGTACTGATCAGATGTAAGATTTATGATGGGTATAAAAGATTTATGAGATGAGATGATCTTCAAATTATATGGTGTCCGGGTGATGGTATAAGTAAGAGCTGCTGCTGTTAACTATACGTATAATTTATGCTTTTCAAATTGAAAAGTGTTACATTATTAAAAATTCGTTTCAAGGAGATTCATTCATTAATTCATTATTATATAAATTATCTAAAAAGCAAATATATTAATCATACAAAAAAAGTACAATACAATCTGATCAGAAATCAAACAGTAAGTTTATGAAAACTATCAGAAGTTGGAACACTAACAGTATCTACTTCTTCAATATGATCAGCTTCAATGTTCTTCTTTGTTGAGTCTCTAGTAGTAGCTGATGTAAATTTGAAATCATCAATACTTTCACCAAACACTTCAGCAACTTCTTCTAAAGTTCTACCTGATGTTTCAGCAAATGTCAAGTAAATAACAGTTAATTCCACAGTCAATAATACACAATAAACAATGTAATATTTCCATTGGATAGCTTCCATAGCAATTGGGTTAACAAATCCATTATAAACCAATGTGATTTGTTGAACACATACAAAGATACTGACACCTCTTGTTCTTAAACTAAATGAACTAATCTCTGTAACATATAAGTAAGGTAACCCATTACATCCAAGATTATAACCAAGGTAAAACAAGAAAATCATAGCCATGACACCTTTACCTAAAGCTGTATCTTCAAAATTTCTTTGTTGATTAATAGCTGATAAGACGGTCCAAATAATATAAGTTAAAAGCATAAAGGAAAATGCACCAATGAAAGTTGTACGTCTTCTAATATGTTGAAATGCAGTTAAATTGATGGCAATTGAAATGGCATAGTTATAAATCATTAATCCACCATTGAAAACTAATTGTTGATCTGTTGATGTAATACCGATTGAGTTTAAAACCAAGTTCAAATAATAACTAACTAATCCATTACCACATAGTTGAGCACAAATTCCAATGAAAATAATTAAGAATAATCTTTTTCTATTACCAGCAGTTTTGAAAAAAGCCATATAGGAATCATTTACTTTAGCTGCATGTTCTTGTTCAATAGCTAATTGGATTTCTGATAATTCAAAATCAACTAAAGGACCTCCAATTTTTTCATCATTACCACCATGATGTTTCAATAAAACTTCTCTTGCTTCTTCTAATCTACCTTTAGAAATAAGCCATCTTGGAGATTCAGGAACTAAATAAATCAGCAAAGTTTGTAAAACTGGGAAAAACCCTTGCATGATTGATGGAACTCTCCAAGACCAATTATGTGCCAAATTTCTAGAGCCATAACTAACCCAAGCAGCAACAATAGCACCTAAATACCAATTAGCATTGAACAAAGCAGTCATTGGCTGTCTATGAGTTGGATAACTCAACTCTGAAATTAATGGAGCTGAAGCAACAGTGGAAATGGTATTACCAAAACCCAAAATAATTCTAGCAATTAAAAACATTGCATAAGTTCTATGATCATTATGTTCATATTCACCACGAACTGTTAACCAAGTACCAGCACATGATTGTATAATAGCACCAAAAAACTGAATTATATTACCAATAGTTATAGCATTACGACGACCTAAACGATCAGAAATCCATGGTGCTATTGGAATACTCAATATACAACCGAAAACAACACCATTTGACATAGCACCAAGAATAGCACCTTTTGGTTTTGCCATGGCATGAGACCAATCTGGCATAGATTGGAATGAGTTTAATAATGAACCATCATAACCTGTGTTTGTTGAAGTTAAATTGATAATTAACAAAATCATATTTAAACGGAATAAATGAGATACTTTGAACCATGGTTTCCCATAACTTGGTAAATAAGCTTTAATTTTAGATGTAACAACACCATCATCTTCTAAATTTTCTGTTCCTGGATTGACTGGTAATTTGATCCTTGTTGAACTTTTGTTCTTTCTGAAGTATTTCACTTCATCTGCTAAGAACCCAACCATCTTCCTAGCTTTCTTTTAAAGTTGAGTAGTAATGATATGTATTGATAAAGTTGAAAATGCATACATCTGGGGAAATATCTGTTTTTATATAAACATGAAATATGGGGGAAATAGGTTAACCAATGCCTTAATTCTTCAGCTGCAGTATCTTGAAAGAATGATTGAGATATATTCCATGACTTTGACCAATTCTCGACGCCGCTATCAACATTGAGGTATAATTATTGGTATTCCCTTGGAATTTCTAACCACTTCCCAAGAATTCATTTAAGGTTCAACATATGTTCCTATTTTTGGTCTCAAGTTTCCACTTTCAGTAATAATGACGATAGGCACCTAGCTTTATTCTCTAGTAATTTGTAAAAGATCACGTAAAACCTGGGGGTATTCATGCATGACGATATATGGGGTAATGACTAAACTAAGACTAGGGAGCCATTCAAATTTCAATCAGTTGATTTTTCCAGGAAAAATATTATCCTTGTTTAACCTTGAAAGGTAACAGCTAGCTCTTGCACTTTTACGATCAAGAAGGTGAATATAATTAAATGATAGTTTGTGGTGGTAATCATTAGTATTTTGGTAAACCATATCACTTTGCTCCATGCCAGCTGGGGTATTCAGTGTTCATGTATTCATCTTGATTCTTGTCTATGGATGTCACGGCTGCAGATCGGGTCATTTTTGAATTTCTATGCTTCTTTGGACTTTGGACTTTCACGTATATGAAACATGCAAACAACAAACAAAATATCCGGGGTAGTTTGGGTAGCAATCAATTAGATCCATAAACACCAACAAAAGAACACTGTAATACCTGTAACATAGTACTTCTGTCACTTAGACAATACGATAGCAATAAACCACTTATGATTATTGGAATATTGGAATAAACCTTCCTTTCTTGTCAAAGATAATTGTCAAAGATCATCCGAAGAATTTTGAGAATTGCTCCTCTTTATTGGCTTAATATAACGCGAGCCTATTTTTGAATATTTTTTATGAAATCCACTTTTAACCGCAATTCATTTAGCCGCAATTCTTTGGTGTCCGGGTTACAAAAGTAGTATAAATTATATTAATATTAAGCTGCTGCTGCGATGTACGTAGTATAGAATCTATTTAACCTCTCGTGAATATTTAATAGACTTCAAGAGATTCGAGATGGATTTACGACAATTACGATAACTCAAATTCAAAATCAAAGATCACAATTAAACTAAATAGCTATAAATATCGTCAATCAGACTTGTTCAACTCTAACAATGTTATTCTTATCGCTGGTAGAACTTGGTCCACTAACACTTCCATCTCTGGTATCAACTTGTTCAACATGAGACACATGACCGTCTTTTTTATTATTTGTGGTAACTGAAAGCTTGAAATCATCAATTCCTTCGCCAAATACTTCTGCAACTTCTTCCAATGATCTACCTGAAGTTTCCACAATAGTTAAATATGCAACAATTAATTCAATAAACAACAAGACACAATAAACAATATAGTATCTCCATTTAATTGCATCCATAGCAATTGGATTAACAAACCCATTATAAATCAATGTAATTTGTTGAACACAAAACATGATATTAACAGCTCTGGTTCTCAAAATGAATGGAGTAATTTCAGTGACATATAAAAATGGTAACCCATTTAATCCCAAGTTATAAGCAAAATAGTACAAGAAAATCATAGCCATAACACCTTTACCTAAACTAGTATCTTCAAAATTTCTTTGTTGGTTGATAGCAGATAAAATGGTCCAAATAACATAAAATGTCAACATTAATGAAAATGCAGTTATAATGGTTAATCTTCTTCTAATATTTTGGAAAACTAATAAATTAATTGCAATTGAAATTGCATAGTTATAAATCATCAATCCACCATTGAAAACCAATTGCTCATCTGTGGACTCAACACCAATTGATTTTAAAACCAAATTCAAATAATAACTAACAAGACCATTACCAGATAATTGCATAACCAACCCAATGAAAATAACTAAAAACAAACGTTTTCTATTACCAGGAGTTTTCAAGAAGTCTGCATATGAAGAATCATTTGCAATACGTTCTTGTTCAAGAGCCAATTCAATTTCAGACATTTCAAAATCAACCAAAGGTCCACCAACAACTTCATCACCACCAGCATGATGTTTTAATAAAATTGCTCTAGCTTCTTCAAATCTACCTTTTGAAATCAAATATCTTGGAGACTCTGGTACTAAATAAATCAATGAAATTTGTAATATTGGGAAGAACCCTTGGAAAATTGAAGGAATTCTCCATGACCAATTATGTTTAACATGTCTTGTACCATAACTAACCCAAGCTGCAATTATAGCACCTAAATACCAATTTGAATTGAAAAAAGCAGTCATTGGTTGTCTATGACTTGGATAAGTTAATTCAGAAATTAAAGGAGGTGAAGAAATAATAGCAATAGTATTACCAAATCCCAAGATAATTCTTGCAATTAAAAACATGGCATAAGCTCTCTTCTCAGTGAAACCTTCTCTTGATTCCCCTTCAACAGTTAACCAAGTCCCAGAAACAGATTGAATTAAAGCTCCAACAATCATAATTGCATTACCCACAGTTATAGCATGACGACGTCCTAAACGATCAGAAATCCATGGTGCAACTGGAAAACCTAAAGCACAACCAAAAACAACACCATTAGCAATGGCACCAAGGACAGCACCTGTTGGATTACCCATGGCATGAACCCAATCAGGGATAGATTGAAATGCATTCAATAATGAACCATCATAACCGGTATTAGTTGAAGTTAAACTAACAATCAATAAAATTAAATTCAATCTTAATAAATGAGGAACTTTAATCCATGATTTCCCATAATTTGGTAAATATGCTTTAATTTTAGAAACTCCAATAGATTCAGTTGAACTATTAATATCAGCATTTGGATTTGTTGGTAATTTTTTTGGAGTTGATTTATCCTTTTTGAAAAATTTTACTTCATCTGCAATGATTCCAACCATTTTTAATTGATATAGATTCCTGAATATAGGTTTCCTCTCTTCTATGATTGAAATTCAGATAAACTATAGTTTAATTCAACCATTGTTTCAATTTAAGTCTTAAAGATGGGTTTTAATCGGGTTTTAAGTAGTTGTTTCTATATGAGAGGTTTTATATTTGATTGGAGAAAACCTCTTACCGTTCATCGAAAATCGCAAGATGTTTTTAGTATCATAAAAGAAATTCTCATCTTATAACTAATTTAGTCCTTGTATATCGCAAGGCAGCTACTAAATCTTGCAAAATATTCTTAAAAGCGTAGTAAACTTATACGTTCTCGGTTATTCAAGCCTCAATTTACCCATAAAGCAAATGTTTTGATAACTTTTCAGTCAATGGTCAAGACAAAAATGACCATAGTGAAATCTTAAAATTCAAAAAATATTGGGGGAAAAACTTTCACTGACACAACTTTAAATTTGAGTTTGCGAGGTTTTCAGTTACAATAATTCATTAGTTATTGTTCCATTATTTTTTCGCATGTAGTACGGAGTACGGAGCCTATAATAAGCGCTTGACACATAATTGTTCTCGCATGAGATAGTAGCGAGATAAACAATTAACCGTACGGTATTTATATCAAGTTGAAAATATACACTCACCATTATGATCACATTAATTAAAACTTTTGCACAACTTCTTTAAACTCTTGGAGGTGGAAAGGATTACCAAAGAGTCCTTAAAAGCCTAAAGTTTAATTAATAGTGTGCTTTGGCGATTAACAACGCTGATTTCCATTTCATTTTGATTAGGATTGTGAATCTAGTGACGCCAAACCTATTTCTGGTGGTTGAAAACTTAAACCAAAGCCTAATATGGTTCTAAGGTTTTAAAATATCCAACAAAGGTGTAATAAACCCTAATTTAAGTCATGTAATGAAAATGAACTATGATGATAAACATTTGAAGACATGACTGTCACAATATGAGTAAGCTGCAGTAAGTTACCACGTATTTGATAACGTCAGTTGTCAATTCTGTTTGAACTTTACTGAGCAACATGCTGCACGCTGCGTTATCTATGGAGAAGTCTGTCATCTTGATGGGGTATTACATTGATAAAGTTCAAGTTTTCCAAACTATATCATGAAATGCCGTCTACAATGTGTGGAAGTCTCAATTTACAAGACATTTAACCTGTTGTGGATCATTCATTTCATTATTGATTTTCCTTATCTATATAGAATAGATGCAGAGAATGTTTCAGCTGCTAAAGATCATAGTTGTGCTATGATCCTACCATCTTCAACGACAGGTATATCATCAAACTTTTAGAAGATTCGTTAATCGAATAGCATTCTGAATTTCAGTGATTGTAAGGAGAATATATCTATCTCTAATATCTTGATCGAATACCGATAATATAACGGTATCAATGAAGTCCAGTACGAATAACCAAATTATTCCATAATGAATATCCAGTCAAAGATATCAATTTTTGGTCAACGACTGTTTTTGGTTCAATACTCAGGAACTTGACGACCATACCAACGTCTCATGTTCATCACTTCAACACGATAAACATTGAAGACTGAAATACCAACTATATTTATGAGGCCTCCACTATCATCTTCCTCATTATAATTTGCTGATGCATCTGCAACTTGTTTGAAAGTTAAATCATCATCAATATTACGAACGATACTCCTTATATCAACTGAATCTAATGGAACATTCAATATTGGTGAGTCCGTTTCAAACTTCATTTTAAAATTCATTTTAAGCTCTTTTGAAACCAATTGTGACAGTTTTCGACGAGCAAACATCTCACAGTGGTATATCACATCACCTTCCTCACCATAGTCTTCAAGCAGCCAGTCATCATCCATAAGCAAATTGTCGTAAGCTTCTCCAAATTCTTCATCATCTTCAATCATCATTAATTTTTCTAAAGGTTTTGATAAGAACTCTTTGTGCACCTCATTGATTCTCTGGTTGAATAGATGATCAATAATTTTAGATAAAGCGTCGGCATAGCTTAAGTCATGTATTCTACCTTTCACCATTTTGAATCCTGATTCTTTTGTATCAATTTTAGCTAAAGAGCTTCTTATAAATCATTCATTAGTTATTGTTTATTGTTTACTTTTCGCTTCTCGGTGCCTATTTTCCCTCTCACCAGGGCAACGCGTCAACGGCCATATACAAAGAGCTGAAAAATAAAGCATTTGTATGCAGTAAAAACTAAAAAATAAGTCTTTATCTAAACGTAAATTCATTATACAAATATATAATTTTTTCTCAAGAAGCTCTAGTATTTTGTATTGCAAGGCTCAAACACGAATTAATCATTATTGAATCAATCTTTATGTGCAACTTCTGGTTTAAAATCAGTAACGCTTGGTTCATAAGGATTCATAAGTTTAACTTCTTCAATATGATCTAGTTCATTAGTAGTTTTCTTATCTCTTGCTAAATCAAATTTGAAATCATCAATACCTTCACCAAACACCTCGGCAACTTCTTCTAAAGTTCTTCCTGAAGTTTCAACAAATGTTAAATAAATAACCATCAATTCAATGAATAGTAAAACACAATAAACAATGTAATACTTCCAATGAATAGCATCCATGGCAATTGGATTGACAAACCCATTATAAATTAAAGTTATTTGTTGAGCACACCAAAACAAACTAACAGCTCTACTTCTCAAGATGAAAGGTGTAATTTCTGTAATGTATAAGTATGGGAACCCATTACAGCCAAAATTGTAAGCAAGATAAAACAAAAAAATCATAGCCATAACACCTTTCCCTAAACTTGTATCTTCGAAGTTTCTTTGTTGATTAATAGCAGAAAGAACAGTCCAAATAATATAAAATAATAACATCATAGCAAATGATGCCATAAAAGTTGCTCTTCTTTTGAAAGTTTGGAAAACGAAAAGGTTGATAATTATTGAAATACCATAGTTGTAAATCATTAATCCACCATTGAAGATTAATTGTTGATCAGTTGATGTAATACCAATAGAATTTAAAACCAAGTTCAAATAATAACTAACAAGACCATTACCACATAATTGCATAACAACACCAATGAAAATAATTAAGAATAAACGTTTTCTATTACCAGCAGTTTTGAAAAAATCCAAATATGAAGCATTTGCACTAGCTGTTTTTTCTTGTTCAATTGCAATTTCAATTTCTGACATTTCAAAATCAACTAAAGCACCCCCAATAGATTCATCATCACCTGCATGATATTTCAATAAAATTTTTCTAGCTTCTTCAAATCTACCCTTGAATATAAGGTATCTTGGAGATTCTGGTACTAAATAAATTAAAACAGTTTGAATTAATGGGAAGAATCCTTGCATGATTGATGGAATTCTCCATGACCAATTGTGTGCAACGTTTCTTGATCCATAACTAACCCAAGCTGCAATTATAGCACCTAGATACCAATTTGAATTATATAATGCAGTCATTGGTTGTCTATGAGTTGGATAACTTAATTCAGAAACTAAAGGAGGAGAAGCCACAACTGAGATAGTATTACCAAACCCTAAAATGATTCTTGCAACTAAAAACATTGCATAAGTTCTTTGATCATTATGTTCATATTCACCACGAACCGTTAACCAGGCACCAGCACACGATTGTAAAATAGCACCAATAAGCATTATTATATTCCCCACAGTTATAGCATTACGACGACCAACTCTATCACTAATCATTGGAGCTATTGTGAAACCTAAGGCACAACCAAAAACAACACCGTTTGCAACAGCACCAAGTGTAGCACCTGTTGGTTTACCCATTGCGTGAGCCCAATCTGGCATTGATTGGAACGCGTTTAATAAAGAACCATCATAACCTGTGTTTGTTGAAGTCAAACTAACAATCATCAAAATTGAATTCAATTTCAATAAATGTGGAACTTTATACCATGATTTCCCATAATCTGGTAAATATGCTTTGATTTTTGGTGGTTCTTCATGAGGATCATTTGATTTTTTGCTTTGTGTAAGACTTGAAGATTTATTTTTTTGGAAGTATTTAACTTCATCAGCTATGAAACCAACCATGTTGTTCAATGTATTAATTAAAGAAGTTGTAGTTCATATATCCATGTTTGTATGGTGGATGTCCCACTTTTTATAACCATATATTGAATGGTTCCGCATAGTCTATTTGGGTAAGTTTAGACTAAATCTCAAACTTTAATATTTTCTTGATTTCCAAATACGGTACTTTTAGATGCACCCCAAAGAACACCAAATTTTGAACGTGCATATTAATCGATAATTAATAATTATTCATGTTCTTCAGACTGTAAGTTTGCTAAAAGTTTTAGGTAAACGGTAATAATAAAGAGACTGGAGAGATCTGGGGATAGGCTATTCAACTGGATCTTTGGTTGAAATTTGATAAATTCATTTGTATAATGACAACATAAACTCGTGATGACTAACACTCTATATCTCTATAATCAGGCTTGCCGCTTCCCCCGGGCCCCTACCCAAAGTCTTCTGTTTCAAAAGAGTGCAGAATTTCTCCATGATTCTAAGGAGTCACCCTCAAAATTCTGGAATAATTCTGGGGTAACACCGAGTACTTCACCAATCACGATCACGATCTTCGGTAAACAGGGAGCCAGTGGCCACAACTAATGCAAGCACAAACAAAGAGGTTGAAGCTGAGGGCAGTATAGACGTATAGACTTCAGGTTGAACAGTGGTCTATTGACTTACAAAGTATAGAGAGACACAATCGATAGCTACCGTAGATATGGAAGATCATCCGATTTATTAGCCTACGTAATATACATTTAGTCATAATTAGTTCTAATCACCGGTTTCAACGATTTATACGTTCAATAATCATCATCACTTCCATCACTATCTTCCCAGCCAAACACGTACTCTTCGGCTAGTACTTCTAATTCTTGAATCATATTCTCTCTTTCATCACCTCTAACGAATCTAGAGACAAAAGTTTTCATTTCTTGTAATGTCTTTTTAGGTCTTGTTGTAATTTCCAAAGAAGTTTTCAAAGAATCACTTGATTTTAAAAAAGTTGGAAAACTTGAAGATTGAGAAACTGGGATCTTGGAGATATAATCAACATGAGACTTATCCACTTCTCTTCTCTTCTTGGAATCATCATCCAATGAACTCTTTTTTTGAAACTTCTCACTTAATTCAACAATATCAGAAGCAGAACTCTGGCGTGAAGGTTTATGCACCGTAGATTTGGAAAAAGTATGAGGTGCGCCGCGGTCCCTAATGAAGAAAGTATCTGCAAAATTTAAATTCTCTTCACCAAATTGAACCTCCACATTGGAAACTATCCTTCTTTCAGTTCCCAATGTTAAATTATCAGCTATTGTACTTAAGCTAACTCTGTTTTCTCTTTGTGAAACCAAGGTTTGGAAAGGTTCGAAAACTAGGGATTTTAAAGCACTTGTTTGCCATAAACTTGAAGGATCTATACTTGATGGTAAAGATTGTGGTGTACTCATTGGAATGAAAATTGATGAATTTCTTTGTAACTCTAAGAAAGTCCTTATTCTAGATAAGATTTCTCTGTTACCCAACTGCTCTAATCTTTTACCATTATAGTTACCCCATGTGAAAATAGTAGTTTTCGGGTTATAATCATCTTTAATATCTCTTAGTAATTCAGAACTAAACCCACCCCATGATGAATCTAATTCACTAATAATATTTAATCCTTCTAAACCATCACAATTCTCAAGCATATTCCTATATTTATTTTCCAAAAATTCAATACCTTTCCCATCTTCTTTCCATTCTGAAACACCAACTTCATAACCTTCAAATTTTCTTTCTTGTCCAAGAGATAATCTACCTTCAGGAAATTCTACTGGATCATATTCCCAGTTATGTAACTCATTGTAACTATTTGGTTGAAAAAGGACTCTAGAATAGTCTGTCCAGTATTTGGTTGAATCATTGTTCAATGGTGGTAAATGTTGACCATTATCTAAAGCAATTTGATATTCACTCTTATTAATCTTTGGTCTTGATGAGATTTGTTCAATAGTACCAGTCCATTCATCATTGTTCCCGTCTTGGTCATTATTAGCAGATTGATAATATTCAAATTGGCCCAAGGATCCAAACCCGCCTTTGAAATCCCATATTAAAGCTCTTGGAGTGTAATTTGATGAAGATTTGTCATAAGATAATGTAGGTTTGAAATGAACATCTGGATCATTGGGAGACTTGGTGATTGATTGCGAGTAGTCAATATAAGATTCCTGGGTATTGTAGAAATGAGTGGCCAAGTGGTTTGCCTGTGGAGACAGTGAGATATTGATCACTTCAGGCATTTTCTTAATTGGTTCTTTCCCAAATTCTTACTATATTCACTTCAATTGTGTCAAAATTGAAAAAAAAGTTAAAAATTTGGATCTGATATTAAACCTTCGCGAATCTCTTCATTATAATTTTTTTGTATACGTGTAAATATTCAAACATCAACAACGTATCGGAGTCTTTGAAAGCAACAGAAAGAGTCGGTTTTATTGAAAAGGTAAAGCGTTCGTTTGGTGCTTTTTAAAGTCATTTCATCGTTTTCATCAAGTCAGAAAAGTATACCCAGGGATAAAAAACCAGTTCAAAAGCGGTTAATATAGGTTAATATAAAGACCATGCATCTCACATCTTTTATATTTCTAATATGTGCAGCTTTGATAACCAGTGTACTTTGTGAACTAGACTATTATAAAGTGTTAGGCTTGTCAAAAGGTTCTGGTGAAAAGGAAATCAAATCAGCGTATAGACAATTGAGTAAAAAATACCATCCTGATAAGAATCCTGGTGATGAAGATGCTCATCATAAATTTATTGAAGTTGGTGAAGCTTATGAAGTATTAGGTGATGAATCTAAAAGAAAATTATATGATCAATATGGTCATGAAGGGGTCAAACAAGGTGGTAATCCAAGAGGCGGTAACCCATTTGGTGGTGGTGGATTTGATCCATTTGCTAGTTTCTTTGGTGGTGGTCAACGTCAACGTCAAGGTAGACCAAAAGGACACACATCAGATGTTAGAGTTGACATTACATTAGAAGATTTCTATTTAGGTAGCGATTTACAATTTGATGTTGAAATGCAAGATATTTGTCCTCATTGTGATGGTACTGGTTCAAAAGATAAAGAAACTCATACATGTTCAGGTTGTCAAGGTTCAGGTATGAAAATAATGAAAAGACAATTAGCACCTGGTATGTTTCAACAATTTCAAACTACATGTAATGAATGTGGTGGTAAAGGTAAAACTATTAAAAACAAATGTTCACATTGTCAAGGTGAAGCAGTTCATCGTAATGCTCGTCATTTTGAATTTTATATGGAACCAGGTACAGCAAAATCTCATATTCATATTTTCAAAGGTGAAGGTGACCATAGTCCAGATTGGGATTCTGGTGATTTACAAGCTCATTTAGAAGAAAGTTCAGTTAGAAACTTGGGTTATCGTCGTAGATTTGATACATTATATCGTACAGAAGCATTAACATTAAAAGAAGCTTTACTAGGTGATTGGAAAAGAGATATACCATTCTTTGGTGATGATAGTGTTACAATAACGAGAAATAAAGGTGAAATTGTTATGGATGGTGATGTTCAAGTAATAAAGGGGAAAGGTATGCCAATCTTGGATGGACCTGAAGAATTTGGTGATTTAATAATAGAATATAAAATTATATTCCCAGGTGGCGCTAAAAATTATAAAGATTCAAAATTAATTAGAGATGAATTGTGAAAGGGTAAAAACATTTCATAATATGTACATATAAATTTTTAAATATAGAGTTGAATTTTTAATGTTTCATAAAGATCATTTCATTATATTATTAATATTGGATTTTATACAGTAGTTATTTGCTTTTTTTGATATTCCCAATAATTTTTTCTTATTGGATCATATTTTGTAGAAAGTAAATCATAACCTTTTGAAGCTAATGATTTATTTGATTTAGAATAAATTTTAATTAAAATTTCTAACGCTGGTATTGATTTCAAACTCTCTAAATCTGAACCTTCATTTAATACATTTGCATATGTTAGGACGAATTCTTCTAAATTAGATAACTCTTTACCACTAGATTCATATAATCCAATTAAATAATTCCATGAACTAACATTTTGTGGTGCAATCTTGATTTGATCTTTAGTATATTCAACTTCCTCTTCGAAAATTTCATCTGTAATAGCTTTACCTGATTTTTCAACTTGACTGAAAATTGTGAAGAATCTATGAGACCAAGCTGAATTGTTATAAACATCATGTTCAATAAAATAATCAACAAATGGTAATTCTTCATCATATTTATTGAAAAATTGAACTAGCCATTTACGATGTGACCAAACATGATAATTTTTAGGATCATCATCAAGCATAACTTGAATTAATGGGAATTCTTTCTTTGGATTTGGTGTTTCTTGCTTCTTCAACAATAATTGTCTATAATTCCAAATTTGATAATTTTTGATATTATCCAATGCAATATCTTCAACCCATTCTAATTCTTCTTCTATATCTTTCCCCAATTCAATAATATTATGATATCTATATTGCCATACTGTATAATGTGCTGCATTCAATTTAATGGCTTCTTGAGTAATAAATAATGCTCTTTCACTATATTCTTTTTGAGATTGTAAAGCTCTAAGCAGACCTAATACTTGACGATATTCATCAGAATATAAGATTTGTGAAACTTGAACACCTTCAACGTCTATTGGTAATGGTTCTATATCGTCCCAGTTGTAATTTTCCTTTGAATAATAGTTAGTTTTAGATACATTCATAAGCAGTCTTTATTATACGTACCATTTTCTAATATTTGTTCTCTTTGTAATGATCTTAAAGCTTTTTTGAAATATAGTGAAAAATATTATATCAGTTGATCTTTATACAATTCTCAATCAATTCTTTCAATGTGTCAAAATAAAAAGTAACCTCAAAAAGTAGTTCTTCGATTGTATGAATTTTAATAATTTAGTGTAAAAGATGTAATTATTAACATTTTTTCCGATTTGGGTCAAAATAATGAAATTTTAAACTTGTAGAATGGATTCGCGGATTTTAAAGAAATTTTGTATGGGGATTTTGTAAAATTAATATAATTTCATGAATTTGAAAGATAATTTGTATGAAAAAATAATGATAGTGGTTTAAATCTTCTAATGTTTATTTTAATGTATTTAAATTTATCAAAATTCGAAAAAAATTTTTGTTGAAAATTTATTTTTTCACAAATATATTAACGTCATAAAATTTATTTTCATTTTAAAATTTAACAAAAAATCTTAACCCAAATTTTTTTCTTCGAAATATGCTAATTTAAAGCCTTCGATACATTATTTGACATAATTTTTTTATGATTTTAGCTTAATATTTAGCCTTAATATGTTTTAAAATATATATAAAATGGATAAATTAGAGATTTTGAATCTTTAAAATCGATAGGTCCACTAAAAGCGCTAATATCCGTGCGTTACAACTTATAGTATAACTTATAACTTATGATATAAAGAGTGTATAAATTATAGGTGTCAATTTGCTTTCCAAAGAATAATATGTAAATACGGTATCTACAGAAGTATTAGATATGTAATCTATAATATTAAAATCTTTTGTTTATGTATGAATAGAATTAACTTCGACATTTCCTTCATTTTTATTTAATGAATGATGATCATCACTTATTTCTTCTTCTGATTTCTCATTCAAGCGTTTTTGTACTTCTGGTGGAATTTCACCAGTTTTAGAATTATACAATATAATACCATTACCCTTTGCATCTTTTTTCTCTTGTCTTTTATAGAAAAACAAAGTAACAAAACACCAAATCATTAAAGCTGCTGAATGTCCTGCAACAAATACATAACCTTGATGATATCTTGGTGCACTTGATGTTCTGAATACCATTGGTAATGTCCATGCAGTTGATTGATTGGCAAAAATATTAACAATACATAAAATAATTGAACGTTCTTGACCATCATGTCTTGTAATATCATTCAACCAACCATAAATAACAGAAGAGACTGAAATACCAAAGTAACTAATCATAAATGCATACCAAAGTGCACCTTCTGCAACATCCCATTTAGCAAGGATCACATTACCCATAAATACAAATATTTCAGCCCAAAAAATTGCAAAATATCTTGATTTTAATATATCTGCAGATCCACAAACTGATAAAATCCAAACTATACCTAAAGCAGGAGGGATTGAAGTGTATCTATTAATTTTGGGGATATCATATCTTTTCAATGACTTTAACCATAATGCAAAATTGGAATAACTTGTATTAATCGCATTCCAGAATAAATAATCCAATATAGCTAAAACATAAATTCTCCAATCAAAAATAATTTTTTTCCATAATGCTTTATTGAAAAAAGGTGGTGGTGTCTTGGATGGTGGTTTTATATTTGCTTTAATTAACCGTGATCTTGCTAATCTAATTTCATCATCTGTTAAAAATAAGCTACAACATTTATATGGAGTACCTGGAACCAAATATAATGCAAAAAAAGCAATAACTGCAGTTGCAGAACCATCAACTAAAAACATCCATCTCCAACCTGCTCTACCTCTTACACCATTCAAATTTTGGAAAACTGAAGCTTGAACAAGACCTGAGGTCAAAGTACCCAGCATTTGTCCACTATGATAAGTTGTTAGTTTGATAATGACGTGATTGGATGTTAAAAACAAAATACTCACCAATAGTATAACCCACCACGTCTTCCTAGTTCATCAGGTTTATACCATGAACCTAAAAGATAATGAATTTGAATGAAATATCCACTTTCAAAAGCACCAACCAAGAATCTTAAAGCTTTTAATTGAGATGGTGTATTAACAGTGGAGATTAAAATTGTAACTATACTCCATAATAAATCAGTTGAAAAAAAAGCTAAATGCATTGGAACTCTTGGGAATAGATACATCCAAATAACTTGAAATATGACATTACCAGCAGTGAATAAAGCCTGAGCATTTGAGAAATCATTCCCCTGCATGTTTAAATCCTCTTTCATACCTGAAACATAAGCATTACTTATATTTGCTTGATCTAAATTCTTTGACCAATATGACATTATTGCAAATAAAACAATTTGTAAATCTAATTTGAAAACTAATTTTTTCTCAGAAGCTGACATATTTTTATCATAAATTCTCCACCATGATTTTTGTGATCTTGTTTGTTTATTAAAACGATATTCATATTCATCGAAAAATTTCCACCATGGTCTATTTGCTTCATCTCTATATTCAAATTTATCAACAGTTTCAGATGAAGTTGAATAAATGCTTTGATCGTCTAATTTTTCAGGATAATCATCCACTATCCTTTCATGTGGTATGAAGTTCCAATACCAAGCTGAATAATCCTTTGGGATTAACTTATCTTTGATTAAAGAAGCCATGATGTCCTAACAGTCGAACCAAACCATAATGGAAAAACTGGCAAAAAAAATATTAAGCTTCATTTCCAAGCTTTAAATAAGCTTATCCACAGTTTTTATCTTTCAATCTCTTGGAATCATCGGACATTATTGTGTAACGTTTATCATCCACAGTTCACTTGAAGTTGCAATATATTTGCGATCCGATGTGGTTGTGATTACTGAACTGAAAATCGTTGTTGATGCTGCTGCCAAAAGTCCACACTTTTATTGATTTCGCGTGTGATATAGAGATGAACTGACACCACAGTGATAAAAGAGTCAGAGAAGCTTGATTAAAGACCAGTGATTATTTTGATTGCTTATTTTAAGGATGAAAATGCTATAGTATACTTTTATGGCTCTTTTTCTTTTGTTAGCCTGCCATTTAATAAGCTTAAAATCGACTATCTCAATATAAGTCCGACTCCCTCCATATCAGATAAGATAACTTTGCACAAAAATCTGTAATTTGAATTTGACAATCTAATAAATATTGAAGCGGTTATTGCACCTTGTCAACTTATTTAAAATATATTGCTTCTTTATTTAGACAAAACCGCTATTTGGACTGAAACAGTTTGAGCTATTGATAATTAACTGCTACTTCAGAAGACTCAAGAAAGTCATGAGTCAATTGAAGATTATTTAGCAAAACATTTAGGTCAAGAAGTTGCTGATTCTGCTAATTATAGATACCAACTTTGAAAGATCAAGCTGCTGTTGGTGGATTTTTAGCTGTTGGTGATCATGATATAACTTTTGTAAACATTAGCTCCTTTTTTTAGCTAGCTCTGGGTGATTAATTGACAGTGAGATAAATTCTATTAATTTTTTGTATAGTTACAGCTGTTTGCTTAACAGCCACCAGGTATAGAACCTCTTTAATTACCTGAAAGCTTGACATATCAATAGCCATATTGCAGGTATATTAATAAATTGTAATAGCTGAGATCACATAGAGATCTATAATATTTATTAAATCATAAAATTGTAAATATTTCATGCAGTATTTTCGAATCACAATTATAAGCTTATGGAAATCATGTACTACATATAAAGTCTCAAAATTTGATGATTTGACACTAAATAACAAAAAAATAAATCAGATGTCTTGAAGCGCTGTATTACAATAATAAATATTTGTTAAAATGAAAGAATTCATACCTTAAAAGTATATTAATATTCAATTCTTTATCATTAATGTATAGTAGTAAATTGAAGGCTTTTATCCTTTAAAGTTGTGCATAACTTCTGAAATAACTGCGTTTATGCACATTATTGCTCGGGAATCCACTGATTTATGCCTAAGAGTACCAAATTTGCGCATATAACCGCATTTTTCACTAGATTACTACAAATACATAGGCAGCTGCAAGCTATAACCATAAAAACTATTCATGATACAGAGGCATTAAGTACTTAATAATGCTTTATATTAGCTTCCTATGAGATCCTGGTATTGTGCTACATGTCTTTATTTTATAATACTGCTCAGATTCGAGCTCTCAAATATATAATGATCTATAGAATAAATATATGGTGTGTTTCTCATATTAATAAAATATTAAATAAATTAGTCAAGACGTCTTAGAAAGACTGAAAAAAAATTGTTGAATTGATATCTAGCTGCTTTACATAAAGAATGATAAAACAATGGCCAAGATAGCTGAAGCACCCATACCAGTGTTAATAATAGCACCCTTAGCTTCAGAATCAACAGAAGCTGAATGTGTATTACTGAAAGTAACATTTGAAGCTGAACTTGTAATATTTGAAGCTTTACCAGCAGAATCAGTGGCTGAAATTTCACCAGTTGTAGTAGCATCACTAATAATACCAGTGGAAACAGTTGTTGTAGTAGCAGTGAAATAACCATCACCTTGTTGTTTTGACCATTCATCAGACCATAATGATTTGATTGAATCTAAGACTGGTTTACCGTTTTTGTTGATAGCTGAAACGTTTGGAGCTGGTAAATCAATAGTATCATCATTTAAATAACCGATATATGTATGATTGTTAACTTGATAAGTGGTATCAACTTCTTCATTAACAATGTCTGATTTATCAGCAACAAGTTTAAAAACATTAGCAAAGGCATCATGACGACCTAAGTTTGGTAAATCCCAATTAGCTTCAACTGATGAAATTTCTGAATAATGATCATAATAAGTTGAATCAACAGTACCTTTTAATTCATCTGGAATAACACCACCTAATAATAAAGCGAAAACTTTATTTTTCAAAGCATAGTTTTCATTTTCATCAAAAGTTAATAAGACTAAAGTATCTTTCATAAAATAATCATTTGATAATAATGGTTCTAAGAAATTTTTAGACCAATCAGCAGCAACGTTAATGTTGGTATCATGACCATCATTAGTCATATTTGGAGTAATGAATGACCATTGAGGTAAAGTATGATCTTCTAAATCTTTATAGAAAGAAGTGAAATTTTTAATGTTTTTTAAATTATCTTCATCGTCAGTAATTGATTCATAAAGAACCAATGGGTTATGTTTTCTAACGTAATCATTAGCAAAAGTTTCTTGATTTGAATAATTGAAACCTTGGAACCCGGTATAAGGTAAATGTTCTTGATATTCACCCCATGAAATGTTTTTAGTATTTAATAAATCAACAATTGTAGAAACATTTTTTGGTAAAGAAATGAAACGATCATCATCAAGTGCAAAATAATCACCACCAACAGAAGCTAAATAATTTGGTTCAGAAGGATGAGTTAAAGCCCAATAGTTATCTAAAGTGATACCATGTTTAGCTAAACTTGAAAGACCATCAGATTCAGCAGCTTTATCAAAATCAGTATTTTCTAACCAAATAACAACAAATCTTTCAAAAGTTGAACCTTGAACATTTGAAGTTTTATGATTAGTTTCAGCTTTGGAAGCAGCTTCAGCAATTTCAGTAGCTGATGGGTCAATTGTGGAATAGAAACGACTTGTAGTGGTTGCTGAAGAAGATGAAGTAGCAGCATTAGCTAAAGAAGCTAAAGTAGCTAAAGGTAAGACGTTTTTGAACAACATAGCGAATGACTATAGCCTAAGTTTAACCGTTAAAGTACCAAGAGTTACCAAGATTTACCAAGATAATTTGAAAGCTTCTTTTCCATTGTTTATATATCATCATTTGCACTTAATTCACTTTGTAAACGTGATTAGCAGTCAGATACGAATTGGATTTACCTGATTGCAATGCAGCATGTTGGTTGGTAAATTGTAATCATTTTCCATTATTTGAGTGACATCGTGGGTTATTTTGATTGTGGTTAATTGAAATTACAAATTGTACAGCATTGAGCACCAATTTGATACATAATTAAAACTAAAACGGGAAGAAAAGAGAATCAGAAGACACTGCAATTGGTGAATTGAATAAGAAGAGTATGTTTGTTCATCACTTACATAAGCACTTCTACAACATGGCCATACAAATTCAAGAGTCCAACAACCAGGAAATAAACACAACGAAAGGCTACAACGCTACAACTACACTATTGACTACTTACCATAGCTTCCCCAAAGCAGTATCTGATCATGTATACAGCCAGACAACACGAGCCAATGAGATCCATTCCAAAGTCAGCCGAGTAAGACAAGTTCCATGATAGGCTGCAACACGTGTATTAAGTAACAGTGTTAAAGTACAAGCACATAAGCACGATGGGTAATCAACGCTGAAGTGAAAGAGAAAGTGAAAGTGAAAGTGAACGTGGTGCAACAAAACTTTGGTAATTAGATCTGCAACGGTTGATGCTTTGTGTTGGTGATTAGTCAGTGGGTCTTCCTGGTTCCTGGTGATAAAAAGAACAAGATTGGTCGTATGAGTTGAATTTGATGTGTTGATAATGCTTGGTTATTGTTTGTATGGTTTCTTGGTATAACGGTGCATAGATTATGAGTTACAGGGACAGTTTTGAGATTGAAGATGAAGATGTCAGTGTCAAGGACAATTTGATGGGGAAAAGAGTCATACCAGAGATTAAAAAAAGATCTAGTGTTATATCATGGTGTTTGGGGATTATGGTTATTATTGTATTTGCTTTATTCATAACAAAGGGGATCATAGATACAGAAATTGTTCATGATAAAGACCATTTAAAATTCAAATATTCAAATTTCACACAAGATCATCAAGAACTCTTTAGAGAAATACCCAATTGGAAATTAGATACAAATAAAGAATATAAAAGTTCATCAAATTGGAATCATAATGCTCAACCAACTATAAGAGAATATAATTTCACAATATCAAATATCATAGCATCTCCAGATGGTATTAAAAGAAATATGACTGTAATCAATGATAAATATCCAGGCCCATTAGTTGAATGTAATTCAGGTGATACTTTAAGGATAAATGTTTTCAATAATGGTTCAGAACCAACTTCAATTCATTTCCATGGATTATTTTTCAAAAATTTAAATTATTATGATGGTGCAACTTCAATAAATCAATGTGAAATCCCATCAAATAAATCATTCACTTATGAATTTCAAATTGATAAAGATCAATATGGGACTTATTGGTATCATTCCCATTTTGGTACTCAATATGCTGATGGTGTCTTGGGTCCACTTGTTATTCATTCTAAAGAAGATGACAAAAATACAAGGGAACTTTATGATGAAGAATATGTTATAATTATGGGTGATTATTATCATGATGTTGCTTCAAATTATTTAGATGATTATTTAGCTTCAAATAATGAAAATGATGAACCAACACCTGATAATGGATTAATTCAAGGTTCAAATGTTTTTTCAAAACCTGATGATTATTACAAGCCAGAATTTGAACAAATTTATTCAAATCATCATGTTTTCAAATTTAAACCTGATACAAGATATAGATTAAGATTAATTAATGTTGGATTCTTTGCTGATTTAGATTTTTCAATTGATAATCATCCATTAACTATAATTGAAGCTGATGGGACATTAGTTAAACCTCTAGATTTAGAAGTTTTAAACATTGCAGTGGCTCAACGTTATTCAGTAATTATCAATACAAATCAATCAAGTGATAATAACATGTTTTGGATGCATGCTAAATTAAATCATTATTGTTTTGGTCATGATAATCCTTGGTTAAACACTGATACAAAAGCTTTAGTTACATATACTGATCATCAACAGGAGTATAATAACTTAATCTCATCATTACCTGAATCTTTACAACCAAATACTTCAGAATATTCAACATCAACAGATCCATTATGTAAAGAATTAGATGAATCTTTATTACATCCATTAATCCCAGATAAACCACCTCTTAATTATAAACATCATTTCAGATTGGATGCTTCATTTTTCATTGGTGCTTATCAATTAGATCGAGGTTTTTTCAATTCAACAACTTATAGACCATTAAAAACTTCATCAACTTTATATAAACAAATTTCAAATGTTAGTAATGATGATGAATCATGGTTTGAAACAAAAGCTTCAATACCATGGGATGATCAATTCATAATAAATATAAATGAAAGAAATCCAGAGGATCAAGTTGTGGATATTTTAATTAATAATTTAGACGATGGTGCACACCCGTTCCATATTCATGGTTATAAATTTTGGATCCTCAGAGCATCATCAGGAAATTTTAAATTTGATCATTATTATGAAATTGATCCAAATAAAGAAGAATATATGAAAAGAGATACTGTGAACATCCCAGGTTATGGTTATGCATTATTAAGAATTGTTGCTGATAATCCTGGGGTTTGGCCATTACATTGTCATATTGGTTGGCATATGGAAGCTGGATTATTAATGCAATTGAATGTTTTACCAAGTGTTTATAAAGATTGGGAATTCCCTGAACAATGGTTAGAATTATGTGATTTAAAAGAACAAAAAAGTACATAAGAATAATACAAATAACGTTTAAATTTCAAAATAAAACAATTAAAACACATGAGAATGTAGTAGATCTTCTATATATAATTCAACATAGACAAATAATGTTCATATCAATTAATTACTTTTCCAAATATTTTCAAAATAATGTTTAACAAAAGCTAATGGATGTTTTTCATCTTTTGCACCCATTGTACCAATACCTGGTGAAAAACTTGTAATTGGTAAAACTAAAACATCACTAATTAATTTTGGAACTTCTAATTTAGTGAAATCTTTCCATGTAATCTTGGAATAAATACCACTTTGAACATAATCATTAAAATATGTGAAAATAACATCAGTCCAAATACCTGCACCTGTCCATTTCATAATATCTAAATTATCTGTAAATTCTAAATCTCCAGTTTTTTTCTTTTGTAAGGTTAATTCAGTAATTTTAGCAACAATTTCTCTTAAAATTGGATGACCTGGTTTAGCTTGAATAACCCATTGACAAAATTGTAATCTTCTTGCATAAGTTTTCCTCCAATCTGAAGTATCTGGATCAGATTCAATACCAATAATCATACCAATTTCATTTGGTGAAACATTTTCTGGGATCCAATTTGGAACAGGTTGTAATGGTAATGTATCAACATCTGCATAAATCCCACCTCTTGCTAAAAGGATTAAATATCTGAAAAAATCCATTTTAAGAATTATAGAAGGTAATGCTTCATAAGCTTCGACAATTTCTGGAATTAATACATATAAATGATGAATAATTGCACTTGATGTATCATCATTAAATAATTCATGAACAAAACCTGGATTTTTCATTGCCCATTGTAATTCACCTTCTTTAAATTTTTCACCAAATCTTTCATCATTAAGACCATATTTCCAACTTTGCCAAATATAAGCAGGAAATTTTCTTGCTTGATCATAAGGAAACAAGAATGCTAATTTTTCTCTTAATGTTGAATCAATTGGTGGACGACGTAATTCTTGAATTTTTTTTTCTAAATCTTTTCTACTTTTTTCTAAACCTGAAATTTTTTCATTTTGTTGTTTTAATAATTTTTCAGTTATAGCTTCTAATTTTGATGTAAATTCTTCTTCTTTATGATTATTTAAATTTAATAAACTTTCATTTGGAATTTGTTTTAAAACTTCTTGTAAATCTAATTCTTTACTTGGTACTAATTTATATAAAACAAATAAAATACTTATGATTGATACAGCTATAATCACTATTCTTCTAATCCCATTTACTGAACTCATCTTGTAAAATAAATATTCTTATACTCTATTATGCTTTTATAAATTTGACTGATGATTTTCAATATTGGTAAATGGACCCTAATGCACAAAATCTTGAGAGTTTCACCAAATTATGCTCAAGAATGATCTATTAATATATACCTTTGAAATGCAAATGATAGCAGCCACCTAAAAATCTAAAAAGCAGCGAATTCAAAAACAACACCAGCAGAAATGACCCTTCTATTCAATTCCAGAAAGAATATTGAAAGAACTGAAATGGTTTAAAACCTCACAATTTGAATGTTTTGATTCATTAAAATTCTTTGATCTGCTGTTCAACTTTTCTTTATTTTTACTTTTTCTTTCACAATTTCGCGTATTTTCAAATTTCAAAACAGACGCCAAAAAGGGAAATTTACACGCACGTGATATTCAAAGATTACATAATACATATAAATAAATTTAATTTTATTTCAATTTTATTTCAAATTTATTTAACCAAATAGATTCCAATCTTTGATTTCTAATGTGTTGATGGCTTGTTTGACTATACCATCAGCCAACGAGATTCTCTTAGCAGCTTTGTTTTGTTCATCACTTAAATCTGTCAATTTTTCTAAATCTTGTAGTTCTTCTTTATCAGATATTAGTACATTTTGAGTAATTAAAACATCTGTTTCCACTTTATCTAATCGTATTATCCCCAGTACCACAGCTAAAGTTGGTTTATAATCTAAGCCTTTGGATTCATCACGACCCCATTTCATTGCAGGCTCAAGACCAATTGCTATATATGCTTTTGTATTTAATTTATTTGAAGTTTGATCAACAGCAAATAATTTCCAACTATTTGAAGAATCATTTAAAGCTGCAATCTCACTGAAATGTTCTTTTATAGCTTCAAGATCTTCACCCTCGATTCTCTCCATCAAATCCACAATTATAGAATCATCTTTATGTAAAATTGTATAATCTTTTGTATTTTCACTTGGATTTAAGAAAACTTCTTGAGTATCTGGTATTTGTCTTAGATCTGAGGCATCGATCAATCCTTTAGGAATTTGAGTTGTGATAGCACCCCCATAAAGTTCCTTAGTTTCAAAACTAACCATTTTTCACGAAAATTTATAGCAAATTGAATAGAGATCAATCAATTATATCAATTGTTAGTTAAAGTTGTTAGAAAGTTGATATTAATAATTCGCGGAAATATACCCATATTGTTAGGTATCAAAATTACGCATAGCTAAGTGTAAATAGTAGACCAGAAATATAATCAAAGACAATTTAACTTGTCTAATCGAAAATTAATGATTAATTACAAATATTATCCATTGAAAACAAATAAAATATATTAATTAGAAACTAAGAACTCTTCATAGAAAATCATCATCATTTAATTTATCAAATCTATAATGTGATGGTAATATAAGGAACTTCAACATCTTCACCTTGAGCATCATCAGTACAAATTTCTAAAATCAAAGTTTTAACATGACTTGGAATTTCCTTCTTGGTAACTGTTTTAATTAATTCAGTAATTTTCATAGTTGATCTTTCTTTAACTTTCTTTGGAGGGAAGAAACTAGCATATAATAATGAGACGTCATATGATAACATTGTAATTTCTAAACCTTCTTTCTTTTCGAAATGATCTAATAATTCTTGTAATGTAACATCACCTTTAATATCAAATCTATCCCAAATTCTATCAAATTCTTTATCATTATATTTACCTTTTGGTGAAGCAATTGGTTCAGAAAATCCAAAGAATGGTAAAGCTAAATTAATGAACCCATTCTTATAATCTTCAATGTTATCTCTCTTATCAGCAACTTTATATAATTCTAATTGAACTAAACCGGTAACTAAAGCAGTTGTAGTGGCAATAGCTGGAATGATACGACCAGCAATGAATTTAGTCTTTTGACGATCAGCTGTGTCAATTTGATAATTCAAAGCACGAGCATTTGAAGCAGCTGTAATGAATTCAATATGATGGTTTGAATCATCATCTTTTTCAAAATCAACTGGATTCAATCTATAACCAGCTAAAGTTGATGGTTGAGGTAATGAAGCTGCTAATCTGCGTAATTCATCAGTTTCAACAGCTTGTTGAGCATTTGGATCTGGATCATCATCATTAGCTTGAATTTTAACATCTGAACGAGGACTAAATTCTTCAATTTTAACTTCATCAATAACTTTTTTATAAAATGATTTATCTGGTTCACCTTGATCACCTTTCAAGCCATAATTGAAAGCTCTTAAATTAGCAGCACCAACAACGAAATGGAAATGATCATCATTATTGATATCGAAGACTAAAGGTTTTGGAGCACGTTTAGCACCAGACCAGAATGGAGCACCTGATGAGGTTGTAGCATCTTCTGGGAAGTTATATAATAATTGTTTGATTTCATGATTGAATTTCTTTTCAAATTCTAATCTTGCCCATTTAATAGCATCATCAAATGAATATGGTCTGTTATTTAATGAGTCTGAAATTGATTGTAAAATACCTTTAACATCACCACTTTGTTTTAAAGTAGCTTCTAAGAAATTTGGTTGAGTTAAATATAAATTAACATTTTCAGCAGCTTCAGCGAAATAACCTTCAAATAAAGCTTTTGACCAAGCAATTGTATGATCAATTTTGTTTGGGAATGAACGTAAAGTACATAATGGAATAGCTTTTTCAGGTGGATCTTGAGATGATGAATAACTTTCAGTTAATCTTGGAATAACAACTTGAGTATTACCTTTAGTACCTAAAGTACCACTTTCTAATAAAGCTTTACCAAAGAAAACACAACGACGATCAACATAAGTACGAGCATCAACGTTATCTAAGGCATTGGTAACAAAAGTTAAGCTTTCCCAAAAGGCATTGTCAAAAATGTTTTCAGTTTCAACACCAACTTTATCAGCTTTTGATTCAATATGACCTTCTAAATCTTTATTGATAGCAACTGCAGCTTTAGCTGAAACACTTGATTTACTTTGACCAACATCTTTTGGTCTAAATAAGAATTGACGATTCAAGTTAGATTTTTCAATACTATCATTATCAGTAACTGTAATTTTACCTTCTGGACCTGAACCTAACCCCATTAAAGCCCAATTTTTCAAAACTTCACAACCAATAGCACCTGAACCAACCAAGAAGGTTTTGACATTAGCAATGGCTTTTTGGAAATCTATACCGAAAACGGCAATTTGTGCATCATAACGAGAACCAATTGGTTTAGTATTTTCTTCAGTTCTTGGGAAGTTCTTTGGTAATGATTCTAATGAATCAAAATATAAAAATTGTTTGATTGGAACGAATTTACCAGATGAAGCTTTTAAAACTTCTTGAGCGACTAACCCACCGAAAAAGGCATTGATAGCTGGGATATCACCAGTAGCTTGATAAGCCAATTCTTTTAATAATTTTTCATTTAATTCACCTTCAAATTTTCTTTGTGTAGCCAAGTTCTTGACTAAGTGTAAGAATTCATTAGCATCTTCATCGTTTAAAGGTCTTGGTAATGAACCATTATGCTTTTCTTGGAATTGATGTAAAGCTTGGAAACCTAAATGTAATTGTTCTGGACGATCAAATTTAGCAAAATCTGGAATTACGTGTTCAGGATTTTCTAATTGTTCAACTAATGATTGATAAGAAACAGTTGTTGGAACTTTAACTTGTGTATAGATACCACCTTTTTTGTAAGTACCTAATTTTGAAACATCACCAATGTTGAAAGCATATGGACCTGGAACTGTAACTTTATAAACTTGACCGTCATTTAAAGATTCTAAACCTTGAACTTCGGTAAATTTGACATAGTCACCATCTTGTAATCCATGGCGGTTATCATCCAAGACTGAAACAGTACCATCGGATTCAATATCTGATACAATACCGCTTAATGGTTCTTCACCAGTTGAATCAACAATAGTAAAGTCAGTACCAAAATCAACGAAAACATTACCAAATAAACCCTTTGAATCAGTTGAAATGAATTTGATGTTGTTTGAATGTGTGAAGTTGTTGATTTTGACTTGTTCTTCCAATGAAGCTTCAGTTAAAACAACAGTTTGAAATTTACTTAAGGTTTCTTCAGATAATTCATCAACAACAGAGATTGGAACATAAGAGTTCAATTCACTCAATTTGCTCAATGAAGCGGCAGCACGTGGTTTACCAACGTCTTCTTCAGTTAAATAGAATTGTGTTGATAAATCTTTTAATTCAGTAGGTTTTGGATCATAAATTGAAAGAGATTTAACACCAGCTAATGCAACATTTTTGGCAATTTCAAGACCTAACCCACGTAAACCTATAATCAAGATGTTTGAGTTTTGTAATCTGATCATAGCTTCCTTACCCAACACATACAATTGACGAGAGTACAAACTTTCATCAATTTCTGCTGGTTGAGGTGAAGGAGTATCGATTTGCATTTTAGAATCTGACATATTGGGCGCAATTCAATGTAATAAAACTGATTCAAAAAGTACCCGCCTGGATTGAAACTGTTGTTCTATTGACCTGTGTAAAAAGTACTGATTAAAAGAGCAATTGATCTGTATTACCAAATGAATTTAGTGCAATTGTTTGATTTTCAAAGGATTTGTAACGTGTATTGGATTAGAAATGGTTTTTAGTGGCAATCATCCTTTTTTATGGAAGTCCAGGAAATTCGCGATGCTCGGTAAGGCCAGGATACCGCGAATGTGATCTACGACACTATACACTTATTTCATAGTTATCAGCTTTTAAATTTCAATTTACAAGTTACAGAACTAACTCAAAATACAAATATTAATATATTGAACTATGCAGAAAAAGGATACATATACATCTTGAGATCAAGGACAAGGTTTTTTTTTTAGCTTTGGAAACCAGCTGTAACGATTCTGAACAGTTCACCACGTCTATAAAACAACTCATCAAATGGACCTTCTTCACAAATTTTACCATTCTTTAAGGTCAAAACTCTATCAGAAACTTTCATCATTTCTTCACTATGTGTAATGATCAAGACAGATAAGTCTTTTTGATTTTTCAAATTCTCTTTGACCAAGTTTGCAATGTTTTTAGCACTTTCAGAATCTAAAGCTGATGTACATTCATCTAAGATCAATAATTTTGGTTTTCTTACCAAGGCACGAGCAATTGATAATCTTTGAGCTTGACCACCTGAAATCAATGAGGTATCAATTCTTGAATCAATTCCTTCAGGTAATGAAATAACGAAATCATAAATGTTTGCTAATTTCAAACTTTCAATTAAAGTATCTTCTTTAACATCTTCAGACCCATAACTAAGATTTTCTCTAATAGTACCATCAAAGAAAACAGCCTTTTGATCAACTAAAGAGACAACATCTCTTAACCAAGTGACATCCAAATCATTTATATCAACACCTTCAAATGAAACGGTCCCTTTTGGAACTTGGAATAGTCTTGTAAGCAATAATGTCAATGTGGATTTACCTGAACCAGATTCACCAATAACTGAAACATGTTCACCTTTTTTAATATTAAAAGTCATATTTTTTAATACTTTATTATCTGGTAATGATGGATATGCAAAATCTAAATGATCAAATTCAACAACATTTTTTGAATCATCATAAGGAATCACAGAACCCATAGTTTCTGTTTCTGATGGCTCCAAATCTAAAATACGGAAAATATAAGTGGCAGCTCTTTGACCTCTACTTATATCTGGAATTTGATTGATTAACTGAACACAACTCATGATTGAAAATAATAGTAAAACAAATGTTTGCATCAATTTGGTTGTAGAATATTCACCTAAACCAACAAGTCTCATACCATAGTATAATAGAACACCTTGAACAACAAAAGTTAAAACAGTAGTTAAAGAAACACCAAACCCAGTATAAATAGCTCTTCTACGAGCAACCCTTTTCAAGTTTTCAGCTCTTTCATTGAATTTTGCAGTGAAATATTTTTCTAAACGTAAAACTTTGATTGTTCTAATACCTCTAACAGATTCATAAATTTGATTTTCCAATTCAGCAATTGCATTCTTATATTCATTTTCAGACGTTTGTAATAATGTTGCATAAATACCAGATGTAAGAACAAATGCTGGAATTAAGGCAAAACAAACAAGTGATAATTTCCAACCAGAAACGAGAGCCCAAATTAAACCCAAACTAGATAAAATGGAAGCAGTAGACACGATACCCAAAAATTGTGAGACTAATGATCTTAAATCTCTACTATCATTCAACAATAAAGCAGAAACTTCAGCAGGAGAATTTGTCTTTTCACCAAACCAGGAGATACTTTGTTGTGAAATTGTGGAGAATGCCCTTCTTCTCAATGAATAGATCCAAATTTCACTTGAATAATGAAGTAGAAATTCTTTCAAAAAAGTTGATATACCATCAAATAAAGCCAAAAATATAACAACAAGTGACCATTTTAGAAGATAACTTGAACTACCAACATCTTTATCTTGTGGAACAATACCAGATAATAATTTAGAAAATGTATAAGAGAAAATCGGGTTAACAGCACCATTTAGAATAGAGAATAATATACCAGCAAATAACAATGGTTTTCTATCAACTGTTTGATACATCTTTTTGATAATTGTTAAAATTGGTGTTAAATCTGGTCTTTCATCCTTTTTATCTTTTTCTTCATCTTCAACTTCTTCTTCATTAGCTTCTAAATCCTTTTGATCTTGACCTTCTGAAATTGGAGATGTTGCAGGTTTTTGAATTTTTCTACGTCTTCTTTCAACCTTTCTTTCAGTGAAATCATGTCTATCACTTGGTGGTTGTGCTTCTGAAGATTGACCAAAGAAACTTAATGGATTGATTGAAGAAATGATTTGGGAAGACAATCTTGAACCAATCTTATCATGTAAAGGTTCATGTAGATCAAGTTGTTTTTTAAAACCTTTGAATTGCTCAACATCATTTAATTTCTCCACTGTGGTATCTTGAAGATTGGCAAGACGTTTAAATAAACCATTTTGATTTTCAAGATCTTTTCTTAACCCATTTTCTGCAACAATACCATCTTCCATCAAATATACATAATCATCTTTACCGATTTGACTAAATTCATGGGTAAGGATAATTGTTGTCTTTCCCTTTCTCCATTTTTTAACAGCAGCAATAATCAACTCTCTTAGAACAATATCAAGAGCAGAAACGGATTCGTCTAAAATCAAAATTGGTGTATCTCTAACTCTAGCACGAGCTAATGCTACTCTTTGTTGTTGACCACCACTTAATGTGATACCATTAGGACCAACAATAGTATCTAAACCGTCATCTAAATCTCTAATAACTTCATGTAACAAAGCCATTTGACATGCATTTTGTAATTCTTCATCACTGACTTCTTGATTCTCAGAAGCGATTTTTCCCATTAAAATATTATTCTTTATAGTATCTTTGAATAAAGTACATGTTTGTTCAACCAGTGTTATATTATCAGTTAACCATCTGCTGTTTAATTTTGAAACGCTGAATCCATCAATTTCAACTCTACCTTTGTTTGGACGATAAAAATTTAAAAGCAAACTACTTAAAGTTGATTTACCTGAACCTGATCTACCAACAAGAAATGTGGTTTCACCAGCTGGGAAATGAATAGAAACATCTTTCAAAACTTTAGTTTCAAATCTAGTAGGATATGAGAAATCAACATTTTTGAATTTGATATCACCATGACAAACATCCGGGTATAATGAAATGTTTCTAGTATCATCTAAGTCAATTTGTTGTTTGAATTTACTAACCATAGTTTTGGTTTTTCTCATTTGAATAAAGTTTTGAATTTTTGCAATTGCAACTTTGGCTTTCTGAATTGTAATAATTTGTGGTAATGTACTCTTTAAAGTTTCAGCAAGCATCAAACATGAAGTGAAACATGTAATAACATCACCTGGGTCAACTTTACCTTTTCTAACTTGTGTTGAGCCAAACCAGAAACCTTGAACATACATACAAAGCATAATGAATCTCAGAAGCGCCATATTTGCACTTGTAACTAATGTTAACTTGAAAAATGCTTGTTTACAATTCTTAACCGCAGTGGTGAACTTTGAGTATTCTTGATCTTGAGTAGAGAATAATCTCACCAACTTTGCAGAGAATAAGGACCAATCTAAAGTCTTTGCAGCTTTTGCAGTCTCAACATTTTCGTTATTTGTATACTTTTCAGTTAATTTGGCAAAAATATATGCGAAAATGACAATGATTGGAGAAGATGCTAACATGACCAAAGTGACTGACCATGAATAATAAAGAGCTGTACCAATTAAAGCAGCGAGAGAAACAAAATTTTGTAAAACAAGAGCAGTAGCTTCTGAAGTACCAGCTCTGAGCTCTTCAACACATCTATTTATTTGAGTCAAATCACCCATTAATGTTTCGTTTTCATCATACCAAGATATAGGATTAACCATAAAAGTTTTCAAAATATTGGTTCTAGCTCTTAAACCTTGTCTTTCACCAAATTGCATCCAACAAGTGATTGTTATCCAAACTAAAGGTATACAACCCACACCTAATAATATAATTGACATTGATGACATTCTGATGGCTTGCATATATTCACCAAATCCATTATATTTTCCTTTAGTAAAATTTGATAAAACATCAAATACTCTACCCATCAATATGGAAGATATTGCAGGACCTAAAGCACCAAATATTGTAGATAAACCACCAAAGAATAATAATGGGATATCTTGTTTTGTGAAAAGCATATAGATTCTAGCCTTCCGTATTTTGGAATAATATTGGCTTTCTGAACTAGCTGTTTCTGAATCTTCATCTTGGACATCTAAATCAAATAAGTGTTGTTCCTTTTCTTCACTTAAGGTAAAATTACTAGCTTCTGTCTCAGCAGGACTTGATGTGAAAACCTCTTTAACCATTGTTTGTTATTGTTTTTAATGAACAATTTAAAGCATCATAAAGATGGTTGTCATAGGCATAGTGGAAAAAATTGCTATATATAAGACTTTCTTATAGAACTCATATCAAACTGTCATGCAACATCCATGTTACAAAACCACAAAAAGCTAACCTCATCTCATAATCAAAAGAATTATAGAAATTGTGTAGTGATAGAAATTGATTCAAGTTGTAGTTTCCGTTTTAAGAACAAACAATAAAATGTTTATAATTTTAGGCGCGAATGATTACATAAGTATTACATAAGCAAAATATATCACTAAACCTCAAATATATAAAGGCTGCAGGTTTTGGATAGTTGGCTTATATCATGCAGATCGATATTCTCTAGTCTAATATGGTTGTTAAAACAGGGAGTTATAAAGTATCATATAGACGTATATATCGACTATGTCAGAAGTCATCGAGCTAGCTGATCAATGATCTGGATTAATAGTCTCCTTCTAGATCAAATGTAGATCTTGAATCTTGAAACTTAATGTCTAGTTTTAATGCTGATATTGCTGGTGTTAATGAGAACCTCAAAGATACAAGCAAGCTACCACATACCAGTAAAGTAGAATACATCACATATTCAAATGCCATATCCAACTCTTCACATGGACCCTCAAATTCCTGAATCAACCTGATCCTGATCCAGTGTCTCAGTCTCAGACTTAGATGGAGAAAAAGACCATGCGCTCTAACCATCAAAAAAAAATCATACTGTTGATATTTTCAGAATTAGTGCGCAAAAAACAGATCAAAAAGCAGTAATGAGAACGATTTTGAGTTCAAGTTCGATTAATTTGAGACTATTGCCCCATATACTGGCCTTCAAGAAAGTATTCAACTGAAGTTGAAGCCTATTTAAGCCAAACTCCACCAGTTTTTTCTGAATCTCAAAATGTACAATAAAAAATTCAAGAAATATGGCCAATATGGGTACAATAACAATAGCTATTCATCGAGGAGAACTTACGAACCAGACTATTATGAACCATCCAGTCAACCTAATTATCAGAGCAGTCAATCACCGAACTACACTAATCAACGCTCTGCGAGCCCCCAACCATCAGATGAAAACCAATACCCACCACACTATCAACAGACATACCAACAACATGGACATAATGGCCAAACGCCCTCAAACGGTGTCTATAATCAAGCGCCAAACTATCAACAGAATCAAGGATACACAGGACAGACAATACCACATCCAAGGCAATCACCTGTACCTTCAACAGCATCAGCACCATCTCATCAACCAGCATCAATGCCTTTTCAATCTCAGCCATATCCAGATCACATAGAATCAGAACATCCTGCAAAGAAACAAAAGACTGAAACTGAACCTTATCATACCAAACCCCTCAAAATTGCACCAATACCAGATAGAGGTGATGGGACACCGCTACTAAGGAGAGATATCCACTATGAATTCTTACATATATTATTCAACGATGGAACAAGGGCATTTAGTGACCCATACCCTAATTCAGAAACTCTTATATACGGTGAATCTAAAACACCAGGTCATAAGCTTACCTTCTCGGAACTATACATGAAATCATTGGCACATAGTAACCAAATTTCAAGAAATATGCGTGCAAGATTAGCATCACCAAGAGATATATGCGTACCTCCTAGTATCGTATATTTCCTTTTCAATATTGGGAGATTACTCAACCAAACATTCATACCAAGCATGACAAACAAAAATTTTCATTCTATACCTTGCTTAGAAGTGAATTATAATCCACCAACTGATTTAGAACCAAATTATCATGTTGAAGGACGCAACCAATTAGTACATGATATTCCAACTATAAACTCTTTATTAAGGGGAAATATTGCTCGCACAAAAGAGCCAAAACAATTTAGTGCATTGAATAAAATAACGAAAAGACCTAGAACTACTGTTATAAATTTACTTTTAATGTTTAAAGAACACCAAAATGATATTAATAACTTATTTTTCAATAAATGTGATTATAAATATGCAGATATTTTTATGAACCATAAATTCAATCCATTGAAAAGAGCTCAATTATTTCTCTGGTTGGTATTTGCATATTTAGAAACTGACGTGAGCGTTCAAGCTCAAAACATAAATCCATTTGGTCAACTGCCTCCAGTGTTGGTGAAGACTAATCGTGATTATGACATTGAACAACCTCAAGAAATCGAATTTGCAGAATACTCTAAAAGGATTAGAAATGAATGCAAAAATGGTATATATAAAACGGGTTCAGCAAATCAACAGCAACCAGGAGCAGTTTCAACAGCTCAAGCAACACAAGTACAAACAGCTCAGATAATTAGTAAGTTTAACGAAAATGAAGGGAAATGTTTCACCAGAAAGGACATTCAATATGAATTTTTGATGTTTTTGTTCGAAAATGATGTTCGTGCCTTCACAGATCCTTTTGGAGATAATGGTATTAAATTACATACAGAACTTTCCACAAAGAGAAACAAGTTGACATTCGCTGAATTATACATAAAATCTTTAGCCAACAGCACAGCTTGCCCAAGATCGTTGAGAAAGAAGCTTACAGGAACCAAAGATGAGTTTTTAGCACCTGTCTGTATTTGTTTTTTAGTTCATACCGGATTGATTGACGTTCAGACAACATTTGATACACATGGTAGTATAACAAGAATTTTTCGCTCTATACCATGTTTACAACTAAGTCACAAATCTGAAGAAAGAGATGCAAATGGTAATCCTTTCATGGTTACAGAGACTGCTTCATTGAATTCAGTTTTGAAATCTGCATCAAAAGATGATAAAGCATCAAGCTTGAAATCATTGAATTATATGAAAAAAAATCCAAGAACAACGGTGGGTAATGTTTTGTTTTTATTCAGGAAGTATGAGGACGAAGTAAACAAACAATTTTTCAATGATTCAAAGTACAAATTTTCTGATATTTTGAACAACCATGGATTAAATCCTCAAAAACGTGCAGATCTTTTTTTGTATTTAGTCTTTTTTTATTTGGAGACCGCACCAAACACAGAAAATCCTTTTATATTCCAAATAATGGACTTTGCAGAATATGATTCAACATCTTACGATATTGATACTGAAGAAGAAAAAAATCATGCCCAAAAGCTTTACCAACAAAGATCTGAATTCAAGCTTGGTCAAGGAATTGCCATGAACGAATTACAGCATATGAATATCGATTATCAAGGTGCAGGTAAAGACAAAAACGTTGGTAATAAAGAGAGTTCACCAGATGATATTAAAGGTACAGCTCAAAACTTTTTGGCTGGTATATTGAGTGAATTGCAAAGTAGTAATTCTAATGGAACGGAGGGAGCAACGGAAAGTGAAAAAAATATTGAAAATGGAGAAGTACAGGTAAGAATAACATCTGAATCAAGTACTTCTACTGTCAATAACAATGATCAAAGAGATAGTCTTGGGAAACAACAAGATCAGACAGATGTTGAATCACAACCAAGCCAAAAACCTCAAAACTTACAACCAAGAAAGAAAGAATCTCAATCTAAAGCTGAAAAAGTCGAACTTTTAGAGTCAATTAAAATGGATACAGATTCACCTCATCAAATTTATATAAAGCTACCGGAACTGATAGATGATAAGGTAAGTGTCAATGATGCTTTGAATCATATCTCCAGTACACTTTCAAACCATTATTGTGTATATTTTGAAGATGATTGATAAATTTTAGAAGAAATATAAACTCAAGAATAGAACTAGCATGCTATTGAAGCTAATAATTACTGCATTTTAATGAAATAATGATTGATTTTGACGTTATGCATTACTCGTAGATTTGAATAACTCTGTCATTTTATGAGGCCCTCGCGATTATTGTTTTCTGGGGACAATGCGGATTTAGAACTTCACATGCAAAAACTGAAAACCCGATTCTCATCATATGAACGTTGTTGAATTTTGGAAATTTATATAAATCTGAAGGCAAATCACCTTATTTAATCACAAGACAACTGGTCAACTTTTAAAAGAACTCACATAATTTTGACAATGGCTGATAAATTACAAGTTGCATGGGATATCTTAGATCAATTGAGCAAGGAGGTTGATCTAACCAAAACTAGCTATTTGAGTAAGTTTGCTCCGGGGTGGAAAGGGAAGGAACCAGGTAAGAACAGTTATACTAACAAATATATATAGTTGCATTGGGATCTATTACATTCAATCCAGTCTTCTGGAATATCGTTGCAAGAACAGGTGAGTAGAAACAAATATTAATATTAAGATAATATGCATGGGACATTTTAAACTGACACATAATTAACTATAGAATACAAAAACCATTTCTTAACAAAATTAGCTGGCTCACCAAAAACTGGTTGTTACATTTTAGCTGCTACTATATTCTCATTAGGTATTTTCAGAGATTACCTTTTCGAACAAGCTTTAAGAGAACAAGTCACTTCAAGTTTATTAGAAGGTGAATGGATTCGTTATGCTTCATACGTTTCCTTCGGGTTAGGAAATTTATTTGTTTTGAGTTCAATGTATGCATTAGGTATTACAGGTACTTATTTGGGTGACTATTTTGGTATCTTGATGGATGAAAGAGTCACTGGTTTCCCTTTCAATGTTTTAGATAATCCAATGTACGTTGGTTCAACTTTATCATTTTTAGGTACCTCATTATATTTCAAGAAACCTGCTGGTTTATTTGCAACATTATGGGTTCATGTATTATATTCAATTGCATTGAAATTTGAAGAGTGAGTATTGATATTCTTTGGAGTCACAATTGATCTTATACTAACAATATTTGACAGACCATTCACAGGAGAAATTTATGCCAAACGTGCTGCAAAGCAAGGCAAGAAGGACGAATGAACGACGTCATATATCACTGTCTGGAAACAGTAAAGCAAAATATAAATGAATGAAATTATTACCTAAATCATCGAATGACTTAGTATCTTGTTACTCACCCGTAGTACGATCTTTGTATCAATTACCTAGCTTATAATTTCAGTAAAGTTAATTGACCTTTAGTTCAACGACCTAGAAGGGAAAATTAAAGTCATATAAAGAGACCAAAGAGAACTGAGAGAAATATCAATAAAGTGTTTCTTCTCTATGTGTAACTATATAACGCGTATATACCAGATGGCAGATAACGTCCAGCTATTAATTGTGTTTTCTTCAAGATCTGTACGTTCGTTATATATGTAAAGCTGTTGATTCATCCGACCCGGAACAACATTAACATCAATAACTGACCGCTAAGACATTAAAACAATATATAACCTTGCAATTGACCTTTATATTCTTGCTAAAGAAGAATGAGCTTGAATTTAACAGTGTTGGAGGTATATAAAACAGCAAAAACGGCAATTTTGATATACCCTATTTTTCACATATGACTGGGCTGTTCAACCGCCTAATTTTGCATACCTTTTGCCTTTTTGGCCAAGTGGTAAGGCATCGCACTCGTAATGCGGGGATCATGGGTTCAATTCCCATAGGAGGCATAATTTTTGAAAAGTTTGTCAAATTGGGCGATTTTATGAGTTTTAGGTGGTTTTAAAGTGTTTTTTTTTTGTATCGAGTTTCTTTATGTGTGATTGATGTTCATTTATAAGTTAGCCTGGTATTCTGTTGTATTTTTGTGATGTTTTCATGGTTTTCTGTATATTACCTTATAAAGACCGACCGCTGGAAACTGTGAGCGCGCTAGTTAACAAAACCAAGACTACTGCCATTAACCAGCTTTAGTGACAAGCTTAAATTGTAACTACATTTGTTTTTAATTGCTTTTAAATGTTTTAATAAACGATAATGGATTGATACCTTTTATATATTATATTATTAGTGATGCGAGCGAATGTTGTGGATGAATAAATGTCTATATATAAAACCGAATTGTACTAGTAAACAAGTTTTTCTAATACTGATTGAAAACTTGTTATAAATGATTTGAAAAAGCGTATACCCAAACGAAAAACTTAGCAAATATGAAGATCTAATGATGATGATTTTAACGCCAAATAAAAACTGTGATTAATGTAAATGTATGAAATGCAAAAGTAATAAATTAATAAGTTGATATCAGAAACTTTTAATGTTTCATTCTTTTATCAACTCTCATTGATTGGATTTTTCTTTTGGATGCCGAATCATCAATTATAGAATCATCTTCTGAAGATGGTGATAATACTGGATCACTTGATTGATTGTTAATATCTTTTGTATTGTTATGTCTTTGAGAACGATGTCTTTGATCTGATTTATGATTTGAATGATCAACTGATAATAAAGGCATTGTTGGTGGGAATTTATGATTTGATGGATATGACATTGTAAAATCTTGATTTTGGATTTGACTTATATCAGAAAATCCTGATTTTAATATTGAAGAATTTAAATTTTGTTGATCTGAAGCAGTTGATTCATTTTTAGAATCTTCATTTATTAGTTTCCCTTCTAATTCTAATTTTTTCATTAACGCCCAATTTTCCACATCATCATCATTTTTAATTATGTTTAATAAATCATTAATACAATCTAAATAACCTTTATATTTCAACATTGATTGTTTCTGTAATGATAATTTGTAAAGACTTGCAACTGATTTAGCGGCATTTTTGAACTCCAAAGATAACTCTTGATCTAGATCTTTTAAAGCCTCTTCATTTACAGGCTTTGTAGGCGGCAAATTTGACGATAGATTTGATATGTTTTCCATATTTGATGTGTTGTATAAATTCCGCCTATATATAATACCAGTATAAAGTACCTATATAGAAAGATATTTTTTGTACCTCATCGGTAAAAATTGAACAAAAGAAAATTCGCGATATATATCAGCTGACGCGTCACATGACTAAGAATCTCTCCCGGTATGCACCACACCTTAGTTAACAAAACTTAACAAAATTTCTGAAATTGGATTTTCGTAAACAAAGAAATTCACAGCAGAAATTCAAAAAGTGGTCTTCCCGGTCGCCGCACGAAAACTTTCACGTCTTCACGCAAAAAAGGCCATTTCCTAACTTTAATTGAAAGTATCAGGAGCTTTCTTTCATTTCCATCTTGTGAGTTCTTTTACTTCTTTTTTCTATTTATTTTAGTGAGCTGGTCTCATTTGTATTATATTCCTATACACATTATCATATATTCTGCTTGTTTCTACACCACACTAGAAGGTTACACAAACACATATTACACGGTTCATAGATTAGAGGTTATTAGAAAAGTTAGAGGATTAATTAAGCGCGCTGGGTACAATGCAATTTGTTAATCATAGTCCAAGAGCTGATAGAGCTATAACAAACGCTGATATAACATTGAGAGAGAACAAAAGACTGTTCAGTCCAAAGTCACTGGGCGCTACATTGGAACAACAGAGATCTCCAAAGAGAAAGTTAACAGATGATGCTGATCATATGAAGAGATCCAGAAGTGATGAATTGAAAATAAAACACGACAATGATCTGTTACACTGTCATGGTGATGATTGGCCTGTTTTCCTGCACCCAGAAGGTGGTTATATCCAACAATCACCTTATGGGAATATTCATATCATTAAAGATGCAAACTCTGAAAGATCATCAATTGATAAGACTATAAATTTAGATACATTTTCAACTAAAATTCCACAATCAAAACCAATCCCAGAAACTCCAAAAAAGAAATCATCAGTTCCATTAGCATATTCAAGATTACCATTACCTTACTCCCCATCAAGTGAAGTTGAAAGTTACATGGTTGAAGGATATCAACAAGAATTAAATAAAAGTTATGATGTTCATAAAGAAGATATTGTTAATGTTAATTACAATCTGTACGATCATCACAATGAAGATGCTCATTTAAATGAAGTCACAGGAGGTAGTTATAATGAAGATTTTGATATGATTTTATGATGTACTATATATGGTTTTGAAATTGTTTTGGTTTAGTTTTGGTTTATTTGAAAAAGTGGTTGATTCTGTTATATTACTATGTATGCTATATATCTATCACTATTAATGATGTTGTCTATGTTTCACTTTACTTTTGTAGTTGTCGTCTTGTGATTGTAATTGAAAAAGTTTCGAGCTTTTTTGACACAATTTTTTGGTTTCCTTATCAACGGTTCATCGCCAAAAAAAAAAAAGAAAGTCAACTGGCCGCGTAAAGTCAAAAATTTCCGCGAATAGTTCAGATAACAGTAAGATTATGGTTCATAAATATTTACAAGATCATAAACACTGCTCAATCTGGTGATTTATAACAACAAGAACATGTCTGAGCAATGTTTATTCACATCAATGGGGATGTTCATTATTGATGAAATCCATTTCCCGGAAAACTCAGGTAAAGAATCACATTATAACGTCATTGGAGGTGGTGGAACATATGGTGCTTTAGGTTCAAGAATAATATCAGGATTTAAAAATTCCCAAAAGATTGGATGGATTATTGATAAAGGTAATGATTTCCCTTCAGAAGTGGAATCATATTTGAAAAGCTGGGAAACTGGTGCTATTTGGAGAGGAACCCCAGAAAGATTAACAACAAGAGGTTGGAATATGTATGGAGATCGTGAATTTAGAGATTTTAAATATCTTTCTGAAAAGAAAAGAATCACTGTTGATGATTTATTAAAATATGAACAATTATTAAACTCTGAATCATTTCATTTAATTTGTTCACCTCAAAGATCTTTGGAAATATTATCATCTTTAAACAAAGCAAGATTATCAAATGTTTCAAATCCAATAATAATATGGGAACCTGTACCTGATTTATGTTTACCAGAAAATTTACAAGATTGTCTTTCTGTTTTAAAGAATCTAGATGTATTAACACCAAATGCAGAGGAAGCTGCAAGATTTTTCGGTAAACCAGAACCAACAACAAAAGAAGAACATGAATCAATTGCCCAACAGTTCTTACCATATTTAACTCATGATTCACAATTTCAAACTGGAAGTGGGATTGTATTAAGAGCAGGCGCAGAAGGTTGTTATGTACTTACAAATAAAGGGGTTTCCAAATGGTTCCCAGCTTATCATAATAATGCAAATCCTAATAGATCTGTGATAGACCCAACTGGAGGTGGTAATACATTTATTGGTGGGTTTACAACAGGATTTGTAATGAGTAAAGGAAATTGGGAGATTGCTGCAATTTGTGGGAATATAAGTGCTGGTATTGCAATTGAACAAATTGGAATGCCAAAGTTTGACAATATTGCAGGAAAAGGTGATTTTTGGAATGGAAAGAGTATAAATGATAGAATTAGTGATTATGTTAAATGGAATGGAATAGATGTTGATGTCGGTAAAGTCTTAGAAATATTGATATGATTTGGTAAAATTATATCTGTTAGTATATAACATTCATACATATTAACACGTGAGAAAATATAAAGTATAGAGCAATTTGATATGTATATACCAGAGATTTGTGAGTTAATGTGTAATATTCTATGAGCAATACTTATCTGTTGAAAGTACATCATTACGTTTCGATCATGATTCTTCAAATGGATGATAAATATTATTTTGATACAAACAAAGACTTTGGTGTTGCTGCAGGTTATAGAGTTCAATTAATTGAGGTTCTTCATTTTTGAAGAAATTTGATAAGTGATAATTGTAATGCTGATGGATTACTATTTAAAAAATTGCTAAACTCATTGAGTTAAAGGTCTTGTGTTATCTATTTTATTCACATTTTAATTCTTTATAATCATTGTGAAAATTTGGGTTCTAGGTTTAAGCGTTGAGAACAATTTTCCAAAATCAGTAAGATGGACTAAATGTATGAAGATGAAAAAAACAAAAAAGATTAAAATAATCCAATTTGCAATTTGTGTCATAAATATCCATCATCTTGAATTAATATCAAACAATTGATACTGTTGTTTATCAACTATATTATACAATAGCAAACAATGAGTCCTTCTAGATCAAAATTAAGAAAGCAACAGAAGGAATTCAATGCTCTTTTAAATTTCCCTGATGAAATTCTACATTTGATTATGGATAATTTAAAATCCCTTGATTTATTGAATTATGTTCGTGCTGTTCCTAAATTACAAAACGATTTCAAAGAGAATTATAGAGTCTTTACTGATTGTGGAGATAAAGCTGAATTCTCATTCTTATCAAATCGCTACTGTTTCAAGCTTGGTCAATCTGGTAAGAAGAGAAACGTTGATAAGTTTCAAATATTCAATGGAACTGTGATGTTTGAAATTTTTGGAAATCATGTACGTCGTGATCGTGGGTATCCTTATAATAGAGATGAAGGTCCCATCAATGAAACCAATGAATTAATTGAAAATATCGCTAAGATAAATACCAATGGTGTAATGTTTAGTGTCAAAGCTCATGAGCATACTTCCTTCGATCATCCAGTTATAGACCTGATAAATATGTCAAACAATCCAGTTTATTCATTAAAGTATCTCAGCTTACCGAAACTAGAGTACTTTGAATTTAATCGAAGAGTTCATACCATTAATACAGAGATTACTACACCATTTGAAGGAGTAACAAATCTCAAAATATCTAAATATCAAGGTGTTGCTAATTTGAATTTCTATCCAAATTTGAAAAATCTGACTATTGAAAATGTTAAAGAATTATCATTTGAGAAGTCTTCAGTCTTCCCTGAAGTACTGGAGTTGAATTCATTCCACGAGGGTATTTTATTCACAAGCTCCATGTGTGAAAAGTTGAAATATCTTTATATTAACCTTTCAAGTCGAGAAGCAAATAATAATTCCTCAACCCATGGTTTGAAGGATCTTGAATTTCCAAACTTGATAGAGCTGGAAATAAGAAGTGGTCAAATAATTAATGAAATTAAAAACATTTCAGCACCATTGTTGAAAAAATTTACTGTAATTGCATCATATTTGGAGTTAGGTCTGGAAAAGTTATCATTCCCAGTTTTAGAATCAATTTATATATCGTCTAAAGGTTTAAATATTACAAATATTGAAAGTATGATGTTTCCTCAATTGGAGAGCTTTGAAATCGGATATACCCCGTCAACAGCTTATGATACTACTGCCAAAAGTAATCATGATATTTCAAAGCTACCTCTTCATTTCCTTAGAAATGCTAGAAAAGGTGAAATATACAATTGTCACCATATTATAGAATCATTAGATATGGTAAATCTAGAAGAACTGTGTTTGAGGGGTGCCCCTGTTAAAGAATACCCTACTAATGCTCAATTCAATAAGCTGAAATCATTAGAAATTTCAAGGGATAAATACGGGTCTGATAAAAATCAAAAGATTCCCAAATTAGTTGCACCAAATTTACAATATCTCAAACTTAAGGCATGTCAAGTTTCTAAAGATTTCTTTGATCAAAATTCAAGCAATTATGTTAACCAACTTGTTTGTCAAGATATACCAGCTCTTGATATATCAGACACTAAATTACCTCATCTTGAAGTTCTTGATATAAATGATGTGGATTCAGAAGTTAACTTATCCAATTGTCATCTTCCTTCTCTAACCAAGTTGATTATACAAGGACACAAAGAATATTATGGTCGATCTAAGTTTGAAACTCATGTGATTCTCCCTGAACTGAGTTTATCTCCAGAGCTAGAAAATATTGATATTTCATATGTTAAGAAGATACAGGGACAGCTAACAAATAAAGATTGTCCCAAGTTGGTTAAGCTAAGGTTTTTCAAGTGCAAGAATGATCCAAAGATTGAGATTCTTCCTCAAGGAAACCTAGAAACCATAATTATTGATACTTCAGTGTCGGACTCTGAAGATTGATATTATTAAATGATATAGTTCATAAGTTTGATTATAAATTCGTATGTTATAGTTTGATATCTATCTCAATATACAGATAATTTATCATATCACATGCAATATCTATAAAATTTGTAGCTTAAAAACGAATCACCATTGTACGTATAGCTAATCTCAACCCTGCAATTTTTTTTTTGTCAAGTTCAACATTTTTAGTTAAGGATTCATAGTTTAAACTTCAACGACAAGTTCGATTCATAAATAGCAGCTGTCTGATAGATCTTGTTGCATAGATTTTGTTTTATGAAGACCGTTGTGAATTTATATGGGACTCGGGGCTTCGTAACGACGAATCCCAACTTCCAGCTTCAATATCTAACAAGATTTTTGATCTAACAATTAGTTCATATGATGTCTACAACAACTGACCAGTAAATATAAATACCATTTTTAGAAGATATTCAAGATGTCCAAATCCAATACATTAGGGAAGTTGGCCGAAGCTACTTCGAAAACACTCAAATCAAAACCATACCAAAAGAAACCACAAGGTAACAAATTATATCCAGATCCTAAAGTTGCAAGGTTTTTATCAAAAACTGATCCAATACGGAAAGAAGAAATACAAGATCAACTATTTACACAAGGTTCTGGTCTTCCCAGATTATCCAAGATCAATCCAGCCGCCTCGAGAAGTATATTACAAGGAGGTGATGATAGAAGCTCAGGTATTCCAAGAATGGGATCAAATAATATGTTTGGATTATCATCAACTGGGAGATTACAAAGAAACATAGATTATTCCAATCCAAAAGATGTTCAATGGATGACATTTGAAACCAAGAAACCAGAGATTTCCCAGTCATATAAGGAAATCATTGAGGATAATTCAATATTGTTGATTATAAATGATATAAGTGATACTGCTACAGATGTAAACTATAAAAACAAAATTGAAGGTACCATTAAGGCTTTTGAATCTGTGCCTAATACAACAAAATTCCTAAATATCCAGAAAGAGATGTTCATAAAGCTCTTGGAAAATGATCCAATCTTATATAAATGCCTTGCAAATCTCAGGATTCAACCTTCGTCTAAAGTGGGTAAATTAGGTTCGTTCATGAAATTGATATCAATCCCAAGTCATGCCATTGAAATCACCCCAAAGATCATCGATGTGCTTCAAGCCAACAAAGGCAGCTATAAATTGGTGTCATTATATGTGAATCTTGATCGTTCTCCTCAACTAGCACAAGATTTAATTTCAATTTCCAAGGATTTTACATCGGATACCAAAGAGATGAACTACGAATCATTATTGAAAAAGGCTATTGACTCACACACTGAAGACAGCACATCCAAGTCCATTTTGAAGAAGATTGGGGAGTCCAACTTGTTGAAGTTATCCACCACTGACAAGAGTATCAGTTTTATCATTGCAGACACTGGGAAGACTGATATCAACCATAAAATCACCAGCTAAAAAGCCAGGAAAAGCCAGGAAAATCCTGGAAATAATAGATATAGATAATCTGAGCAATATCACACAATCAGATCTCCAAATTAACTTTCTGAATTGACACAACTTGTCAATCGATCAACTTGTAGTCTGAATAGTTTGTAAATGCGCTAATCACAAAGCCAAAAAAATCGCGATCATGGCCTATATTATAAAAACAGTACCTCACAATCTTTTGAATTCAAACCAATATATAAATATCAACAACATTCCAATTGAAACTATCCAAGTTATCGCTTATTCATACTAAAGCATTCGCATACTCACACACTCAAACAATGACTAGTGAGAAAAAACCATTTACAATCCCTTATAGTAAACAAAGATTCAGAAGGATAAGACCATTGAGACTAGTGCTTGGTATTGTTATTGCCTTGGGGTTAATTTACGTTATTAGAGGAATTGGTAATGATGATGATGACGATATTGATTATTTAAACCACAAACTAGAACAACTATACAATGTTGATAATCAAATTAAAATCAACAATCATGATGGGAATGGTGGTAGTATATTGGATAAAGATAATTTACATCAATATAAAAAACCTAAGACTGCTACAAATTCAAGATTTAGAGCTCAAACTTGTGAGAATTATGTTGATTATTCTCAAGAGTTACATCAACCATTTTCAGAGGGCCCATTAGAATTACCATTCCAAAGACCACCAGAAAATTGTCGTACTTTTGTATCACCTGCAGTGGATAAAGTTATTGAAGATTTAAAACAAAAAATTAAAGATCCAGATTTAGCAAGACTTGTTGAAAATGCATTACCAAATACTTTGGATACTACTATATTATGGCATAAACCAAAAGGTTCAGATCTTTCTACTAAATATTCACAATCTTTTGTTGTTACTGGTGATATTCATGCTGAATGGTTAAGAGATGCTGCAAGACAATTATCAATATATCATAATTTTACAAATCAAGATGAAGATTTAAAAGAATTGATGAGAGGTGCTATTAATACCCAAGCTTCTTATATCTTGATTAATCCTTATTGTAATGCATTCCATCCCCCACCAGGTTCAGGTATTAAAAAAGGTCAAACTCATATTGATAAAGTTTCTCCGAGAGTTAATTGGAGACATGTATTTGAATGTAAATGGGAAATTGATTCATTAGCTTCATTTTTAACTTTAACAAATGAGTATTTTGAAGCTACAAATGATTATACAATTTTCAATACACTTTGGTTTAATGCAGTGACAAATATTATAAAAGTTATTCATAGACAACAATCACCAACTTTTGATGAAAAGGGAACAGTTTTACCATTTTATTATACATTCCAAAGAGATACTAATGTTGGGACTGAAACTTTACCATTAGCTGGTACTGGTAATCCAGTTAATTATAATATTGGATTAGTTCGTTCTGCATTTAGACCTTCAGATGATGCATGTATTTTCCAATTTTTCATTCCAGGTAATGCACATATTTCAATTGAATTATTGAAAATTAGTAAAAATTTAAAGAAAATTCAAGATAAAATACCTCAAGAATCAATTGATGAATATATTGAAGAAACTGCAAAATTAGGTAATTCAATTAGAGATGCAATTTTCGCAAATGCTATATTTGAGCATAAAGAATTTGGTAAAGTATTTGCATTTGAAATTGATGGATATGGTGGTGCCAATTTTATGGATGATGCAAATATCCCATCATTATTATCATTACCAGATTTAGGTTTCCTAAGTAAAGATGATCCAATTTATCAAAATACAAGAAAAATGATTTTAAGTAATAGAGGTAATCCATATTATATCCAAGGCAAATTTTTCAAAGGTATTGGTGGACCACATATTGGTATTCATAATGCATGGCCAATGAGTTTATTAATGTCTATAAGAACTAGTGATGATGATGAAGAAATATTAGAAAATTTATCAAGTGTTTTACATAATACTGCAGGGTTAGGATTAATTCATGAAAGTATTCAAGTTCAATATCCAGGTGGTGTTAAATTTACAAGACCTTGGTTTGCTTGGGCAAATTCTGAATTTGGTAAAACTATATTAGATTTAGCTCAAAGAAAACCTCATTTAATTTTTAAAGATGAATATGCTAAAACACCATATTCAATTCCAAGTGTTAATTAGTGTTTGAAATCTACACCATATTAGCTTAGCTGTTTATATATTCATTATATTATCACATTCATTTAATTTTTTTTTTGAATACACAATTATCTATATTTATTGACGAATGTATTTTGCAATATTTTCAGCAGTTTTACTACCAGCTTCTTTTGCAACTTGTTCATAAGCTTCTTGATAACGAGCTTGTATTTCTTCTTCCTCATCATTAATTTCACCAGTTCTATCTTCTGGGAAAGTATATTCTCTCTCTACACCTTCTTCTTCATCAGGTAATACAATACCATCATGTTCACCTTCTTCAAAACTTTCAGTATCTGATAATACATTAATTTCATCCTTTTTAGCGGCTTTCTTTCGCTTATTTTGTTCATCTATACCTAAATCTTTCATTAAATGTGATAAACTTTTTTCTTTTTGTTTTTTCTCCTTTTCATCTTTTTCTTTTAAGATTTGTTCTCTTTCAGCTTTATAATATTTATTATATTCATCAACTTTATTATCAACTGCATCTAAAAATTCATCAAAACCTTCACCTGTATAACTTGATACTCCAACAACATCTAATTGTGAATAAAATTCTTCCAACATTAAAGACATTGAATTAACTAAAGAATTCATATACCCGGAACTTGAACCATTTTCATTATTTAATTCTTCATCAGCTCTCAAGGCTTCTTGGAAAGTTTCAAAATCTTTCATCCATTCTTTAGCAAAATCTGCCTTTTTAACATCAGTTTTATTGAAAACAATAATCATTGGTAATTTTGTCTTGTATAATATAGAACATGCATATAACATATTTGAAATAAATGTAGTTGGTGATGAATTTCTTGGAGTATCTACGATATATGCTATAACAGTTGGGAAAGTGGAAGCAAAAGCTTCAGTTATGATTGCCCCTGAGGCAGACCAAATAAAACATTCAATTTGACCTGGAGTATCAACAATAACATTTTTAAATTTATCAGATTTTTTTTCAACTAATGAAATAACTTGATCAATTTTTGTAGAGAATAAATTTAATGATGTAACAATTGCACCATTTGGACCTAAATTATAATTTTCCATAACTTTTTTATATTTAACAGAGTCTCTAATATCTATATTTGCACCAAATGGGACTTTCAACACTGCAGGATCTAAATTAATAACATATGGTGGAGTTTCTTTGGAATATAAATGTGAATTTAATCTTTGCATAAATGTAGTTTTACCGGAACCTTTATTATTGTTAGTATAAAAGCACTCTTAAAATAATCACTGGTGAGTTATATGATATTGTACTTACCGGCCATACCGATACATAGAACAGTTTGTGGAGCCATTTTGAAGTATAATTAATTTGACTTAATAGCTTTTGTTTGAACTCTTGATCCAAAAAGAAGTTCTATTAGTAAAACTTTATTTTTTTTTCTGCTTATATGTAATTTTTCAAAATACACTATGGATTATGTCATCGTTGTGCGAGTGGTTAGTAAGCAGTGTTTTTTTTAAATTTTCCATCAAAAACAATTACAATTTACAACGTCAATGTTTTAAACAATTTTACAATTCGTTTTTCTTAATTATGGATTCACTTATTTGTCAATGTGATTTATTGAACCTCTCGGCTTGATTGTTGGTTATTATTTCACTACCAAAGATCTATACGAGGATCTCATTGTTCCGTTACTCCATGGTTGTGAGTTTCTGGAAAGTTATCTTGGTTTCCTTTTATGAATGAAGACTATCCAAAATATTTATTTTCAAGTACCATTATACATTATTAAAGTTGATTAATTCTATGTCATATATATGAAATTATGAGACCAAGCATGAACAAAGGTGGTCTGTTGAACGTTGTTGGATGTGAAAAATTTCGTCCACGCGTCAATTGGAACCATCTTGTAATAAATATTTTTTGAAATGAATTGTTTATACTAGTTGTAGAATATAAGTAGAAACGAATGGTCTATAGTCTCTTCATAAGAAAATTATATCAAATTGTTTACATCTCTAACTATCTATATCATACATGATGTTTAATTTCTATCTATACAAATATATAATTGGTCTTCATTTTGATCCATAAATTTTCAAAACTCTTGAATCAACATCATCCAAAATATATTGATATGGAATAATTTTCAAATCATTAGCTTCTTGATTCATAATCTTATCAGGTGTTGGACCACCTGGCATCATTGGTGGTGCCATTGTTTGTTGTTGCATTTGATTTGGCATTTTTGAACCATCACCCAAAAAAACATTATAAATAGAATTCAAACCCAAAGTTACAATAAAATACCATGATATGGATGAAACCCATCTAACATCTAAATCTGTTGTTGCAACACCAGATTGTAACATTTGTTTAAATCTTAAAGTTAATGGGAATGGTAATTTCATTAAAACGAATCCTGCAAAGAAGAAATTTGTCCAACCCATCATTATTGTTTGTGATAGGAAATTCCCCATTGAATTCTTAGCCATATTCATCATTGCATCACTTGTACCTGGATCAGTTAATGGATTTTTAGGTTGATCATCATCTGTTTTGATTTCTTCAGCAAGATATTCTCCATTTGAAAGTTTTTCACTAAGGTAACTTTGTCTTGATTCAAAATCCCTTTTAGGTAAATTTATATAATTTGTTTTCAATAATTGTGCCTTTTTAATATGTTCTGATTCTCTTATTTTACTTAATGGTTGTAATTTTGGTGTTGGATTTAATAAAATTTGAATATATTGTCTCAAGATCCCGAAAAGTATCATAACTAATGAGATTGGTAAAAGGACCCAATACCTTAAACTTGGGTCAATTATAAGATCTGGAACAGCCATTGTGGTACTTCTGAAGCTTCTTAGATTGAAACAAGTGATTTGTTCTTACACTTAGTTTCTTTGTTATTGGAATACTTTCAAAGATCCCGTTGATTTTTATCACCAATTTCGCTGTGCTTATATAACAAATTACAAATCAATATACTGAATATGATTTCCAATTAACAATTAATATACACAAATATTCAACCAAAAAGACCTTCTTCATAACCAGTAGGAATTGGTCTATCACCATATACACCACCCCAAGATTTTGGTTTTTGGAAATTGGATGGTATTGAGATATTTAATACATCTAGAGCTTTTTTAGTGAAGAGTTCAGCATCATAAAAATTATCACCTTCATAAACATAAATTAACAAGGCAGTTATTGTGGTGGTGTTATTTAAGTTATGGATTAAGTTGGAGACAAAAGGTGTGAATAATTCTTTTGCTTTATCTAAATTTGAAGTATTTGAAACGTTTAAAGATTTAAATCTTTCATTTAAATCATTTGAATATAATTCAATTGGATCTGAATAATTTAAATCAGTTTTCAAAGCATGATCATTTGAATCTAATAATAATACTTCATTGAATTCCAACTCTGTAACAACTGAGACCAAATAATCCAAGAAATTTTGTGAATAATCAGATAATATTGGAGATCTTTGTTGTATAATTGATAAATTTAATTCTTCATTATAATATAATTCTAAAGCAGTGGAAACTCCAACATCATGATCCACTTGTTTACCGTTGTCAACATAATCAACAGGTGATGCAAAGGGATAAAGATAAGTTGAATCCAATTGAGCAACTAATTTGGTTTGTAAATTATGTATGAATAAATCAGCTGATAGTTGAGGAACATTACCTATTGATATTGAAGGAATCACCAATTTTGAGCCTTTAACTTGGGATTTCAATGAATCTAATGAGCCTTGGATAGGAACTAGATCAACAGTCATATTAACGTAGAACAAATGAACTAATAACACTCTTAACTTCCACTGTTTCTTCCAATTGTTTTACAAATGTGTCAATTTCGCCTTCGAGATTGGTTATAATACTCCCAGACGGTTCCTGATCCAGTGCGAATACTGAACAGAACTGATTCCTGAACAATTAAGATTAAACGAGAATACAACCAATGACACCACCAATATTACTACAAATAATACAACTAATACAATACTGTGACTACTCTTTGCCTAATCTAGTCTTTTGCCCATTAAATTCACCCTCATCACCGCAAATAAAATAAATTCTGGTTAAACACCCGTTTATTTACTGGACTCTAGGCTAGATCCCGGTGCTCAAATTTACCATGAAATCAGCTAAGTTCTCTGCCCAGTCACCCACAAACCGTTCCTGTTTTTACCCACACGCCTATTATTTTTTTTTCTTTTTAACGATTTTCGATGAGCTCCAAATTTTTTTTATTTTATTTTTTTTTTTTGTTTACCATGAATTAGTTGGCATGAAAAAAAAAAATTACCATACATTTCACCTTTTTTATCTTTAACATCTATACAATTTCGAATATATATACTACAATATATACCAATACAATACAATATGAGTGACGAACAAGACGTTGATAATGCTTCCCTCGACCAACTTCGTGATATCTTGATTAACAAGTCTGGTGATGTTAAATTAGCAAATAGATTTAGAGCTTTATTCAATTTAAAATGTATAGGTTCAGAAATTGATACTGATAAAGCTCGTGCTGATATTGCTGTTCAATATATTGGTGAATGTTTTAAAGATAGTTCGGAATTATTAAAACATGAAGTTGCCTATGTTCTTGGACAAACTAAAAATATGACTGCTGCTCCAATCTTGAGAAGTATTTTGATTGATGATAAAGGTCAACAAGTTATGGTTAGACATGAAGCTGCTGAAGCACTTGGTGCTCTTGGTGATAAAGATTCACTTGAATTATTACAAGATTATTTTAAAAATGATCCACTAATTGAAATTAGACAAACTTGTGAATTAGCCATTGAAAGAATTCATTGGGAAAATTCTGAAAAATCTAAAACTGAAAATTTACAATTAAGTCTTTATGAATCAATTGATCCTGCTCCTCCATTAGCTATTGATCAAGAATATAAAATTGAAAAATTGAAAAATATTTTAAATGATCAAGATACTTCATTATTTGAACGTTATAGAGCAATGTTTAGATTAAGAGATATTGGTACTGATGAAGCTTGTTTAGCTTTAGCTTCTGGATTTGATGATGAATCTGCTTTATTTAAACATGAAATTGCCTATGTGTTTGGTCAAATATGTAATCCTGTTACAGTTCCATCTTTAATTAAAGTATTAAAAGATGTTAGAGAAGCTCCAATGGTTAGACATGAAGCTGCTGAAGCTCTTGGTTCAATTGCAACTGATGAAGTTTTACCAATTTTACAAGATATTAAAAAAGATGATGAAGATGAAGTTGTTAGAGATTCTGCTGTTGTTGCTTTAGATATGTGGGAATATGAAAATTCTGGTGAATTAGAATATGCAACAACTGCTTGAATTTTATAATATTGTTGTATATATTTAATGTGTTTTTAATGTGTTTATAATTTTTTGTTTATATAATATATTATGGTTTATATTTATATTTAAATCTGTACTATAAGACTACAAGGACACTCTTTCTATATTACTTTTATATTAATATTATACAAAACACCAAATTAACTTAAAAACCCAAATTTATATATATAAAATGCATGAAACTTTATACCACTAGTATATAGTATGATATGACATGATATGGAAAGACATCTCTCCAAAATCAATTATTTGTTCTAAAACGATGACCACAATCAGTACATGTATAAAACACAGTAGCACCTTCATCTGCACTTCTTAATTGTAATGTATGATATTGCATTTCTTCATTACCACATTTTGGACATTTTTCTTTAATAGTTGCACCTTCTTCTAATTCATTTGATTTTAATATAGTCTTGACTGCTGATTTTTTCAATCTAAGAGTGGATGGGAATGCTTCTTCTGATGATTTGGTGATAACTTTTAAATTTGAGAAATCTTTAACGTATTGTTAGTATATAGATCAAATGATTTCATTATCGGACTAATTAATACTCACCTTTAGCATTATAAGATCTTTCACAATCGCCACACGTTATAGTTTTTGCACTGGTGACTTGGTCGAGCAAAGTACCACAATCCAAACAGAAAATCAAACTACCAACAACAGACATCTTTAAAAGATCTTCTTATTACTTATTCCAAATACTTTTTCTATGATTTCAATATTTCAATAGTTAAGCTCATCTCTAAATTTTTTTTTATTTAATATATTCGCGAAAAATCACCAAATTTTTACCCGGTTTTGATTTTCCAGATCTTTTACTTTGATTTCTTTCAAAACGCGATGGCCAAATTAAAGAATTTAAATACATAGTGAATAAATATCAAATTCTATAGATCTCATCATATTATAATCAATTCAAAATGGCTCAACAAATGATGGAGATGCCAGACATGTCTAATGCCATAGTGGCACAAGATGAAATGGGAAGACCTTTCATCATTGTTAGAGATCAAGGTAATAAAAAAAGAGTTCATGGTATAGAAGCTAAAAAAACTCATATATTAGCTGCTAGATCTGTTGCATCAATTATAAAATCCTCCTTAGGTCCAAGAGGTCTTGATAAAATCTTGATTAGTCCTGATGGAGAAATCACAATTACTAATGATGGTGCTACTATCCTTTCACAAATGGAGTTAGATAATGAAATTGCAAAATTATTAGTTGAATTATCCAAATCTCAAGATGATGAAATTGGTGATGGTACTACTGGTGTTGTTGTTCTTGCTGGTGCTTTATTAGATCAAGCTTTAGAATTGATTGATAAGGGGATCCATCCTATAAAGATTGCTAATGGGTTTGATGCTGCTTGTAAAGTTGCAATTGATCAATTGGATAAAGTTTCTGATGATATAGAAAGTAATACTGAAATACTTTTAAGAGCTGCTAAAACTTCATTAGGTTCTAAAATTGTTAGTAAATCTCATGATCAATTTGCCAAGATGGCTGTTGATGCTGTCTTATCAGTTGCTGATAAAGAAAGAAAAGATGTTGATTTTGAATTAATTAAAGTTGAAGGTAAAGTTGGTGGATCATTAGAAGATTCAAAATTAATTAAAGGTGTTATCTTGGATAAAGATTTTTCTCATCCTCAAATGCCAAAAAGAATTGAAGATGTTAAATTAGCTATATTAACTTGTCCATTTGAACCTCCAAAACCTAAAACTAAACATAAATTAGATATTTCATCTGTAGAGGAATTTAAAAATTTACAAGATTATGAACAAAATAAATTTAAAGAAATGGTTCAACAAGTTAAAGAGTCAGGTGCTAATTTAGTTATTTGTCAATGGGGGTTTGATGATGAAGCTAATCATTTATTATTACAAAATCAATTACCTGCAGTTCGTTGGGTTGGTGGTCCAGAAATTGAATTAATTGCCATTGCAACTGATGGTCGTATTGTTCCAAGATTTCAAGATCTTTCTCCAGAAAAATTAGGTAAAGCTGGTAAAGTTTATGAATTAGAATTTGGTACAACAAGAGATCGTATGTTAGTTATTGAAGAATGTTCAAATTCAAGAGCTGTTACATGTTTCCTTAGAGGTTCAAATAGAATGATTGTTGAAGAAGCTAAACGTGCATTACATGATTCTCTTTGTGTTGTACGTAATTTAATCCGTGATTCAAGAGTTGTTTATGGTGGTGGTTCTGCTGAAATTACAAGTTCTTTAGCTGTTAGTGAAGCTGCTGATAAACAACAAGGTATTGATCAATATGCTTTCAGAGCTTTTGCCAATGCCTTGGATACAATTCCAATGACTTTAGCTGAAAATTCAGGTTTAGATCCAATTGAAACTTTAACAAATATTAAATCTCGTCATGTTAAAGAACAAAATTCTAATTTAGGTGTTGATTGTTTAGGTAAAGGTTCAAATGATATGAAAGATTTATTTGTTGTTGATCCATTAATTGGTAAAAAACAACAATTATTATTAGCTACTCAATTAACTAGAATGATTTTAAAAATTAATGATGTGATTATTACTGGTAAAGATGAATATTAATGAATCTCTACTAGAGGGTTTTCAAAAACGTACATAGCTTGTGTGATACCAAATAAACAGTCCTACAAAAGGTCTATTTTATTTCTAAAAAAAAATTGTAACTCCATTTTTATATATACTTTTTCATATTTATACATTAGTCTGTTTAGTTTTTTATCATGATGTTCATTAATTTATGGTACATTGAATAATGAAAAATTACGAACAATACTTGGACCATATTCATCATAATCTTGTTTTGTATGACAATAAGAATTAAATTCACTAGTTTGAGCTAATAAAGAACCACCAAACCAAACAGCATGTCTTTGTTTTTTATGTGAAATAACTTCAACTTCAACACCACTTGATTTAGTACCATGACTTAATTGTTCACTTGTAGCAATTCTATCATTAACTATACCTTTAATATCTCTTTGTAAACGACGACCAAAATCTTTAAACATTGTTGAACCACCACTTAAAACAATATTTTTATATAAACCTTTTCTAACATCTATTGGAGCAGCTTGAATAACATTATCCACCACAGTTGGTAATGGAGTTAGGAAATCTGATGATGCAATTTCTGGATTGAAGAAAATTTCTGGAGCTAAAAATCTTTCATAACCAACATCAACAATTTTCTTGGATCTTGTTGTTTCCACTATATATTGAGCAAATTTTTCAGGTTCTCTATCAAATTTATTGAATTCTTTAACAATATCTGGAACAACATAACAAAATTCTTGTTTAATTTTTTCAGCTGTACGTAATGAAGTATCAGCTTCACCACGATCTCTTAATAAAGATTGAATGAATAAAGTTATATCACGACCTGCAATTGGAATATTCTTTATAGCAGATCCAATAACATAACCTTCAGCAACTGGAATAACATGTGTAACACCATCACCTGAATCAATAACAGTACCTGTTAAAGATCTATCAGTAACTTTTGATGAAGTCCAAGAAGCTGCAAGTGCCAACACAGCTTGAACTGCAATATATAAACCTGCACAATTGAAAGATTCAAACATAATTTCTGCAGTGTTTTCTCTATTTTCTGGTGCATTTAAAGGAGGTTCAGTTAAAAGGAAATAATGATCTTCAGGTTCACATCTTAGGTATTTAAATATAGAATTTTCCCAAAATCTTTCCATATGATCCCAATTTTCAATTTGACCATGTTTAATAGGATATGAAAGTGAATAAGCTTGACCATTTGCAGCATCAAGAGCCTCGTCACCAATAAAAAAATCTAAATCTTCTGTACCTCTTTTACTTTGTAAATGACCACTTGAACCTGAATTACCAGAAGATCCACCTAAAAATGAAGGTTTTGAAGGAGGTGCAGGTTTACCAGAATTAGCAGCACGACTAGCAATTGCAGTTGGGAAGACATAAGATGGAGCATCATTACCGGCAAACCCTAGCTTGGTAAGACCAGTACCACTAAAGGAAAAAGTTGTTAGTAATTGAATCAGACGAGAAATTGATATGAGTTTGGCTGAATTCACCGATATCCACATACTTGTCTATAGAATTGCGGAAATGTTAGTATATACCTTCAAATATAAAGTCAATTAGGAGGGTGTTTCCTCCCAATTAGAGCTCTCTTTGGTGTCCATACATACCCATAACAACAGCAGGAGTGGTTAAGTTCGACATTGTGCACTGTGATTCTTTTATAATCTGACAATTCCCAATCTGTGAGTTTGACACTATGTTCTTTATTAGGGGCTTTTCTGGTATCAATTGTCATGAAATCAAATCGCTGAAACCCAAAAGAGAAAACGACCGGGTAAATTTAGTGGGTTTCGCGAATTATAGTCAGTCTAAATATCAACTTCTTTATCTTATAAACATCAACAGAATTCAGAAATCATTAGAAAAGAAAGGGATTTCTAGTACAAAAGGTGTTTCAATCAGACGATGTCGCAGCCGCCAGACAGCTTTGCGCTCACACAGATCTTCCTGGGACTCAGGTCCAAGAGCGCTCAGGAACGAACAGCTGCTGTGGTGGAGTTGAGGACTCACTTGGTGACAACGGCGAGAGAGGTCACTTCGGAACAGTTCACAAGATATAACAACGAGATCAACAACAAGATTTTCGAATTGATCCATGGTAGTGATGCTTCTGAGAAAGTCGGTGGGATCTTAGCTGTGGATACAATGATTGATTTCTTTGGTGGTGAAGATTTACCTAATCAAACTTCAAGATTGGCAAATTATCTACGGTTCTTGATACCATCTTCTGATATAGAGATTATGAAGTTAGCTGCAAAGACTTTAGGGAAATTAGCCATACCTGGTGGTAGTTTAACTTCGGATTTTGTTGATCATGAAACTAGAAATGCAATTGAATTATTACAAACCGAGAAACAAGAAAGTAAAAGACATGCTGCTGTATTAGTTATAGCTGCTATTGCTGAAAACTCACCAACTTTATTCCATAGTTATGTAAATACTATATTGGAAAACATATGGACTGCATTAAGAGATTCAAAATTAGTGATTAGAATTGATGCAGCAAAAGCTCTTGAAAAATGTCTTGATGTCATATATGAACGTGATTTAAATTTAAGGAAAAATTGGTTCGCTAAATTAATTGAAGGTGCATCTAATGGATTTAAACTAAATACAAGTGAATCTATTCATGGGTCTCTTTTAGTATTTAAAGAACTTGTTAAGAAAGGTGGTATGTTTATTCAAGATAAATATGATGCCATTTTTGAAACTTCATTTAAATATAGAGAACATAAATATAATATCATAAGACAAGAAGTTACTCATATAATTCCATTATTAGCTGCATATAACCCATCAAAGTTTGTTGAAAAATATTTACATCGTACATTATTATTTTATTTAACTCAATTGAAAGAAGAAAATGAAAAAGCTGCTATATTAATTTCAATTGGTGATATTGCATATGAAGTTGAAGGTCAAATAACAACATATCTTGATGCAATTTTGGATAATATAAGAGATGGTCTCACTTCAAAATCAAGAATACGGAGAAGTATTGAACCTGCTATTTTCTATTGTGTTGGTAAATTAGCATATGCAGTAGGACCTGCTTTAACAAAACATTTACAAAGAGATATCTTGGATATGTTATTATCATGTTCTTTAAGTGATCATATGAGAGAATGTTTATTAATTCTTACACAAAGAATCCCACCATTAGAAAATATAATCAATACCAAGACATTACATTTATTAAGTTATTGTCTCTCGGGATATCCATTTAGTCAACCTGGTTCACCAACTTCAACAAATATAATGAATCCACAATTAGCAAGACAATATAGAGATAATACTGGGTCCCGTAATGGGATTAATGATGATGACTACATTATAATACAAGCCATGAAAATGTTAAGTTTTTTCAATTTTAAAAATGAATCATTATTTGAATTTGTTAGATTTTGTACAATTACTTATATTGAACATGATAACCCTGAAGTAAGGAAATATGCTGCTTTGACATCATGTGATTTGTTCCTAAAGGACAATGTTTGTTTCCAAACTTCAAGTTATTCATTAAATGCCGTGTCTGAAGTTTTAGATAAATTATTAACTGTGGCAATTACAGATCCAATTCCTGATATAAGATTGGAAGTTTTAAATTCATTAGGTTCTAATTTTGATCCTCAATTATCTCAAGCTGATAATGTTCGTTTATTATTTATGGCTTTAAATGATGAATTCTTTGCTATTCAAGAAGTTGCAATTCAAATTATTGGAAGATTATCATTTATAAATCCTGCATATATTGTTCCATTCCTGAGGAAAACTTTAATTCAATTATTAACAAAACTAGAATACTCATCAGTTAGTAGGAAAAAAGAGGAAAGTGCAATTTTATTATCATTATTAATTACATCTTCTAAAAATGTTACAAAACCTTATGTTAAACCAATTGTTGATGTTCTTTTACCAAAAGCTAGAGATAAAAGTGCATCAGTTGCTTCAAGTTCTATAGCTGCACTTGGTGAATTATCTGTTGTTGGTGGTGAAGATGTTAAGCCATTTATTCCAAATCTAATGCCTTTAATTTTAGAAACTTTCCAAGATCAATCTTCATCTTTCAAAAGAGATGCTGCATTGAAAACCTTAGGTCAAATTTCAGGCTCAACTGGTTATGTTATTCAACCATTGCTTGATTATCCACAATTATTAGGTATTATAATAAATATCTTAAAATCTGAAACTTCACCAGCTATAAGAAGAGAAACTGTTAGACTGTTAGGTATATTGGGTGCTCTAGATCCTTATAAACATAAGGAAGTTGAACGGATCTCAAAACATATTGTTGTGGAAGGTCCACCAACTGATGTTGCTTTATTAATGCAAGGTATGAGTCCATCAAATGAAGAATATTACCCAACTGTTGTTATAAGTACATTATTGAAAATCTTGAAAGATTCATCATTAGCAACGTATCATTCCAGTTGTATTCAAACAATTGTTTTAATTTTCAAAACTATTACAATCACATGTATCAAATTCACTGGAAGTATAATTGAAGCTATTATCAGTGTTATGCATGAATGTGCTTCATCAATGTTGGAATTTTATCTCCAACAAATGAGTGCTTTGATAAGTATTGTTAAACAACATATTAGACCTTTCTTACCACAAGTTTTTGAAGCCATTAGAACTTTTTTCAATCAACCTAATTTACAAGTAACTATAATATCATTAATTGAATCAATTGCAAAAGCTTTAAATGGAGAATTCAAAATGCATTTATCATCTGTTTTACCTTTATTATTAGATGTTTTTGGTAATGATAAATCAGGAAATGTATCCATAAGGATTTTAAAAGCATTTGTTGTATTCGGTAGTAGTATTGAAGAATATGTTCCATTAATCATCCCAAATGTTGTCCATCTATTTGAATTTGGTCCACAAAATTTAAAAAAATTTGCAATTACCACAGTGGGAAAATTATCAAGAAATGTTAGCTTGAATGATATGTCTTCAAGAATCATACATACATTATTAAGAGTTTTAGGTACTCAAAATGATGAATTAATTAAAGCTGCTATGAATACTATGAGCTTATTGTTGCTTCAAATGGGTAATGAATTTACTGTTTTCATACCTGTTGTTAATAAAATTTTAGTTAAGAATAGAATTCAATCATCTACATATGATCAACTGGTTAATAAATTATTAAATGATGAACCATTACCTCAAAATTTGATTTTGGATAAAGAACTTGAAAATGGTGATGCTTTAGATATAGTGGAGCTGCCTTCCAAGAAATTACCTGTTAATCAACAAATTTTGAAAAACGCATGGCAATGTTCACAATGTCGTACAAAGGAAGATTGGCAAGAATGGAGTAGGAGATTAAGTGTTCAATTGTTAAAAGAATCACCATCACATGCCTTGAGAGCATGTTCTTCACTTGCAAGCAGTTATTACCCATTAGCTAAAGATTTATTCAATGCAAGTTTTGCAAGTTGTTGGAGTGAATTATATACACAACATCAAGAAGAATTAGTTCAATCATTATGTATGGCATTATCTTCACCAAATAATCCACCAGAAATTTATCAAACTTTGTTAAATTTGGCTGAATTTATGGAACATGATGATAAACCATTACCTATTCATATTTCGACTTTAGGTCAATATGCACAACGTTGTCATGCTTATGCTAAAGCTTTACATTATAAAGAATTGGAATTTAGTCAAGAGCCATCAACTTCAACTATCGAATCATTGATTAGTATCAATAATCAACTTCAACAATCTGATGCAGCTATTGGTATTTTAAAACATGCTCAACAACATCATGATTTACAATTGAAAGAAACTTGGTATGAAAAGTTACAAAGATGGGAAGATGCATTGAAAGCTTATAATGAAAGAGAAGTTGATACAATTGAAACAACCATGGGTAAAATGCGTTGTTTGCATGCTTTAGGTGAATGGGATCAATTGTCTCAATTGGCTCAAGAAAAATGGACAAATTCATCTACTGATATTAGAAGAACTGTTGCTCCATTGGCCGCTGCTGCTGCTTGGGGTCTAGGTCAATGGGATAGATTAGATACTTACATCACAGTCATGAAACCAGAATCTCCAGATAAATCATTTTTCAATGCTATTTTAAGTCTTCATAGAAACAATTTTGAAGAAGCTTCATCACATATATTCAAAGCTAGAGATCTGCTAGTTACTGAAATTACAGCCCTGGTTAGTGAAAGTTATAGTAGAGCTTATGGTGTTGTTGTTAGAGTACAAATGCTTGCAGAGTTGGAAGAAATCATCAAGTATAAGAACATGCCTCAACATTCTGAAGCTCGTGGTGTCATGAGAAAAACTTGGAATGCTAGATTGTTGGGTTGTCAAAGAAATGTTGATATTTGGCAAAGATTATTAAAAGTCCGTATGTTAGTTGTTAAACCGAAACAAGATATGGAAATGTGGATCAAATTTGCCAATTTATGCAGAAAATCGGGTAGATTAGGTTTAGCTGAAAAATCATTAAATTCATTATTAGAAGAAGGTGATGATCCAAACACATCAAGAGCACCACCACAAGTTGTCTATGCTCAACTGAAATATATGTGGGCTACGGGTTCGCAAAAAGAAGCATTGAGTCATTTAATTGATTTTACATCCAGAATGTCACACGATTTAGGGTTGAATCCTGATGATTTGATTACGCAACCATTACCAGCACACACAAATATCAAGAATGTTCAAGAATATACGAGATTATTAGCTAGATGTTTCTTGAAACAAGGTGAATGGCAAGTTGCTTTACAACCTAAATGGAGAACTGAAAACTCTGAAACAATTCTTGGTTCATACTTGTTGGCTACACACTTTGACAGTAATTGGTATAAGGCATGGCATAATTGGGCTTTGGCTAACTTTGAAGTCATTTCATTGCTGACCTCAAAATCTGCAATCAATGAAAATAGTGATGGTGAAAATGCATTTTCTCAAGAACTTGTTCAACAACATGTTGTTCCTGCAATTCGTGGGTTCTTCCATTCTATTTCATTATCAGAAACCAATCCACTTCAAGATACTTTAAGATTATTAACTTTATGGTTCACATTTGGTGGTGTTCCAGAACCTGCTCAGGCAATGACTGATGGGTTTGGTATGGTCAAGATTGATACTTGGTTAGAAGTTATTCCACAATTGATTTCCAGAATTCATCAACCAAACCAAACAGTTAGTAGATCATTACATGGTTTATTATCAGATTTAGGTAAAGCACATCCACAAGCTTTAGTCCATCCATTAACTGTTGCTGTTAAATCTGATAGTGTTTCAAGACAACGTGCTGCTTTGAATATTCTTGATAAAATGAGAATTCATAGTCCAACTTTGGTTGGTCAATCAGAACTTGTTAGTGATGAACTTATTAGAGTTGCTGTGTTATGGCATGAATTATGGTATGAAGGTTTGGAAGATGCGTCAAGACTGTTCTTTGGTGAACATAATACAGAAAAGATGTTTGCTGTTTTGGAACCACTTCATAAAATGCTTGAAAGAGGTCCTGAAACTTTACGTGAAGTTTCATTTCAAAACACTTTCGGTAGAGATTTAAGTCATGCTTATGAATGGGTCTTGAGTTTCCGTCGTACCAAAGATATTGCTAAATTAAATCAAGCGTGGGATATTTATTATAACGTTTTCCGTCGTATTAACAGACAACTGCCACAACTACAAACTTTAGAGTTACAATATGTTTCTCCAAAATTATTGGCTGCTAAAGATCTTGAGCTTGCAATTCCTGGTACTTATAAACCTGGTAAACCAATCATTAATGTTGTGAGCTTTGAACCTAACTTTTCAGTTATTTCATCTAAACAAAGACCACGTCGTATTGGTATCAAAGGTAGTGATGGTAAAGAATATTTCTATTTATTGAAAGGTCATGAAGATATTCGTCAAGATAGTTTAGTCATGCAATTATTTGGTTTAGTCAATACATTATTGGTCAATGATCCAGAATGTTTCAAAAGACATTTAGATATTCAGCAATATCCACCTATTCCATTGTCACCAAAAACAGGTTTATTAGGTTGGGTTCCAAATAGTGATACTTTCCACGTTTTGATTAGAGAATATCGTGAATCAAGAAATATCATTTTAAACATTGAACATCGTATCATGTTACAAATGGCACCAGATTATGATAACTTAACATTACTACAAAAAGTTGAAGTGTTCACTTATGCTCTGGATAACACAAGAGGTCAAGATTTATACAAGGTGTTATGGTTAAAGAGTAGATCATCTGAATCATGGTTAGATAGAAGAACTACGTATACAAGATCATTAGCTGTTATGTCTATGGTTGGTTATATTTTAGGTCTTGGTGATCGTCATCCTTCAAATTTGATGTTGGATAGAATTACAGGTAAAGTTATTCATATTGATTTCGGTGATTGTTTTGAAGCTGCTATTTTACGTGAAAAATATCCTGAAAAAGTGCCATTTAGACTTACAAGAATGTTAACCTATGCTATGGAAGTTAGTGGTATTGAAGGTACATTTAGAATTACTTGTGAACAAGTTATGAGAGTTTTACGTGATAATAAAGAGTCATTAATGGCTATTTTGGAAGCATTTGCTTATGATCCATTGATTAATTGGGGGTTTGATTTACCAACAGAAACCATAACAGGTTCTGAAATTGGTTTCCAACCAGTAAATACTGCAGAATTATTACGTAGAGGTCAAATTGATGAACAAGAAGCCGCCAAATTGGAAGTTCAACAAAAGATTGAAATTAGAAATGCAAGAGCTATTTTGGTTTTGAAAAGAATCACAGATAAGTTGACAGGTAATGATTTTACACGTGTTAGTGAATTAAGTGTTCCAGATCAAGTTGATAAATTGATTCAACAAGCTACATCAGTTGAGAACTTATGTCAACATTATATAGGGTGGTGTTCATTCTGGTAAGATGCATAATTATTGGTTATTTATATTTATATTAAAGTATTTGTTTTCATTATGGGGAGAAAAAGTTTTTATTAGACGGTTTTATGTTTTGACCTTTTTTCATTGTAGACATCTTTTAGTTCAGAGCGCTAAATCGGTGGTGCATTAAATTTGGTTTTGTGGCCACCATTATGTCCTTCCAGTTGAATGAAAATAGATCCATTTTTTAGATCTTGAAACTCCATGACTGACTTATAAAGACATCATACACTAGATCAACTGTCATCAGTCGTTCATTCATTCGTATATTCATTCATTCACTCGTTAATTATATATTTATCATGACTACTCCTCTTTGTGTTGTCGCTGCAGTCGGTGGTTATTTTGCTCTTATGATAGGGTTGATCATTAGAGGCCAAAACATCATAGGTAAAGAGATAAGAGAAAAATCTAGAAGAGAAGAAGCAATTTTAAGAGAAGCCTTTGGTCATAGACAACCGTATGTACTTTTGTGAGCATTTGTGGAGCTTGAGTTTTGAAAGACAGTTATACTAACAATTATGTATCAGAAATAATAGAGATGAATCTGCAGAAACTGGTACATCAAGAAATTAAGCTGGTAAAGGATTCCTATAGTACAATATTTTGAGTTTTCCCATAAATTATCAGTTTATCATATATTTACATTCATATTCAAATATCCCTGACTCATTGTCTACTGCTGAAATCTGCAGTCATATTGATAAATAATTGGTTTCAATAAATTTTGTTCTAGTGCTGGTCTTGATATTTATATTAACATTGATCATAATGCATTATATATTAACACATGGTTAGATTTTATTTGTTTGCTGCATATTAATTATCCAATCCCAACAAGTTGAAATCTTTAATTCAAATCAAATGTCGGACGTCGAGTGTCGAGTGCTAAGAATATGTCTCACGTTTAATCTATTATGAATATGGAGATCTACGTAGATTTGAATTCGAAATTAATCAAGTTCTCAAAGGCAGTATATAAGTATACCGTATAAGGCCTTAATGGATATACATAAGCACTTTTTGATTTTCTTTTTGTCAGTAATTATGTATAATTTTTGGCGCCTTCAAGTGCTTTATCGGTGGTACTTTAATTTTGGTTTTGTGGTTCATCATGGCCATCGGTTAAATGAAAATAGATTAGTTCTACTTCACAACTCCATTGATCTGATCGTACTTTTAAAGACATCATATACACTAAATCAACTGTTTTCAGTCATTTAAACATCTGTTCATTCATTCATTCATTAATTCATTGTTTCATTCGTTAATTATACATTCATTATGCCCACTCCTCTTTGTGTTTCTGGTACTATGGTCGGTATGGTCGGTGGTTACATTATCCTGATATTGGGACTTGTTGTAAGAGGTCAAAATATGCATTTTAAAGAATTAAGAGAGAAAAACAGAAGAGAAGAAGCAATTATGAGAGAATCACTTGGTCTTAGACAAAGGTATGTATTTGTATCATGTGAGTCTTGAGTTCTAAAAGAAAGTTATACTAATATTTATTTATCAGATATAGTAGAGGTGAACCTGAAGCTGATGCGTCAAGAGAGCATGATGCAAAGGGATAAAAAATACAGATTGACTATTCCCATAAAGAATTAGTTTAAATTCCAACTCATTGAAATCTTTGGTTTTCTAGTCGCTGCTGAAATTTCCAGTCATCAAGGTTTCAAATTGGTTCAATTGTTGGACTTGTTGTCTTGATAATTACAATATCATTTCTTCGTGCACATTACATGGTCATTTTTGCTAATCTTATTATGAAAAGTTTACTAAATTGTTCAATTCATTTGGTTTGTTTCGGTAATTGTTTTGGTTTGGTTTGTTCTAATATTAAAGCTGTTGATCAAATTCTTTGTTTTTGTTTGGTTTAATTATACATAAAATCGATCTAATGATGTTTTAATTAATCTCTACTGGTGTCATCCTGGTATTTGAGGTACATATATTAATATAATGAATGTTTAACGATAAGTCTATATATTCTAATGAGTTTATTCGTAGCTTAATTATGATATTAAAGTGTGATATTTATTACAGTACAAAGTTGTGACACAAACACCATATAAAAAAAACTTTGAAAAATAATTCATTGATCAAAATCAGCTTCAATCATAAACCTTGTTTTAAATGTTCAGTAGCTCAATCATACTAAATCACAACCCATCATAACCATAATGTCAGCAGCACAATTAGAAACATCCAAAAAAATACAACAACATGTTAGAGACCAAACAATTTGGCGTCAGAACCTTATTAAAAAACGAAAACAAGAGGAACTGTTTAGAAAAAGACAAAAAGAAAAACGTCTGAAGAATGGTAAGCCAACTAGTTTATCGTGAGTATTAAACAATTAATAAAATTCTTTATATTGGTATAATCATGAAACTAACAATTTGTATAATTAGTTATGGAGATTTTAAAATTTGTGGATTATTCCATTGGTTATTTTCCAAATTATTTTGAAAAAATGTGGTTTATTAATTGTTGAATAATGAAATTGATTTGTGAAATCACAAAAATATTTCATTTGAAAGATCTTGTTCCAGTCATCTTTCTTCAATATCTGATTCTAGTTACATGGTTTGAATAAGTGATATTAGTTTTTTTTTGGGTCTTAGATGGTGTTTTTCATTAATTTATGGTTTCATGTTGGTCTTGTAATATTATAAATGGTTGTCATCAACAAAAAAATGCTTGCGTATTCTGGTATTGGTTGTTAATGAGTCATAAGTGTGGTCCTATGCTTTTATGTCATCAAATAGATCATCACATTGAGATTTCCATCTTTGTAGTAAAGTATGTATCTCATTAGGTAAATTCAAATCATCATCGAAATATTTTCTATTCAAAACTTTTTGAATTGTTAACTCATTTCTAGCTTCGACTAGTAATACATTCGCACGCTTCTTTATATCATCATCAATATTTTCTAAAGCTTTTATAATTTGTAATTGACCAATCATTTTACCAACAAAGATTCCAATTTCTGCACCCATTGGATACCCTTTATCAAATCCTTCTTGTAAACTATCCTCCTTAGAAGTCGAAAGACCATCCAAATATCCCTTTTTAGCATGTTGTCTTCTCAATGCAGCAGTTTCTGAATCTTCCACACCATCATGTTTCACACCATAATATTCATCTTCATCTATTGTTGGTTTGTAATCATCTTCATCACTATCAGCCCAAATATCTCCATCTGAAAGCACTTCTTCGTCTTTTTTCTTGAACTCCATTTGACCAGGCATTAGTAACGGTATATTGACTATCTGATATAACTATAGCCTCTTCTTTCCTTAGTAAAACCTAAGTTCAAATGATTTAAAGATCAAATTTATTTCAGGTACTAATATAAAAATTAATATACGGCTGACGTAATACTCATAATTTTTCCGCGGAAACCAAAAAATTCGCGGGAATTCAGGATTTTGTGAACGAAAAAACTTCATTGGCGTTTGTTGTTCATAGTAAGGAATTTGTTATTGGAAGGTCCATACAACGCCATCAGATTCATTCAATTCAAGCCCGTTTCTTGCGTGCAGTGGTTCTCTTCAGCTGTTAGTCAGAGCTTGCACTCCATCAGTCTCCCTTTGGTATCTTTGGTATCTGCGCTGAGACTTTTCCGCAGCTCTTTTACGTCTTTGTTTTGAAGCAATATTGAAGTCACGGTGAATTATATTTTAAGAATCATCATCAAAGTTTCCATTTTATTTTTTGCTGGTTAAAGAAGGTAGATATTGTTATTGAGGATACTTACCAATAGATCTAATACTGGTGCAAAACGCTCTTCTACACACAATATGTCAAATCCAGATATTATTACTCAAGTTTCTCCGGAAGCTCCTCTTAGACATGATACAACACAAATAGATGAAGATGTGGATCTGAATTCAATCATCAAATTAAACATCAGAGGTCAAATGTTTTACATCACAAGAGACGAACTGATGAGTCTTCCTGAAAGTATACTGTTATGTTTGTTCCCTAATGGTGTGTTTGTTGATATAAATGGGAATGTCATCACAAATTTAACAGAAGATGATACAGTTTATGTTAATTTCTCACCTAGTTGTTTCCAATACATTATAGACAGCTTCAGTTCTGCTGCTATGAAATTACCACCTTCTTCTACACCAGAAGTTTACGATGGTTATTCAACCCTTGATGCTGATGTTTTAAGTGAAAAACCTGCAATTATTGTTTTAAGGGAAGATTTAGATTATTATGTGATTCCACCTAAAAGGGGTATTAGTCCACATGGTATAAGATTAATTAAACAAGCTGCAGGCAGCTATTTGGTTAATCGTGAACAAATTTTTGAAGGTTTAGGTTATGAACCAGGTAAAAAACTGGGCCCAGCTGAAGAACATTTATTAGAGATGTTATGTTCATCAGGATTCGATGTTCAAAGTGATTGGGGTCATAGATCTTCAGAACCAGGTAAAACAGTGTTAACATCTTTATCATTAGTTGATTTGAAACATCCAGAACCTCCACAACCTGAACCTGAATCACCATCATTAAATCCAGTTGCATCAAATAGTACAAGTAATAAACAATCAAGAAGATCAAGAATAGCTGAACTGGCTGAAAGTGCTGCAAGATCAGCATCTCGTTCAGTTTCAAGAAATAGATCAGAATCCAGAGCCAAAAGTGCAGGCACATCATCAAAATTATTATTGTTCTGGAGAAAACCAGCACGTAAATGTTGGTGGTCAAACACAGAAGTTACAATTCAAGTTCCTGGTCTTTTAAAGACTGATGGTTTATCAGAAGTGACTGTTAATTTGCACATACGGCGTGTGTGGACTCTTGAACTCTCTGTAATCGGAGTTCATTAGATTATTTATGAGATATTCAAGAAGATAATTGCAAAAAAAAAAAGGTAAAAAAATGCAATAAAAGCCAAAAAAAAAACATTAAAACTGGGGGATATCTGTGTAATCAAAAGAACCCTATAAATAATAACTAGCACAGTGAACTATAATAATATAATATAATTAATGATTTCGTTTTGAATTTTTTGACGTAGAAATTATTTTCGTCGCTGTGTGGCCGCGAACCTTTTGGTTCGTCACTGAGGAGCGGTTCAAAAACATTTCACGCGTCTCTGAGTTTTTAAAATTATGTCTCGTCTCTCTGTGAAGACGAAAGTACTCGGAATCAATTATACCAGAGATCCATACAAGATGAGTAACTTTTTTACCAAAAACAGTGCCAAAGGCTCAAGTAAACCAAAAGTGATCCAAGAAAGAGCCCTTCCATGGGTTGAAAAATAGTAAGTTTGAGTTAAAGCAGAAAAAGAATTGTTCAATATACTAACAAAGATCTTAAAAAGTCGTCCAAAGAATTTAGATGAAGTTACTGCACAAGATCATGCTGTTACTGTCTTGAAGAAAACATTGACTTCAGCAAATGTATGTATTCAACTCATAAGTTTTATTGTGATCAAGTATACTAATTATGCTTTTCTTAGCTTCCACATATGTTATTTTATGGTCCACCAGGTACAGGTAAAACATCAACAATTTTAGCATTAACAAAAGAATTATATGGTCCTGAACTAAGTAAGACTCGTGTCTTAGAATTAAATGCATCAGATGAAAGAGGTATTTCAATTGTTCGTGAAAAGGTTAAAAATTTTGCAAGATTAACTGTATCAAATCCAAGTTCTGAAGATTTAGAAAAATATCCATGTCCTCCATATAAAATCATTATCTTGGATGAAGCTGATTCAATGACTGCAGATGCTCAATCTGCTTTAAGAAGAACTATGGAAACTTATTCTGGTGTTACAAGATTTTGTTTAATTTGTAATTATATTACAAGAATTATTGATCCTTTAGCTTCAAGATGTTCAAAATTTCGTTTTAAACCATTAGATAATAATGATGCATTATTAAGATTACAACATATTCAACAGCAAGAAAATATAAGGCTAGAAGATGGTGTCTTGGAAGAAGTTTTAAAAATTGCAAGTGGTGATTTACGTAAGGCAATTACATTTTTACAATCTGCAGCTAGATTACATTCACGTTTAAAAATTGGTTTAGAAGATGAAGATGGTGATTTAGAATTGGATGATCAAGATTCTCAAGAACAAATAACAATTAAAAGTATTCGTGAAATTGCAGGATCTGTTCCAAAAGATGTATTGGATGGAATTTTAAAAATTTCAGAAGAAAAAAATTTCCAAAAAATTTTTAAAATTGTTGATGATACTATATCTGAAGGTTGGAGTGGTGTTGATATTGTTAATCAATTACATGATGAATTAATTTTAAATGATTTATATTCATCTGAACAAAAAAATCAATTTTCTCAAATTTTATTTGAAACTGATCAAAGACTTTCAAATGGTACAGATGAACATTTACAAATTTTAAATTTAATAACGAAGATTTCACAAGTTATTTAAGTTTTGATTTATCAATTTTAATAGAAATAAAAGTTAATTAGCATTTAAGTGTCAGGCGTATCTTGTTAAAGTCTTAGACTCGAAATTTTTCACATGAGATCTCCTCTACAATAACAATTTTAACGATTTAATCATTATATTTTCTTAAATTCCATACAATTGTAGTATATAACAAAATACAATTAGCAAAATAAAAAATCATTAATTTCATTCATTATTGATTTGGAGGTGGATTACCATTTGGGAAACCTGGTGGTGGACCATTGAAAAATCCTGGTGGGAATCTTTCACGTTGTGAACCATCTGGATTTGATCCAGGACCACCTGGACCACCTGGACCACCAAATGGAGGTAAGAAAACAGGTGGACCATTTGGATTACCTTGAAATTCTTGTGGTAAAATAAATCTTGGTTCACCTTGTGGACCTGGTGGACCACCTTGAGGTCTAAATTGTGGTGGGAATCCAACACCATTTGGTAAAGGAGGTGGAATAAATCTTCCTTGTGGTAAATTAGGTGGGAATTGTTGAGAAATCCATGGTGGTGGATGTTGAGGATTAAAACCTGGTGGTGGATTAACAAATTGACCTTGTGGAATTGGACCTTGAGGTGGTCTATTTTGAGGATTTTGAAATTGTGGAGGAAATCCTGGTGGGAATCCAGGATTTTGAGGTTGTTGAGATGATTGTTGTGGATGTGGTGGTTGAGGTTGTTGTTTTTGATTAGGTTGTTGCTGCTGTTGTTGTTGTTGAGATTGCTGTTGCTGTTGTTGTTGTTGTGATTGGGCTTGTTGAGCTTGAGATGGTGGTGGTGTTTGTTGAGTTAAACCTGGTGGACCTTGTAAACCTGGTGGTAAAATTCTTGAACCTTCAACTTTTGATAATGCAGGACTTTGAGTAGAAGCAATTGGACTTTGAGTTTGATTTGAATCTGGTTTACCAGCTTCTGGACCTTTATTCATTAATGACATGAAAAATGAATCTTTTGAACCACCAGTTGGTAAATTTGGTGGAACTTGAGAACCTGATGGTGGAGTTAATCCAGGTGGTAAAATTGGAGTTGATCCAGTAGATGTATTTGTTTTATTATCTTGACCAAAAAATTGACTTCTTTGGGAATTAAAACCTGAATGTTGTTCTTTTGGTGTTGAAATTGAAGCTTGAGAAATTTGAGGTGTTGTATTATTTGAACCAACTTGAGCATTTTTTTCACCACTATCTAATAATGATAAAATCTTGGAAACACCATCATTACTTGGTTTAGATGATGGAATATTAGAATCTGATGGTTGTTGATTAGAACCTTGACTGAAAATACCTAAAAATTTAGATTTTCTTCCTGAATCTGATGATGAACCAACAGTTGCACCACCACTTGGGTTACTAGTTAAGCTTGGTTTAACAGCTCTGAAATGACTATCAATTGTATTTTTTGATTCTGATGTTTGTTGAAATTGATTAGTATCTTCTTCAACCAATTCACCATTTCTTTTACGTTCTTCTAATTTAACTTTAGCTCTATAAGCTTCAAATCCATCAGCAGATAATGGAGCATCTTTATCAAGATCAGCAAGCCAACTATCTTCATCTTCACCAGAGAATTTTTTATTATGACGATTTTCTCTATTATTATTATTTCTTCTATGGTTATTATGACTGTTATTATTACCATGTCTATTGAAACCACGATCATGAGTTCTTCTATTTAAATTAAAATTACCCATAGAACCAGTTGATGAACCACCTTCATTATAATTATTTCTACCATTGTTTTGATTATTATTATTTTGATTATTACCAATCCAATTTGTTCTAATTGGTTGTTTATTCTTCAGTCTATAATAAGATTTTGGTGGTAAACCAGGTGGAACAAAATTATCTTCTGAATCTTTTAAATTATAAAGAAAATCAGCACTATATCTAAGTCTTGTTTCATCATTATAAGGACCTAAATCCAACTTCCAATTTTCTAATTCTTGTTGTTTTCTTAATTCTTTAGTTTCTTCATCTTCTTCCAATTCTAATTCTTTATCACCTTCAATAGCAACTTCATTATTTTCTAAAACTGATGATCCACCACCAATTGAACCCTTCTTAGAATCTTCCTCTTCAGCTCTTTTGGATTCAGCTTCTCGCAGGAAACTATTTATATCATTTCTATTCTCTGTAACAATACTTGAAGTATCAGAATTTCCTTGACTAGGCGCTGAAACCATAGATATTATAGATGGGTCTTGGAAACTAGCCATCTTGATGAAATTTGTTTATATGATAATGATATTAACGATGAATTGCACTATAACCAATGGGACGTATGTTGATATTTCCAATGTTTTCTGGTTTTTTTTGTTCTAATTTCAATCAAATCTTGACTTGATCAGTATAAACAAGGAGGTACTATATCTCTGTGAAAAAAAAAATACTAGAAAAGCACCAAACCACAGGATTTTGAATATGAGTGTTCTTGTGTAATTGAGTCTTTGACGATACGATAACTCTGAATATTCAAATAAGAATCAATTGATCTTAATTATCTCTTTCAATTCGATTGTCGATTTGTTGTTTATTTGGTCAAACTTCGCTGGTTCTTTTTCAACGAAATCAAAATTCAAAAAAATTAAAATCTTGCCAAAATTCCGGTTCTTTCTTGAAAATGGTCGGATCTCAAATATCACTAATAAACTACAAATCAAATAATTTTTAATGCCAAATGAATTTCTTTCAATTAAACAGTTCTATATATATGAGTAATGTGTTCTTCTTCAATGATGAAAGAGTCCTATTTGAATTGTTGGATGAAATTAACAAAATATTTTCTAAAATCTTTAATATCTAAGTTAATTAGATTTTGAATTAAATCATCACCAACATTACTTGGTAATTGAATTTGTGGGAAATAAACTTCTCTTAAATATGTAATTAATTCTTGATTTTTAACATTGAATAAAGCTTTTAAGATATTTGCAATCTCATCTGCAACAAATCTATATTGTGCATCTTTGATATCAAATTTTGCACTTTGGAATGGAATTTGGAAACTTGATTTAATTAAATTTTCTAATAAAAATGATGAAATCCCTTCGATTGCAATCCCGGTATTATATTTATCCTTTGGATCATTAACTGTATCATTACCGAAAATATTTGCAAAAATTGATAATGAACTTAATGATAATTTTGAAACTTGTAAATCATTTAAATCATTTGCTTCACTTAATAAACGTTGTAAAATTATTGGTAAAATTGATTTATTTGTTTGTGTAACTAAAACACTTGAAACATTATTTTGTGTTAAATTAATTAATAACAAGATAAATGCCTTTTTCAATGAACTTTTCTCCCTTGAAACATCTGGCATTATTTCAAATTCACCATTTTCACCTTTATTATCCAACATTGACAAGACTTTATTTGTTAATGGTGTAAATAAATCATTTAATAAATTATAAATTGAATCATCTTTATTGAAAGTATGAATAATATGTCCAATAAATCCAATAAAATCAGTCATTTCACTAAATTTTAAATTTTGTGAACTTAATAATGTTGATATTAAACGTGATAAATGACTACTAATATCAGATTTTAAAATTGGAATAAATCTTGCAAATGAAAATCTTGCTGCGTCTCTAACAACTTCAAATGAATTCATATTTTCTAAAGTTACCAAAACAACTTCTGATGTATTATTAAATCTTTGAACAACTTCTGGTAAATATGTTTTATTTGGTGTTGAATCATATTCAAATCCTCTAGCAATAGTACCAATAACCATTAATAAGTGATGAGCTTGTAAAACAACAAGTTGATTTTTATTTTGTTCTGAAACAGTTTTTTCTAATCCATTGAAAATTGGATTTAAAATTGCATCTAATAATTTAATTTTCAATTCAATTTTGGAATTATCAACTAAAGAAATTAATAAACCTAAAGTTTCAAATAAATATAATTGATTATCAAATTTTGATGAATTTTCCACTAATTCTGAATCATCATCTTTTTGAGGTAATTCAGCTTCAACAATTAATAATTTTTGTGAAAGATCTGTAATTAAACGTGTAATAATTTCATCATTTAATCTTGGTTTAGTTAATTTAACAAATCTGAAAAATAAATACCAACATCTGATTTGAACTTTTTCATTTGAATTATAAAGACCAACTGAAATAAATAATTCTAAAATATGATTTGTTAATGCGTCCTTATCTGTAGCTGCATTAAAATAATTATAATGACGAACAATTAATTCAAAAAATAATAATTGAATTAATGGATGGTTTATAGAAACAACATTTGAATTAATAGTTCTTAACAAATATTGCTGGAAAACTATATATGGTTTTGATTCTTGAATTGCAAGTTTTGGTATACCCAAGATATTATTTCTTAAACTATCTGATAAATTAGTTAATTCAAATAATCCCAGTTCCACAGTTCTCCAATCCAAATTATTAGTATTAGTATCTGCAAAAATAGATTGTTCAATTAAAGCAGTAGTTTGATCAATATATAAATCTGGATTAATTATTGCAATTGTATCTTGGAAAACTTTTAATCTTGCTCTAAATTCATTAAATTCTGAAATATCATCTTCATCCTCACCATCATCACTATCATCATATTTCATCTTGATAATAATTTTTTGTAACAAAGTTGATAATAAATTTAAATGAGTTGAATCAATATTACCATTATTTTGTTTAATAATTTTTTTCAAAGCAGCTAAGAAATTTGAAATAAATGAGAAAACTTGTAAAGAAACTTCATCATAATCATTTTCCAAGAAATTTAAAATAAATGGGAATAAATTAATAATTTGTTGATCAGCTGAACCTTTAATTTCTGATGATGCTTCAGAAGAATCCAAGATAAAAGTTAATTCTAAACCAATAGCATTATATAATTTAGCAACACATTCAACAAAATCAAGATCTGAACCATCAACAGATAATGAACTAACAACACCTGTTAAGTTTAATAATGATAATAATTGTAATTTATTTTCAGGTTTCATTTTTTTACTAATAATTTCCACTAAAGTTTCACAACAAGTTGCTTTTAATGAATTTTTAGATAAAAATTGTAAAATTAAATTAATATAATCAGGTTCTACAATTAATCCAATTTCAATCCATGAAACATAACCACCAATAACTTGTAAATCTTGTTTTGAGATTTCTTGTGATAAATTTGATTGATTATCTTTGAAATCAATTAATAATTTTTTCCAAATCTTGGTTAAATTATCCATATCATTAATTCTAATTGAATCTTTTAATGCATTATTTCTTTCCACTAAAGGTCTTTCTCTCACGATTAATTGATCCCCAATTTCAGAATGAATAGCTAATAAAACTCTTAAATATTGATCAATGGCAATTTCATCTTCACTAGAGATTAATTTTTCAAAATCTTTGAAAAAATTAGTCCAACTTTGTAAATAAGTTGTACAAAATAATGATGCAAATGATTCAGCTAATTTATTTTTCAAATAAGCATTATCATATTTATGATTTGAAATGATTGAACTTAAATATTCCAAAAGAGTTGACCTTATATAACCATTTTGTTCTTGAGATAAAGATGGAATATAATCATTCAAAGCTTGTAAGGCAATGAATCTTGCTTGATCTGGATATGTAACATCTTTTAATAATAAAGAAAATGCTTGCCATCCATCTGGAGATGATTTCAATTCATTTAAAAAATTGATTGCTTGTTCCTTCAAATTATAATCCGAAGTCCCTGTAATTGCAATCTGTACAGCTTGTTTGATCTGTTCTTCCATATCTTATGAATAGAACTTTGGATCTTTAGTATGGTATGTGATTTGTAACTTTTTTGTATATAGATCTATGCTTTTTTTTTATATGAAAATGCAAAAAATGTGATTCAAAACCAGCTAAATATTCGAATTCCTTTATAGTTCTTCAGTGGGTCTAAAAGCTTGATGTTATATGTACAATGAAACCCTGAACCTATATGAACTTCTTTATAATGTAACTGATTTGGTTTTTTTCACACAAAAATGAATGAACTGATTTTTTCTACCTATGATTTGAACCTTTTGAAGAGCTTTTCTTTCTATATGTGTCTTTCTTTTCCCTTGAAATAACCACTACCTAATACTCAGCAATAAACAGGAAACCTTTTTGTTGTAAAAACCACCAGAAACTATGACTCTGATTCGAATTTTGTAGCGCTAAATGTGTCTAAACGCTGTGTTTTTCAACTTTTTCAAGATTTTTTGTTTTTGTTTTCCAAATCAGAAAAACTTCGCGAAAACATTCTTTGAAGTTTGATCTGAAAAAAAGCATTGTATTACGTAATACATTAGCACAGGGATTACCCTACATTCACACTATATAATCAAATCATAAGCCATTAATTACAAAACATATTTAAATACCATCACCATCCATACTTGTCTCCTCGTTCTTTCTTGAGTCGTTTGTTATGCTCAATGCGTTCGTTCAATAGGTCACCATCCTGTTGAGCATTCTTCACTAGCGCACTCAATTGGTTCTTATGATTAGTTATTGTATGTAATTTCTTATTCTCTTGTAATAATCCTTGATCTTTTAATTCAAGATTTTCTTGATAAAACTTATCTACATTAAATTCTTTGATATTGGAGGGGTCTGGTATATCTTCACCTCTTGATCTTTTCTTGTTTGGATGTTCTTCATTGTGTTGTGGTGATGTTATTATAGGTTCAATTGATTCTGGTTCATCTATAATTGGTCGTATTTCTAATTTAGTATGATTTGATGTAATTGGTTTAGGTTTGGATTTTATTGTTTGGAATAACTCAATTTGAGATTTTGGTTCTTGTATTTTGGATGTAGTTGTCGTGGTAGTTTCATTATCACTTACTTTTGATTTTGGAGTTGATTTCTTATTTCTTAATGAACTTGGTATAAATGAAGTAACTTGTTTTGAACTCTTCTCTAATACAATATTATCAGGATTAACTTGACTTTCACCTGCAATACTCTTTATAGCTTTCCCTAATACTCTAGGTTCCTTTTTAGGCGGTTGTCTATTCTTTGGAGGAGGTAAGAAACTTGAAATGGAAGTTCCAGAACCAGTTGGTTTTGATATGATGTTGTTTGATGTTGAATTGACTGTTGTCTTTACAGATGAGTTCACTGTTGGTTGTTCATCATCACTGCTGTCATCAGAAGAAGAATATTGCACTAAAGACATTGTTCTGGATCTAATATGTATAAATTATCAATATTGTATATCTCAAGTCTAGAATTTCTATGTATTCTGTTTGAAAATGCGTCAAAAAATTACAACCTTTTTGATTTTTCACTTATTCGAGATTTAAATAACTGGGACTAGACCACTCATAAAACATTATGGGCCTAGAAGTTTTAAAGGTACAATTCACGGGAAATCTTAAAAAACAATACTACCGCAGAGAATCATGATGATTAAAAACTCTTTGTATATATTTAACCACTACCTCCTAAATGTAAAAATATCAACCTACTCTAAATTCTCTTTATACCTTACAGGAGCATTAATATAACCAGCTGCTTATTTTGAATCCATACGTTCAAATAAAAACCGTTGAGACCCTGGTTGTAGTCTCAAGTTTTGTGAGTCCTAGTCCCCCAGATCTCGCGTTATATAAATAGAAATCGTGAAAATATCCATAAAGAGAATGCTTTTAAATTTGATACATATTTGAAACCAACCAAAGAAACCCAAAGAAACAACTCTTCTAAAGCCACCTAACCACATCCAGTACACACACACATATTCCCAACATCCATCAACTTTCATTAAAAGAAAGGGAGTTTATATAAGATTTCCTTTCTTCTACAACCAGGGCTTTATATATATGGAAAGATCTTATATTTCCATACTTCCATCCCCCATTATAAATACCCTCTTTATTAAAACAATATATCAATAATGGGGTTATTCACCTCAAGCTGGGAAAGACAAGTTGATGATAATCTATTTGATTATATAGATGTTGATCAATTCAAAAATAGGAAAGCTGGTACTATATGGAATTATTTCGTTATGATTTTTCTTTTAGTATTAAGTTTTGTTTTCTATGCTGTTGATATATATACTTGTATCAAATTATTAGCTTTTAATGAATGGTCATCACAAGTTAAACCAAATTTACCTTTCAAGATTTCTAAATGGTTATTTGCCGCTTGTATTATAGTTTCAATTGTCTTGTTAATTTATGAATTAGTTAGAGGTATTAAAGTTTTCAGAACAAGAAATATTTCATTAATTTATACAAATACTGCTGCTAAATCTATGAAATCAATTCAAGGTTATAAATATTTTTGTGTCCTAAATGAAATTAATCCAAGTTCTGGTTTTGATAAAATGGCATTTTATACTTATTTTACATTTCATGGGTCTAAAAAATTAATTTTAGCTGATAGTCCAAGACAAGTTATTAATGCATTAACTTTATATTCTGTCTTGAATGTTCAAAATGGATTTGTGGAAACCTTAGAGAAAATTCAAAATCAAAGTCCAAATGAAGCAATTATTTTATATGCAATGACTGTTTCATTTGCAATTTGGTTATTCTTTATTTTCCAATTTTTTTTCGCTATAGTGTTTGCAATTCCTGTTTTACATCGAATTTTATTAAGATTAAAATATAAAGCTTTAAGACAATATGTTTGTATAAAAGTTGATCATACAGTTAAGAAATTAGCAAGACATTATCAAAAAAAATCATTAAGAAAATTAGTTATTGAAAATCAAAAAAATTATAAACCAACTTTACCTGATGTTGATCCATTAAGTTTTACACCAACTATACCAAATAAACCTTCAACTTTTTCATCATTAAACTCCTTATCAAATTCAACTTTACAAAATGAAAATCCATTTAGTGATGATAAACATAAATTATATGAAATGACAAATTTCAAACAAGCAGTTTCAGATCCAATGAATCGTTATAATAATAATAATAATGAATCAGTTTCATCATTTGATACCCAATATTATGGTGCATCTCGTAAACAACCACCAAAAATTGATTATAAACCTTCAATAACATCATTAAACACAAGTACAACATTAATGTCATCAACATCAACAGCAGTTCCAATAATTTCTAAACCAACACCACCTTCAAGAACTGCACAATATAAACCATCATATTCATCATTAGCTACGATTCATGATAATGGATCACAAAACTCAATAACAACAAAACCAGAACCTGTTCATTTCAATGATTTATTATATCCAAAAAATTATTCTACAGAAAGTATTGGTAATAATTTTAGAAAACCTTCACATAGTTCATCATCAGATCAATCTATAGTGGAACCTGAAAAAGCATTATTATCAAATCATAATAATCAATCAGATCCAGAATCATTACCACAAATTTTTGATTCAGATTTAAGTGATGATGAATTCGAATCAGAAAGATATAATAATTCATCAACAAATCTTTCTCGTGGTTCTAAAAAAGCTCCAGTTAGAGAAAGTTTAATAAGAAGAGCTCAAGATATGAGATCTGAAGATTATACAAGATTTAATCCTTTAAATTCTCAAAATTCAAGTAATGATTCATCAAGAAGTAATACCCCAAATTCAAATTCAAGAAATGGCTCGAATCCTGGGATTAATGTTTTTCAAAATTTCCAAGGTAGAAGAGTTTTATGAATCATTTAACATGTCATTATATTTTTTTTTTCATTCATTTATATTTATTAGGTTGGCGTATATCGATTTTTATATAGATTGCATTAGTGTTTTCAATTCATTCATTTAATTGTATTCATATTTACATTCTGTAGTTATAATTACAAACTTTCAAATCATACCAACATTATTCTTTTTTTATATATATACATGGATATTTACATTTTGCAGAAACCAAACCCCGTTATAAATAGTAAATAAAAACCAAAACCATCATTAAAGCCTTATAAAGATCTTCATTTAGTTTAATTCAATTTTGTGATTTTTTTGAAGCTTCATATTCTTTCTTTAATTTAGCTAATTCAGCATCAGAAATTGGTGGAATTGGAACATCTTCAAAATCATCTGCACCTAAGAAACTATAAGTATAGAAATATATACCAACGGTTATAGATGATAATGCAACAAAAGCAGCTGCATTTTTCCAAAAATAAGGTCTTCTTGCCCTTATCATAGCTGGTGTCATTTTAAATGTTTTTGGATCATGGTATGGTGATGTTTTTCTAGATCTTTGTTAGTATTTGGTCTTCACATACTATGAGGTATCTAATGGGGTAACTCACAGTGCTAATCTAGCTAAAGAGCCTCTCATTTTCTTATAATATCTTAATCTTTTCCCTCTAAATTATCCTTGAAATGATGGTAAAACGATAAAACTTTGTATACGGTTTAATTTAACTTTTTTAAATTTAATTCTCCAATTAATTTCGGTAAAGACACTATTAACAAAATCACGTGAATTAGTTTGTGTTGCACTTACCAAGTGAAAAATAAATTTTATTAAAAAAATTTAAAATTTATATATACAAAGAGATGAGCTTTGGGTGATAATTATATACTTTAAAAAAAAAAAATAGTCATTATTATTGAGCATTATGTCACAATTGGAAGTCAACAAGGCTGATATAGTGCCGCCTCCAAAGGATGAAGAAGAATTAGCATTGGAAAAACTTGTCTTTGGTGATTTAGAAGGTTTTGAAACTAATTTAAAAAATATTGATAATTTATATAATGAATCAGATGAATATGAAAGTAATAGTGATAATCAAAGTGATTCATCAGATGAAGAAGATGAAGAAGGTTTAGCAAAAGTCCAAGATGATGAATTATTTTTCGTTGATGATGGGGAAGAAGATGATGATGCTATGGATATAGATGATGAAGAAGATGATGATGATGAAGAAGAAGGTGAAGGTGAAGAAAGTGATGAAAGTGATGCATGGATTGATAGTGAAGATGAAGGAATAAGTATATCTTTATTACAATCTGATAAATTAAGGAAATTACGTAAAAAGGAAACAGATACAAGTATAAGTGGGAAAGCATATATATCAAGATTAAGATCACAATTTGAAAAAATTTATCCAAGACCAATTTGGGCTGATCAAGATTTCGATAATAATGATGATGATGAAGAGAATTCTAATGATGAATCAGAAGGATCAGATGATGAAGAAACTTCACAAGGTGATGTTAAAGCATTATCCAAAATTTTACAAAAAACAAGAAATTATCAAAATAATAAAAATTCTAAATTATTACCTCCAAATAAATTAGATATAACAAGATTAAAAGATGCAAATCAAAAACATCCATCAAAATCTGCAATTCAAACATTATCATTCCATCCAACACATCCATTATTATTAACTGGTGGTTATGATCGTACAATTAGAATATATCATGTTGATGGTAAAATTAATAATGTTGTTACATCATTACATCTTAGAGATACACCAATTCAAACTGCTTCATTCAATCCAAATCCTGAAAATAATAGAATTTATGCAGGTGGTAGAAGAAGATATATGTATTCATGGGATTTAACAACTGGTTCAATTGAAAAAATTAGTAGATTATATGGTCATGAAGAAACTCAAAGATCATTTGAAAATTTTAAACTTTCACCAAAGGGTAATTTCATTGGATTAACTGGTAATAGTGGATGGATAAATATCTTATCAAGTTCAACAAGTTTATGGGTTCAAGGTTTTAAAATTGAAGGAACATTAGTTGATTTTGATTGGAGTTCAAATGAAGAATTTTTAATTGCAATTAATTCAACAGGTGAAATATGGGAATTTAATTTGAAAACTAAAAAAATTTCAAACAAATGGAGAGATGAAACAGGTGTTGGTATTACTAAAGTTAAACTTGGTGGTAAAAATGATAGATGGTGTGCAGTGGGGAGTGAAAGTGGTATTGTTAATATTTATGATCGATTAAGTTCAACAAAGAAACCAATTGGTACATTAGATCAATTAGTTACTACAATTTCATCATTAGAATTTAGTTCAGATGGTCAAATACTTTGTATGGCTAGTAGAGCTAAGAAGGATGCATTAAGATTAGTTCATTTACCAAGTTGTAAAGTATTCCAAAATTGGCCAACTTCAGGTACACCATTTGGTAAAGTTACATCAGTTGCATTTAGTCCTAATAATGAAATGATTAGTGTTGGTAATGAAGCTGGGAAAGTCAGACTATGGAGACTGAACCACTATTAGATAGATACAATATAAGCATAGATTGATCACTGTGTAGTATATAAACAAGTATCATAACTTTAAGGGTTTTCAGATCACTTTTTCCAGTATCTCGTACTTTAGATCTGTAATATGCTTATACGGTTCCTAGATCACCGCGAATCCTCCGGCTGTGTTGCGCTTACCACAATGATATCAAATTGCGAAATTAAATCCCTTTCAATTTAAAATTGTTTTTGGTAATTTTTGGATTTTCAGTACTTTCTGTTGATAAAATCAAAATCCTTTATTTTTGATATCTTTTTTTTTTCAGATAAACAAATTTGAAATCAATTGGATTCTTTTGCCACCACACTTTGAAAGTCTTTTGATCAAGTGCACTGTCCCGTCTAGAACAAATACGCTCCCACCAGACTCCAGAAAGACACTGCCCAAAAGAGCCGCCCTCCCACCTAAACAACCAAAGAATCGCGCTAGGTGCTCCTGCTGTGCTCCTGCTAGAGTGTGCTGCTACTCCTGCTTATCCTGCCGCTACTAGTCTGTTATCTGATCAGTTTTGCAACCGTTCCAGTGCGTGGGAACCATCACCACATCATCCAACCCACAGGCCAAACAGAACAACAACTACAAAACAAATATGGCGGATTCTTCAACTTCAGTGATGGCTGCCACAGCGTCTACTTCAAACACATCTATTTCATCCTTGGATCGAGATTCTTCCACCAACACCACTCAGCCAGATCATCATCAAGAAGTCCCAAGACTCGTCAATAACACCCTGGAATCCCCCTCTTCAAGCTCGTCTTCTTCATCAAAAAGTGGTAACAACAATAATACATCTGAGAAATCTATCCATGGATCTTCCTCTTCTGGGTCTTCTTCATCAAGTCGAACTTCTAAAAGGGCAAATAGTACAGTTTCAATGTCTGAAAGGAATAAAATAAGGTCAAAATTAGATATGTTACCTTATGATCATACAAATGTCAAATCATTACCATCTGTTTTCAATTCACCTGAAAGACAACATTCACAAAATGAATATTCTTTAGAGGATGATTCCCATAGTTCTAAATTAGATGCGCGTCATTATTCAGCTTCTTCAATAACACATGCAATGAATACAAATAAAACTGTGATATCACCGTTAGCTCCAAGTCTTGATTATTTTTGGTCAAATAAATCATTACATAAATTATACCCTATAAAACTAATATCTAATGAACAATTGAAATCAATAATGAATTGGCATTATTCAAATCCATTACCTGAATGTGAATCTATTTTCCCCTGGTTACATGGTATTCATCATTCAAATCAAAATCAAAGAGATTTTTTGAATTCATTAATAAATTTTACCACTGTGGAGAAGAATAATTTTGATGTTTTCAATCAAAATAATGGAAAAATCCCATCTACAAATAGATCATTAATGCCAATAAGATCAAATTTTATTGATAATGAGAATGAACAAATTGTTAAGTCTTCAGCTGTTTTAAAAGGTTCTGTAACTTCAAATGAAATATTATGTCAATTAGATGTATCAAGACAAGATTTATTAATACTTCTTAATGGGTTATTAAAAGATTTGAAAATTCATGATTCAAATGGTGATGAATTTGAACAAGTATTGAATACATTATTTAAAGATTGTGAAACTTTAGGTTTATTACCAATTTTCAAAAATATGGATCCTGTTAAAGGTATATCATTAAGAAATTTCCATATTCAAGTTTGTAAATTAGCTCAAATATCAGATTTTATTGTTTATTGTTTTAATGATTCTCATTTGGACAATGACCATCATGAAGTTTCCAAATGTCATTGTGCATCTGTTGCTAGATTATTATATTTTGCTCAATTAAAACATGCTATAGATTATCCAGAATTAATAGAATCAATGTTTACTACTTTAATACTTCAAGATAATGATCTTTCATTTTTTAAAAAATCAGAAGCAAATAGAAGATTATTAGCAATTGATAAAATTGATAGAGATGATACAATTAAACCACCGGGGAAAATTTGCTCAGTTTTCGATTATGAAGTATTTGATAATTGGGATACAAATTATCTTTTCAGAGAAAAATTAGAAATTTCAAGAATGTCAACTGCTACTCCTGTTATTAATAATGTTTGGTTTGGTAATTGTACTGATTATGAAGTTTTAAAGATTAAAGGTTCAACAACGTCTACTTCTACTTTTAATTCCAATTCACAAAATTTTGAATCAAGAAATATTAACCCTGAAGTTCCATTATATGTTGATCCAACTTTTACAACAGTTGGTGTAACAAGAGATATTTTATCACAAGAAAATGATAATGCATTAATAACACCAGCTGCTGCGGATTGGGGGTTATTCATAAATTGTTGTGAAGGTTCTAATTTTCCAAGTTTAAAACTTTTAGATGTTTTATTAAGAAAAACACATTCTGAAATTTCTTCTTCACCATCTCTAAATGAGAAAACTTATTTAAATTTCCCACCTTCTGGTTCAATTGGGTTAGGTGATTTAGATGATGATGATTTAATTTCATTATTAAATGTTTGTAAATTATTATATGTCAATTCAACTAAGGAAAATCCAAGTTTGATTTATTGTTCAGATGGGTATACAGAATCTTCATTATTGGCTGTTTGTTATACTATATATGCCACTGGGAATCATATGACAGAAGTTGTTGCTGATTTACATAATAAATATGGACGTCCATTTTTTTTATTCCCAACAGATGTTCAATTAATCAACAGAATTGAAGAAATTTTAATTACTTATTCACCAGTTAAAACTACTGAAACATTTATACCAAATAAATTAGATTTATTGGAAAATCAATTCATTTATGAACAATTGTTTACAAATAAAGAACAAACTTGGTTTACAAAATTAGGTGGTTCAATGCCTTCAAGAATTTTACCACATTTGTATTTAGGAAGTTTACATCATGCAAGTTCACCACAATTATTACATGAATTAGGTATAACAAGAGTAGTGTCTGTTGGTGAAAAATTAAATTGGGGTGAAGAAAGTTCATTACAAAGAACAATTATTAATAATAATATTTCAATAATTAATGGAATTACTGGGACTCCAATTACAAAAGTTATGTGCATTACAAATATTCAAGATGATGGTATTGATACATTAACTCATAATCTTCGTGATATATTAGATTTCATTGATGATGCATATAAAGATGGTGCTAAAGTTCTTGTTCATTGTAGAGTTGGTGTTTCAAGATCAGCAACTGTTTGTATTGCAGAAGTGATGAGAAGATTGAAAATAAATTTAATAAGAGCTTATATTTTTGTTAGGGTTAGAAGATTAAATGTTATAATTCAACCAAATTTAAGATTCATGTATGAATTAGTTAAATGGGAAGAAAATGAAAGATTAGAACATGTTAAGAAAAAATTATTAGATTTGAAAAGTTCAAATTCTAATAGTCCAATTACAGATAATTTACAAAAAGTTCCAGTATCATCAATTGAATTATCTAAAAGATTATCAGGTTCAATAAGTTCACTGAGTTCAGCAATTTCAGAATCAACAGGTGAAACTTCAACCGTACCATTTTTAGAAAATTCAGAATCACCAATAAGATTAGCATCAAATGCATTAGATCAAGTTATTGAAGATGAAACAGATGAAGATGATGATAATGATGTTGGAAATATTGAAGAATCCGATGAATTAGAAAATAATTATTGGCTTCGTGATGTTGATTGGCATATTTTATGTAGAGAGATTGATTATTTGAATAGAGCATATATTGGAGGAAGGTAATTACAAGTTATGTATTATAGATGATAAGGAAACAAAAAAGAGGAGGGAATTAAAAAAACATTTTGAAATAATATGTGAATTAAATGCATATAGACAATGGGTTTATTAATTGTATTTGCATCATTTTTATTTGATTTTGTTATGATTATTTATATATAAAGATTATGTTGCTATGTTTAATTTCAAGGGATTTAATGAAGAGGTTTCATTTAATATCAAGTATATTGGGATAATATACGGAGTTTTTTCAAGCATAATAGGCTTCATTTCGTAATTACTGATTATGTGTCTTATATTACGGGTAACCCTTCGCGATTTTTTACTCTGTCCGAACCGAAAATTTTCTACGATCTTTGATTTTTTTGTATGGAATATTGGAAAATAAATGAAAATATCAAATAATAACTAGCTTGATCAAATTCATTATAGATCAACGTATTAAACAAATAAGAATATGAGAGCTACTCAAATTTTAGCTTTCCAACAATCACCAGTTGCTGCTTTAGTCAGACCATGGAAAAAATTTAGAGATGGTACTTTATTTTATGGTTTAACCAAAACAGGTTCAAGAAGACATCCATTAACTACTAAAAAGGGTAATAAGAATTTTTATAAAGGTACAAGATCTTCAGGTATTGGTAGATTAACCACTAAAGCTCGTTATGTTATAAATTGGGATAAAGTTAGAACTTTTGTTGTTCCAAAAGAATATAATTTTGATTTAAAACCTTTAGTATCGCCAAATGCTCCACAAATTCAAAATCATTATGAAGGTTTCCAAAAAGGTCCATTAGATCCTCAATTATTTTATAAAAAATTAAGAGAATATGTTTTCTATGGTAAAGTGGAGACTCAAGAATCACAATTAAAAGAAGGTTATTTAGAAAGAGGTTAAATTAACCATAGAAGAAAAAAAGGATAAACAAAATTGTGTGAATATCATTTAGAACTTGTATATATATAATTTTAATTTTACGTGCGTATGAACTTTATAAGAAAAAAAAGACGTTAATGCATTAATATCTATTGTACAAATATCCTTATTATTCTGTCATTACAACATCTCTATCTTTATCTAAAACTTGACCAGGTGACAAATCAGGTTGTTCACCTTCATCTTCAGTATTATTATCTTCTTCATCTCTTGATTTCTCTTTATCTTCACCATCATCATAATCTTCACCGTTATCATATGGGACTTCTTCTGGATCACTTTCAGGTAATTCTTCTTCATCAATACTAGTTTTTCTTGAATCTTGATCTTTTTGTTTATTACCACCAAATACTAAAGTTTGTTGACCTTTTTCTAATGGAGTTTTCGAAGAATAATTAACTTTATTTTGATCAACTAACTTCTTCAAATTAGCAGTTTTTGGTACTGTATCACTTAAGAAATTTAATTGTTCAATATTCGATACAGCAGATGAAAAATCTTTATATTGTAATTTTTTACGTTTTTCAGATCTTGCTATTAGTGAAGCTTGTTCTGTAAAATATTGAATGAATAATTCAGTAGCAATAGCAGTGGAGAAAACAGCAGCTTCTGAAGCTGAAACATGTTCTGGATCAGTCTTGAAGATTTTTTTAATCTTGGAAAGTTGTAAAACTGTTGTACCTGAAGATTCTTCTTCTTCTTCTGGATCTATATCAATCACATTCAAATCATTTGTAGAGTCTGATCTTCTCTTAGTTTTGGTTGCACTCTCTTCTGTGATTTCTGTTTCATTTGAATTGGAAGTTTCAACATCTTGTGGTTCTGGGGTTTCATTAGCATCTGTAGTTTTATTAGCATCATCAACTTCATCAGTAGGTTGACTTGTGGAGAATGAGTGCAATTTTGGAGCACCATCTTCCTCTATATTCTGTACTGGCTGTTCTTGAGACATTTTGATCTTGTAATATCACCCTTGTTATGGCTCAGAATAATGTAAATACTGATCAAATTGACCAGCCAAATTTCTTTATTACTTTTAAACGCGTCGCCAAAATCTATAACAGTCCGCGAAAATCAGAAATCCTGCTTATGTAACTTCTTACAAAGAACTATGGTCTTTGAAGAATTCGCGAAGAAATATTCACAATAGCACATGACTTTGATTGAAAAAGTATCAATTTTAATCAGATTATTTTGGAATTATTCACCATTTTAAAGCTGTTTTAGATCCAAAGTCAATCATGTCTAGAGCTAGAATAATAACCAGTGTGGTCTCTGCTGGTAAGAGATTCTCTTCAACTCAAGCTAAAAACTTCATTCCATTAGTTTCAGAAAATGGTATTCCAGGTGCAGTTGGTAATACACCTCTTATCAGATTAACCAAATTAAGTGAAGAATTAGGTAGAAATATCTATGGGAAGGCAGAATTTCAAAACCCAGGTGGTTCAATTAAAGATAGAGCTGCTTTATATTTGATCAAAGATGCTGAAGATAGAGGTGTTTTAAAAGCTGGTGGTACAGTTGTGGAATCAACTGCTGGTAATACCGGGATTGGTTTAGCTCACATTTGTCGTAGTAGAGGTTATAAATTAATCATTTACATTCCAAATACTCAAGCACAATCCAAGATTGATACTTTAAGATTATTAGGTGCTGAAGTTTTCCCAGTTCCACCAAAACCTTATGATGATCCAGAAAATTTCAATCATAAGGCAAGAAGACATGCTGAATCATTAGAAAATGCAGTTTGGGCAAATCAATTCGATAATTTGGCAAATAGACAAGCACATATTGAAACCACAGGTCCAGAAATTTGGAATCAATTGAAAGGTAAAGTTGATGCATTCACTTGTTCAACTGGTACAGGTGGTACATTTGCAGGTATTACAAGATATTTAAAAGATGTTTCTGGAGGTAAAACAAAATCATTTGCTGCTGATCCACCAGGTTCTTGTGTCTATTCATATGTTACATCAGGTGGTAAATCACTTGCAAGAGAAGGTGGCTCATTCACTGAAGGTATTGGTCAAGGTAGAATCACTGATAATTTAGCTCAAGATATAGATACTGTTGATGGTGCTGTGTTTATTCCAGATGGCGAATCAATTGCTATGCTTTATAGATTATTAGATGATGAAGGGTTATATTTGGGTGGTACTGGTGCTTTAAATGTTGTTGCCGCTACTAAAATTGCTAAAGATTTGCCAGAAGGTTCAAATGTTGTTACCATTTTAGCTGATACTGCACATAAATATAGTGATCGTATCTTTTCACGTAAATGGTTAGAAAGTAAAGGATTATATGAACATATCCCTGAAAACTTGAAACATTATGCTGTTTTAGAATAAACATGTAAATAGTAAATATATAGTTAATATTGTAATATTCAAATAATTCATAGACTGACATGGCTATTGTAGAACTGAACTCCAGTATATCCGATATATGCTTCGATCAATATGGTTCAATTTCTTCATTGGTTTATATAAATTGTAATCCCTTAAATAAGCGGCAATGTGGTAAATTGGCCGCTGCAAAGGGCTTATCAGCTTATATCCTGTACATAAAAGTTGAAACTCGACAATACTTTATCAGACCAACAATTGCAAAACCAATTACAAATTAAATGGTTAAATGAATCGAAAGCCACCACTATCAACTGTACTTGATTAACAAACTGTTTCAAATGGTTAAATGGAATCGTTCCAGGTTAAATAAATTGCTCGGAGACTTTTCGGCGTTTTTAAGCTTCCTATACCCTAAATCCTAAATCCGTGTAAAATTATGTATTAAATAAATTTTTCACCCAATATTGCATGAATGATGAAAGTCAAAAAGATGTGGTAAACAATGGTAAGAGTGTGTTGTTGATTCGTATATATATTCATGTTTCTGTCACATATTTCTTGATATCAGATGTTTCTGATCTATCAGTAACATCATTCAAAGAACAAAAAAAATGGTTAAAATAGTGGTTATTATCGGTGGTGGTTTTTATGGTATTAGTACAGCTAAAAGATTATCTGGGAATCCAGATGTCAAAGTTAAACTTATAAATGCTTCAAATCATGCTTATTTCTATATCAGTTCCATCAGGGTACCAGTTCAGAACAAAACAGAAGGTACATTCATTCCTATAAAAGAGTTACTTCCTTCTGATGTTGAAATTATTAATGATGTTGTGGAAGAATTTAATGAAGATGAAGTTTTGTTACAAAAAGGTGGGAAACTAGAATTTGACTCTCTAGTTATTGCAACTGGTTCCAAGTGGACAAATCCAATTGGTTCATCTCTTGAATTTGGTAATGATCATGTGGCTTATTTTAACAAAAGACATAAAGAACTTGAAGCTGCTAAGCATATAATACTTGTTGGTGGTGGGTTTAACAACACTGAACTTGTTGGTGAATTGATTCATCAATATCAAGATCAATTGAAAACTGGTGAAAAGAGAATAACAATTATTCATAGTCAAGATCTATTATTACCAAATAATGGATTTTATTCTGATAAACTAAGAACAAGTATTACAAATTTTATTAAAAATTCCAATGTTGAGTTGAAACTTAATTCTAAAGCTGAAAAATTATCAAAAGATTCAAGTACTTTAATCATAAATGGTGATCCAAGCTCTACAATTTCTGGTGATTATATTATCTATGGTACAGGTACTTTACCAGCTGTTCCATCTAATCTAATCAAAGGATTAACAGATTCAAACGGATTCATTTTAGTTGATGATTCATTCAGAGTTAAAGCCATTTCAAACAACAAAGTCTTTTCAATAGGTGATGTTACTGATTTTGAATTCCGTGGGTTAATGTTTAGAAACTCATGGCTTAATGCTTTAGTTAATAACATAAAACTAACTCTTGAAGATCAAGATGTTGAAGACTCTAAACTTCATAAAGTCACAAGACCAAAAGGTCATGTCCCTGCTGGTGTTAGTTTAGGTCCAAATCATGGATTTGGTCAAATTCCATTACCTTGGTTTGGAACAATTGCAGCTCCATCTTGGTTTGTCACTTGGTATAAGAGCAAGAATCTTGTTGTTAACGCTGCAAGAAGATTATTCAATTCATGAACAAATAAACCTGTATATTATAATTTAAGTTTAGTGTCATGTCTAAGGTCTAGATAAACTTTGATGATCAACGATGAACTGTCGCAATTTACAGTAACAATTTTTTTTATTCAATTTTATACTATTATAAATATACACTGGTGCATGAATTCAAATCTTGTAAATTGTATATCACTGTTATCTTTTGTACCTTTCATGAAATAGAATAAGATCTTTCACTTTCACTTCATAAATTCCGATATAAGCCGATATGATGATTAGTAATAACTTACATAAGCCTTTTCATATTTAATTTCATCTAACTCTTAAACTTTATAAGTAATTAGTACTCAATAATAATTATAATATGGTTTTAAATTTCTTTCTCTTTTATACTATGCAATAAATAAATCTAGGTTTTTTGGTGATTTTTTTTTCATAATTTTAATTAGATTCTTTAATTTTTAAGATTCTTTAATTTTTTAGTAACCTCAATATTTTTATTTTTAGTTTTAAATTAAAGCAATTAAAAAATTCAAATTTCAAAACTTTGAATTGAGCGAATTAAAGCTAATAGCAATAATCTTCAGACTGATTTTAATATTTTAGTATGTTTACAGATTATTAAATTCTATATTGTGTGTCTTAGGCTAGATCATATTATTAACAGATCTAGATCTTTGCAGAAAATTACCGGATTGGGATAAATTCTATGCATGAAAAAAAAGTACAATTGAATCTACAAAATCCCTGAAAAACAAATTACAATCAACATTTAATACTCTATACATAAACCGCCTTGATTAATTTCTAAAGCCATAAATTTTTGCAATGAAATTATGTATCTTATGTTAAATTTCGGAAGATAATTGGTTGATATTGAGATCCAAAGCTCGGTTTTCTGGTTCTTAGGGTAACAGTGTATTATTAACGCCTTAAAGTGATAAACTTTTGGATGTTCTTCAGCAGATTTGTACCTTTCTCAATGTTTCTGAACATTCATTTACATATTATATTGTAATAAAAATGCAATGAAGGTTAATTCAAAATGATTTATACTCATTGGATCCTTCACTGTGGATTAGCTAGACTTTTCGTATTTCATGTTACTAGTCATTTATAAAGTATTTTAGATCACTGATGTATATAAAAGATTTCTAGAATCCCAAATATTCATCATTTTATAAAGGGTTAACTGAATAATCAAAATTTTCAAGATGAGTTTACAAGAGTTAAGACCAAGAAGAAAGACAGTTGTTGTAATTGGAGGTGGTATATTTGGTGTATCAAGTGCAAATAATCTATATAGAACTTTAGATCCAAGATTCTATGAAGTTAAGTTAGTCACCATATCAGATCATGTTTATTTTTTACCAGCATCTGATAGATTAGCTATCACAAAAGATTATAGAAATGTTATGATTCCAATAAGAGAAGTTTTAGATAAATACATTCCAGTTATCAAAGGTGAAGTTGTTCATTTTGATCAAAAACGTGTATTATTTCGTTCTGGGTTTTATCAAAATTTTGACGTATTAATTATTGCAACTGGTGCTAAATGGGCTTCACCAATCGGTTCCACAATTAATTTTAAAGATAATCATCATAATTTTTTTGAAAAAGAAGGTAAAAATTTGAAAAATGCTAAACATGTTGTCTTCATCGGTGGAGGATTCTTTAGTACAGAATTAGCTGGTGAAGTTGTTCATTATTATGGCAGAGATATAAGAACTGGGAAGAAAAAAGTTACAATTATACATAGTTCTGATAAATTACTTCCAAATAATGGTTTCTTCACAGATAATTTAAGAGATAAAATTACAAATTATTTAACTTCAAGAGGTGTTACTATATTGAAAAATTGCAGAGGTACACAATTACCATTTGATCCAAATGTTATCATCTTGAATGATAATCCTGAAACAAAATTAGTTGCAGATTTAGTTTATTCAGGTGTTGGTACAAATCCATCAGTTCCACCAAATGAAATTCCAGATCTCTGTGATAGATCAGGTTATATAAGGGTCAAGCCAAATTTCCAAGCTGAAGCTATATCAAAGGGGAACATATTTGCTATTGGGGATGTTACTGATTTTTCATATCATGGTATCGCCAAAAGGGATAATTGGGTTAATACATTAACTCATAATGTACGTCAATATTTGAAATATGGTAACAAATACCCGTTACTCCACGCACAAACTTTTAAAATGGGTGATACTATACCTTGTTCAGTTTCATTAGGTCCAATTCAAGGGTTTGGACAAATTGAACTTCCATTAATTGGGAAAGCCATAAATTTACCTTCGTTCATCGTCATACAGACAAAGTCTAAAAAGCTCTTGACTAATAAAGCTAGGCACTATTACTCACGCTGATAAATACCATCAATCTGCTTGAAAATTGCTGAATAACAGAGCTATTCATGGCGTAATGTTTTATATTATTCACTAAATGTCAAATATTACTCAGCTTATAAATTGTAGTAATAAACGTTCGGACTCGGAGATAATTGATTCCGAATTTTGTTTTGAAAGCCGTTACTAAGTATTGGAAATACACTTGTCAAGGATTTAACATTCATGTACCAAATATTCACTATAAAAGATAGCAGATTTCCAACGTAATGGGCTTCAGAATGGACGAAACAATTGAGTAAATAAGAAAACTTAGAGCTGGAAATGGGTAAAACAGTGGTTGTTGTCGGTGCTGGTCTCACTGGTAGTGCTAGTGCTAATAGTATCAAGAGAAAATTGGGAAAGAATGATTCAGTCAAGCTAATTACAACTTCAGATCATGTTGGATGGTTGCCAGCTTCGGTTAGAGTGCCATTCAGTAACAGCTATGATGCGTTTGCTCCATTGAGTGAGGTTATTGATAAAGATGTTGAAATTATCCATGGTCGTGTGATTTCCTTTAATGAATCAAGTGTTTCTTTAGAAAGTGGTGAAACAATTGTGTTTGATGCTCTTGTTATTGCTACTGGATCTAAATGGCCAAATCCAATTGCCACTTCTGCTGTTTATGGTGATGATCATGAAAGTTTTTATAAATCTCAAGGTAAAGAAATTAAAAATGCTAATGACATTGTCTTTATTGGTGGTGGATTTATAAATGTTGAGTTTGTGGGTGAGCTGTATCATATATACAAAGATGACATTGAGTCTGGGAAGAAAAGGGTATCGATCATTCAAAACTCTGATAAGTTATTACCAGATTCACCATTTTATTCAGATAAGTTCCGTTCTAAGATTACAAAATGGTTTGATGGAAAGAAAATTAAATTGTATTTGAGCTCTAAAGGTGACACAGGTTCAGAAGAAGGTCAAGTAATTATCAATGGTACTAAAAAGATAAAAGCTGATTTGATTTATTTCGGTATTGGTGCTCAACCAATCGTTCCAAAAAATGAAATCTCTAAATTAACCAATGATAAAGGATTCATCCGTACAAACAAAAACTTTCAAATTAAAGCCATTTCAAATGGTAATATATTTGCTATAGGTGATGTTACAGATTTCCAATATCATGGTGTACAAAAACTAAATAATTGGATCCCAACAATTGCATCAAATGTTACATCTTATTTACAAGATGGATCAAAAGCCAAATTGATTGATACTTCAACCTTTGAAAATGAAAATATCCCATCTGTTGTATCATTGGGTCCAAATGATGGAGTTGGTCAGATTCCTTTCCCTTTGATTGGAACTGTTTTATTACCTAGATTCTTGATTGTAATGGCTAAATCAAAGGATCTTTTCGTATCAAACTGGAGAAAAATGGTATTTGACAATTAATGAACCTAGAGAGATTAAAAAAACAATCTTAAACAATCTAAAACCATCCTTTTAATGTATAGTATTTGATAATTTAAGTATAATAATTAATTTTGCTTATACTGATTATGTAATTACAATGCTATTGGTGACTCAGCACGCGCAAACTCGAACCGTTTCTAGCGTAATTTTCTCCAGAACAATCGAAAGATGAGCTGACACTTTTTAGAATAAATATATTCTTTATCCCCCATGTTCAACTGCTTATTCTGAATTTTTTTAGAGCTGGTCAAGTATATTGCAGCTTATAATATGAGTGAGCTACTGGAGAAGAAGAAGAGTTCCGCTCACATCCCACAATTGTCTAGTGGAAAGTCTAAAAGCTCGAAATTTCAGGACATAATAAAAGGATTATTCTTTGATGCTGTGATTTTATTTGCAAATAGTAAGTGAATAATATAAAAGTTTATTTGGTATATCAATTACTGACATTGTATCTCCTAGTAATCTGTTATATATTCTTTAGAGAAATCAAAGTTAGAGGTGGCTACAATTTACCAAGATCAGGTCCTAGTATTGTTGTTGTTGCTCCCCATGCTAATCAATTTGTTGATGGAGCAATCATCCTTTCAAGAATAAGAGCCGTTGCAAATAGAAACTCATCTTCTGTTATTGCAGAAGCGTCATATAAGAGAAGATTTATTGGATTTTTAGCCAAATTAGCTAACTCAATTCCTGTTCCAAGAGCACAAGATAATTTAAAATTTGTTGAAGGTGAAATTTATGCTAAAGATGGTGATTTGAAAACTATTCATGGTAAGGGTACTAGATTTACCAAATTCACTGCAAAAGGTCTTTTAGGATTACCACAATCAGCTGGTAATTCAGTAATTGAAGAAATCAAAAATGATGAAGAATTGATCTTGCGTAAACCTTTCAAAGGTGAAAAAGCTGAAAACTTATTATCAAAAGGTACAAAATTCAAATATGCAGATAAAGTTGAAAATGATGTTACTTTCCAAAATGTTTTTGAACATTTACATAAAGGTGGTAATATCAATATTTTCCCAGAAGGTGGTAGTCATGATAGACCAGATTTATTACCGATTAAAGCTGGTGTTTCCATTATGGCGTTAGGTGCAGCTGCAGCTGATCCAACTTGTAAAATCAAGATTGTTCCAACTGGGTTAAATTATTTCCATAGAAATGAATTTAGATCAAGATCTGTTGTGGAATTTGGTGCTCCAATTGTCATTGGTAAAGAACAAGGTGAAGCTTATGAAAAAAATCCACGTGAAGCTGTTGGTAAATTATTAGATGAAATCACTACTGCTTTACGTAGTGTTACATTAACTGCTCCAGATTATGATACATTGATGGTTATCCAAGCGGTTAGAAGATTGTATGTCAAGAAGGCTCCATTATCATTGGTTGTTGAAATGAATAGAAAGTTTTTAAAAGGTTATTTGACATATAAAGATGATCCAAGAGTTAGTCATTTGAAAGATTCAGTGCTGGAATATAATAAAAAATTGGAGGTACTAGGTTTAAAAGATCATCAAGTCGAATTGGCTGTTAAACATCCATTGGAAAGTTTAGTGATTTTGATTGTAAGATTGTTCAAATTAGCATTCTTTGGTGCTTTATCTCTACCAGGTACTATTTTATTCTCTCCAATTTTCTTTACAACTGATCATATTTCAAGAAAGAAACAGAAAGAAGCATTGGCTGGTTCTGTTGTCAAGATCAAAGCAGTTGATGTTATTGCTACATGGAAGATTATTATCGCTACAATTGCTGCTCCTGCTTTGTACATTACTTATTCTATCATTGGTACTTGGTTATCTTTAAGTTACAATATATTTGGTGCTAAATCATACCCTAATCTTTTGGTTTTCATTGGTATTTATGCATTATTAATCTCTACTACATATGCGGCTTTTAGAATTGGTGAAATTGGTATGGATATTTTCAAATCATTACCACCTTTAATCTCATCCGTTTTTGGCTCTGAAAAGGAATTATTAGCATTGAAAGAAACCAGAGAAAGATTATCATTAGAAATCACTGAAGTTGTAAATGAACTAGGTCCAAGTGTTTTCCCAGATTTTGAAGATTTCCACAGAAGACATCTCGATCAATTATCTGAGGAAATTAGAAAAGAAGAAGAAGCAAGATATGCTAAGATCAAAGCAAGAAGAGCATCAAGAAAGGAAAGAACCGAATCAGGAGAAAAAGAAAACCGTTCAAGATCAGCCTCTGCCTCATCAACTGGATCAAGTGTTTCTAATGCTTTATCAAGAGTCGGTTCAGAAGATAATTTCTTTTCTGATATTCCAATTTTAGGTGATGGTGGATACGGTGGAAGCTCAACACCTAGTGAACATGAAAGTGATTCAAATCAATATAGTAATATTAAAGAGATTACTGGATCCTCTGCTACAAGTGAAGAAGCTAGTGCTAAGTTGAGAAGAGCTATGAGAGAGAAACAAGGCGGGTTTCAATAGGTAGATAGTGTGTGTGTTTATGGTGTATATTTGATATTTTTGTTATGATATTTATGTTTGTGTTCAAGCTCTTTCAGAATAGCAAAAAATGTAGTTAGTGTACAAATAACTACTCGAACTGATGGATGCTTATTACAAAATTATTATTCTATTTGATATTATTTATTGCAAAGAAATCATGCTATAATTGTTTTATAACTACTATGAAAGAAATATTTTTAAAAGTAAATATAATATGTATTTTCATGATGATACCTTAACTATATACTAAAAACCAATAACCCAATAATAATAATAATAACTAATGTACAAATTAAATTTGATCTTTTCTAGAATCCAGTAGAAAATGATCTTTTTATGACGATGAAGAAATGACAAAATGTAAAAAATGATTCATAAAATAAAACATAAGGAATGAATTGTCCCATTGATGCAGCTGTTTTGTATGTTTTGTTGATATTAATGAACTAGATTTAACAGTCAACTAATTCAATAACTTCTAATTTGATTTCATGACATTGATCAGCAACGCTTTGATCATATAAGTTGTAGAAGTTACCTGATAAACATTGGTAGAATTTGTCTGAATCACCTAAAGCTAAAACACCTTCTTCAGTGATTGACCAACCACCAGCGTAGATAGCACCAGCTTGTGGTGGAGGACCATCAAATTGGAATTGTCTGTTTGCAACAATTGAACCTAATCTACCAGCAGAATCAGTTAAAACACCACCTTTTAATTCTAAAGCTAATGAACCATCAGCTTTACATGATTGAGCTTTGACATTGTCATCTGATGAGGATTTTGAATCAGCTGAACCAGAAGCTTTGTTAGCGGATTCAGTAGCTGAGGCAGTTGAGTTTGAAGCACCAGTGGCTTGGATTTGACCATCAGTGATTTGTGAAACAGCAGTAGCAGATGATTTTGAAGCTTCAGTGTTTGTAGTAGCTTGGATTTGACCATCACCAATTTGTGAAATAGCTTGAGCAGTTGATTTTGGAGCTTCAGTGTTGGTTGTAGCTTGGATTTGACCATCACCAATTTGAGAGATAGCTTGAGCAGTTGATTTTGGTTTTGAAGATTCAGTGTTGGTTGTAGCTTGGATTTGACCATCACCAATTTGTGAAATAGCTTGAGCAGTTGATTTTGGTTTTGAAGATTCAGTGTTGGTAGTAGCTTGGATTTGACCATCACCAATTTGAGAGATAGCTTGAGCAGTTGATTTTGGAGCAGCTGAAGTAGTTGATGGAGTACCAGTTGAAGCTTGGATTTGACCATCACCAATTTGGGAGATGACATCTCTTTTAGCAACACCAGCAGTTGGAGCACCGGTTTCAGTTGAAACTGAACCACCTGAAGTAGTAGTACCAGTGATTGGAACAACAGCAACACCAAAAGTAGCAGTGTAATCAGTCTTAGCACCTTTTGGGGCTTTAGCACTTGGAGTTAAAGTAGCCCATGGTTCTGATGGAACAACAGCAGCTAAAGTAGTGGTGAATAAGGTAGCAGCAGTTAAGACAGATGATGAGTATTTCATTGTAATTTAATTGTTATAATTTAATAGAATCTTTGATATAATTATCTTGATGATAAACTAAAAGTAAATCCAAACTGATCAATTGAAGGGGATTATCAACTTCTTAAATAGTTTTCATAACTCATCAATGGACCTCTAATCGATATTCATCAATGATCTATAAATAAGTTCGATACATACGTACGTGCAATTGATAAATTAACACTGAAGATCATTAGTGATTGCTGGAAGTTGTTAAATTGAATTTCACAGTTAAAGTATAAGCCCTATGTATGATAAACGCTGGATTAATTAAGCATCTCCCGGATATATGTATCTAATTTAGCTGCAATTACATCATGTGGGCTTAAAATTTGATGTGTTTTATAACAGATCTGTAAGTTTTACTGTTTTTCCTTTTCCTAATAGAGTAAGAATTAGATATATAATTTAATTAAAAGGGTTAAATTAGATGCATTAAACGTAAAATCATGAGAGGGAAATCTAATTAATGAGCTTCACCATCTTCTTTGATGCTTTGATATGAAATCTTCAGTTGTAAAATCAAACAAATCGTTTGGAAACTTTAAACTGCATGTTATTTGATTACCGAATCGGGTAATATCAATTTAACCCAAACTAGCAAAAACAAATGATCGGCTAATTAAAAAGTACAGAACATATAAAAGCTTCACATACAAATCGATGATACGCTCGTGGCCAATTAATTAACTGAAGTACGTTAAACTTGAATCGTTAATTTACTTGATGCAAGCACTTTATTAATTTAGGCTATGGGGAATTGACGGCCCCAGTAATGAACATAAATCACCAAGAGCAAATGCATCACTTGCCACTTGTACCGTTTCAGGGCAAGCCAAGGACTGGAACCACGTCAATTGCGCACTGTTCACGATCCGAGGTGCACAAATAATACAGTCTGTGAAGTATAGAGGTCTTATATACCTTTTAAAGGATATAATGTGTTATAGATTTAAATATATCTTATATCTTTCTTGTTCAGTTCATGATGCCCTGCTAAAATTTTTGGAATCTATTTTTAAACCGTTCCGAAGTTTCGAGGAGTTTTTTTTTTCATGATGAATAATTTTGTTAGTGGAAACACGGTGTGAATAACAATTTCGGAAACAGCTGGAGGGAAATTAATGCATTCGCATGTGAGTGATGCAGGGGTAACGAAAAGATGAAACTATAGCAACACCAGGTCAATCTTTTTATAGAACATGATTCACCATGGTCCATGAGCAATTACGAAAGTTGAGTTAAAAAAAACAGACTTACATTTCAAAGGTATATAGATGTTGTAGAGTTTCTATTGTAATATAGTTAAGACAACTAAGAGAGAGAGGTTAAGTGAAATCTCTTATAAAATCCTTTGGGGATGACTTTAACATGCTTTGAAAATTAGAGGTTTGAAACTCGAAGGAGTATACAGTGTTTCGATAGTATTGCTAGAATATACAAGATTCATAGATCTCAGATGATTTATTTCAATTACAACAGCTTGTCTCTTTCACATATGATTTGTCTCAGTTTAACATCACGTTTGCATTGCAATTGCACTCGATTTTACGTTTTGATATGATGTTACTTGATTTATATGGATCATCTTAAAATTCGTTATATGATACGGAACAAGCGTCAAGGCTATAGAGAATCAATAAGGATCATCTATATATCATGGGACCAGTCACCATACTATAATTTGTTTAAACAAGATCATTTTTCTCGGTGCGGATTGATTTTGTATATATTAGCCGTTGGTTTTCACGTATTTTGGTTTAGTTGTTTTAAGATTTCAGTTGGGTTTAAGTTGATGGTATATTTATATGCTTGACCAACTGACTAGTATTTTGATATTACCATGTGGAGGGTGAAGATCAATCATATGATACTCTTAGGGAGTTATATACGCTCTGTTTATGTTTGAAAATATTTGATTTAGTTCATAAAGCTTGAAGGTGTTTCAAGATCAATATTTGAAGTTAAAACCAATAATTCAAAAAATGCTTCTTACCTCTAATCATGAAGCTTGATATCAAAATATAAATGAACATATAGAAGGTCAATAGTTAAGAGATCACCATTTTCAAAATAGCTCATAATCAGGAGATAAACTACATCTGATCATGAAGGTCAAAAGTTATACAAGCTACAATGCACCATGAAGAATTTTGATATCAAGAATTGAGAAAGAAAATTTATAGAAACATTCTTACTTTAAATTCTCATATGCTGATTCCCGAATCTAATAGAGTAAAAGTACTTAGGTCTTTATATCTAGTCAAAACTTTAAGGTTAAAGATTTGTTTAAGATTGAATGATCTTAATCTGTGAGATAAATTTAGAACTAAATAGTACGGCACTTGGTGGAAGTGGAAGTTAGATCTCAATGACCGTCATGGTTGAATCATGGAACGTGGTCTGAGAACAACAACAGCGCACCAAGACATATTCAGGGTTCAAGATTCAAATTAATGATCAGTCGATAGTGGACTCTGGATTAGATATCGATTATTGTAGTTTTAATCTTTCACTATATATATATTCAATATGGTTTCGACTCTCTAGTACTCCATATTAAAAAGTTCGACAAAGCTAGTCGATCAAAGAATTAAAGAGGATGAATGTGCAGTTCAGCTAGATTTTTTCGAATCAGTACTACTAGTACATCTTATAGCTTCAAGAAGAATCAAGATACGATTGTATTTGTTCATCATCTTTATAAGATCTATGGTTGACATGGTAGCAAAATAGTGTATTTGACTAATTTGATTGAAAAATGTTCAAATTGGGTGATTGCTTTCCATATTAAGCGAAAATGGATATTTTGGGTATTATTATTTTTCGATCTAGAAACAGAGGTACTAAAGGAGTGAGTAACAAGGTCCATGAGATATAGAAGACGACATCGAACTAGAAGTCTATAAAAGTATAAGATCCTCAAATCTCAAATCATTAGAAAATAAAGGACCCTTCCAGGTTTAAATAGCTGTACACAGTTCCAGCTGTTATCTATTTGAGGATATAATTTTATATATAGTACTATGTAAAGATCGCGATCATAACCACCGCGTTTATACCTAAACATAATCCAACTTATCGGAACACCCCCTTCAAAAGAACAAGCTCTGTGAAATCATTAAAATGAAGGATGGGAAAGAAGAATAACGAGAGGGAATGTAGTCATATGTGGAACTAATATAGACAGAGAATGCCTGGGAGTAAAACAAAAAAGAACATATTGCTTTAGGAGTATTCTGTATTCAACCGATCCCGAATAGATCTTTCATGCTTGTAATACTTTTCAAACAGCCCATGTCTAAGCCCAGCGAAAGGGATAAATTAATTAAACACATATCGAAAGGGTTGCTTTGTTAAAGTTCAATTAAACTACTCTAGATCAAGACCATTTAACTGTATGTTATAACGTATAAGTGTATAACTTATAAGTCCAGTCAATCGTAATGCCTAAGGATTCTCAACTTTTAGTGTTATCAGGATGTTCACCGAGAATCTTTAATACCCCCAAAAAGAAAAGACTACAAACATCAACATCAACATGAACATGAACACCAAAATACACAATAAACCAACAAAACAAAACACATATACTCTTTCAAAGATCTTGAATAACTTTGCCTTCTCCCAAATATTGTCGTTGTCTCATCATTAGACGTAATTTTCTCCTTTTTCACCAAGAAGATTGTAGAAGACTGGGCTTATTTACGCGCGTCGTACATATATTTGCAACCGTTTTAAGCATAAAGTGTATATTTTGGGAACATTTTAGTTAAAACATGCGGAAAAAGTATGTACTATGAATTCGATATCTCCCAATTTTTGATTTCCACCAAGGTATATATAATCTTTCGTGTTTCCTTTTCTTTTGATTTTTTAGTATTCACTGTTGTTGAACACTTAAAGGCTTTATATTCAATCGCTTTAATATACCCACTAATTATAATATGCAATACAGATCAGTCTTTGTTTCATCAGCTTTAGTTGCTTCTTCTTTAGCTGCTTATGTTCCTTCTGAACCATGGTCAACTTTAACCCCTGATTCATCAGCTCCAACTGGTGCTATTGAAGATTATGCTTCAACTTTTGGTATTGCTGTTGTTCCAGTTGCTTCTGCAACATCTTCAGCTTCTCCAAAGGAAAAAAGAGAAGTTATTTCACAAATTGGTGATGGTCAAATCCAAGCCTCAACTTCAACTGCTTCTCATGTTTCCACTAAAGCTACTTCAACAGCTCAAGCTATTTCCCAAATCGGTGATGGTCAAATTCAAGCATCTACATCAACAGCTCAACCAAAATCAACAGGTCAAGCTATTTCACAAATCAGTGATGGTCAAATCCAAGCTTCTACTTCAACTTCTTCTCAATCAAAAGAAACTAAATCTGCAGCATCACAAATCACTGATGGTCAAATTCAAGCTTCAGCTACCAAATCTGCTTCATCATCAGCATCAAAATCATCAGCTTTAGCTTCAGCTTCTGCTTCACAAGAATCTGATGATTCAGATCCAGTTAGTGCTGTTTCATGTAAATCAGATGGTTCATTAGCTTTAACTTTAAAAGATTCAATTTTAACAGATTCAGCAGGTAGAATTGGTTCAATTGTTGCCAACAGACAATTCCAATTTGATGGTCCTCCACCACAAGCTGGTGCTATCTATGCCGCTGGTTGGTCAATCACTGAAGATGGTTATTTAGCTCTTGGTGATAATGATGAATTTTACCAATGTTTATCAGGTAATTTCTATAACTTGTATGATGAAAATGTTGCTGATCAATGTCATGAAATTAAATTACAAGTTGTTGATTTAGTTGATTGTTAGATATAGATATCTATCTACTTATTCTCTTCTCACCAGAAAAGTCTGGTTACTTTTTTTACTAATTAGAGTTTGGTTTAGTTTATTGGATTAATATAAATACGGTTATTCATGGTTTCAATTGATATCTGTAGTGATGATGATGGTCTAGATTCAGATCTGAAACCAATGAGCGCGACATGGCGATTCTAGACTTTTAATATGAGTTTACTAACATAAACTTCAATCAGATCTTAATTTATGATAATTTGTATAATAATATGAAAGTTTTAAGATATCAGATCTGAAATGTAAACAAATCTGTAAATACTGGACCCTTTTAGATCTTTTTCAACGATGATATTCAATATATTTGATATTCCACATATTTTTACACTGTTAATCAAC